TGAACTTCTTTTTATATGTAATTTCTATAGAATTCTTATGATTTAAATTATATATTCATAATATTCTCTTAATTATTTTAAAATCAAAAAGCATATTTATAAATAATATTGATTTGTATCTTTTGAAATAAAAAAATTCTTTAGAATTTCAATTTTTTTCTAATAATAGGATTCTTGAATATTATTATTTTTTATTAAACACTATTAAAATCAATACCATATTATAAAAAAGATTGAAAATACAGAAATAACTACTTATGAAATAATAATAATAATAATTTAAGTTTATAAAAGGTCTATTCAAAAACAATTTATTATTTTAAGTTCTGAAATAACAATAAATAAAGATTGACATTTATTATTATTCTTTTTTTAATTTTTAATCTTTTAAATTTATGTAAACTTTAAAACCATTTTTAGTATAAAACTATTTAAAAAAATATATGTAGTTTCATTTAATAGTTATCATTATATTTATTTTATTTATTATTAATTTTTGTTTATTTTTTGCACTAGTCTTTTTATGACTTTTATTTTGATAATAATAATGTTTTTATAGAGATCAAAGAATACACTTAAAGAATAATGCTAATGATCGATAATGTAGCATTTTTTCCCTATATACAGTCTTTATTTTCATCTTTTTATTTTCAATTATATCTATTATTCTAGTTATTTTTATCTTTATTTATTTCTAATAATTTATCTTTCAGTATATCAAAATAGGTTAATACAATAGTTGTTTATTATGATTATTTTTATTTTTTTATATGCAATTGTTTCTATTAATAATTGTTTGTTTCATTTTCTAAAAATATGGCTAATTAATTCATCATTTTAGTCTTTTTTAATTGTTTTTGTCATTACCCTAGAAAAAGGTAGAGATGAATAAAAATGAACCATCTTATATTAATAAATTAATTTTTACGTATATTTTATAAATTCTTTTCGAAATTGTCTTAATTCTTAAACAATACTCTTTAAAAAGTATCTGTAATATTAATAATTATGTTCATTTTTGGTTTTTACTTTTAACCAAAGAGTATTTAATTAATGGCACTTGATATCCAATTCTAATTTTACTGAATACGTTTTTCTGTTTGTTTTGTTTATTAATATAAAAATTCTTTTCAAAGAATTATATCTAAGGGGTATTTTTTTCAAGAATTAGACAATTAAATAATCAGATGTTTTATTTTTTTAAAAAAATCTCAATTCCTGTTGAATTTAAAGGTTTTTATTAATATTATTTTTTGAGTTATCTTTAATAATAAAAATGGGTTTGAAAATATAAAAAATATGTTATCGGTTCTTATCTAATTTATTGACTATAAAAAATCTATAAAATAGATAAAAATAAATAAATTTCTAATTATTTAAAATATTCTTGAAAAGAATTACTTTATATAAATAAAAACAAAAATATTTATTTTAAAAAATATATAATAATTTCTTATTATAAAACATTATATTTTTTTATTTGAAAAACCTATTATAGAAATGTTATTTCTATTAAAAATTAAATTACAAAACAATAAATAATAAATATAATTCTCGTGATCACTAATGTTTATCTTAGATTTTAATCACTCTTTCTTTAAAAAGATAGTTTATAAAAAAAATTAAATTAAAAAAATAAGATTAGTAAAGTGTACTAAATGTATCGATTTAGATTCATTATTTTATTTAGCCGTCAAAATTTTAAAAAAAAAGGTGTTATTTTCTTTAAAAGATTTATTTTAAAAACTAGGTTTTGAAATAATATAAATTTTTATATTAAATTAGTTTGAAAAGTTATTTACATTTTTAAAAACTATGAACTCAAATAATTGAAATAATTTTTTCATTAAAATTATGAATAGGATCTGCTTATAAATGTTTATAAAATAAACTACCTTTTTGCAAACATTAATTTAATGAAATAAAAATGAAAAATATTTATTTTTATATGCTTCCAGACAATTTTCTACATTCCTAACATTTTGAAATATAAGAAAAATCTAGTATTAAACAATTATCCATATTCCTATTATTATCCCAGTAATCGCAAAAATCATTTTATTATTATAAAGTCCTTCAATTTTTGCTCCACTAGCTTTGTTGAGTTCTCCAGAGTTACCTGTTGGTTCTAATGTTAGCGTTAATGTTTCTGAAACTACGCATCCTTTATTTTTATCTGTTTTCGTTGCTGATTCAATTACCGATTCCTCGGATGGTTCTTCTGATGGCTTCTCCAGCGCTTCCTCTGATAGCTCCTCTGATGGCTCCCCTGATGGCTCCTCTGATGGCTCCTCCGAGGGCTCCTCTGATGGCTCCTCTGACGGATTTGGTGTAGGACAATTAATTATTGTTTGTGTACATGCAGAATAACGACATCTGCAATTGCAACGTGTTACTGTCACTATTTCCGTTTCCAGAGAAGTAAATGTCTCTAGAATCTCAAGAGTTGTCGTTGTTATATGAGCAATTATAGTACCAGTACCTGTATAATCCGTTATAGGTATAGTCTCAAGTGATGTAACTTCTTCGAATTTTGCTAAGTGCGATTCATTTATAATATCTGTTTTAGACTCATCATCTGTTTTAGACTCATCATCTTTTTCAGGATTATCCTCTTTCTTAGGCTCATCAGGAGTTTCTGGCTTCTCTGATTCTTCAGAATTCTCCGATTCTTCAGGCTTCTCCGGTGCTTCAGGCTTCTCCGGTGCTTCAGGCTTCTCCGGTGTTTCAGGCTTCTCTGGTGCTTTTATTCCTTCGTTAATTTTTTCGCATTCTTCTTTCACTTTTTTACATGTTTCATTTAGAATATTTCCACATTTTTCTTCAAGATCGAGACATCTTTGATTCTCCTTGGCGCAAACTTCTTTTGTAAAGTTGTCAATTTTTTCTTGTTGATCTTTTACTTGCATGCAGATCACATCAAAATATTTCGATAGATTATTACAAAATTTTTCTTTATCAGAACATATTCTTTCTAATCCTTCCTTTTTCTCATTATTTTCAGTAGTGTTAAGAACACTACAGCAAATTGATGTTAACTTAATGCATTCATCAATGGGGAAATCGCGTTTAAAATAGCCTGCTAATGCTTGAAGAGCATAATTACCCATAAAGTCTATATCATTTAGTCTCCTTTAAATTCATCAATTTTATACCATTTTGATTTTTAGAATCTGTTTCAATGGATAATGAAGAGCGGATCTTTTTAATAAATTCAAGTGTATTCTTCTCTTTATTTGTTATTGAATTTTCTAATTCTACAGAAGGATTGTATAGCAATTCTCTGTAAAATTGTACATATCCTTCATCATCTGAAACAGCTGGATCTTTAATAAATTCTAAATAATAAATATTAAAGAATATATATCAAAAATAAAACTAACCAGAAACTTCTAAATCTCTTGAAAAAACATGTGCTATTAATACAAAAGCTGGCAATATAAAAGCCCTCATAGACTTTGTATGTTAAGAAGAAAAAATAGGTATTTTCATAAGGTTTTTCCATTTTTATATTTATTAAGAAATTAGGAAACTCTCTACCGGATTTGAAGATAACGATAAAAATTAGTAGTGAATAATAATAAATAATAAATATGCGAATTAATTTTCAGAATAATTGTATGGTTAATGATTTTTAGTAGATTCATTTAATTTATTTTCATTTTTATTTGTTTTTTACTGGGATTTTTATTTAAACTTTTATATAAATATTTTTAGAATAATATAAAATGTTACATATAAAAATGCTTATTTGTATATTCTGGATGCAATTTGTTCGTTTTTATTACTAATTTATGCTCATTAATCCATTAATATATCTATCTTATTAAGATATATTTTATAAATTAAGATGATTTCATGGTTATTATTAGGTTTAGGGATTGATTTTGAAGCTGAAATTGTTTAAGATTTCAAATGAATGGTCTCTTAAAATTATATTTATTTAGATAAAAAGATGTCTTTTGAAAAGAAATATAAAATAGAAATACAGCAAATGATGTTTGGTAAAATTGTTAGAAATTATAGATTAAATTTACTTTTTAAGTTTTAGGTGAAGTGTTAGATTCGTTGCCTGAAACAACCGCACTTGTTGAAGATATCGTTCGAGGACAAGTAATTGAAATGATAACGCAGGCTACACAGCATGCTATGAAGCGTGGTTCTCGGTCCATTTCTGTTGAAGATTTAATCTTTTTAATTCGTCATGATAAACCAAAGGTTAATAGACTTAAAACTTACCTTTCATGGAAAGACGTAAGAAAGAATGCAAAGGAACAAGATGGGGTTGAATCCTCTGAGATTCTTGATGAGTCTGGTATTAATAATATTTTTAATGATTTTGTTAATTTAATTAGATACAAAAATGAGAGTAAGAAAATCGAGAATAGATCTTCCATGGGATATATATTCTATGTTTAATGAACCTATTCCGTTTAATCTTGACGAAGAAGATGACTATGATTCGGATGAGCAGGAATCGAATCTTGATACACTTCTTCGTCTTAGATTTGCCGATCTTAGAACTCGTACAATGACAAAAGATGAATATGTTCACTATAGTGAATGCCGACAAGCAAGTTTTACATATCGAAAATCGAAAAGATTTAGAGAATGGAGTGGCATGAATCAATTAATGGATTCTCGTCCTAACGATGATATAATAGATATTCTTGGATTTTTGACATTTGAGATAGTTTCCACTATTACAGAAGAATCTCTGCGAGTAAAAGCACAAATGGATAGTTTAGAGGAAAGTAATGCTTTTAAGGAAAGAAAAGAAGGAAAATATTTATTTGATGATCCAGAGGAAGGCCGCACGCCTTTACAAATAAAACATGTACAAGAAGGATTCCGAAGACTTCAGACGCCACGGCCAAAGCATGTTGCAATGAGAGGATTTGATGGCGGTCTTGTTAAAAGTCGTATAAATTTAATTTAAAGAAATTTTGTTTTGAAAATTATATTTAAAAACACGAGGCATTTTAAAATTAAGGTTTTTATATATGTAAATATCATTTGGTTAATATGCTTTTCAATTAAAAAAGGCTCATTTTAAAGACTTCGTCGCAGAATATAAATATATAATTTCAAATTATTTTACAAAAGCCAAAAAATAAAATACAATTCAAAAATTTAGTTGATTTAAGATTTTTAAAAAATAATAAAACATAATATTTAATTTTATAATTATTTTGTTTTTAATTAGTTTTTAAGTCTGTATCTATGGGAAATTTTTGTATAGAATATAAAATGCTCTAAAATATTTAAATTTATTTTATTTTACAGAAATATTAATACTGCGTTGTTGGCACATTTAAATTATATAAAATTAGTTATTTAGAAAAAACATTAAATCATAGGATTCAATGCTATAGTATTGCATTTGGTCTTTAGTCTAAGGCATGTTGTATTAATAGATTAGAAGGAAAATCATTAGTTTATATATTTTATAAAGTTTTAAAAACTTTTTTAAAAATTTTAACAATTATGAAGAAAAAATAGAAATCAGTGTAATTTTTAGAAAAAGGGTATTTATCAGAGTCATTTTACTTGTTATTGCTTATACTATTGAAAGTTCAGATCTTTAAATAAAAAAAGCATAATATAATATGAATAACTGCAAAAAAGAAAATGATAATTGTAGAAAAAGGATTAAAAAATCTGAAAAAACAGGAAAAACAAAAGTTTTATCTAAGTCAGTAATTTCTCCAAATTCTGCTTTAGATAGGATTTCTAATCAAAAATTAATATTTAATCTTTCAGCAGATCTTAAGATTAATCAAGAAAATCCCTTTTTTATTGAAAAAAATAGGAAATTATATACATCACCATTTATCAAAAATATCATGAATAAAAGAAGTAAAAATTTATGGGAAGCAGTTAGTAGAGATTTAAATGGCGAGTTAATTGGAGAAAAAAATGATTTTTTTTCAAAAAAAAGTGAAAAAAGTCCCCAGAATTCAGTACAATGTTTAGAATTTTCTGAAATTTCGAAATCTAGTACAAATCCTAGTCTTTTCATTGATCATAAACATAATATGAAAAAAAAAAATATGGATAACTGCTCTAAACCTAATTTTATTACTATTAATTCATCTGGATCTGATGAGGAATTGTTATTAAGTCATGATAGTAGTTCAGTAGAAAAATATCATGGAGAAATATATGAACCTTCTATAGTTAATTCTAATGAACCGGGAATGTGTTCTTTATTACTAGCAGAAGATTCTAATTTGGATAAAAATCAAAAAATTGATTTAAAAAACCTAAAGGCCAAAAAATATACATTTTTTGCAGAAGATAATCTGGAATTAATTAATAAAACTTTAGATAGTTCTCTTTACATAAAAAGTCTTAACGAAAACATGTCTTCAAAAATTATGAAAAATGATATAAATAATGATATATTAGATGAATACGAATTGGAAATAAGGAAAAATCCATATGTTACTGAAAAAAAAGATTTAGTCAAAGCAATAGAAACGAAGCATATTTTTCATCCTGAGAAAATTACAATGCCTGATTTTCAGAATTACACACTTATTCAATTACAGGTAATATTGATATGTATAATACTAAAATGATTTTATTGTTTTAGTCTGAGGTTTCAAAATATGGTTTTAAAATAATGCGTTCACGAAAAACGATGATTGATTTATTAGTTAAATGTTGGGAGCTATCTAATTCTTCAGGGCAAAAACAATTAATTAAGAATGATAAATATAACAATTGTGCATTTTCTCAAACTTTTAGTAATACTTTATTAGAACAAAGTGTTACGGGTACATTAGAAAATTGTACATTGTTAGCGCATTTGGATAGTAATTTACAGGATATTTTTTTGACTATTACAAAAATTCTTAAAAGTACAGTTGGTGAAATATATTGGTTTAAAATATTACGTTATGAACCAATTGTTCTTGAGCAGTTTATTAAATGGTTGTTTGAACAGAATATAGTTACTACACTTGACATTGTTAAACAATATTGTAATATATATGGTATATGTTGTGTACATCTTAAAACCAATCGTGGTTTTGCAAGAAAGTATTTATAAAAATTCTTAATAGCATTGTATAATATATAGTATACTTATTATATAAATTATGTATATATGTTATAAGACTTATTTGATATTTATCAAGATTAAAGTTAAGAAATCTAAATAAAAATATATTAGAAGATATTTAAGTTTATGATCTTAGGATTTGTTGATAAGCTAGTCTTTAAAAAATTAAAAATTTATTGTCAGTCAAATAATAAATAGTTTATAAATATCAGTTTCAAATAATTCTAATTTAATGTTAAATAAGAATATATATAATAACTCAAGTAATATAGGATATATTATTGTAAAAAAGATTAATTGATTAAATTTTGTTTTATATAATATACTTTTATAACACTTTATAGAAGACTAATAATTTAATAACTATAAATAGTTTTAAAGATAAAAAATAATGATAAAAGCTATAGAAATTATTATTGTTTAGTTATTTGTAAAGTGCATAATGTATATTAGTTTTATAAAATTTTAAATATATTTAAAAAAATTGTTTTAAAAAGATTATTAAAATAAAATAAATAATATGAAAAATGTAAAAAGCTTTATAAAAAGCCTTACAAAAGTAGAATTTTAATTATTTTTTTAATAAATAATATTATAGTAATAATATATGTTTTTAAAGGAATTATTTAATTACTATTTATTTTTTCATTTTTACTAGTATAATTTTTTTAAACTATCTTTTATTATATCAATGGAACATCTTTGTAATTGAATTTTTTAAAATAATATAACATTTGAAAATCTTTTATTTTAAGAATAAAATTCCCAAATATTAAACGCAAAATATATGTTAAATCCAGTAATAAGATTATTTCTAGTTGGAAATTCGATTTTATTTAACATACTTTAATTATTTTTAGTTAAAAAGTACATTTAAAGCTTATAATTTTATAGTTTTAAAAAATAAACTAATTTTTGGGATCGTTCTAAAAGTTCTTATTTTTAGGAGTATTGTACTTAAAATTTAAAGATAATTTTTCATATTTCTATTTGATTATATATTTTTTCAAAAAAAAGTATTTTTAATTTTTTACTTATAATAAACTGAACATGAATTTTAAAAAAATCTATTAAAAATAAAATAAAATATTTTTTTGTTATATTAAATAAATTGCTAACTTTTAAATTTCATCAATTTTATTGTTTTAAATTCATATAATCTAAATGTTTTAATATTTTAAAATTTCAAATAGATAAGTATAAAAATCGTAATATATTTTTTATTACTAATATATTAACTTTACCCCATGTTATAATATTTTTAGACGAAACATATTTTTAAAATGTATAATTTTTAAATATATATACTAGAAGAACGAAAACAAAAGATCTAAAAGTTATATTTTATTTTTGTTTTTTTTTTTAGAATGAAACATGAACTTTATTAAATATATAAAGGAAAAAAAAATCAATATTTATAGAATGCATTAGTTTTGTTTTATTTTTGTCGAATTTGATTGCGTTAATAGGGATTATTAATATATGGGAATTTTTATAGACTTGGAAGAATAAAATTCGTTTTTATCAAATTAACAAATTAATCTATATTTTTTCCAAATAAATTCTAAGCATATATTTAAATAGGAAAGTATATAGATATAGAGTTAATTTTTTAAAAAAGTTTATTAAATTTAAAAATTTAAAAAAAATATATTTACAAAGTTTATTTTAACAATATATTAATGTTAGATTAAATTATTCTGTTTTGAATTCTTAATCAAAGATCTAGAGCAAAAATTTATATCTTTAGGATAATGTTATTTTATAGATATGTCAAAGTGTTGAATCTAATTTTAATCTTAAAAGATAGGTTTTAAAATAATAAATACATTTATGAGTAATAGATTATGTAATTATGAAAAAAATTAAAATTATTTAGCATATATAATCTTAAATAAAAATGTGTTGAATTGTTGTTTAAAAGAAAAATATGTATTTAAGGTGTTTTTATTATAATTGGTCTTAAAAACAATTCATTTATAGTAATATTATTTTTAATAAAATAATAATTTAATAAAGTGAAAAAATCCTTAATTCAAAACAAATATATCAAAAAATTCTATCTTATATATAAACTGTAAATGATCTTTATTAAATTTAAGAAAAATCTAAGGGTCCATTTTCTAAACTTTAACAAAAAATCCTTAATTTTAATTTATATGATTAGAATTTTATAAAGGTCTAACTACTTCAAAACAAAATAATATATCTAAAATTTAAATGCATCATCCGATATTGTTGGTAATAATATATTTTTAAGCAAATAAAAGTATAAAAACACAAATATATGTATATATATTTCATATATTAAATCAATTATATGCAGAATATTTATCTTTCTTTTTAAGACTGCGTGTTTTACAGGTATCACTACAAAACCATTTTCCATTAGGCGGCGCTTTTAAACCAACACAGCCGTAATGAAACCACTCAAAAACGCATTCACTATCATCGCATGCAATCATTTCCCCATAACTTATTTGCTGACAAAAACAATATACCTGAGAATCATCGTTATCATTGCTAATAGAATCTGGATCAGAATCAGACATACGAATCGATAACGCACGTCTTTTTCTTGGAATAACTAATGTTCTAGATTCTGAGGTTAATGTATAAAATGGAGGATATATATTTTTGGTAGTTTCTGGGGCTATTTGACCATCTAAATGTAAACGTTTTATTTCATTATCTAGTCGTCGTAGATGTCTCTGTAACTAAAAAAGTTTAATAAAAATATATAGATTCCTTCTCTCTACAAGATCTAAACTTTTCCTAGAAAGAAAGAGTTTTTCTTCTTGAATTTTAATAGCATAGATAAAATCTGCTTGAATCTTCGGAATATATTGAGCTTCTTTTGGATTAACAACTAAAGAACCAAACGAACGTATATGTTTATGAATGGAATTATCTCTGGTACATATACGTTTATGGATTTTCTGAAATTTAAGCTCTTTAGATTTTAACTCGTCATAAATATGCGCTATTTCGGAAGGAAGGTTATCTAAACCTTTAAAAGTTGAAAAATTAATAAAAAGATAAGATTCTAGGTAATTATTCATACTATTAAGATATTCCAGGAGAACAAAAGCAGCATCTTCCATATGTTTATTTTTCTTAATATTATATTGAATGTTTTAAGATTTGGACGACCGAAAGACTTTTTAATTATATTACAACTATAAAAAAAAGTTAATATATAAAATCTATCAAAGCATATGTTATAAGCATAAATAATACATATATTAAATCATTAAGTCATTTATATTTTAAAAAAGTGTTGACGTCATGTTAAATAATACAGAGACGTTTTCAACAAAGTCTTTGGAAAAGCCTCAAATTATTTTTAAGACAGGCCGGCCAAAATTGAGAGTAAGTTAATATTTATTTCTTCTTTTTTAACTATTTTATAGGGTATATATATATATATTAATTTTTTTTAAAAAGTAACAAAAATAGTATCATATCATCATGAAGAAGAAATAGGGAATTTTCATTTTGTAAATTAATTTTTTTGTCATTTATTTCTATTAAATTTAATAGGGAGAAGGCCACCCAATGAAGCCCCATCGACTTACTTTAACAAATCATCTTGTTCTTGGTTATGGTTTGCATAAGTATATGAACATTTATCGTCCACGAAGAGCTACTGATGAAGAACTGGAGCAATTCCATTCTTCAGAATACATTGATTTTTTAAAGAGGTAATGATTTAGTAGTCGATCTATATATGTCATGATTAATAATTGCGTAGAGTAACACCAGAAAATGCATCAACTTTTTCAGATATTTCTATGAAATTCAATATGGGCCAAGATTGCCCTATTTTTGACGGCGTTTATGATTTTTGTAGTATTTATGCAGGTGCAAGCCTAGACGCTGCACGAAAGTTAAGTCAAAATCAAACAGATATCGCAATTAATTGGAGCGGAGGTTTACATCATGCGAAAAAATTCGAAGCTAGCGGATTTTGCTATGTAAATGATATTGTTTTGGCGATTTTATCTCTATTAAGGTAAAAAACCTAATACAAGTGAAATCATGCCAATACAATTTATAAAGATATCATCCTCGAGTATTATATATTGATATTGATATTCATCACGGAGATGGCGTACAAGAAGCATTTTATTTGACCGATAGAGTTATGACAGTATCTTTTCATAAATATAATGCAAACGTTGTATCACCTGATAAAAGCTTTTTTCCTGGAACAGGATATTATAATGAAATAGGCTCAGGAAAGGGCAAATATTATTCACTTAATATACCACTAAGAGATGGGATTGATGATCAAAGCTATGTAATGCTTTTTCGTGCAATATTAGAGCCAGTAATAAATTCGTATCGACCAACAGGTAATACTAGACTAAATTATTTTTATAAAAAGATAATTTTGGAAAGCGGTTGTCCTACAGTGTGGGGCAGACTCTTTAGGGTGTGATCGTTTAGGCCAATTTAATTTAAGTATTAGAGGGCATGGACAATGTGTAGAATTCATTAAATCATTCGGTTTACCTTTACTCGTATTAGGCGGTGGTGGATATACAATACGAAACGTTGCACGATGTTGGGCTTATGAAACAGGAATTTGTCTAGACGCAGAGCTTCCGGATACTTTACCATCTGAAACTCCATATATTGATTATTTTGCACCTGATTATACACTTCATCCAAAAATTACTAGTCGAGTTGAAAACAAAAACAATCGAAAATATTTAGAAAATTTACGAATGCATACAATTGAACAGCTTCGTTATCTTAACAGCGCTCCTTCAGTTATGATGCAAGAAATTCCTAACTCACTATTCACTGAAGACGGAGATATTAATACTAATCATTAAAATCTAAAATATTAAAAACTGCATTGAATTTAACATTTTGTATATAAATTAGAAATTTATTAAGGAAATATAATATTAGCCTTTAATTTTTTCGATTTTAAATATTAATCTATTTTTAGCTTTTGGGAAAAATTATTAATATATAGTATAAATTTGTAATTTTATCTATATTACACAATATAATTTCTTTAATATAAAGATATTCTATATTTTCATATAAACATTAAGAAAGATATATTAATCTACAAAAATTGTCAAAAAAGATCATTTTAATATATATACACTATATTATTATTTAGGGTTAGCTAGCTCAGTGATTAGCGATAAATTCATATTTTAAAAAATTAGGCGCGTATTCGTGTTATTACCAAGAATTGATTTTTTAATATTAGACATCAGTTTTCCAAAATTTTTTAGAATTATTTTATTTGACTAAGCTATGATATTGAATGCGTGGATTGTGTTGTTTCTCACACCATTTCTTCACATTGTTGCATCAGCTCCGGAGCACAGCCAAAGAGATAAAATGATTATATGCGGCTCTGGATATTTTGATCCTAAAAAAGTACATTGTCATTACGCGTTTTTTTTTTCTAAAATGCTATAGTACACGTGTTTTGATGGTCTTGCATGTCCAATTATTGGAGTCGCATTTTTAAGATGCGGCAATGCATGTTATTCACCTCTGCTTTATCATTGCACTGAAGGTAAACTTTTTCAAGGAGCAGAACCTCCAGAAAAACAGCGTAATAGTAGCATATATACTGTCAATTATACTAATATATTGTCTAGTTCCACAAAAACAAGTGGTTAGCACTAGTATGTGATAATTTAAAGTATTGAGATTATTTTAATAGTAATTTAGCTACATCGACATTAGTATTTCCTACTACTGATAAGTCGATTCAAACTCCATGGAAGCCATCCTTTAATGATAGGACAGAAAAAAAGAAGGGCAGTGCAAATCACGATATGACTACTTTCAGTATCTTCGGTACTTTATGCATTATTAGCATTATTAGTTTTATTTTAGCTTTTTAAACTTGCATTTTTTATTATTTATATAAATATTTTTTAGAGTAGTTTTAGTTTTTTTATTTAGTAATTTATTAGAATATATTTTTTATTTCTGCATTTTTTTTAAATTCTATTAGGTTCTTAAATAGTATTCAAGAATTGCATAAGCATTATGATTTAAAAGTGTTGTTTCGTCTGGTTTAGTTATAATATTATAAATATTGAAAAATATCCAAATAATTATGATTCTAAAGTTTTACTTATATTTATATTTAAAATCTGTAATTAAAATTGTGCATTTTATCACATTTTAATAATTACTTTATTATTTTTTGGTAGTATTTAATATTAAGTTCTTTTCTAAACAATACATTAAAATAATTTATAAAGTAAAATTTAGTTAATTAAACAATATATAATTTTTACTGCGAAAAAACATTATAAATAATTTAAAAAGAAAATATCTGGGATATCACTACGTCTTGTATATATATATATCAAGTCTATATTACTAAAAATTAATATTTTAAAATATTCATTTCATTATCTCGAAAATTATATATACGTACTTTAAAAATTTAAAACAATAAATTTTAAATTTATACATTAATTCCAGAAATTGTAGTAGTATATGATTTTAAAACCTAAATCTACAGATATAACAAACAAAACAATTCATTATTTTCAAGAATGGTTTATAACAACATCCGAGTTTCGAATAATATTGTCCATTAATCTATAAATCTTTTTACACCCAGATAATGCCAAAGAAATTAGATGCTCAAACTTTTCCATATGAATACGTGTTTCTGTCTATCAATAATAAATACTTTTTTAAAAATATAATAAAAATAAATAACCTGTAAAAAAACAATATTATCTGAAGCACCAAGAACAGCAACTGTACACCATGAAATACTATTTTCTTCTATAGTATTAAGATCTATAATCCGTAAACCTTTTTTTTAATTAATATAAAATATTAATTACCTAAAAGAGGTTCAGTATCAGTACATCCAACTGTACTAGCAGAAACATAATTATACATAGGAATACTAGCATTAATTAAAGCTAATGAAACAGCATTGATACAGGTCTGTAATATTCCTTAAAATAACAATTAATAATACAAAAATAAAAACATGTTCTCAACCTCCATCTTGTGTTAAAACTTGAATATATATATTGATTTCACTTCGAGGATGAAGACCAGTTTGAATAGCTTTTTCAAATACTTTTTGTATACAAGAAACATGTTCTTGAATTTGCCTATATAAATATAAAATTAATATCAAAAAAAATCAAAAAAAAAAACTTACTTATCTAATTTTGTTCTTTTTTTCCTTTCAACTGTACTGAATGCTGCAACACTAATATCTACTGTAATATGTTCTCGATCAAGAAACGCTTTTCCTATTGTTATTGGTTGAATCGGTCCATGAACCATACAAATCACTCTAGTATTTCCTTGTTCAACATAGGAACTACCATCTGCAAAAGTATTAAAGCCAACTTTGGCTACAAACCGTCTTAATTCATTCCATCGTCGACCATCTAGAATAAATTAATATATTAAATACGATTACATATTTTTACCTATACGAAACCCTTCCGGGGATAAAATCTCTAATGTCATCTATTTAATTAGTTTTATATTTTTTTAATAAATAAATTAGTCGTAAAAATTATATTTTGATAAATAATTAAAATCATTATGATTCATGGTATTGGAATAGATATAATCCAAATAAGTAGAATGATTAAGATTCTTGATCGGAGAAAAAGATTTATGGAAAAAATATGTCAAAGAATATTAAGATATGATGAACAAGAGATAATACCTAATTTAAAAAATAAAAAAGAGTTTGCTCTTTGGATATGTACAAAGTTTATAAAAAGAGTAATAGGGTTTTTAAAGAGAAATAATTGTATAATAGATGGGCAGCAAAAGAAGCAGCTTTTAAAGCAGTAAATTTTCAGCAAAAATTAAAGTGGAAAGATATAAAAATATGTAAATATAAAAATAGTAAAGAATTTTTTTTTTTAATAAAATACTATTTAAAATGTCATTAGATCAACCATATATTCAGTTATGGAGCGAAGGAAAGCCGACGAAAGAAATGAAATTATCAATTAGTCATGATGGTGATTATGTTATTGCTTTTGTTGCATGGTAAAATAGCATATTGACTAATGTATATTTTCTATTTTATTTTTTAATTATTTAATGCCCATTAGCCAAGCACTACGTCTCTGATGGCATTATCAGATTGCAGTGACGTAAATATAATTTTCTAACAAGTTTTGAAGATAATTTTAATGTGCTGCAAAATATGGGTGAAAAAAAGAACTCTTTTAAGAGAATAAGAGTAATACAGGATCGATTGTCCTTAAAGGCCCGTTAAGGCTTAACTTCGGTAGTATAATACTCTTACATATTTAAACATACATCAAAAGCAAAGTAATCAATAATAAATGTATGTATACATCTCTATTCTTCCAATTTCTAGTATTAATTTACATAACCATGATACATATATCATAAAAACATATTTAATTATACTTAAAAGATTTTGTTATATTCATATAATACTCGAGTAATTATAAATTATTCCTTACCAACCGGTTTTGGAAAATTCATCAATTTCTATTTTACTAGGAAATTTCATCGGTAAAAATGTAACTCTATCATTCCAAATAGTTGCTAATAATGCACCTCCAACAAATTTTGGCGCGAATTGCATATCAATTGGACCGATATTTTTATTTTTATCTGTATCAGGTCCATATATAAGGCCAATTGGTGATACTACTGAGACATTATTTGTCATTAAAACCGCATCCAAGTATACTTGAAAAGATGCCAAATATGACCTTTTTTCAAAACAAAGAACAAGACGTTCAGATGAAGAATCAAGAACAAAATTAGATATTGGCTCAGGTTTATTAAATTCAGATTGCAAGGTAATAACTGTCGGAATTTTTCTACTAATAGGTGGCGTATCCGCTAATATTGCTGGAGAGACATATGCAATTTCAATTGTAGAAGATCCCAAGACATGATAAAATAATGTTTTATCATCATGTGCCCAAATTAATTTATCTACTTCAGAAGTAGAAATATAAAGCGGTGGAGAAAATCTTAGACCTGGTCCTGAATTTAAACATGAAAATATTTCTATAGAGTTTTCCGTGCCTAAGGCTACAAAACAATGCGACCCAGAACTAGTGAGCGCTATTTTAAAACATCTCGAAAAGCTTATTCTTTGAGCTTGAAAAAATATCAGATCATATACCCATGCACCTTTTGATGTAGTAATAAAAATTTGTCTGCCTGTCTGAGAAAATGAGAGATCTGTTATAGATCCACATGGAAATTCGGAAAAATAAGAAGGCTTTACTAGAGTAAGTTGTTTAGAATAAGCTTTAATTCTATTGGACGTGGATGTAATGCTTAAATCTAATGTCCATAAAACTAGTTGACCATTATCATACCCCACAATCAGCCTGTTTTGATTTGAAAACGCTAAACAAGTAATTGATGTAAACGGTGGACTAGAAAGATGATATTTAAAGTAAGAATTGTTTCTAAAATCGTAAATATAAATCATTCCTTTTAAATGTGAAAGTGCAATGATCGGTATTACTTTGTGCCATGCAATATGGGTTATAAGAACCGGTGTATTACTTTTAAGTTTTTTATCAGATCGAAGCCAAAGATCAAGTGGTGTTTGAGGAATTATTTGTAAAGTTTGAAAAATTATTTTAAATAATTGAAATATTTCACCGATATATAAATTATTAGTTTTTTTCTTAGAAATATTTTCCTTTTTATATGGCTGATTAATATCAAGTAATAAAGGTAAAGATAAAACAGGAAAAATCATAATCTATAATTATTAATAAAAAATAACTTATAACACAAAATTTACTTCAGAATTACTTAGTTCCTGCAATCCTTTCAAATCATTAGATGACATCAAAGTGACTAATTTCTGTTAATTTGATTTTTTACTATAAAAAAATATATACTTAGTTTTCCATTCAATTCTGCTACTGTTATTCCAGAACAAAGACACGCTTCTTTAAGTTTATTTTTCATTTTATTAGCTCTTTTTAAATATTATTTATTTTATAAATAAAATAATTTTTTATAATTACAAATAATGACAAATTTATATTTTATTTTAAAGAATATTTATAAAAAATTATTTTATTTATAAAATAAATATTAATTTAATTCTATTAATAATAGACATTATTAATTTAACATTTTATATTATATAAAAAATAATAAATAATTTATAAATCTTTGATGAATTAAATTATATTTAAGATATCAATAATTTCAACGCGTAAATATATTTTCCAAATAAATTGATTTCAAATAATTCATTTTAATTATTATATTAACATTAAATTTTTATAGACTAACATGTATTAAAATATAACAGTAAAATTAATAATTTGTAAATAACAATTTAAGTTAATTTAACACAAGTTTAGCAAAAATATAATATATTTATAATATTCTAGAATTAAATAATTTTTAAATGAAAGGATTAATAGTAGATATAAAATATATTGGCTATTTTTAATCAAATGAAATAATACTTTTTTCATATATATTTCATAAAATAAAATTATAAAAATATACTATTACATTTACAAAAACATAATATTATGAAATATTTAATATTAAATAACATTTTTTATTTCATAAACCAATATCAAATACAAAATTATCAATTTTTAAAACATTGAATAATTTACAAAAAAAATTAACTAAAATAAAATAAAATACACAACGAAGATTATGCATTGATTTTTTATAAATATATTTCAAATTTATCTAAAAACATATGATAAACCAATAATATTATATATTATAATATACATATAAGAATAAACTAATATTTAAAATCCCTAAATAACAGATTTCATTGCCATGGAACTTATTATTATCTTAATAACTTCTGATAAATTATCATATTTTTCATTTTCATTTAATTTATAATTCTTAAAAAATATTATTTTTAAAATTTTTAATTAATATTTTTAACCTTATAAATTTTTGTCATATCACGTATCTTTTCAATATTAGAATCATTGGGTTCTATTTCCGTTCCATTTATTATTTTTTTAAGCTCTTCTTCAGCCTTTATAATAATTAATAAAAATAAAATATAAATACGTTCTACTTGTTCTTTTTTACCACCAATTTTAATAACAATAAGATTTTCTGTTTTATCAGTTATACCAAATTTTTCAAAAGCATCAGTAATCTATCTACAATTAATTGTATTTTAATATTAGAATATTATACGTTTAATGTAGATGATAATGAATAGATTATTTCAGAATAAATGTTTTTAGTTCTTAGCTCATTCTCTTTACAATTTCTAATAGAATTATGTACTGCTGCCAAAATTTGATAAAATGAAATTATCTAATAATAATGTTAATGTATTTTTGTGTTTTAAGCTTACAGTTGAAGCATCAATAAAAGTGTATTGAAAACCAAGATTTCCAGACACAACCAAATTTTTTATATAGTGTAAATTTTTAATATTAATATAGAGTGCTATATGAACATGTTCTGATGGATAATTAGGAAGTTTAAAAGTATACATTAAGAATAAATTAAACGATAAAAATTTCAAATCTATAAAATAATTTATCATGGAATGAAACAAAATCAAAACAAATGTCTTAAAATAGAATTATTAAGTGTATAGCATTAATTTTTCACTTTTAATAATATATAAATTAAATATATATGTATTAACATCCTATAAATTAGTATTAATAATAGAAAGACAGTCTATAGCATCATGAAAATCATCATCATCAGAGACTTTTTGAGTAAAAAAAGATGACGGAGATGATACTTTCATCTGTGAAGTATGAAATACTTTATCAGATTCAAAAGATTCGTTACAATCATTTGAAGGTTTTCTTTTTTCAGATATTGTAATAATATTCTCAATTTGCTTTTTAATATCTTCAGGTGTTGTCCAATTTCTATAGAAACTCAGTAATTTCTCAACATAATATAAATATATACATTTTTGTCTTCAAAATATAATCATTTGTTTCTGTTTTTTCAAAAAATCTCGGAATCCATTTCTCACCTTTAGCTTCACGCAATCTCTGTTCTTCACGTTGAAGATCCTCAATAGCAGATTTAGCTTCTGTTGCAGTATCTTGATCATTACGAATAATTGCATCAATAACTTTGCTCCATAATTTTCGGGATTCACGATCTTCTTGCTCATATTCCGGTCTAACAATTGGTTGGGTATATGTAGAATTTGTAGCGTCAAATAATACTACTCTCTTTCCAGTCTTTTTCTGTAAGTATATAGAGACTAAATTACAAAGATAGAAAACCTTAACATTTTTAATGGTCATTTCCTCATCCCATTTTCCCGAAATTTCATATAAAACTTCTCCATTACTTTCATATTTGATTTTTCCTAATATTACATTGTAAGTTCCTGATAAAAATCCTTTTGTTTTAAATTCGATATCAGCAATAAGATCATTTTTATTACATTTAATATAACTATGGTCACCAAGTTCAAACCTTAATCGCCCAAATAATATCCCTCTATTAAAAAATTAAATAATAATAATAATAAACTAGAACCAAAAACCTTGCATACATATTTGGTTGTGTAAGAATATATTCCTCGTTCCTATTAATAAATGTCAAAATGGCTTTTCCTTCCATAATTGTTCCTGCACTTTATATAATGAGATATTAGCAATACATGTTAATATCATTTCTACCTATTTCCCAAAAATTTAGATCTAGGCTTCAAAACTCCATCTATTCTAACATTGTTTTCAGGGCTCATATAAAAATATGCAGAAATAGGTGGATGATGGCTGACTTGTTCCGCAATATATAAGGCCTCAGATTTGTCTGGGAATTCCCATTTGCAAGTAAAATGTTCACCAAGAATAGGATTTAATGGCTTTTTAACTGATCTTGGCCGAATATGCCATCCACTAAGATAAAATCTACAAATTCCAATAAAACGCTCAATAGGATCATCAATGAAAGGAATATCTAAAAGAAGCTCTGGATGACACATAAAACTAAAAAATAAGGTACAAATAAATATAAGATCTTAAATATACTTTGTAATCCGTTCAAGCATACTTTTTGGCTCAAGAACAAACGTAGGTAAAGTTATCTTTGAAAGGTCCATTCCAGGCCTGATATCTATTTAAATATTTTACTGAGATGTAAAAAATTTAATACAATACTTTAACTGACTAATAATGCCAAGTATAATATTCTTTAATTAAATTATTAATATATAGATATTACAAAAAAATACGTACTGTCCCTTCTCTCCCTAAATTCTCTGAGTCATGATCTTCTTTATCTATAAAGGCTTAGTATATTCTATAAAAAATACTTTTAAAACCTTTTTTTTTATGTTTAAACGTGGTGTGTTTTGACAACAAAATGTCATTCATCTCACTATCTTAAACTATATCAAGGAATAACAACCCTATACATATAAGACAAGTTTATTATTCTTCTAAATGAATTTATCAAATTTTTTTGCTTTTATCAAAAAAACTTGGGTGATTTGCAATACTTTATAGTGTCGAATTAACTTTTAAATAGATAATATAAAAAAAATTATATTATTAGAAATGATCATAAACCATATATATTGCTAATATTTCCAATAGCTTTTTTGTATAAGAAACAAATTGTAATATATTTTTATATTATTAAAAATCATTTAAATATCATCCAAATTATATATTATTATCAAACCAAGAACGAAAATAAATACAAGAATTAGTAGATAAGTTTTTTTCTTTAGAATAAGTGTTATCTAGTGAACAAAAATCACATGCAGATTCCGTAGATTCATAAATATCTTTATAAGTGGGTTTACGTAAAGCTTTAAATGCAGTGCCGTTTAAACAATATTCAATTTTCCTATCATAAACAAGAACATTTAATAAACTTACAACATCCGATAATTCAAGGTCTACTTCTGTTATTCCACTATTTTTAAGCCAAGAATGAATTTGCTGGGCAGTCAAATATCCAGAATATGATGGTGGAAATAAACCATCTGAGGATTTTGGATAGGAATGTGACAATATATATCTATATAAAGCACCTTGCAATCGTTCTATAAATTCTAAATCCATTTCTTGATCTGTAAACCATGGCCCACCAGTGAGCTCAATCGATGGAACTAAATCATAAATCATAAATATTTTCCGTGTTGGATTCTATAAAAATAATAATAAAAAACACTATTAATAATATCCAATTTCTTACTTTAACTGATTTAACCGCTTTAATTAACTGTTTTGATTCTAAACTTTTTAATGCCCTATTTAAAACCGTCGTATGCAAATTCGTTTTAATTTTTATAGTTCTACTCCATATTCCTAATAAATATAAATTCAACTAAAATTTTCACATAAACCATTTTTTAACCATCATTGTTCGCATCCTTTATATAATTAAATACCATTGCTTCATCTCCATCCATTGTAGAAATTCTATCATACTAGATTAAAACCATTAAAAACATGAATTCAAATATACTTTTTCGCCTCCTCTTTTTGCACCGCTTTATATACCAATTGATTTCCTTGCACAAATGCATCTATCAACCTCTATTCTCTTCAGAAACCCCTATAAATCTTCTCATATAATACCTTCCCAAGAAGTTCATTAATTATCTTCTCCAATTCCTCAATACTTTTATTTTTAAGCATATTCTGAATATCATCTTGTGTAACACATTTAGGTAGAAATTCAAGACATCCCTTATAAACTTGTTTAGCATATGATGAAAGTTCAAAATAATCTGCCATTTCTAATAGAGGAGATCTCCCCTCATTAGTCTTCATCTTAACCTCTATCTTAACATTTAATTAATTTTTTTAACTTTTTTTAAGATATTTTCTCGAAAAATCTTAACTTTTAAGAAAATATCTTAAAATATTTAGATTTTTTAAGAGAAATAGTTAAGAATGGTTGACACAATACGGGAGAAAGCTAATGCTCTTTTTTCTAAGAAAGAATATAATGAAGCTATTAAATTATATACAGAAGTAATTAACATGAAAATAATTAAGAAAAATAAAGTTAAAATATATTAGGCAATTGTAATAGAACCAAAGAATCATTTACTTTATTCGAATAGATCAGCATGCTATGCGTCTCTTAAGGACTTTGATAAAGCACTTGAAGATGCAGTTAAGTGCATAGAAATTAAACCGGAGTGGTAAATTTGATGTTGAATAAAAAAGAGGAATTCAAAGGAATCCAGGGCAAAAGGATGGTCTAGAAAAGGAGCAGCATTGCATGGAAAAGGAGAATATGGTTTTGTGTTAAAATTTAGCGAATTTTATTTATATGTATAGAGGAAGCTAAAACAGCGTATGAAGAAGGGTTAAAAATAGAACCAGAAAATCAGCAACTTAAAACAGGGTTAAGAGAAGTGGAATTTTCAGTTTCTAAAGGATGTTCGGAAGGATTTCAAAATAAGGATCCATTTGCACATATAGCATCAGTTATAAATTAATAATTTTTGATTAGAGTTAATTTTATTATAGAAATTAAAGGATCCTATGCTTTTTTCAAAAATGGCGTCGAATCCAAAGACTATAAGTCTTTTATCAGATTTAGAATTTATGACAAAACTAAGAAATTTGCAAGAGAATCCTAAAAATATTATTCAAGAACTAAGTGATCCACGTATGACATTACTTCTTCCTTTACTTCTGGGGATAGATTTAGATGTATTATTTTTTTAAAAGTTTTATTTTTAATAATTTATAAAGGCACCTAACAATGTTAATGGAAGCGCAAAAAGTACAGATTCATCACCTTTAGAAGATGTTATGGAAGTGAATGAGGAACCTGTTTCAAAATCAAAAGCATCTCAGGAACCCAAGCTAGAGACTATACCAGAAATGGAGTCAACGTCTGTGGATGAAGATGAAGAGACTAGAATTAAAAGAGAAAATAAAGAAAAGGCAGAAAAAGAAAAATGTCTTGGGAACGAATGCTATAAAGCACGCGAATTTAAGGAATCAATTCAGCATTATCTTGCTGCATGGGATCTTTTTAAAGATATCAGTTATTTAACTAATTGTTCTGCAGCATATTATGAAGATGGTAATTACGAAGAGTGTATTAAATGTTGCGAGGAAGCCATTGCATATGGGAGAGAGGTCCTTGCCGATTTTAAACTAATTTCTAGGTTTATTATAATTTTTTAATATATATTTTTTTAATATTTCTAGGGCCTTTGGAAGAATTGGCTCAGCATATATGAAACAAGAAAAATATGAATTAGCTATTAAGAATTTTAATTGTTCTCTTACAGAATACCGGACACCAGATATTCTTAAAAAGCTTAGAGAGGTTTTTTAAACATTTGAATTGAATATTTCTAAATATAATAGGCTGAAAAAATCAAAAATGAAAAAGATAGATTAGCATATATTGATCTTAATAAAGCTGATGAAGCGAGAGAAGAAGGAAATAGACTCTTTAAGCAAGGCGATTTTTCCAATGCAATAAAAATGTATACCGAAATGATAAAAAGGTCGCCAGATGATCCTAGGGGCTATGGAAACAGAGGTAATGATATATTTATTTTGTTTTTAAATATTAACATACTTAAGCTGCTGCATATATCAAAGTTATGAGTCTATATGAAGCTCTTAAGGTATTTTGATAATTATTTTATATTTGTAAATGGCTAAATAATAAGGACTGCGATAAAGCAATTTCACTTGATCCTTATTTCACAAAAGCTTATATTCGTAAAGCTTCCTGTTATTATACCATGAAGGAATTCAACAAATGCATTGATACATGTCATGCAGCAACCAAAGCAGATGAAGAAGGTAACAATAAAGGTTTACATGCGAAAGAAATTGAGCTTCAATTGCAAAAATGTATGTCTGCTATGCATGCTCAACGTGAAAATGAAACAGAGGAAGAAACAATACAACGCATTCAAGGTGATCCTGAAGTAAGTTTAGGAATATATAGTATATATTTAATCTTATTTATTTCTAGGTTGTTGCTATTTTACAAGACCCTATAATGCAAAGTATTTTAACTCAAGCTCGCGAAAATCCGTCAGCTTTAGAAGAACATATGAAAAATCCTCAAGTTGCAAAAAAAATACAGAAGCTTATACAATCAGGTGTTATTAAAGTTACAAGAAGATAATTCTTCATAATAATTATTTTTTGTCTATTTTATATTAAAGATTTAACTCTACAATTTAAATATAACATTATATAGTTAAATATACCATTTTTCTATGATAACAATTTTTTGACAATTTGTGAGTACAATTTTATGTATTAACAGATTGAATAAAATTTTGAAAATTAGATTTCTTTTTTATTCCATAATTCTAACCAATGCTGGATTTTCCTATTAATACTAATCTTTAAAAAACTATAACTTAAAGAATAAAATTTAAAATATACAATTATTATCAAAATTTTTAAAATATTGTAACAAATATGCTATACTAATTACATTATTATCCAAAATTATCATATAATACAACTCCAATATTTATTTGAGCTTATAAATAATAAAATAAAGTTAATATTTCGTATTTTTCAATAATAATAATCTAAAATAAATTAATATTAAACATAATATCCACTTTCCAAAAAATATTTTATTTTTTTATAAACTATATAGTATATAACATTTTATAGCCACTTCATAGTTAAAACCCATTTTAATTTTTTTTAGTAATTATAAAATTTAAAGTCTGTTATAAAAATATTAATATTCTCATTTTAATTACAAGTTTTCACAATATCATTTGATGATATTTGTCCAAAAAGACTCGAAAATAAATTGCTTTTTATTTTAGCATAAAATATAAAAAATAATTAATATACTCTATTTTTTCTTCAATCCATATATTAACAGGATTTGGTGTCATAAAATTCTGTATTTTTTCATGAACATGATAGCGCAACCTACGGCCTTTTGATGCTTTGGTATCTATATTATTTTTTTGCTTTTTTTGCTTTAAAAATGCCCAACGCAGCCCTTGATTATTTCCTAAATTTGGTTTAAATTATTATTTAATTGAATTTATAAACACAACCTGAGTCTACCATTCTCTTACTAATTAAATTGAACAACAATGCTTGATAAAAATCAGTATCATCAAAGCGTTCTTTGTTTTTAGGTTGCTTTTTCTCAGTTCTATCAATATATGTTGCTTCTAATAATTTTTCTTTATTTGTCATGTTTCTTTGAATTAAATCCAAAACATTTTGATTTAATGAATTAAATTTGTTTAAAGATAAAACAGAAGTAACCTTTACTTTATCAGACCACTTAAGTAAAGTTTCGTTTTGCCATGTTAAAATCCTATATATTGTAAAATTAAAGAATTTATATTTATATTATTTACTGTTTATCTAAATTTAAAACATCATCACATAAGGTTTCAAGAGAACTTTTGCTAATATCCTTGTTTCTTTCTACAGCACATTCAACATCAATTTTGTCCATTTCCATCAACATCTATTTGAGTTAAATATAAATATCCTTTTTTTTATTAAGTATTACTTTTCGTATTTCTGACAAACATTCAATTAAAGAATTAGTTTCATTTTCTGCATTTTTAACAAATTCTTTATTTTCCTCCAATTCATTAATCTTATATTCCTATTTCTAAATAAATTTAAATTTAAAAATAACTATTATAATACTATTGAAAGAGAATTCACTGCAACAAGAGCCTTCTGTAACCTTATTCTCGCATCAAGAAGACAATCATACATTTTCTTTTAATTAGTCTATATTATATTATTATATATATTATTCTTACTAATTGTCTTTGAATATGTTCTCCCTTTTCAATCTCTATTGAGTTCATTTTTGCTATTTCTTGAACAAAATTTCTATTAAAATATATCTCTTTCTAAAAATAAACTATTTATCCCCTTACTTTTCTTCATTTTCAATAAATGATTTTAATTCTTTTCTTCTCTTTTTTTCTGATTCCTCATCAATAATATCATCAGAAAATTCACTCAAATTAGCTTCTTGATGAGATAAATCTTCATCTAAACCTATTGAACTTGATATTTCTTCATCTTTATCTGATATTTCATTATATTTTATCTTATCGTCCAACCTATCATAATCATCTTCATATATATCCTTTAAATTCGCTTTTTTTCCAATATATTTCTCATCTTCTAATATCAAATCATCATCCCTTATTCTTTTCTTTCTATTAAACATATATAATCAATCTCCTATTCCCTTCTTTCTTTAAATATTATACCCAACTGTCAAATAATGTTCACGTCCTGTATATGATTCATCTGAACTTGTAATACTATCCGACCAGCAATTCTCATCAATAATATCTTCTGGATCTAGTGTATCTAGACATTTAAACATAAGAACTCCCATATATATATAGATAGATAGATTTAGATTTAAATACCAATAATCTTTGGATTCTTAAGATCATAAAACTGAGAATTAAGCTTATTTTTACCCCGGTTTTCTAGAAAACATAAGAATACTTAATAAATTATAGACTTAAGGTTAATATTAACTAGTTTTTCTATATATTTTATGCACCATTCTTAATATTTTTTTAATGTCGTCTACGAACTTTAAGATAAAGTTAAGAAATATTTTAATGAAGGTTAAATATAATAAGAATGATCAATTAAACTAACTAACATTTCTATAGTACTTATGATCTATATACTGAAGAGAATAGGAGTTAAGAGAAATTTTTATATGAATAGATTAGTATACAGAAGTATTTCTGTAGAAAAAAATCTTAATTGAATAATTTATAGTTATTTTGATAGGAAATCTCAAAAAAAGAAGTATTTGAGAGGGTTTATGGACTTCCAAAGAGATCTAAAATAAGGGGAGTTGATAAGGTGATTGCAGTAGCATCAGCAAAGGGAGGAGTAGGAAAATCAACGATATCAGGTATTTTATATAAGATTAGTGAAATATTTTTGAGGATTAAGAGATTAGCAAATTTGGCTATTGCGATGGGAATTTTAGGGAAGAAAATAGGTCTTTTGGATGCAGATTTATTTGGACCATCTATACCAAAAATGTATAATTTAACAGAAAAACCAGAATTATCAAAGGGTAATTTAGATAAGGATTAAATAATTGTTTAAAATAATAGGGAATAAATTTATTCCTTTGGTAAATTATGGTGTTAAAACTATGTCAATGGGTTTTTTTATTGACAAAGATTCACCAGTTGTTTGGAGAGGATTAATGGTAATGAAAGCTTTACAACAGTTGATATATGATGTAGATTGGGGGGAATTGGATTTACTTGTTATTGATATGCCACCAGGAACAGGGGATACACAGCTTACAATAACTCAACATGTTATTTTAGATGGTATTTTTAATTTATTTTAATATAACAATATCTAAAATTTAGGCGTAATTATTGTATCTACACCTCAAGATGTTGCTTTGATCGATGCAATTAGATGTATTAATATGTTTCGAAAAATGAATGTTAACGTATGTATAAAAACATTTATACAATATATATATATTGAAACATTTTTTATAACAGATCCTTGGTATTGTTAAAAATATGAGCGTATTTATTTGTCCAAATTGTAATTACAGCTCACATATTTTTGGAATTGATAAACTTGATAATATTGCAAAGAATATGGATATCGAAGTTCTTGCTGATATTCCATTACATAAAAAAATTATGCAAGATTGTGAAAATGGTTATCCAACTGTTGCTGCTGAGCCAAATGTTCCTCAATCTCTACCTTTTAGAAAATTGGCTGATATTATTTGGAAAAAAATATAACATTATTTATTTATTGATTTATTCATTCATTCATTTCTTTTATTTATGTCATAATCATATTTAATTACTTCTTATAAATATACATGTATATAATTCTTATAAATTATATTCTATCTACTTACTACTACTTTTTAGAAGGTCTTAATATTTTTAATTTTAACGATCTACTATAAAATATTTTTATCTAAAATTTTGCTTTAAAGCTATTATTAAGTTTTATATGATTCAAGAAAGCCCTTCAAAAGGGTTAATTAGGAAAATTACAAATAGAACATGTATAAAATTTGTTGAGTCGAAGCATAGGATATCATATACATATATTATTTGGAGATATTATTCATGTTTTAATGATATAAAACAAGAAAATACATTTAAGAATGATTATATACATGAAGACAAGAAATTAATTGAAAAGAAAGACATATTTAGAAAACCAGAAATTAAAATACGACAAAAAATGATTGAAAAATATGGTATAATACAGAACCAAGAGTCAGTTAATCAAAATACATCAAAAAACAAGAAATATAAAGAGAAAAGTTATATGGATGATATGATAAATATAGAAAAGAATATATTTAATATATCTTTTAAAGATATTTCACCGGGAGATCTTGTTGAAATAAGAAAATCAGAATATGGAATTCTTGGGATAGTAATTCAAAAAGCAGCGCCAACGGATGATGGATTTAACGTTCTTTTAAGTAACAGGAAAGTTATTCATTGTAAACCTGGGGATATATTATTTTTAATACCATCATTTTTCAAAAATTTTTCTAATATAGAATTATCAAATTTGAAAATAATAAATGGATATATATCTTTTAACAATCCGGATTTTCAGAACATAATAAGGTCTCTTAGATATTTTAAATTAAAATCGCAATATTTTTATAAAAAATTTTTGACTAAATTTGATAATCTTTATCAGCGATTACATCATCCAAATCCTGATCAACATACATATATCAATATTTTAGATCTTTGTCGTTCAGAATACAAGATATCGAAACCAAACTTTATACATTTATATGCAATACATACATTATTAGCAAATGATCCTTGTCATTATGTATTAGATTCTCGTAATCAATTATATTTAAATAGATATGAGGTTCGTCCTAAAATAGAAGTAGAGATGATAAAAAATGTATCACATTGGATTCGAGTTAAATCACCAGAATTTCTACGCTTTATAGAAAAAGCATCTAATATTATTGAAATATACCGTGAGAAAAAGATGCATAATATGCAAGATACAATTCTACCTAGAAAATATGCTTTTTCAGAAACGGATGTATTGTTTATAAAATTCATAAGACAATATTTTTTAGAAAGAAGACAATTTCAAAATTCTATATATCTTTCTTTGATTCCACAAATCCTTAAAGCTACAAAAATGTATAATAGCGTCATGGATAGAGAAAATGCTTTATTGTTTATGGAAGAAATAGGTGCATGGGCACCTTGGGAAAATTATGCTAGATTTGACAGAAATCTTTCTCTTCCTGGTCTTGGCACTTCTATAGTTATGGATATATTATTCAAGAAAATAACAGACAAGTCGAATTTATCATCAGATCAACTTAAAAATTTTTCATTGAAAGATAGTTTTGAGAATTTAAGACATGATTTCGGCCAGCTTCCTGTATATGTGATAGATGATTCTGATGCTACTGAATTAGATGATGGTATTTCAATAGAAAAAAAAAGCAACGATGAAACATGGTTACACATTCATATAGCGGACCCTGGTGCATTTGTTTCACCTAATTCTGATATTTCGAACTTTGCTTCAAATTTAGTAGCAACAGTTTTTACTCCCGAAAAAAGATATCATATGCTACCACATCCTTTAACTTCATCACTTTTTTCTTTAGATTCACCATTAAAAAAGCATTCAGTTCTTACATTTAGTGCAAAGCTTGACAAGAATGGAAAAATTTTGGACTTTAAAATATCTCCTGCATACATTTCTAATATTAAAAAATTATCATATGATGACATAGATAATGATGTTTTTGATGTTTCATTAAAAAATATATCTTACTGTTTTTCGACAGAATTCCCTAATACTTTGGATATTCAATCAATTAAACAGAAAAAGGATCAAATGAGCTCTTTAGATAAGATATCTATACATGACATTTATAATATTTCTCTTCTTCGTCTACAATATAGAATTTCACGTGGTTTTTGGCAATATTCTACAACATCAGCTAATATTAAAGTACAATATTCAAAACCTTATCATATATCTATAAATGATAGTCCTCAATTTTTTCAAAATTATCCAAGTATTAGAAATATTGCATTTGATTTGTTAGATTCTCCATCACGAGTAATGGTATCTGAAATAATGATCTTAGCAGGAGAAATAGCAGCAAAATTTTGTGTTGAAAGAAAATTACCAGTTCCTTTTCGATCTCAAGATATAATCTCAAACCATGAATGTCGTTATAAATATAATCAAATACTTGAAAGAAGAAATTTTGCAACAGGAAGACTAAGCCTTAAGGATGGAATGGAATTAATTAATTACACCGGACCAACAATAATTTCTACATCACCTAGTCCTCATTTATCATTAGCTATAGATCATTATATTCAAGCAACATCTCCCTTACGACGTTATTGTGATTTAGTTACTCATTGGCAAATTCAAGCATCTCTTAAGGGAAAAGGAAATAACGAAATGCCATTTTCTAAAGAATATCTGGATTCTTCCTTGCTACTATGGTTTTTTAAAGAAAAAACTTCAAAAAATTTTGGAAAATTAACTACAAAATTATGGGTTTGCATATTATTATTAAGAATAGGTTTAGATAAGCTTTCGCCCTTTCATGCATGGGTATGTTCTACGCAAGATAGAAAGCTACTGGTAACTGGAATAATTAAAGAACTTGGTGTTAATTGCAAAATTAATAGTAAAAAACATTATAATAATAATCCAGGAGACTTGATACAAATAAAAATTACACAAATAGATTTAGTGGATAAAGTAATTTATGCATATCAAATATAAAGGGATCAAATTTACTAAAACATTTAAATTTCAGAGTTATATTCAAACAATTTATGAAAAATATAAAAACTGCTACTATTTATAATTGTACATATATAATATTAATGCTCCAAGAGTCTTAAGTTTCTATAATTCTATGAGAAAAATGATAATAAATAAGTAAAATAGCAACCCTGTAACTACAGTATTCTCGAGTATAGATCCATTTGGAATATCAATACTTTGGCCATCACCTGCTACAATGATAACTGTGCCTATTTTATAATTAGGTAAATTCTATAGATTTTTTAACTACCTTTTAAAACAACATTTTTTCCTAAAGTGATAGCACCAGTCATGGTAAGATGATCTAATTCAATGATTTTTGGAATATATGGAATCCGCTTTTGAAAATCACTAACTTTTTTAAAATGACTTCCTAATTTTATGAGCGGAACTCCTCCAAAACGAGTTTCATCCATAGTAAGTTGACCATGTTGCAAAGAGTAAAGATCCGACTTAACTAGAAAAAGATCTGAACATGTTTTAACAGGCAAAAAACGACTGCGTGGAACATTAATTCCAAGAGAGTTCCCGAAATAATGAATTGCAGATCCAATCGCTGTTTCAAGTTGTATAACTCTTATGTCACTATCTCCTTTAACATCAGATGAAATAATTTTATAGTTTGGAATAATTTCTAATGCTAATTCATTATTTTCAAGAACTCGCTTAATTGAAGATAAATCAAGCCAGATATTATTGGTGTTAAAATACTTGAATTTTTCTATAGATTTAAATTCCTCTACATGTTGTGGAGGTACTTGGGCTATTTCAAGAAGACGAATAGTACCCTCATAATCAATAATCGTTCCACCTTTAACATCTGCTTTCGTTTTGTCTGTTAATTCCATTATATACTCGGATTTATTATCAATCATATATTGTAAAATATTTAAATCAACAACTGCTCCAAGATTATCAATATTTGATACAAATAATATCTCTTTTCCCCGTGAAAGCAATTTCTCAAGTAAACCACTGTTTGAAAGTGCTTTAAACAAATCTCCATGACCAGGTGGATACCTTAAACATTAAATATACATAATTATATAATATAATATATTAACCATTCATAAATATACGAATCATATGTTCGAGGAATAGGCAATAAAGATTCCTTACTTATACGAGGATATCTAGACTGATTAAACGTAATAATATCAACATTCAATCCTGTATATTTTTTAATAATTCTACTAGTGTCTTCATCCGTATTAAATGAATTCATAAGAACCAATGGAACATTAACATTATATTTTTCATTCAAATACTAATTATACATTAAAAATATATCTATAATCCTATTAATTTACCTCTACTTGTCTAACACTAAGATCAAGAAATGTATGTCCCTCTCGAACCTCAATAATACTTTTTGGTCCAACACATCCCATAGTTGTACCAAGTCCTCCATTAAGCTTAAGAACAACTAGCTTATCAAGAAGCATTCTTGCTGAATTTATATCCGCTTCTTTAATACTTTTATACTCTAATACTTGCTCATTATTAGGTATTTTTATTCTGTCCCATTGTCTACACAATAAATAGATTTTTACTAAAGAAAATACATACAAAGTCTTCTTCTTCATTTTATTCTGTAAATATCTATTAAAAAGTGAAAAGAAGTTATCCATTTCCATTTTAAAAAACTATTAATTATTGTTATTTATTTTTACTTCATAATTAACTAAAAATTAATGAACCTTTTGACGTTCTTCATCTTTAACTGTTGCTAACAACTTGTCAAGCTCATTTCTCATAGAACTTGATGAAATATTAATAGATGTTTCTTCAAATTCCTAATAAATTAACTCTAAATTTTTAATTTAATTAATTTTATATTAACCATTGATAAGATTCTTTTATGTGCCAATTCTTTATATTTTCCAAGTACACTTGTATTATAAAATTGAACGTCTTCCATACTTTCTTAATAATATTTTTTAATACGCTTAAGATAGGTTTTAAAATATTTAGTAGGTATATTTAAAGAGAGTTAAAAGATAGAATATATAATAGTTAAAGTATATTATATAGATGAGAAGTTTTTTTTTGAAAGAAATTAGTGTTAATAAGAATTTTTAAATGATAAACATGTATAAGAAATTTAGAGGTTAAAGCCTAGATATGAAATTTATTAGAATAAAAGTATAAATTTTGTAAAAGAAGAATTAAGTGAGATTAAGAAAATTGAGTATGAATAAGTGAATTTAATGTCGCATTAAAGTATAAGTGTGAATAAGAAGTATAGAGTAAGAATCAAAAATGTCGAAATATGCCAGGAATGTTTAGTAAATTAAGTATAAATAGTGATAATAAGAAGAGGAAGGATATGATATTATGTGGTATATAACGAATTTTTGAAAAGATAGATCTAAATGCATAAAATTTGATTTAAGGATATCATGGAAGCTATTTATAACCTTGGTGTGCTTGAACAACTAGATATAGGAGTATTGAGTGAACTACGATTATGCTGCATATGACTTTTTACGAGATGCCCTATAAAAATGAATAAATAAAGCAAAATAGGAAAAAACTTACCAGCAGTAAGAGCAGAGCAAAGACTAAGCTCACCGGCAAGAACAGCAGCAGCAACAATTCTAGCAAGCCTTTTTGCATTATTGCCAGGAGTTGTTGGATGAGGACCACGAACGCCAAGTAAATCTAATAATGCACTCTGTGGTTCTAATATAGTTCCACCCCCAATAGTTCCAACTTCGATAGAAGGCATTGAAACAGTTATGTGAAGATTTCCATTTATACTATTAATGTTAGGGATTTTTTATATTTAAAAGAAAACAAACTTTTTCATTAAAGTTATACAATTTGCAGATTCTACTACTTGAGCAGGATCCTGTCCCAAAGCAATAAAAAGAGCAGCAACGATATTAGCAGAATGTGCATTAAATCCTCCAATACTTCCAGCCATGGAACTTCCAATTAAATTTTTGGAAATGTTTAATTCTACAAGATCATCAACGTTACATTTAAGAACTGATTTAACAATGTCTTTCATAATTGTTGCTTCTGCAATAACACTTTTTCCTCGACCTTCAATCCAATTTACAGCAGCAGGCTTTTTATCAGTACAATAGTTTCCTGAAATAGAAATTATTCTCATATCATCAAATCCCAAATCTTCGACCATAGCTTTTAAAACATTTTCGACACCCTTTGATACCATATTCATCCCCATAGCATCTCCTGTAGTTGTAGAAAATCTTATATATAAATTAGTACCAGCAATAGTTGATTTAACACTAGAAAGACGAGCAAATCTGCTTGTTGAATTAAATGCTTTTTTAATAGCATTTTGACCATGTTCAGTATCTAACCATACTTTTACCATTCCCGTTCGTGAAACAGTAGGAAATGAAACACAAGGCCCTCTAGTCATTAAGTCTTGAACTAATATAGTCGTAACACCACCACTAGCATTAATGGCCTTACATCCTCTAGCAGTACTTGCTACGAGAACACCTTCAGTTGTCGCCATTGGAAGGTATACCTCAATATCATCGACTAATAATGGTCCAGCAACACCAACAGGAATTGGAACATATCCGATAACATTTTCACAGCATGCACCCATAATACGAGCATAATCATAATCCTTAAAAGGAAGTGCCGATGTTTCTAAAACTTTTGTATGAGATTTCCGAGAAATAAATGATCTTCGAATTCTAACTGCTCTTTCTGGATCATTCAAAACTTTTTCTAATGCATAACCTGGAATTTTAGAATGCAAGGTCAATTGTAGAATTTCTTCATCTTTCATTAAATGAGTAAGACCTTTTTTTAATAATTCTTCACATTTATCCATAGGTCTTATTTCATCATCATTGCTAATATTACCAGATGAATCTTCCTCTAAATAGTTAGAAGTATCTTTTGTAATTTTTTTAATTTTATCAATCATATGTGAGGATGAATCCTGAGTTTTTAATGATATTTGAACCGGAGTAACCCAACGAGCCACATTAAATAAATATGCATTAAATATAATACTTAAAATTAATATAATCATAATCCATTTGTTCATTATAGGGTCTGAAATGCTTTTCACCGATAGTTCAAGAGATTCAAGGACAGCATCAAAAGAAAATGGCTTATTTATAGCCTTAAGAGTAAAAACAGGTAAAACGTTCAACGATACTTTCTGAATTGATGGATGAATATCATGAATTAATTTGTTAAGAAGATCATGAATTTCATAAGTCTCAAGGGGATTAATTCTAATTATTCTGAATTCCTTGCTTGACGAAGACTTCAAATGATTCACCGTTTGAAATGGGAAAGTACACAAATTAAGAAAGTTAATAAGAAAAAAGCAGCTAGTCATTATCAATTTGAATCTGCTTATACTCGACTCTTTGACATTGTGATAACCAAAAACATTATATATTCCAATATTTGTAGATTTCTTTTCATTTACATTATTACTCGGTTTGTAAGAATTATTATTTGTCATATCATATATGGTTTCCTGTAATAAAATATTTTTTTCTAAAATGCTTTGAACACCTGCTAATTGTTTAATACGGTTTATCTAAAATATTTTAATACATTATAATTTTTTAAATCTTAAAATAAACCTCAAGTTTTATACTCAAAACTGCTATATAAAATGTAAATAAAAGTAAACAATCAAACCCCAATATCCATGCAGCAACTTTACAAAATTGATTTAATCCATCAACACCACTCATTGCCCCTAATATTAATATTCCTATTTCAAATAAATAATCCCGAACAATTATCCAACCTTTATCTCTGACAGCATTTACTACATTTTCTCTTATAGGATTCGTATTTATATCTGGAGATGAATTCAATACTGCTCTAGTTAGTAGACTTGGCTTCTCAAACCCAACTGTAACTGCTAAAAAAGGTATTTTTTTCGATAAAACCAATGGGTTTATATTGTCTCCAAAATAATTAACTGTATTAAGTGCAAACAAAAAAGCAAATGTGCCCGATGTTAAAACAACTGTTGCAAGCCAAAAATTCGATCCCAAAGTTCTCATATTAAGAAAAAGTAAAATAAATACAAGATTCATCGATATATATCCAATAAGTAATACTGCAATATCGATTATGTCAGTATCCTGGTTTTTAATTAAAATAAACAACTTATCAATAATATAATTAACCCTAATATGTCTCCATATCTTTTCAAATATACTATATGCATTATTACGCAACCAATAAATTATTATTCCAGGATTATTTATATTTTGTTGTAAATAATGCTTTCTTTTCGAGTATACCAAGTTTTCCGTCCTTAAGTTCTGAATACGTTGTTCTAATTCAAAAACTAACAACGGCGAAAGATCTTTTAATATAATCCTGGAAGACGTTTCATTTCCGTAATATAAACACATATCTGTATTAGGCTTTTTTATGCACATATCAACAAATAAATCCACTAATTCTTTTCGCTTATCTAAATACGGATGATCAAACTGAAGAATATTCAAATTTAATGAATCTGTTTCTACATTATATAACTATCATTAAAATCAGCATATTTCCTTTATCTAATCATTCAGAAATCCTAAAACTGACATTTTCTTTATGTTCCCACTCCCATTTCTCATCAATACCCTTATTACCCACTAAAACCCCTTCTATGCTCCGCAAATCAAGGCTAAGATTATTCGTAAATGATGTACCAAAATCAATCCCTCCATCTCTAGCTATCTCAAACAAATGAATATACGCCGTCGTTGCAAGTAATGAAACAATAACAACTGTATGAATAGGATATCTTGACGATTGTGACGCTAATCTTGTCAAGACCATTTATATTTTACTTTATGATGACCCAAAGATTAGGCTAAATCTTACTTTATTAAAACACTATTATATTAATCTTAGAACTACCTTAAAATCCACTTACATATGTAATAAAAAGACACAAGATCTTCTTAAAAATAAGCTATAATTTCTAATATTTCAGTATATTTTTATATTTTTTTAAAAAACAGACGTCGATTCTTAAAATTTATATATATTTAAGTTAAGAGAGGGTTATAAGAGAGATAAGTTAAGATTATAAATAGTATAATGTTTATAATAAATATATAAGAAAAGAATTAAATAGAATAAGAAGAATAAAATTAGAATAAAAAATAAATCTATACAAATATGCATAAAGGAAGTAGAAAAGCAAATAATAACATTATTACAGAAACAAAAAGGCATAGAATTGTAATGAGTTATAGTGAAGATGGGTATATATGAAAGTTAAGATCGTAGCATATGAATAGGACAACAACCTCTACCAGTAGTTACAGAAATCCATTGTTTTATACATATCTAAAAAATAATAAATTAAATAAATGAAAAAGCATTTTTAATAAAATAATACCACATGATAATTGCAAAGACATTCAAGGCGTGCTATTTTTTCTCCAGGTAGCATTTCTTCAAAGCAAATAATACATTCGGTACCTACAAGTGAACTAGATGAAGGAAGAACATAAGATAAAAATCTCCGCTTATTAAGAGTGGATTCTGAGGTATAATGATTATTTTTTAAACATTTATCAATATGTATTTCACGTTCAGATAAGGTTGGTATCATTGAAAAAGACTCTAAACACACTGGACATTCTATCATTTCATCATTACTAATTCGTGTCTTCTGAATTAAAGATGAATGACCATCTGCTTTCTTTTGAGATTGTTCCTCAAATAACTGCATAAAGCATTTATCACAAACACGAAGAACTTTAGAATCACACTGTTTATTACTGTTTTTCTTTAATTCAAACGACCTTGAAAAGTCCTAAATCGATTAGTTCTCCATATAAATTCCCATATAATAATAGAAAAACCCAATTATTAGATGAGCAACTTGAACAAACTACGCATCCACATTTCCTACAATGATGTCTCCGATGAAAAAATGAAAATGCTCTATATATAAAAAATAAGTATTTATCTTCTTTATTAACCCTTAATTCATATCACCTTTTACAAAATGGACATAGTAAAACATCTGAATCCGGCTGCCATATCTTAGATGAATTTGAAAATGAACTTGATCTCTGTTGAATAATATTAGACGACTGACAAGATAGTGGATTCATGAAATAAAGCTTTATAACAATTTATATCTAGTCTTCTAAGCTGTTCAATACAAAATTAAGGAAAAGGCCTTGAATATTTATTTATTTATAACTTATTTAATGGAGATTTTTATTTTATGTCCTTTAAGGTCGTGGAGTTGATAAGACGCTTGATCTCTATGCCAAAAATAAATAATTAATATATATAATATAATCAATAAAATAAGTAATTTATAGAGAAATATAGAATAGAAATAAAGAGATAATAATGTTTTTAATATATATAAATCTTTTTTATATAAGAATAAATTATTATGAATAAAAATATATTTGAAGATAGTTATATAAGAAAAAAAAAGAATTTTAAGAAGAACAAAGATTAGAAAAGAGATAGAAAGAAGGTATATGTTTTGTAGAATTAGTATATAGAATTAATAAATATTTTAAAAATAAATTTGAAAAAAAAAACAAATTTATATAAATAGGTATTTTTATGGAAAGAAAGCCTTGTGATTATGTATAAAAAGAGCGCAATGATGATTACAATCTATAGCAGGACAAGTACCATAATGATTATAGTTATTAATAAACCAATTTTTAAGACATTGAGTATGTCCACCATGACCGCAACTCTGACACCATAAATATTGACCTTTTACAGGTATATCACAAATTGTACAACCATTGGGTATGTTTCGACAATGTTTACAATATGAAAAAGTGTTATTAGGTTTTTGATTTATAATTGGTTTTTGACAGGAATAACAATTTATATAAACAGAGGTTTCAGATTGATTTAATGCTCTTATAAGTAAGGATGATGAAGCGTTTATAACTTCTGTCATAGTTATAAACAATCTATATTTTTGTAAAAGCTCAATATATTCGCCAATCCATTTTTCCATTTTTAAAGAATCAAAATTAGTATATTTACTCATTAACAAAACAATAGTAGCACACATTTGAATATCACCTATTTCACTATAATATTCGGCTAGAGTTTGAATAAGAAAGTTTAGAGACCAGGGATATGTATTCTCAGTAGTATCGAGATTAGGAAAACGAGGTTTGACAAGTAGATTATTATTCTTTGTATCAGAATATTTTAAATGCTTTTCTCGGTCAAAATCAGTTGTGAAAGAAGTCATGATAAAATCAGGGTTAAAACTTTGAGAAATTGTTTCGAAATTATTATGAAAATCATATAAACCATGTATCTCATCATTTAAACTTATATTTGCACGATTTTTGTCAAATATATTCTCATCATTTAAAACATTTTGTTTCAAAAGTATTGATTCTGTATTGCTTCTAAAATGTTTACCAACGCGATCACTTTGTAAAAACATATTAACATTTTTACGAGATACAGAGCTTGCTTTATTGAATAAAGTTTTAGATTCGCTCATATTGTTTTTCAAAGACATTTTAAAAAGTAAATCATCATTATTTTTGTAATCATGTTTGATAGGTTTATCAGTATTAGTGGTTTTATTAATATGTGTAGAATTTTCGATTGAATACTTTTTATTTTCTACAAGATACTGAAGTATTTTCCATGTTTGACCAGTGCGATATTTTCGTATATTTAATGCAAAATTAGCATTGTTTTCACATGCTTGAGATACCGAGAGATTAGATGATGCAGTAATATTATAATGTTGAGCAAGATATGTAAAACCATAATATTGAAGATCTGGAATAACAATTGTTCCAGAAATATGCAATGGTTTATATAACTGACTTACAATATTATTAAGCGTTTTACTAGTACGATAATGTAATCGAAAATGCTTTTTATTTTCCCTTGATATACTTTCATCTTCTACTGAGCTCAAATATTCTGTATTAAAATAATTCATTTCTGTATATCTATTTTGTAATACAATGCTTAAATCTCCCAAAGGACTCCAGTCCATGCTTATAATAGGAATAGAATTCAACGGAATATCAGCAGTAGAAACCGAATGCTGAATGAATGTTTTATCTTTAGAACATGACCATAAATAATTTTCATCCTTCCAAACAATTCCTAAAATAATAAAAAAGATGTTAAAATACAAATATACATACCAGTCGTTACATTATCATGTTTATCAAAAACACGACATGGTATATAAGGACGTCGTATATCCCAAATGTATATTTTATAATCCGATACTAATGAACAACTAGCAATTTCAGTTTCTAAAACATTTTCACTTCTTCTATTAGAAATAGGTCTCCATGCAATTTTGCTAACTGGCGCCATAGTTTGTATAACTGAAATCGGTTTATGAGAATCTGAAAACATGTCCCATACTTTAATCATTCTATCCCTTCCTCCTGTTGCAATATGTCGTCCATCCGAATGCCAATCAAGTGTAAGTGTAAGACCATTATGAGCATTAATTTTACGTTCATATATATTAGGCTTTCGAATATCCCAAAGCTGAATACTCCCATTTTCAAATCCCGCTATAAATTCATTCCCTGAATTCGGATTAAACTGAATATCTCTAACTGATTCTGCTTTTCCTTGCATCGTATATTTCGATGTCCCATTTCTATCCCTTAAATCCTAATAAAAGTTACAATTGTAACTCATTTAACACAATTTAAGACCCAAAGCTTAATATTTCCATCTTGTGACCCACTTAAAAGCAAATATCCTGTCAAATGATTAAATGCAAGTCGATTTACCGAACGAAAATGTTCTGTAATAATTCTATCAATTTGATCTCCATATGGTCTCGTTAAATCCCATAAAACAATAGACCCATTTGTAGACGCTGTTGCTAAGATATTACGCGTGCCTATTCCCTCCATTTTAACTGGTTTTTTCTTATTTTTTTTTCATTTCACCTCCACACCCCCATTTAACATCGCATGATGAAAAGGTTGGACTCCAACGATTTCCTCCATATAGATAAACCTCTCCATTTATTCTCCCACCATAAACATCTAATATCTTAAGAACTAATCCCTTATTAGCCTTATTATAGCCTTTTAATAGCCTTTTAATAGCTTTTTTCCCCCTCTAACCTTCTCTACCGACTACTGCCACACGATCTTTTCCTTGATTCGCTGCTAATGAAAGTAAACTCCCTTCTGCCTTCCATATAAACGTGTTTATATCATTCTTCTTATCCATTAATATTATTTTTAAGTTTTATTAACCCCATTTAAAAATTATCTAAAAAACTTAAGAATTTATTAAGATTTTTCTTATTTCTAGTCAAAATTACCTTAAAAACATAAGAAATATAATCAATTCTTAAGAGAATTGATTAACATTATTAAGAATTTTAACAATTTTAAGTTATTTTTAATAATCTTAGGGTTAATTTCTTAAGCTTCGGACTGTTTTCTAATAAAAAATCTTAACAAATCTTAAGAACGGGTTAATATTTTAGAGAAATCATTTTTAAAATTGTTAAGATTTGTTAAGATTTTTTTAATATTTATTAATATTTGTTAGGATTTATTAAGATTTGTTAAGAAAAAAGGTTAATAATGGTTGGAGGAGTTACTTTAAGAGACGTAGAAGCAGATAAATTTATACAGTATTATGCAAAATTCTTGAAACAATCAGGAAAATTAGAGCTTCCATCGTGGGTAGATACGGTTAAAACAGGACATTTTAAAGAGCTAGGACCATATGATCCAGATTGGTAGTAGAAAGAATCAATAAATAAGGGGAAATTTATGTATATATAGGTTTTATATTCGAACAGCAGCTATTGCAAGACATATATATTTAAAAAACCGAAGTGGAGTAGGAGCATTATGTAAATTATATGGTGGATCAAAAAATAGAGGATCTAGACCATCACATCACTATGATGGATCAGGATCTATACAGAGAAGAGCATTGCAATGTCTTGAAAAGATAGGAGTTCTTGAAAAAGATGCAAGAGGAGGTCGAAGAATTACTCAACAAGGTCAACGTGATCTTGATCATATTGCCTTGTCAGTTTTTGAGGCAAGACAGGAGAATAAATATGTTAACTAAGGAGAAAAATCTATATATAAAGAGGAAATAAAATATTTATTGCATTTTATATATCATTTATATCGATATTATTTAAAAATAAAATTAAGATTCATTGGAATCAGAATAAGGTTCAAATCCAAAAGGTTCCCATACACCATTATGTAGTCGACTAAATTCCAGAAATGTACCGTCTTCAAGACCTACTTCTTCAAGACTTTTATCTTCATTCATTTGTATAATTCCATGGATTTTTAGTCGAATACATGAATTTTCATCTGCCATTTTATCATCCGTCTTTTCAAGAAGAGATGTATCATAAAGTGCCCTTTGTAATTCTTGTTTTAATGTTTTTAATGTATCATTCGGCTTTGCCGTGAGAAAAACCGTTGTTTTTTGTTGTTTCGCTTTTAATATCCACATTTTTTAAAGAAATCTTGACTTTTATATGAATGACAATCGTCTAAATTTGCCAATCATATCACGGCTTATTCTTTATACTTCTGTTACTTCTCTTATATCTTTAACACTAGGCTCAATCGTAGGAGGTAAAAAAAGTGGGCTTCGTGTATGTTTTTACTTTTATTATTAACAACTAATGGTAAACAGTTTCTTGCAGAAAATGCACATCGTTTACCTAAAACTATTCAAGGATGGTATTTTTATCATAAGACAAAAAATTATTAGTAAGATTTATATTATATTTTTTTCTAATTTATATATTTAAAATTTAGTATTATGTTAGGTGGTATAAAGACGGGTTTAAAATATGCATTTCGGGCATCATTTTGGGTGAATAGTTATCTCGGGATAGAATATATATTAGACTATGTTCGTAAATGTATAGATGCAGGAAATACGGTACTTGCGTCTATACTAAGTGGAATGATATTTTCATATGTTCATAAATTTTCTTATAGAATGAAACTTCGTATTTTTTATTTAACCAGCTCAGTTGGTTTAATTAATGGAGTTTTACAAGATATTTTACGATATCGAAGGGGACAATATGTTTGGTATATTGAAAGAAGTTAATAAGCGAGTTAATCAATATTTTTGTCCATATTTATCGGAAAAGATAGAATTGCAGCGATTCCTGTTAATTGATTAAGTTGAATGCCAGATTCATGTAAACTTGAAAATATTAATACTTTTCCACCGTATTGTTTGACAGTTTCTACTAATTTTACATAATATTGTCTTTTATTAACATCATTACTTCTATTTTTGTATTAATTTTTAAAATTAATATTGATAATATACCTAAAAAGCATATCTGAAATTAAAAGAGTTTCAACAGCTTTACATTCTATAGCCCAAGATACTTCTTTTGTACCATACCAAACTTTTTCTTGATCATTATGTAATATTTTGTAAAATCTATCTAATGCAGCAGTTTCTTGAACAAATTTTGTATCAGCTAATTTTGCTAATATATTTGGTGATTTTAAAACTTCATTTAATGAATGCATATGTCCACTAGAACAATGTATTCGAAGAAATTTAGGACGTGATTGTAAAAGTTCTTTATTATCGGCCTTAACTGCTTCATCAAATATATATTTTATTAATGTTTCACTTATAAATCCTGGTGATGCTATTAATACTACTTTTAAATTTGTAAAATCAAATGATCGCAACATTGCTTGCATTACTGTCTCATAAAATTTGTTTATACCCTAAACCATTGTAATCCATCTTGTAATAATAACTGATTTACCTTCTGATAATCTGATGTATTGTCTTTGCGTTTCCTAGGTATCTGAACTTCAACCCGTTGCCTTAAGATTGTCATATATTCTGTAATTAAACAAATGTTTGCTAATCCTAATGATAATTTATATCATTATTAAGCTTTATTGCTGTATTTATACCCTCTTGTAATACAACTGCGCCTACTTTTGCAGTTTTATTAGGATCACATGCTTCATTTAATCTTTCTAAAGCTATACTATCCCATTCTTGTTTTGTTAATTTAAAATTGTTATGAAGTCTTAAATCTAATGTATGATATGATCCCATTCTAATATATTTATTTTCTTCTGAAACTGTACCATTTATATGTACTTCAGATACTTGAGAATCAAAGTCTAGTTTTTTTACAGTCAATTCTAATGTTAATTTTACTAAAGAAAAGTTATATATAAATAACTAATATTATATGTATTTTCCTCTTTCTGATGTTACAGATCCTGTAGGTGATTCATTTTGTATACGTCTAATATATATTAATAAATATACCGGGCCATTTATTCAATAAACCTAACAGTAGATGACTTAACACGGTCTCCTTCTTGTATTAAATTATAGGTATGCCTTCTAATGTATTTATCTACTATAATTATATATATTGATTTACCACATATCCTCAGGTTCTTCTGGATATAAAACAACAGAGCCAGAAGATTCCTTAGAAATATTCTTGTTTATTAGTTTCATATAGACTTTATTGTATTTTTTTAAAAACAGTTATTTTTATGATAATATTTTTTAAACTAAGTTAATAGATAAGAATTTTATTTAAAATATGTAGAAAATTTTAAATTTATTAAAAAAATAAGATAAAATATTTTTATATAAATCGTAAATATATATTTGAAATATTTTAATTAACTCCAAAGCTTTTTTTGATATGAATCCAACCCTGATATAGATTATATTAAATTCAAATATTAGAATTAAATATACCATGAACATTTCCTTCTAATTGACTTGCGACAGTTCTAAATTCAAAACGAATATTTTTTTCTTTAACTTGTTTTCTTAACTCTGTTAAATTCTGTACACCGATATCCTGTAATGAATGCTGAAGTCCAGTTCGTAAATAAGGAACATATACATGTAATGAGCCCTTATCTATAACACTTCCAGAAACACCTTGAGCAACACGAATAGTATCCGCTTCACCGAAATAACGACTAGATGCAGCATTATCACCTTTATTTTTTCCTGATAAATGTTCCATAGCATCAATAGAACCCATTCCACGATATGATTTTAGACGTTGACCATCACGATAATAATATTGACCAGGAGATTCAGTAGTTCCTGCCAAAAGATTACCCATCATAACTGCAGATGCGCCTAAAGCTAATGCTTTTGTTATATGGCTATTTAAATAAATTCAAATAATATATAATAAAAATATTCTTTACCCAATATTTTCAATTCCACCATCTGCAATAGTTGGTACACCAAATTTAGAAGCAAATTCTGAGACTGCATAAACAGCTGTTGCCTGAAATATCAAAATTAGAATAATATCTATTTGTTAATTAACGAATACCTGAGGTCTTCCAACAGCCATTATTTCTCTATTAAAAAAAATAAGATTAATGCTTATTTAAATAAAAAAGAAAGAATTACTGTGTTATGCAAATTGAACTAAATAATATTAGTTTATATATTTAATAAAAATATAAATTAATGAACCCAGAACCCATGCCTACTCGTAACGCATCTGCCCCTGCTGATATTAAATTGGCTGCTTGTTCTCGAGTTACAACATTTCCCGCAATAACTTCTAAGTTAGGAAATTCTTTTTTTATCCATTTAATCATATTAATTTGATAAATAGAGTTTCCTTGACTTGAATCTAAAACAACAATATCCAATCCCGCTTCTACTAAATGTTTTAATCTAATTCTATCGTCAGGACGTGTTCCAACTGCTGCTGCGCATATCAATTGCTTAGAATCTGGTAATTTAGATGCTAAAGGAAAATGAAGATTTTTCATTAGATCAGAACGTGAAAGAAGTGCTGTTAAGTTTCCTTCTTTATCTACAATAGGTAATTTTCCCTTCTTACATGAACGAAGAATCTCATTCGCTTCTTCAAGTCTAATCCCCTCAGAACCTGTCACCAAATCTTTCGTCATCACTTCCGAAAGAAATGATTCATCATTATTATGAAATTGAATATCTCTAGATGTAACAATTCCTAAAAGTTTCCCATTAAGCTGTCCCGTATCTACAAAATACTTTTATTAATATCGTAAAATAATCATTTATAATAAATCAGACAAATTCTTTCCACATAACTATTTGTCTTATACGGAAGAACGAAAGTTTCATGAAAAAATCATCATATTTCATATTCATGTATTTTTATTTACCTGTTATCGGAATACCACTAAATCCTAATTCTTCCTTGATCCTACGAACATCTCTCACCCTATGATTTAACGATAACACAATAGGTGACGTTATAAACCCATTCTCAAACTTTTTAACCTTCCTAACCATCTCCGTTTGCTCCTCTATCGTACAATTATGATGAATCACTCCAATACCTCCTAAAAGTGCCAAATTAATCGCCATATCCGATTCCGTAACCGTATCCATCGGTGAACTGAAAATTAACCCTTTATTCCTTCTTATTCTCTCTAAAAATACCTCATAAACGGCGTCTTCAATACTATCTTTTTCGTAATATGACTTTCAAGAGAAACCGAATTTACTTCAAAATCAATATATCCCGGAAGAATAATAATATCATTATACGTTAATCCCCCATGTCGTCGGCTACAAATAAGACTATCAAGATCATATCCATCCTATATAATCATTTAATTTAAATCTAAAAAAATCTTAATACCTTTTCCGAATATTCTTCAAGTTTCTTCTTAATTTCTTCAGATAAACATAAATAACTATCTTCCCCCATAAATTATACCTCTATTCCTCCTATTTATATCTTTTATTACCCAATTTCATACTGTATTTCACCGTATCTGCTTGATACAGCTTTTTATGAGGTGGTGGAGGTCTCTCAATGGGATAGTTTCGGTTGTCATGACAACACGTATTTATTTTTCTCCGGCACCTCTCAACCTCAGCGACATCAAGCACGGACAAACCAGGTGTTAAAAAGCGCATATATGACGGTATCAATGCCATCAACGCCCAATAAAGGGCTTAAAGAGGTTCCTACGAACTGTCTTACGTATAGAGAAGGGGTTTCACAGCGGTTATTGTTATCACCGCGGAAATTACCGATATCAAATGATATAATAGAAAAGCCATCATTAGAAGATCTTAAAAGATTGAATAAAAGCACGGTTAACCATCTGCGTACGCTTTGCAAGCTTACGCAGATGAATAATTGCGAAGGAATAAGTATTCCGGGGGTAACTAAAGGAGCGGAAGACGTTGCAGGTATTTTAGGAATTAATAAGGGGATATAATAAAGATTTTAAGGAATGCATGGAAGGATACGATTGCAGAAAGGGAGTGGAAGTGGGAACAGAGTTTTTTCGTGGTCGAAAACCTGGGTAAATAAGTATTTGAGGGGATATTGAAGGATTGAATATAAGTAGATGGATAAACAACGTGCAAATATACAAGCATATGAATATTTATGTCATATAGGAGAAGCAAAAGAGTATTTGAGATAGATTTATGTAAAAAAGTTAAAAAATTATTAGATGGATAGAATTGTGTATAGGAGAAGAGATTCCGGCGATTTTAGAATTGGAGGAATCATTACGTGATGGGGTTATTTTAGCAAAGCTTTCAAGAGTATTTTTTCCGGAGTTAGTTCCGAAGATTTTTGAGGCAACGAAATTGCAATTTCGACATAGTGATAATATTAATCGTTTTTTTCAATTTATCGAAAGAATTAATTTACCAGATGTATTTTCAAAATGAATTCAAGATATAAATATTAATTTTTTAGATTTTTAGATTTGAATTGACAGATCTTTATGAAAAAAAGAATATTCCGAAAGTTATTTATTGCATTCATGCATTATCATTTATGCTTTCACATATTGGACTTGCGGCATCTATGAATAATTTAGTAGGAAAGCTTGAATTTACAGATGAACAAATTAAAAATACGCAACGTGACTTAGATATAGCAGGTGTAAGTCTTCCTAATTTTAAAAATATTGGAAATACGCTGGCAGGGGAGTTAAATATTCCAGAGGAAAAAAGAATCAATAAATGTAGGTGATATTTATTTCTAATGAAAAATGTAATTCATATTAGATAATGAACCACCTTTTGAAAAAGAAGCATTTGCCTTAAAATGTCAATCGATTTGTAGAGGATATCTTTTACGTAAGAAATTGATAGATGCTTTTCAAATTCTTTTGGATCAAGAAGAAGTTATTTCATTATTGCAAGCATGTATAAGAGGTTTTTTTGTACGGAAATTGTTTCTTGAAAAAATGAATGAATTTCATAAATTTAAAGAATGGGTAAAAAATGTATATTTCGTTATTATTATTATTATTATTATCATATACTAAAGCAGGCATTTAGATTCAAACGATATCCAGGGGATATATTATACGAAAATTTTACATAGGATGGAAAGATTCAATTGATTATTATAAACAAGATATTATTAAGGTTCAATCTATGATTCGGGGATATTTACTACGGAAAAAAATTTCCTCTTTATTTGATGATTTCATGAAAAGCAAGAACTTAATTGTTAAGATGCAATCATATTCTCGAGGATTGCTTTTTCGACGTACTTTTAAAAATCATATTTTACGTTTACATTCAATGAATCGATATTCTATTTTCCTTCAAGCTCATTGTCGTGGTGTTCTACTTCGAAAGAGGCTTCAATATATCCTTGGATCTTTACTTCATAAAGGGGATATGATTGTAATTCTTCAAAGTTATATTCGAGGAATGTTAGTTCGTAACAAGCTCAATAGAAGAATGAAATATTATCAAGAAAATATACAAAAGATAATTAAAGTTCAAAGTTTTGTTCGCGGAAAACTTCAAGGACGAGCTTATAAAAATCTTAGTAAGTTTAAAGTTGTTATTATTAAATTATAACATATATAGCCTCTGGGAAAAATCCTCAAGTTGCGACTATTAAAAATTTTATTCATCTGTTAAGTGATAGTAATTTTGATTTCCAAGAAGAAATTGGTATTTTTTATCCCTTGATTTATTCTATCTAAAAACTTTTGTACAGAAATGGAATCGCTTAGGAAAATGATTGTTCAACGTGTTCGTGCTAATCAGAATGCCGAAGAACATATCTACCAATTGGATTTGAAAATTGCTTTGTTGGTTAAAAATATGATAACTTTGGATGAAGTTATTCGTCACCAAAAGCGATTTTCTTCAAAAAATTTATTAAATTCATATTCTCAAGGACCTTTAAAAGATCCATTTGACTTAAAAGCTCTTAATAAATCTTCTAGAGAGAAACTAGAGTTATATCAGGATTTTTTTTTTCTTTTGCAAACTTGTCCTGAATATTTTGCACGTCTATTTTATAGTTACTATGAGAGAGGTGCATCTGAGGAAGATATTAAACAGCTTGAGAGTTTCCTGGCATGTATTTTTGGCTATGCCCAAAAACGAAGAGAAGAATATTTTTTATTAAAGTTGGTTCGAAGAAGTATCATTGAAGAACTTATTAAAGTTGAAAATATACAAGAACTTTTCGAACGTAATTCTTTGTGGATAAGAATTATCGTTTCTTACAATAGGTTTTCTATCTTTATATTTTTATTTTATTCTTAATATGTTTTAGGAGTGTTAAAGAAAGAAGATATCTAAAAGAACTTTTTGAGCCTTTAATAGAAAAAATAATTGAAAATGATAATCTCGATCTTGAAAGCGATCCTGCAATGGCAAGCATGATTGTTATCTTGTTATTTTTTTTAATTATTTATAGATATATCATTCGATAATTTCTAAAGAAGAGCGTTTAACCGGTCATAAGAGTAAACGACCGCTTAATCTCAAAAAGACTGATGCAATTCAAGATCCAGAAACCAGAGATCTTTTTATTAAACACCTTCAAGATTTGAGAGATTGGACAGAAAGCTTTATTAATGCTATAGAAACTAGTATACACAAAATGCCATTTGGATTACGATATATAGCAAGAGAAGTATATCGAACACTTTTGGTATTTTACTCGTATTATTTTAATAATTTTAATTATAAATAGACAAGATTCCCTGATGAAGACCCATTAGAGATTTTTAAATTTATTGGCTATATAATATACTATCGTTATTTTGATCCTGTTATAAATGCACCAGATTCTTTCAATATTATTAATGGATCTATTACGACTTTACAGCGTAGAAATTTAGAAGAAATTTCTAAGATGCTTTCACAAATTACAACAGGTGAATTATTTGATGAAAATGATGTATTTCTTCGTCCTCTTAATCTATATCTTGAAACGGCAATTCAAAAAATGATGAAGATTTTTAAAACAGGTAAATAAAAGGGTTATTGATTTCTTTATTAATTTATCTTTCAAGTAATTGATGTACAAGACGCTGAACAATATTTTGAGATGGATGAATTTGATGATATTACTTGTACTCAAAAACCGATTTTATATATTAAGATTTCTGACATATTTGCTATCCATTCTTTAGTTTATAATGAAATTGAAATTATGGTAGTTTTTTTTTTTTTTTTTTAATTCTGTAAAAATAAATTAACAGTAATAGGCACCAGACCAAGATGATCAGTTACGCGATATTATTAAACAACTTGGATTATTATCGAATAATGAGGAATTTATGAAAATATCAGACACTGAAATTGATCTTACATTGAATCCTAGACTCATTCATGTAGAAAGTACAAATAATTCTTCAAAATTATAACTTTTTTCTAATATTTAAACTAGATTCTGATTCTGAAATTCGAACCTTATTCATGGAAACAAAACATTATATTTTTTATATTATTCGAGTTCAAACCGGATTAAATTTGATGGAAATACTTATTCAGCCTGTACATCCTAATGATGAAATAAAATGGAAGAAAATTCTCGCTGAAGAAACTAAAAATAATAAACATTCAAATACATATGCGAGAAACGATTTATACAATATTAAAAAGTAACATCTTTATTCGAAAGTTTTCATTTTCTTATTTTTATTAGAATGTCATTTTCTGAAATCAAAGCTGCTACTCTTGATAATATTCTAAAACTTGAGTCTAAAGGCATAATATCTAGATCCAATTACTATCAGGATTTATTAAATGCAATTGCTACTGATATTCGTACAAAACATCGCCGTAGAATACAGCGACAAATGGAACTCGAGAGTGCGAGACAAACATTAATTCATTTAGATAATAAGGCTCTCTATTTGAAGTCTCAACTTGAAAGTTACAACGATTATATAGAGAAATCTTTGATTTCATTACAAACTAAAAAAGGGTAATATATATATATATATATTTATATATTTATTTATTTGCTTACTTTTTATTAGAAAGAAAAAGCCAGTTGTTCCCTTTACTAAACAATATTTTCATCTTAGGAACCTAAAACGATCTGGTCAGGTTCCAAAATTCGGATCTCATAAATATTCTGGTCGTCAACTTTTTGACAAGGGAGTAATTGTTTCAATAATGAATCATGAGGAAAAGGATTATGGAAAGTTTTACTTTACACTTTCTTCGAACGATGTTGGCATTTTTGTTATCGAGGTTACTTCTGCATCTTTTCATATTCCTAATTCCATATTACAATTGAAACTAGATGATCTGCTTGAAGCACAGTATGATTATTAATTTAATAGTATAGGAATTGATATTTTTAGATATAATAATATTGAGATTTTGTCATTATTTGAAGGGTTGATCAAAATTAATGTCAATTTAATGCTGCATATGATTTTTAGGAAGTTCTATTCTAATTCATAGGAGTTTTTTTTGAATATTTTCAGATGGGTTACATAATTTGTAAAATTCTTGCCTGGGTATTTTTAAATGTAATAATATTTGCATAATTATTTTTTGGGAGGTCTATGCATCTAGCCCATTTTTATAATCTATATTATGTTTTAATGTTTTTGTGTTTCATTTATAATTTTTTGAACAAAGATTTAAATCTAAAGCTTAAACTAAGTATTTTGAATGATTTTCTACTTAATTTTAGTATTTAATTTTTTCATAATTTTGTATAAAATTTATGAATATTAAAGAGAATTAAGAAATTATAAAATAGGATAGTTTATATGCTCAAAATTTTACTTTTAAATCTAAAATATTTGAAGATTTAAATCTTTAATTAATCTTAAATTACTTGAAATATTGTTAGACAACCAATTGCACTATACTACAAAGATTTATTTAATTGACCAAATATATTGATCTTAAACAATTGTAAAAAATATCTTTTATTACATTATATATTATCTCCATGGTTTATTATTAATCTGTGGCTTATTTGATTCACTTCTTTCTGCTCTAGATATACTAGAAGGATCTTTTGTCTCCTTTAAAGCTGCTGCAGGGTTAGAAACTCTAACAGAGCCTCCTATTGAATTTCCCACTGTAAAAGTACGACTTCGAGGAGATTCTTGTGTAGGACTAGATTTCAGGTTCTCTTTATCGAATTTTAATCTCCTAAGTATAGGTTTTGTAGAAATTTCAGTTATGTTAGAAGACAATCTATTTTTTTTACAAACTCTGGCAATTATTTTATCTGTTTTCTTTAGAGCACTTTTTAGTTTTGGTGAATTAATATTTTCAATTAGGTTTCCAGTTTCATAATCCGATTCTATAAATGAATTTTCCTGCTCATCTTGATTAATATGAGAAAATATGGTATTATCTTGTTCCGATAACGTATGATCATGACTTTCTAGTGAATATATTGGGGTTGTTTTAGGTGTAATATTGACTTTCAAATCAGAAAGAACATGAATATCTGATTCAGTTAAATCATCCTTTGTATTGTTAATTTCGGTATCACTTTGTTGATCATTCCATCTAACTTTTTTCTTAAAAACGCTTTTTCCTTTGTGAAACATAACATTTTTCTTTGGAGTATGTACTTTAAATGCTTTTGGAGATTTAATTTGGAAAGGAGACGAAATTTGAAGATATGGTTTCTTAAAACATGCGCTTAAAAATGGAGTAGACGATTTTATAAATTTGTTTGTATCAGTTTCCCCTTCAAAAAAAGTGTTTGTCTTCGACGAAAATTGATGAACTATGTCTGCAAGAGTTTTACAAGAAGATTTAAACTTTTCTTCTAATGAGACTTGAGTCATAACATTTTTATCCTTATTCTTTAGAATTAACGCACAAGTATTTAATCCTTTAAAACTTGATTTAGCAAATTGCTGCATCATGGAGTATGTTTTTTCCATTATTGTCTGAAAGTTTGCTCGTTCTTTCAAAAGAGTATCTCTTTCAGATGTTATCTTTATAATTTTGGCTTCTTTTAAAAATAAATTTATGAATGTTTCATTGAGACCGTCTTCTTTTAATTCTTTTAAAATTTCATCACATGCAGCTTCAAAATCTCTATTCATAGTAGTCTTAGAGATTTCTTGAAGACTAATTTGACGTTTATTCCCCAAATTATTCAATAAATCCTTAGCTAATTCTTTTGTAAGTTTAAATTGTGAAATAGTTTCATCATCAAAATTTGAACTAGATATAATATCGAAAGCTATAAGCCAAGAATTTATTGTTTCAAATTGATTTTCTAAAGATAGTAGCAAATTTGCATTTAAAAGATATTGTTCTTTAAGTGATGATAATTTTTCAAATGTTGTATGTAGCTTATGAATACCCTCATTTAACTTGATATCAAAAAATGCATATTTCTTAGATATTCTATCATTTTCTTCCGATTTTTTGTCTTCTAACTTTCTTTTTAACTCAGAAACTTCTTGTCGTAATTCATAAATCGCTTTAACATATTGACTGACATGTCTATCCACAGTAATCATATTACGAGATACCTTGGTTTTTATATTCTTAGCACGATTTCCATATTTTAATGTATTATGCGTTTCATCATAATGAGTACTACAAGGACTTACACAAACAATCATTACAGTTTTACAATTTCCTCCTAAAGAAAATTTCAAGAGTCTAGTAAGTTTTGAATCCCTATAAGGAACATGATTGCGTCGATGAGGATCACAAAGTGCATTAATACAATTTCCCAATGCTATTTTTATTAAATCATATATTTTTAATAAATTTTTATAATGCTACCCAATAATGATCTATTAATATTGGCCCCTTCAAGAAGACGATCTCCCCTATTCTTTGTTACAGATGCTCTTTCACTTCCTGCCAAATCAATAATAGAAAGAGTTGCTCCAAAATGTTCCTCTGAAATATCCGCAGTTCGCGGTTTTTGAGTAACATTAATTTGTAAAACAGCATGTGATCTAGAAGAAACAGAATTCGCCTCTGTAGGTGATATTGTTCTATTCGCATTACCCCTTAAAATAATTTCCATCACTTCATCAACCTTTTTTATGTTAATCTAAACAAAAATCGATTCAAATATCTTACAGTTTGTGGACGATAGGATGTTAACCCTGATACTGCTATTTTCTTATCTGAATCTTCTCTCAATGAAAGAGGTTTCGCTGCAGATGATGGAACTAAAAGATCCCTAATACTTTCATTATATATTTCCAAATATGACATAGAGATTTCAATAATTTTTTCATCTGCTAATGATGTCATTTTATCAAAAAGCTCTTTCATTGTTAAAAATATAATTCCTGGATCCTCTGGTGACCCACTATTTTTTTTCATTAGACTAATAATTCCCTTCTAAACTATATATCTACCTTATAGTATGTGTTTTTCCACATCCTGTCGCCTAAAAATATTAACTAAAAAATATTCAAAAAAAATATTAATTTTACCCCATATGCAAAAACCGTAGCATTATAACCCTCTAATATCCCATCTAAAAGCGGTTTTGCTGTATTTTCATATACCTATTACAAAAATTATACTCTTTTTTCTTAAAAAAAAACTTTCTCCACCATTTCTTGCGTCGCATTCTCATCAAAAACTCTATCAAATGTATATTTCATCTCTTTAACCCTCTTTCCCGCTGATAATAACGTCTTTTGAAATCGTGCCATAGGATTAGTATCCGCCGGATCAAATATTAAAACACGTTCATCTAAAACTTGAACAATTCGTCTTAATCCTTTAGATGTATTCTTATAAACCGGCCCTCCTGTAAATGATCCATCTCCTATAAATGATGTCATTTCATTATTATTTATCTGCAGTTGAGATGTTTCTTTAGGATTTAATGGACGAACCCTCACTAATCATATTCATTAATATCCTTATTTCTCTTAATATTATCATACCTGTCACCGAGATTGATGAACTAGACATCTTATTAAGCGCCAGCAATGGCTTTTGCCAAAGCTTATCTTAGTTTTTATTAAAATTCTTAAGTTTTTTTGAAAAAAATAAGAAGCTTTATCGAAACTAAGTGTTGGTTGTGTTGACAACAAAGTTGCTATGGAAACCGAGTGACCATGAGATGAAAAGTTGAAAGATTTTACATAAAAAGAGGTATTTGAATAGATAACAGAGTGTTTTGTAGTATAAGAAAAAGATATGAATTGAAAATGATGTATTTTTGTTGAAAAAATTTGAAAGAGAAAAGTGAAGATAAAGCGTTTAGATAAGTGAAGTAAATAAGAGATAAATAAGTGAAAATAAGATGTTGATATATGCCTAGTTTGTATTTTTGAATGATGAGAAAAGATTTGAAATGAATGAATAATAAATATTTTTGAGTGTAAAAAGATTGTATTTGAAGTAGTTATGAATCAAATAAGATGTATGAGAAGTTGTATGTATAAATATAGCTTAAATGAAAAAAAGTTAGTGTGAAAAGGATCTAAATATGGAAGAATTATTAAATAGATCATTTATAAATAAAAATATACCATAATAGAAAAGTACCGTAATATAAATAAAATAGATAATATAATATTAATTGTTTTTATCGTATAAAGTTAAACGAGAGTATTGTTCGTCTAATGAATATGTTTCATTCTTTATAACATCTTGCATATCCGAATTTCTATTAGAATCATAATTATCATTTATTTTATCTTTTTGAACATCATTTTCTATAATAGTTTCTTCACTTTGTTTAATAGGTATATATTGTTTTTTATTATCAGTAAAAACATCGTCAAAATTATACATTTGCACATATTCTTCAGGAACAAGGCCCGCATCTCCTAATTTTAAATTAATATCGATCTATACCTTTTTATTAAATTAAAAAACCTGTTTCTGGATCAACCGCAACTAGCCATCCTTGTTCATGTCTATATGAAATCCATATCTTTTGTCCTCTTACTAATGCAAATTCATTTTCATGCTCAGGTATAAAATCAAACAAAGCAACTGCTTTGCCATATATTTCATCCTCCGATTCTTCCAAAACTTTATATGATTCCATATCATTAATTTCTCTATTTTTAACTGTAGAATCAAAATATTCTTCTTTTAATATTAAATCTTCATCAATTTCCAAATCATCGTCTGTAAATGAGAATTTCATACATGAATTTATTGTGTCTTTCAAAAAATCATATTCCAATGGTGATTTATAAAACCGAGGATCATTACATGAATAGGCATAATCCCTATAAATTGTACCAAAAATATCTGTTTGTAACCATTTACTTGGTAAACTTTGTCGTTTTTCATAGAAATCTTCTAACGACTTTTTATTACTTTTAATTTTCATATTATAATCTATATTTCTATAAAAATATTCTTTTAATTAATAAATTCTTAAGGTTTTTCATCTATTTTTATTAAAATATTAATTTTTTTTAAAAAAAACCGAACCTATTAATAATATCAAAAATATTAACTTAAATTTATTAAGAAATTATGCTTTTTATTGTTTCTTAAAGGAATAATGTATATGATTTTCATATATTAAAGTAATATTGTTTTATTTGTTTTTATATCAAGTGTTATATATAATATAAATTATTTTTTTGAATAGAAAAGGAAAATATGGCAGAATCTAATACAAAATTTGCAATTAGTGTTATTTGTGCATCAAATCAGAACAGGTAGCTTTAAATTTATTAAAAATTTATATATAATTATTAAAATGATATATATAGAAGTATGGAAGCACATTGTATACTTAAGTAAATAGTTTTAAATTATTTATAATAATATGTTAAATTATTATAGAAATGCAGGATATAATGTAAGATCTTTTGGTACAGGTTCAGCTGTAAGACTTCCTGGACCTTCTATAGATAAACCTAATATTTATCCATTTGGAACACCTTATGATCAAATATACAATGAATTAAAGAATAAAGATATAAAATTGTATCAATTCTATATAATAAAATAAAATATAATTTTCTAATAATAACAGATATACTGCAAATGGTCTTTTAAATATGTTGGATAGAAATAGAAAGATAAAAAATTCTCCTGAAAGATGGCAAGATAATAGAGATATTTTTGATATTGTTATTACATGTGAGGAAAGGTGTTTTGATACTGTATGTGAAGGTATAGTTTTCTTCTATATATATATACACTTATATATATCTATATATACCTATATATATATAGGCATATATATATACACAATATTAACTTCATAAGATCTTATTAATCGAGGACAACTCATGAATCGTATAGTACATGTTATTAACGTTGATATTAAAGATAATCATGAAGAAGCTGTCATTGGTGGGCAAGCTATTTTAAAATTAATTAACGCCTTTGCTTCTTCAAATTCATTGGACGATAATATTTATGATATTCTATCTACTTGGCAAAAAAATCATCCTAAACTATCTCTACTTCATTCTCTTCATTATCAATAATCTATACTCTATTTCTAACGTCTTTTCTACTTTTTTTTCAAATTCAAAAAAACACTTTAACTATCAACAATTATACTCTTTATTCATTCAATTCTACTCGTCTACTCCTTTACTTATACATTTTTAATCTTTTTTAATTTTCTCTACTACAACTGCACTTTTATACCGAACGACTTGGATTTTTTCTTAAAATTTACCTCATAATAAGCAACAAATATCAGCAAATACAGACAGATAGATCATCATACAGGCCTTTAATAAGAGATATAATTGAATAATATAATATATTTATGAATGAATAATGGTATATCAAAGCAGTAGAATCAATACGTATGAAAGATCAATGGTGAATCACCTTGAGGAAAAAACAAATATTATATATCATGCAGCATTTAAGCAATTTTTGAAGTCTAATGTTAGAAATGGTAGGGGTTTTATATGGGATATAATGGATAAAAATGATGGGAATAGAGGCAGATTCGCGAAATACAAAAGCCCGAGAAAAACTTACATATCTTTCTAAACAACAATTTTATGAGCTATCTACGGATGTATATGATGAGCTTATACGTAGACAAACGAAGAATCTTGATAGTAAATGTTTTAAATGTTTAAAAAAGTGTATAAACGATTTTTTAGCAACATTTTTGCAGCCGTGTGAATCATTTCATCCTAAAAGGAATCAGGCACGTCAAAAACTGTCTACACTATCTATATTACGCTTTTTGGATCTTCTAGGGGATGTATCATTTGAATTAGAACGAAGATTTCCAGAATTAGTAAAATTATTGATATATTTATTATGTAATTTTTAAAATTACAAGGCAGAAAACTCAACAGCATCTAAGTGTAATGAGGTATACGCAGAACCATGTATTCAAACATCGGAACCTACGAATATGTTACTTAATTCGGGACTGTTAGTTCCAAAAACATTTCATCCAGATACAATTATTCCAAACAAGTCTGTTATGATTGAGGAAGGATCTGATGCGGAAATTTCACCTATTAAAGCGTCGGGTTCATCGAGTTCATTTCGTTTAGACGCAGCTGCTTCACAAGAATTATCTAGAAGTTTAGATAAAAAGACCGAAGATTATAATCTTAGGTTGAAAGAAATAAATTATCATGGTATTTTAATTTTCTTTTTACAAATGTTTAATTTTTACATTTTTTCTTAGAAAATATAATAAGTTGCAAAAAACAAACAATTAATGATAAAACCGAATCCATAGATGTAATTCTAAAAAATATAGATTTAATTAATTGTTTATTAATACGTTTTAGAATACACTAAAGAATGAGCCTACAGCAGATTATGAACACCGTATAATTACTCTACAAAATAAAATATTTTTTTTCGAGTCTCAACTCAATATAGTTAATGCAAAATTAGCAGAATCAGAACAAGAACTTTCCTTGATTAAAGTAACAATATATTACATATCTATCTATCTATCTATATAATGATTTAACAAAACTCTAGAAAACATATGAAAAAAATGTTGAGGATGAAATACAGTTAAGGAAAAAACTTGAAATTAATCTAAAAGAGCTTCAACAGGTATTTAATATTTTTATTTTAATATTGGTTTTTTAAAATATTAGTCTAATAAAAATCTAAATGAAGAAATACAAATCCTTAACAAAAAACAAGATACACTGAATAAAAATAATGAAAAATATCAATTATTACTTCTTAGTTATGAAAAATTAAAATCCGAAATGGAGGAACAACAACGAGTTCGTATAATTTACCATATATATATATTCATTAACATATTAATAGGTTACGAATGAGGTTAAACGTGAAGCTAGAGAATTTCTTAAAGAGATGAAATCTTTATCGGAGAAAGAAACATCTTCATGGCAACAAATCGAAACATTATCACAACAAGTATCTTTTCTTCAAGATGAAGTTAAAGAATGGAAAAATCAGGTTTTATAATATAACTCGTTTGAAAAAAAACAGACATTAACATTTTTAGTATTCAAAAGTTAAATCCCAACTTCTTGGTTTGAAAGGTATATATTCCATATATAGAGACAGAGGGAGAAATGACAATATTAGCAACATCTTATACTCAACCTTTAAAATTTAAAGCAAATTATGAAAATTGCATTGAAGAGCATGGAGTAATTAGCAATATTGCTATCACGAATTTCCAAATTGCAATAGACGATCTTTTGCATGCTGGAAGGTTATTTTTCTGTTTTAATTCATTCTTGAACTAATAAAAAGTAGATCCTCGGAACATAAAAGTGTCCTAGAAGCTATGAAAGATGTAATTGTATCAATAAAATCAATAAATATGAACTTAGAAGACAATAAACATAAAAGTATATTTGATGATCCACAAAAGAGTTCGGCTATTGCAAAATTAAAGTCAAGAATGTCTGCTACTACTAATAATTTAATGATAGCTTCTAAAAATCATGCTCTTAATAAAGGGCTAGGTCCTGTTAGTTTATTGGATGCTGCAGCGTTTCATCTTACTGCTACTGTTATCGAATTAGTTAAGCTCGTAAAATTGCGACCTTCAACTCCTGCAGATTCGCAGGAAGAGTTGAATGATAATTTCGATAATATCAAAGAATTACCTATAGATTTATCTTTAACACAAACTAATTTAGATGCTCCAGAAGACAAAACACCAGAAATATTATCAAATGATGCAGATATCCCTGATATTTGTTCAACAAATACTGATACTTCAAAAATGCCGAAAACTTCCGTTCTAAAAGCAGTAATAGATTCCGACTTTGACAATAATTTAGATGATTTTAAGGTTTGAAAAAAATATTTTAAATACGTGTTAAATAATAATAAAATAGATTTTCTTAGAAACAAAAACAGAAGATATTGTTGAATTAATACAAGCTTTTCTTTCGTCTATAAGAGCTGATGCCCAGATAAAAAAACTAAAGGACCATATGACAAAAATAACAAATATTGTTCAAAGTCTGGTCTCAAAAACTTTTCAAGTTATAGCAATAGAAAATGATGAGAACCTAAGAGAAAAAATATCAACAATAATAAATGGGTTAATAAATTGTTGTTCTAGATCTGAAGAACTACTCGGTGATAAAATTGAAAATATTAATATTGATAAATCATTTAAACAAAAACTAGCAGGAATCGCATTCGATATTGCTAAACAAACAAAGGTAAATTTATTTTAAAGTTTTTTTTTTTTTATGTAATTCTTTATAGGAATTACTAAGAACAATAAATGGTAATAATGAGAATGCATAAATATAGAAATATAAAATTCTAAATAACTAAATATATTGGCACAAACTTATAATGTACATATTACATTGGTTTATACTTTAAGCAATAATAATGCGGGCTCTCATATGTAGTTAACATGCTAATTGAAATATTGGCATATAAATGTATCACCGTTTGCAAAGTATTCATTTTTATACTTGAGTTATTCTGCGATATTTCTAGAAGATTAAATCAAGTTTTTTCCAAAAAAGAAATCTTAAAAATGAATTCTAACATATTTAAAATATTTCAATTTTAGAGAATATTATCATTATGAGAAGCAGTAACCGTAAGAGATTTAGCTTCATTTGTAATAGATTTAACCTCTTCAGTAGATGATTTATTAATGTCTTTAAGAGCAGCTGTCCATATACTACTAAATGCATCATTTGGTTGTGTATTTAAAGACTTTAAAGAACCAAATTCAATGATATCATCCTAATTTGATTAACTATTATCCAAAATAATAACATGTTTTTTACCAATGGTTGCTCAGTATTTTTTTTTTTATCAAAATTACATATTAAACTATCCTCTTTAGATTGTAAAATCAAGGAACAAATATCTAATGACTGGTCTCCTGTTTGATTTGATTGAATAGCACACCTTTTGGTTAATGATGAATCATTAGACATTTGACTAGAGAATAATAAACTATTATCTTGTTCTGAATTTACGCTTTTGTATTCAAAAGGAAGTGATGCACTTTGAAATTCATCAAACTTGTCATCTGTACTAGAATTTAATGATTCACTAGGTGCCTTAAAACTTAGATATCTACGTGATTCAATTCCACTAGAATTAAAAGAATCATTCACAAAAGGAAGCAAATCCGTATACGTATTTACGGTATTTTTACTATTTATTGTTGACGCTTTCAAATTTGTATTGCTTTGATTATTTTTCTGTTGTATACATGATTTATATTGTGTATCATCATCAAATTCATTATATTCTTCAAAAGTAGATATAGACGCTTTATAAATCGAATTCTCCATACTATTATAACTCCCTATTTTCGTTTCATTATTAAATCTTCGATCCCCATAAAACGTTTCATCATTATATTCCGCACAAAATGATTTAGTTCTTCCAAACCCTTCATATTTATTACATTTATTATCATCTGATCCAACTCCTATATATCTTTCTTTATTGCTTCTTGCCTTTTTTCTCTCTTGTTTCAAAAGATCATTATCCAATAACAATTGAATCAATTCTTTCGCCCTATTAGAAACTATTTCTCTGTATAAACATCCTTCAAATTATCTTCCTGTTTTTATATACTAACCATTAACTCCTCGATCTTTTCCCTTGTTATCAATATAATGAAAATTTCGAAGAACTTTAATAATAGAAATATGAGATCTTGCATCATCAATCACCCGTTCTGATCCATGTTTTACAAGAAACTCAAGCAATTGAAGTGCTTTATATATTTGTCTCCATTCCCCCGCCGATTTTTCTGTAAATCTCCGGTAGATCATCGTCCTATATATCGATATTATTTCAATCCTTTTTTTTTAATTAAACTAACATAATCTCATTAAAAGCCGCACTATATCATTCAATTAACCTCTTATACTGTATCCTTTTCTCTCTTACTAGCTATATGTTCCAACTGCTATTTCCTGCATTAACGTAGTACTGGCACCCCAAGGCTCATTATTAGTCGCTTCCCTAACCTTAAATGATTAACCCTAGTCCTGACCCTAACCCTAATCCAAAGATAGTTTCATCTATTCAGCTTACCTTAACTTCAATCTCATTATAATTCATAACAACTAAGTTATTAAGCCAAGTATTTTATTTTTATTAATATTATTTACCATTTTGTGCCTTGCGAAATATAGATTTGATATCATAAAGCTATTGTAAATGTTAATAAATGCTGAAATATTTAAAGATATGTTATTACGCTTATATTTGAAACACGATTAACAATTTTATCGAGTCCTAATGAAGTATTTTTTCCTAATCTTTGACTTTCCATAGTAAAAATGATGAAAAAGTATGGAAGGGTTTGTGCCTTTTTTCCTTGTCAGAATGTAAAGAAAAATAAACAGACCTAACCCTAAAATAGAGAGACAACCCTAACCCGGAGGTACTACCTAACCCTATATATCTGCATAACCCTGACCCTGACCCTGACCCTGATATAAACCCTAACCCTTAGAACAGCCGACATCTAACCCGACCCTAGTTTGTAACCCTACTATTTACAACCCTAACACTGCCCTATAAACTCCTTTCTAACCTCCATTTTACTCCTCTTTTTTCGAACACACCTATCACATGATAATGTGTTCTGTTAATCACGTGATAATATCACGTGAGAACATACATAAATATTCTCGTAGTTTCGATGATGAAACGCTTCTTATAAAAGGCATTTCTTGGATAAAAAAAATTCAAGTTTTTGACTTAAGAAGAAGTTAGTAAAAATGAGAAACGTTTATTTTGACGTTTCTTCTGGAAGTGGTCCTTTAGGAAGAATTGTTTTTAGATTATTTGATGATGTTGTTCCTAAGACAGCAGAAAATTTTCGTGCACTCGCTACAGGTGAAAAAGGATTTGGTTACAAGGCAGGGTTTATCTGTTAGGGTTAGGGTTAGGTATTTACATGTAAATTAGGGTTCTACTTTTCACCGAGTTATTCCCAATTTTATGATTCAGGGAGGCGATTTTACTAGACACAATGGGTATTTTTCTTATTTCTTATTATTTTTTTTGTTTATATAAAATTCTTATGGTTTTATATTATAGAACGGGAGGAAAATCGATTTATGGTGAAGTGAGTTATTAAGGGTTAGGGTTAGGGTTTTAATATTGATTTATCAGAGGTTTCCTGATGAGAATTTTGCCTTGAAACATGATAGACCAGGGCTTTTATCAATGGCAAATGCAGGACCTAATACTAACGGATCTCAATTTTTTATTACAACAGTTGTAACGTCATGGTTAGACGGAAGACATGTTGTTTTTGGTGAAGTAGTTGAAGGAATGGATGTCGTTAAAGTATAATATTTATATTTAATTATTATATTTTTTTTTATTAATCGAATTTAATTAGAAAATCGAATCTTATGGAAGTTCAAGCGGCACTCCGACTACTAAAGTAGTCATTCAAGAATGTGGAACATTATAAATTTTGATATTTAATTTTATATTAAAAAATTACAAAATATTTTATAAAATAATTAAAATATAATTTTAAAAATTTATATTAATATAAATTTTATATATTTTGTTTTACGACGTTTAACAATATTTCATGTATAAATATGAATCGATGTTTTCTAGTTTTCTCCTATTTTTTATATAAAACACTTTCCCTCTTATTTATACTTGTATCTACTAACATCGAGACGACTAAGTTTTTAGAGAGATACTAAGAAAATACAGGAATGTTATTAACAGATGGTTTACTTGAACAAAATATTAGAAAACGTTAGTGATTATTATTAATTATAATATTTTTAAATACTTCAGACTTTAATGATGCTCAAATATCAACAGCAGCTCACCGGAAGTTAGTTAATTCATTATTACATATACATGAAGAACAAGCAGAAAAGAAGGGATTAGAAGGAGAAATAGAGTTTACTAAGGAATTCTTAAGAAATATATTTAAAATTATACCTTTAAAGAAAAAAGAACCAGCAGTAGATCGTATTATTAAGTTTTGTGCACATTATATTCAACATATTCAAGAAAAAAGTATATATATTTAAAGAAGGAATTGAAATAATGAAAGAATCAGAGACGTACAAGCAAAACGGGGATGAATTAGAAGAAACAATAACATCTAGATTGATAAGAAGCTTATTTGATCATTTATTACCGGGATTAGAGTCCAAAGATAAATATGTTAGACTTAGAATATGTCAAATTATTACGTTGGTTATAAACTGTATGGAGGAGATTGAGTAAGAATTAAATAAGGGAAAATATTTGATATATTTAATGTATAAGTGATGATTTATTTCAATTATTGAAAAAAGCTCTTGAAAAAAGATTAAGAGACAAAGAACCGTCTATTAGAGTGCAAGCAGTGATAGCGGCATCACGTTTTCAAAATTCAGATGAAGATGTGAATAATGATAGTATTAAGAAGATTTTTTTACATCTTATACAACATGATTCAAATGCGTAAGAGATATTAACAAATGTTTTTATTTTAATATTATAAAACAGAGAAGTAAGGCGTTCAGTGATTTTGAATCTTGAAAAGAGTGTAGAAACATTGCCTTTTATCATTGAAAGAGCTCGTGATGTTGATAGTATAAATCGCAGAACTATTTTTTCTAGAACTCTTCCAGAAATGGGTGATTTTAGACAACTTAGTATAGGTAAACGAGAAAAAATTCTGAAATGGGGGATAAAGGATAGAAATGATCAAGTTAAGAAAGCAGCAACAAAAATGTTTTCTACGATATGGATTGAACATGTGAATAATAATCTTCTTGAAGTATATATTTAATTTGTTCATGCATAATTCTTATTTAAAAAAGTTATTGGAGAGATTGGATGTTATAAATAGCAAAATTGCAGAGGATGCCATGAGTAGCTTTTTTTCTATGAGAATTGATGTTGTCAAAACTATAACATTTGATAGTAAATTGATATTTAATAATTTGAAAGAATATAATATCATATTAGGTGATTTTTGGGAAAATATTACACCTGAATCTGCTTTTTTAGTTAGATGCTGGAATGACTTTTGCATTAAAGAAGGATATACTCATCTTTTAGAAGAAAAGATTCCAGAAATATCAAAGCAAGCATTATATATAGAAAAAATATTAGAGAATTTTGAAGATAATACTGATGAAAATAAACAAGAGTTAGAATTTATACTTGAACAATTTTTACTTATTATAAAAACAACTGATTTTAGTGATGAGATGGGAAGAAAAAAGATATTTAATATTCTGCGTAATAAGTAACATCTTTATTAATTAAATTGATATTTTATAGAAAATAATATTCCCAATTTTGTTTTTTCTGAAAATCTCATTACTCATATGGTGGAAGTTTTTCAGAAAACAGTGTCAGACGAGCGTACTTATGCTAAACTTTTAATGGAAATCATATTGGATCTTTATGATTCCTTAGATATACGAACAAATAAAAATAAAGACAACAAAGATGATGTTAGATCAGAAGATTCATTTGTTTCTGCAGTATCTAATCAAGATAATCCTTCTTTGTATATATCAATTGATTCTATAATTACAGCAGAAACAGAGGTATCTAGCGAAAGTCATAAAACACTTATTATTTTTAGATGTCTTCATCTTACTCAAGTTATGCTTGAGAATATTGAAAAAGTACGTATTAAAATTCTTAATATTTGTTGCATCAAATTTATAATTAAAGAATCTTCAAAACAATTTCGAATTCATTGAAATACTTCATAATCTAATTATACCATCTGTAAGAAGTCATAATGCTGCTATTAGGGAAAAAGGTCTTCGATGTTTAGGATTATATTGTTTATTAGATAAAGTAAGCATGTTTTTTGGCAAAGATTTATCTCAATATTATAGAAACTTGCTAAAGAAAATTTGGCTTTATTTTGTCATTGTTTAGTAAAAGGTCATGATTCTTTGCAAATTGAAGCAATAAAAATCATAACTGACATATTTATGTGTTATAAATATGATGTTTTTGATGACTCTTCTACAGATTTACACTCAATTCAATTGTTATATGAACAAATATTACAAAACACATCGAATTCAGATATCATGGCAACTACTGTAGAAGCCGTTGCAAAATTAATGCTAATATCTTTCTTTGATGATCCAAAGGTACTTAACTTTTCAAATTATTCTATAACTAATTTCTAAGCTACTTAAAACTCTCATTATCTTATATTTTCATCCTGAAACCTCTTCTAATTCACATTTGCGTCAAATTCTTGCTTATTTCATTCCTGCTTATTCTTATTCTTTACCAAAAAATCAATTCTCTCTCCAAAAAGTTGGTATCTCTTATTTCTTTTTCTATCATTAATACATACATTAGATTTTCGTACCTACTTTACATGACTTATCTCAAATCTTCGAAAATTTTGATGACACTGAATCTATTTCCTTCTCACAAATAGCTCTTCAAATGATGGATTGGATCGATCCAAAAAAACTCGTCAATTCTCATCTATCTAATAATCTTTCTTCCTCTTATACTAAAACAAATGAAAATATTTATTTATCTCTAGCAAACGACATATGTACTCAAATTTCCGCTTCTTATAACAGTATCTCTCTCTTCTTCTACTTCTTATTTCACTAATTTATTCTCTTAGAAGAAAAAAGAACTCTTTCTTCCCTACTAAATAAACTTCATATCACTCATGCTTCTGATCAACAATTGGCTCTTTCAATTCATTCAACAATAAACTCCATTCTTATGGTAACCTTTTAAATACACCATTCATACATTGTTTTATTCATTGATTTACTTATTCTATAGAAAAATAACTTGGATTCTTTCACTAAAAATTCTCTAATCAAATTTTCTACTACTTTACACAAATTCATTCTTTCTAACTAATAATATCAAATACTCTAATTCATAATTCTATTCTATGTTTTTATCTTATAAATACTCTTAATCTATTTTATTTATTGCTTATATATATAACCCAGTCTTTATTCTCCGAAGCTTAAAAAAAGTCAGACGTCAAAGAGAATTCTTAACAAGTTTATTAAGAAAAATAAAGGATTTTTTAATCTTTTAAGGCCAGTTCTTATGTTATGCCACTTCTAGAGTCGTTAGATTCTATTATAGTTAAGATATATATAAAATAATCATAAGAAAGTTAATATATAAAGATTGTCCATGGATCAACATGTTATGAATGTGGAATTGGAGGGTCTAAAGAGGCGCCAGAATTGATTGAATTATCATGGATTCTTGTAGATGCAAAGACATTAGAGGAGGTAAATTTTTGGGAGGGTAAAACAAGGTAGTAACGAGTAATATAGCAACATAAGGAGGATTTTCTTGTAAGGCCGATAAATACACCAATAACGAATCTTTCTAGTTAATAATAATAAATAAGATAAAAAGGGAGAATCTTATGTATTTTTATAGAATTTATTGCTTTGACGTGGGAAAATATACAGACGGCGGGGACATTTCGAGAAGTTATCCATCATTTTGTTACATTTATTCAAGAAAAGTTAATTCTTAATAATAAAGATTTTATTTTTGCGGCATTTGATGCAAAAAAACTGACGATCCAACTTCCGAGAGAAGCTAGGGATAAATCGGTTATATTACCATCGTATTTGCAGCATCCTAGGATCTATGATTTGCATACAGAGTATTCTCGTTGGCAATCTTATCATCCAGAAACATTAATCTATCGATCGTCCAATATTCCACATATTCGAAAGATTTTGGAGACAGATGTGCACTCATTGTCACAATTTGCTCAGCCGAATTTCAAGGCAACGTTTGAAAATACGTCTCCTAGACGAGCAATAGACGAATGCTTAGATTTATTACATATATTTAAAAGTCTTGTAGAAAAGTCGAAATTTGTAGACAAATATCCCGATATTTTTTCGAGGCCATTAGATATGAGAGCGGATGTTAAGGCATTTCTAGCTGAAAGATCATGTATTTTATATATGGCGGGGTTGCCTTATGATATTACTCAATCAGAATTAGAAAACTGGTTTACACAGCATGGAAGTCATCCTATAGCATTTTGGACTTTGAAAACACCTGATCAATGCAAACCTACAGGTATTGGATTTGCAATTTTTTCATCACATGAAGAAGCAATAAAAAGTCTTGTAATAAATGGAAGGGCTATAGGAGATAGAATCATCGAGGTTTCACCTAGCAGTGGCCGAGTGCTAGAAAGAGCAGCAGAAATACTTATACCATTTCCAGTATGTCATTTATGCTTTTTTGCTTTTTTGTTTTCTTGTTTTTTTTTTCTTTGAAATAAATATCTAATGATTAAAAAATAGCTAAGTAAGAACAAACCAAGACCGGGTGATTGGAATTGTCCTTTTTGCGGATTTAGTAATTTTCAAAGAAGAACTGCTTGTTTTCGTTGTTCTTTTTCTACTTTTCCAACAAATATAAATAGTGATCCTATGATGGCATGCTCGTATATTTCATTGGGAGGGAATTTACCTATACAATCATCTGTTTCAAATACAGATCCATCATTTTCCTCATATCCATCGGCTCTTAGAACTTCCACACAAGGAGGAAATGTTCCTTTTCGTGCAGGTGATTGGAAATGCAAAGCAGAAGGATGTGGGTATCATAATTTTGCAAAGAATACAAATTGTTTAAAATGCGGTGCAAACAAAAATACATTTATCATTCCAGACCATAATGTTTCTTCATCTTCTTTATCATCACAAATACAACAACCAATTTCAAATCCAACAAGTTATCTCTCAAATTCAAAGAATCCTACTTATTCGCATCATATGCAACATGTTCCATTAAATACAACACATAACAACTTTTACAGGTCATCTATTTTAACATCATTTTCTCCTTTAAAACAACCGACAGTTCCTATAAACAATGAAACTATTGTTCAAAGTAATGGAAATATCATAAATAAAGAAAAAGTAATAATAAATAAGAATCATGAGAAAGAAGCAAATACTTGGCATTGTACATCTTGTTTTTTTATAAACTTGAAATTTCGTAATACTTGTTTGCTTTGTGGCACACCTATTTCAAATACGCCTACATCTGTCTAATATAACTAATTCTACAACTATTTAGGGAAATTGTGATATTCTTGAACGCTTTAATGAAAATATGAGTTCTAAACTACTTCATGAAGATCTTAAGGTATTGATAATAGATGATAATAACAGTCAGATAGATATAAAAAAGGATATATCTTCAAAAATGACTTTATTGCCTTTAGATTTTTGGCTAAAAGATAATTTTGGAATATATTTTAATGAAATACAAAATAGTCAAAATATTATCGGTTAGATTGAGTAAAGAATCATTTATCTTGTGAGTTATAAAGAATGTTTTTTTTTGATTTTTTCAATTTTATAATATTTAAATATGCAATATTACAGTACAAGATATTAAAATAATTTTGGAGCATAATTCTTATCTAAATATATATTTAGTATATTATCAAGTATATTTATTTTAAGAATTAATAATTTTTAAAATACTAAATATTATAAATCCCATCTATCTAATAATTTAAATACAAAATATAAAATCTTACCCCTATTTAATAATTTAAATGCAAATAATATAAAATCTATCCCCTATTTAATAATTGTTTATATACTTATTTAGATCTTTGATATATTTTATCAAGAAACGTAGTAAAAACCTTTTTTTTTAATCCACGAGATTCATCTATTTTTGAAATCAATTTAAGAATATTATTAACCGCTTCTTGCTCATATTTCTCAAATTCTTTAGATAGCTCTAATTCATAATATATTTTTTTGACAATTAGTTCAGAATCTGTATTCCTTCTTCCATAATTTTCCTAAATAAATTATTAATTTATTAAAATATTATTTTTCTAAAAAAAAAATACCTCTAAAATTTTGCGTTGTAAAGGATTTGCTTTTTCTAATGCCTTATTAATTAGCCATGTACATTTATTTTCCATTATATCTGTTCCTATTTTTCCTATAACATCTGGATCACCAAAACAATCAAGAAAATCATCCTATATAATATTTATATTCATATTAAAATATAATTTATAATAAAAAATATTTACTTGAATTTGAAAATATTTTCCAAGAGGAACTAATATATTTTTGGCTTGCTCTAAATCATCTTCACTTGATATTCCCGCCATATTCATAGCTAATACAACCGGTAAATAAAATGAATAAAATGTCGTCTTAAATTCAATAATAAATGAATGTCTTTCCATTGAAAATCTTGATAAATCTACATTATTCTCTGGTATATTCTCCGGTGCTGTTAAAAGATCCAAAAGTTGCCCAAATTCCGTTTTAAATGTTGCCTACTCATCATTACCTTCTATTTTCTTTTCAATCTTTTCTAACATCATGAAAATTCTCCATTAATGTTGTATAATATGGTTCTTCCTTAAAATATTTTTTAAGTAAAAAAAATATTGACGACTCTAACATAAATGAATCGTTAATCGCAATCATCCCAACATTAGGCTTTACATTTCACATTATTTTATGTATAAATCCTTCCTTTTCTCACCATCAAATACCAACAACATTGGTTACGTCTTGTTTTTGATTGATCCATCATATCATCTACTACAAGAAAAAATGCTTGAAGCTATTCCTTTCATTATATTCTATTTTATATCTTAATTCTTTTCTTTTTTACCAATTCTACCGTCCATCCAAGAACTGCTGCTTTTTTATATTCTTCTTCACTTAATGGTCGTTCTAATAAGATTTCATATGAATCAATCACTGAAAGACCACGACTAAGTTTTCCTCCAAGACAGTTATAATGTAAATTCTATTTATCATTAATATTTATTAATTAATATTAATTAATATTAATATTTATTAATAAATATTAATAAATATTAACCTTCATAAACCAATCTTTACCAATCTGAGGAATATTAAGAGTTGTTAAATAATTTTCAAGATCTTCAACAATTAAAGGAAAAATATGTTCAAATTTTTCTTTTGAAGTGAGTGATTTATCCATAATAAAAGGTTTTAATAAGAAGAATAAGAAGAATAAGAAGAATAAGAAGAAGAATAAGAAAGAAGATTAAACCGAAAGAAGAAAGTTAAAAGAAGTTAGTAAAAAGTTAGTAAAAAGTTAAAAAGACGTTAAAAAGACGATAAGAAAAAGTTAAAAAAAGTTAAAAAAAAAGTTAAGACGTTAAAAAGAAATTAAGAAAAAATTAATAAAAAATTAAGAAAAGTTAAGAAAAATTAAGAAAAATTAAAAAAAGTTAAAAAAAGGTTAAAAAAAATTAAAAAGGGTTAAAAAAAAGTTAAGAGGGAGTTAAGAAAAAGTTAAAAGGTTAATAAGAGGAAGTTAAGAAGTTAGTAAGAAGTTAGTAAGGAGGTTAAAAGGGAGTTAAAAGGGAGTTAAGAAGGAGTTTATAGAAAGTTAATAACAGGTTAATAAGAGGTTAAAAAAGGTTAAAAAGTTGTTAAAAATTTGTTAAAAATTTGTTAAAAAAAATGTCAAAAAATCTTTAAAAAATGAATGAAAATATTTCAAAACATTTAATTCATATGCAATTAAAAGATGCAGTTATTCAATGTTCAGAAAGAGGTCTTTATTTAAGTGCAAGATGGTTAATATAATAATAATAAACAAATTATTAAATAAATTATTAAATCAATTAGGGCAGCAGAACTTTTAAATGGAATGGAAGCTTTAACAATGGCAGATATTTCAGAATGTTCTAAATATAAATCTAATTTTGAAAGAAAAAATGGAGAAAAAGAAGGTATATATGGAGTAGGGGTAGGACTAGGAGTAGGATTAGAAGAAGAACAAGAAAATAATCAATATTGGTTGGCAAAATGTTATTTTGATTGTAAAGAATATGATAGATGTTCATATTTTTTAAAAACATGTAATAGTCCAAAATCGATTTTTCTTAGGCTATATTCAAAGTATCTTGCAGGAGAAAAGAGAGGAGATGAGGAAAGTGAATCTATTCTTGGTAAGGATTTTGTTTTTAAATATAAAAATGAATTTTAAAATGAAAAAAAAGGACCTTTAGATGGAAATAATGTTAAAAATCGAGAAATTACATCAATTTGTCAAGAACTTGAAAAAATGGTAGAAATAGAGAAAGATGCATTTTTATTATATCTGTAATAATGAAATTTGTATTATTTTATGTATAATAATTGTTATTAGATTAGGATTTCTTCAGAGAAGACAAAAACAGGATTCTATGTCAATTAAAACATTAATACAATCGCTTAACTTATATCCATATAATTGGGGAGCATGGCAAGAATTATCTATGTGTTTAGCAGGTATAAATATGGTATTTTTTATTTTAAAAAAAAAAAATGATTAAATAATGTGAATTAAAACATTTTTAGTTGAATTCGATTACATCGGCTTTACCTGAATGTTTTATGAAGAAATTGTTTTTGGTATATGCCATTCTTGAACTTCATCAATCAGGAGAGACGTTATATCATCAAATTATGGAACTTGAAACATTATTTCCTAATAGTTTGTTTTTAAAAACACAAAGGGCATTGATACCATATAATGGAAGAGGTAACATTTAATAGAATTATAAATGGTTTTTAAAAATATAAAGATTTCGAAGAAGCAGAAAAGCAATTTGAAGAAATTGCAAAATTGGATCCACATCGACTGGATGATATGGATATATATTCAAATATCTTGTTTGTAATGTCTAAACGATCAAAATTAGGATTTTTGGCTCAAATAGCATCTGCAACTGATAAATTTAGACCGGAAACATGTTGTATAATAGGTAATTATTTTCATAAAAAAAAGTAAAACGGTCTAATAATTAGGAAATTATTATAGTTTACTTTCAGAACATGAAAAAGCAGTTATTTATTTTAGACGAGCTTTAAAATTAAATAGAAATTGGTTATCTGCATGGACTTTAATGGGTCATGAGTATGTCGAAATGAAAAATACACATGCAGCAATAGAAGCATATCGTCGTGCTGTAGGTTAGTCAATTATGTAACGTTTTTTATATTATTTATATTATAAAGATGTCAATCGTAAAGATTATAGAGCTTGGTATGGTCTCGGACAAACTTATGAAGTTTTAGAAATGCATTATTACGCTTTATATTATTATCAAAGAGCTGCTGCTTTAAAGTAATTGCTCTTTTTATTATATATTAATATTTAATATTACTAGACCATATGATCAACGAATGTGGCAAGCTCTTGGAAACTGTTATGAAAAACTTGATAGACCAGGTGAAGCAATAAAATCATATAAAAGAGCATTATTAGGTTCTACAGGTGATCCTGTAATTTTATTAAAGCTTGGAGGTATATTTGAAAGAATTGGTGATACAGATACTGCTGCAATGTATTATAAACAATGTATTACAGCAGAAGAAGATGATGTAATTACATTGGAAAGCAGCAAAGCTCATATGTGGTTGGCAAAATGGGAAATGAGTCGAGGAAATTTACGTAAAGCTGAAAAATATGCTACCGAAATTATGAATGGATCATTTGTAAGGCTGTTTTATACCATTATTAAAATATAATAATTTAAAATATAGGATTTGGAAGAAGCTAAAGCTCTTGTAAGAGATTTAAGAAGTAGAATGGATCAAAATGAAAGTTAGTATTATCGGATTCAGAAAAGCTCTATATATTTCAAAGATACCTTAAATATGCATAATTATTTAAAACAACATTTCATGAAAATATCTATAAATTATAATTTAATTCTTAATTTGTGTTATTAAAATATTAATCATTATTAATAGATGCTGATTAATAGCTATTAGTATTTATATTACAAGATATTTTTATATTTATACCAAGAATATTATCGTCATCTGAAGATATATCTTGTATATTTGTTTCAACTTCAAAAGGAAATTGAGCATTTTCCTCTAACGCACGTCTTAATAAATCAGTTGCAATTGGATCAGAAGGAGCAAGACTAAGAGCCTTGAGACAGTTTAGTATAGCAAATATAAAACCAAAAAAAAAAAATACTTCATGTAAATATTGAACAGCATCTCCTGCCCTATGAGCACTTAAATGAACCATTGCAATGGCTGCATAAACGCATGGATCTCTAGGTGATAATCTTTTTACTTCTGAAAAATATCGCAATGCATCATCATACATTCTACTCTTTTTATTAAATTATAATTATAAAAATATTGATAAAACCTAAGCTTTCTATAAGCATGTCCAAGATTTGCCTATAAATATTAAGATCTATATTTTAATAATAATAATAATAATAAACCCATGTTGCAATCCATGATCTTTCTTCACTATCTGTTTCTTTAGCTAAAGTAAGAGCACTTCTAAAAAGATTTATTGCTTCTGGAAGCTGTAATCTATGAAAGGCGACAACTCCTAATTCATTTAAAAGTAAAGGATCTGTTTTGCATAGTTCATATGCAGTATTAAAATATTCATTGGCAAGAACTAAATTATTCAATTGAAGATGTTGCATGCCTAGAAAAAGACTTGGCAAATGTGTTCTATAATTATAAATATAGAATTGATCTTAACAAGAATTATACCCTTGAAACAACCTAGCAGCTGTCGTATACGCAGATATTGCTTGATCATGCTCTCCCTCTACAGCAAATGAATGAGCAAATCCTATCCATGCCGGTCCAAAATGTGGATTCATCATTGATGCCTTGCTGAAATATCGGCGTGCCTCTGCTACTTTTCCTATACAAAGATAATATATACCTACTGAGAGCCATGATACAGGTTCTTCAGGATGCCTTTCTGTTATATCATGAGAAATAAGAAAAAGCTTGTTTTTTTCATTCAATTCATGTAAACATGCCAAATGAATAGGAAGAGCATTAAATTTATATTGATCAATTGAAAGTATTCTTATACAATTAGTATATATTTAAGTAAAAATGTATAAATACCTTTCAGTAACTTCAAGACATTGTCTAAATCTGTTTTGAACAAATAATAATTCTGCTTTACTTAAAAGTAAATCTGTATTATCATGTAAATTATATGTATTTTTCAATTTTGTTTCAGCTTCAATGAATCTCAAAGCATTTTTATACTAAAAAAGATAAATTAACATAGATTAACATGGCAAGAAAACCTTGTTTAGCTTTGTAATGTATAAACTCTTAACAAAATCCACATCTTCTTCAATTAATCCATTAAAATTTAATGTTTGAATAAATGTCCATTCTAAAACACTCAATTTCTCATAATATCCCTTCTTCTCATACCTTCCTCCGCCGTCATCAAGTTGTTACTTATCAATTGCTCAAAAGCTTCATAACATTTTGCATCAATCGTTAATGCTTCTTTATAACACTCTTTTGCCTTGTCAAACTTGTTCAAATTAGCAAATAAAACTCCCCTAAGATAACACATTGATGCTTCAAACTATTTATCCCATAAGAACCCTTTTATACCCTTTTTTTTAACATACTTTAACCCCTCCATCCTGATTTTTAATAACTGTCTCATCTGACCCTGAAAAAAAATAAACTTTTATACAAAAATTACCTTGAAAACACTACCCTCTTGACGAAATGGATTCTTCTCCCCAAGTAAATCAAGTGCTTCTTGCCATTTGGACAATTTAGACTATTATATATAAATAAAATACCCCTCCAATAAACTTTATAGATTTCACCAAACAAAGCGCCGCCAAATACCTACATGCAACACTACTATCTAGCAAATAACGCTTCATTAAAAGCCCCCGTGCTCGAGCATAGTGTCCCCTATGGTAGTATACTTGTGCCAACCAAAATGCATCATTAGGATCATCTATATCATTTTTGTTCATATATTGTATCTAATATCTTGTATTTATACTTGTTAATCCAAGAATCTTATCTCCAATATAAGCTGCTGTTTCATGCTGGTGCTGCACCAGTGCATCATGGCGCCATAGGCGCATCCTTTCAATCCTTGAATATGTATGTAATGTATTTGATGAAGATCCATGAGATGATACTGCTGATATAGCCATAGTAGGGCTTCCATCATATGTATAAATATTAGTCAGTGGGCTTATAGTTAAGGTAGATTGATGAGGGTCCTGAAGACGTCCAGAGGCCAAACAGTCGGTATAAACAGAAGTATTAGGATTAGCAGGAGTAGCAGAATTGCTGGTACGGCTTGTTTTTCTGCGCATCTTGCTAAAAAAGAGTAAAAGTGGTGTATTTTTCTAATATAAAATATGGGGGATTTAGAAGTCGATAAAGAGGGATTTGATAAGGTAAAAGATGTATGAAATGAAGTACTGAAAGTGGAGATTAAGTCCTGTATTTTTATTAAATGGAAAGTGTAGTATAGTAATTTATAGATATAGAGAAGCGCTAAATACAATGTCACCTGAAAATGAATCAATTGAAAAGAAAATAAGAAGAAATGATAGTTACGTTTTATTAAGTTAATAGCGTTAGTCATTTTTGTTTCTAGTTCTATGTTTCCAATGACTCTAGAAGCAGAACACATCTATAATTTTAGTAAAGGGAAAAAAAAGAAATATAAAAACCTGTCTTAATAGTTCTTCTAGACGTCTAAATGCTCGTATGATTGATCCTTCATATACATCGGTCATTTTACTGTAAAATGTTAGATATGAAAAAAAGAAGAAAGTATTACCAAATTTGAAAAAAGGATTTACCTTGTGCCCATGCGTATACGACATCCATTAAAGTTGGTTTGAATTGATTAACATATTCTTCTTCAATTATGTTTAATTTGCTTTCTCTAGAGACTTTTGCAATGCGCCGAACTATTTCTTGCATTTTTCGTAAAGGTGTAGCCAATTCTTGTTTAAGTTTAGGTGCTTCTTCGGTTTTTTCTTGAAAAACAAAGCAGCTTAATAATGCAGCAGATTGTTCAGATGTAAGATCATTAAAAACCCCGTTAAAAATCATTTCTGTTAATATTAATTCATCACCTGTACTGATTTCACATGCAACTCTAAGAAAATTAATAATTATATTAAGAAGAAAAAAAGAAACATGCCGTCCTTTCATTTCAATAATATCTTCTGAAGTTGTAAAGCCTAATCGTCTGAGAACTCTTTTTCGATATTTAAGTTCATCCATTTGTATAATAGATTGTGTTTCAGATATTTTTTTCTTTATAGTTTTAATTTGATGCTTAATTTCCATTTTTCTGCTATATTTTTCATATAAATCAGGAAGTTTAGGTGAATTAAAGAGAGGATTCATTAACATTTTATTCTCCAAAATTTCTATTTTCTAAAAAAATTAAATATAGAAGAACTAAAATATTGAATCAAATACTTACACGTAAAAGATTCTTAAAAGATTCATCCCTAATATTCATATTTTCAATAGGATCAAGCAAAGCAATTCCATCGGGGAATCTACGCTTTACTTCTTCTATAGACTTATATACAGTAAGACGTTGATCTAATGGTTTAAGATCTTTTGGAAGAAATATACGAATATGTCCAATTCCATTAATAGAAGAAAGAAGTACAGGTATAACTTCCATTTTCCCTGTAAGCATAAGTATTTTATTCATTATTGCTATAAACAATACCTGCTTCTCCTTTGGGAGGATAGATTCCTTGTGCATAATCATTAGTTTTTGTAATCTGAGAATCCGCTGAAACCCATAAAAGAATATCAATAATATATGATTCATGAGGAAGATATTCTTCAGAAGAACCCTTAAAAAACATTTAATATGATTAAAAAAAAAAAACAAGTATATACTTTAGGAGAAACTCGTTTGCAATAATTTACAACTGCTCCCCATCCAAAATCTGAACATTTATCTTTTACTTTTACAAGTCTTCCAGGTTGCATAAATTGGAGACAGTGATCAGGATGATTTATGATATTACGCATCTCATCTGAATATGTTTCCAATTGCTGTCTTAACTCATAATAATTAGAAATATTAGTTTCATCTTCAATTACAATGCTATCTCTCTCTTTTTCTAGCTTTAAAAGTTCTAATATTGTTAATTTAATATAAATTTAATAATTATATAGCCTTACTGTTTTCAATTTTTGGAACTTCTGCATTATTTTGGAATTGATAAAAAGAACGTTCAAGCATGAATTCAGGTGAAATACCTTCTACTCTCATAAGATTTAAAATCATATTATAACCTAAATGAAATGCAGATTCTAAGCGATCTGCTTCTCCTTTAAGCATATTTTTTGCAACAGAAGGTTCCATTTTTTCATCAATCATAAGAATTACAATGCCACGATCATCAAGACCTCTTCTTCCTGCTCTCCCAGACATCTTAATTGTTTTAGATTTTTGAAGAAATTTTGTAAAAAAAATACCTGAATATATTCTCCTGAAGAAATCCATCTAAAATCCTTTCCATCAAACTTTCTAACATTAGTAAAAACAACTGTTTTTGCTGGCATATTCAAGCCAATGGAAAATGTTTCAGTTGCAAAAAGAACTTTTATAAGACCCTCTTGAAAAAGTATTTCAATGACTTCCTTCAAAATAGGCAATAATCCTGAATGATGAATACCTATACCACGACGTAGTAGTGGAAGTATATATTGAATTTGTGGCAATTGTCTATCTACTTCTGAAAGAGAATTAATAGCATTATTAAATATAGAAGAAATTAAATCTCGCTCAGAATCTATAATATTAAACAATATATGGGAATTTTAAAGACATTACCATCATTCATATCAAGCTTACTCATTTGCAAAGCTAAATTCTCACAATCACGTTTACTGAAACTAAAAACAATAACTGGATTATAATTTTTAATCATTATCATCTTTATAATTTTATATATATCAGATGGACCTAATGAAATAAGTTTACTATCATCTAAAAACATTTTTTAGATAACCTTTATGGCTAGTCTTTCCAGGCTTTCCTTTTTTTCCAATTTTTTTAGTTGAAACTGCATTAGAATCTTCTCCAAATTTCTCAGTAAGAACATTTATAGCTTTTTGAAAATTATCTTCACGAAAAACACCTTTTTCATCAACAACTAAGTGAATTCCATCTCCATCTACAGGAAATATATAATGTTGTAAAGGTGTAGGTCGAAAATCTGTATATACAACATGACAAGGTTGAACATGTGTTTTACAAATCCATTCTGCAAATTGCATAGCATTGGGAATTGTAGCAGATAGAAAAACATAGCGCACTTTATCTGGAAGAAGAATAATTGTTTCTTCCCAAACAACACCTCGTTCTATATAATGTTATTTATATTAATATAAAGAGAATATTCATCAAAATACCCTTATCACGCATATAATGAATCTCATCAAAAATAACCCATGCCATTTCACGCATTATCTCTGAACCTTTATATAACATTGACCGAAGAATCTTAAATCCAATCAATATACAATAAAAAAGAATTATTTATACTTCTGTAGTCATCACTAAACAACTAGCAGTAGGATTAATTGTTACATCTCCTGTCATAAGTCCAACATCCCCAAATTCTGTTAATAATTCCCGGTATTTTTGATTACTAAGTGCCTATTCATAATAAATGTTATTTATCCACAAAAATAGGCCTTCATACTTTAATAGGACTTGTATAAATCACTCGTTGTTTATCACGTAAGCTTTGTGCAATTGCATACTCTGCTATTACTGTTTTTCCTGCACTAGTATGTGCACTCACAAGAACACTTTCATTTTTTTCAATAGATGCAATAGCAACTTGCTGAAACGGATCCAGTTTAAATTCATATTTTTTTGCTGGTTCTGTTGGTGCTACATGTTTAGATATAGGAATATAACTATAATTCACTGGTAAGGCAACTTGGTGTCTTACTTGATGATTTAATATTAATTTCTCTATCTCCTCATTCTCTTCATGATCTTCCTTAGCACTCACAAGTCTTTTATGTCCTAATATCTCAAATGTTCCTTGTGTTTCAAAACTATCAGTTACAATTAAATTATTTTCTGCTTCTATTTTTATTTTTTTAGACTTAGATACTTCATCAATGTCTATTTCTCTTATTTCTTTGGTTGTTTCTTGTTTTTTTTCAAAATTTACTTCCATTAATATTAATTCTTTTGATATACTCGTACTGTCTTGTGATTTTTCATTGTCATTAAATACAGTAAACACCTCTCTAGAGAACATCCTATATAAAATACTCCTCTCCTCTTTCAATATCTTATAGTATATTTAATAAATAGTTTATTTCTTATAATAAATCTGCTGATTTGCTTATTTTTATCTTTAATAGAAGCTTATATATCCCCTCAAAAAATAAACAAAAAACATTCAAAAACTTATGAATTAATGCCTTTTTATACAATATTTAAGTAGGAAAATAGTCCTTTTATGTATTTATTTTAAAAACAATTTTTAGTCTGTCTACTTAATATAATCCGGTGGTGATTAACGTTATAAAAAATATATAAGCAGGAGTATATAATAAGATAGAAAAATAGAGAGACTTGGTATGATATTATCAGGGGAATTGAGGACAATGAAAAATAATTATGTTGGTTATTTTGGGAGGGTTAATAGGATGTATATTGCTCGACAGTTACATATGGAAGATGGTAAGTAAGGATTAGATATACAGAGTTTTTTGTTTTATTGTGAATGAATGTGTTTTTTTTCATATTTTTGAATAAATATTTGTATTTTTTTAATAAAAAATTAAATCTATATTATGCTCAATGATATGAAAAAATATACTAATATGTTATAGGACCGAGAAAGTAATGTATGATTTGCCTTTAAATTTGTGTTTATGATGTCTAGGAATCTTCCTTTTAAGGTTACTTCTAATGGTAGAATGGCTGTAAAAATATTATTGTTTTTTGGTAAGTTTTAGAGATATATAATTAAATGAAGAGAGAAGAAGAAATGATTTTAACATAATCAATAGGGTTTGGATTTTCTATTCCATTTATATGTATGTATTAGATGTTTTATAGATTTCAAATAATTTAACTAATAAAAATAGCATGCTATTGGCAATTGTTTCTTATATATTATTTTTTGTATAGAAACTAATATGAATATAGAAATAAATCAAAAACATAATATTTTATGTATAATAGATAGTTTTTTGTATAATAAATTTTAATTAAATTAAATATGTTATAGTTATATGTAGAAGGATGTTTAAATAGTTTGTTAATATATTATTTTTTAAGCTGAATTTATATTTTTTATATATGTTATTTTTCTAATATAAGTAAATGTGATATTTACATGTTTTATTCATTGAATTCTTTTTTTTTGAATCTTAAGTATTGTAATTTTATTTTGATAATATGTATGATTTTTTTTAATTATCTTTTAAATGATTACAATTATACCTTTCATATATTATAATATAAAAACGTATGTATTATTTTATAATTAGATAGTTATTAAAAATAATGTCATTAACTACATTTTATACCAAATATACTTATAATATATTTAATTTATTACATATGTAAACAATAAATATTGATTATACATAAAATTCTTTATAAAATTGAATTTATTTGCTTTTTTATAGATATAATTGTTTCTAATTTTCCTATATTGAAAGAAATAGTAAACTAGAATATATAAAAAATATCCAAATTATTTAAAAATAATAAAACTAAAAATTAACATTAATAATTAAATGATAATAAGTAAATCTAAATGAATGTATAATTTTTAAATTTGAAATAAATATATTATTTATAAAATATAATAGTTAAAGAAACATAAAATCCCTTTAATATACAAAAAATAGCTGGAATAAAATTACAATTATATTTTTTAAAGAAATTAGCAAATAAAAATATACGTAATCTTTAAAAGATTGTAGATTATATATAGTAAATAAAAAAGTAAATATATTTGCCAATCTAGCGGATTTTTAAAATAGCTTCTTTTTACAAGAATTTAACTTATTTTATTTATAAATATTAAATTTGTAATTATAATGATGTTTTATATTTAATCTATTCAAAAAATCATTTAAAGATTTAAGATATATAAATAATAATAATCTAGAAATATATATCTATATTTTATAAATCAAACAAAAAGTCAACATATTTTAAAATAAAATCGTATCCTATTATATTTGTTAATATATTTAAAAATTAATTTATATATTATATATACCTTAAATTACTCATATTTTAGATTAAAATATGAATATAATTCCTGAGTCTTCCAAATTTATTTTTATATTTAAAAATATTTTAATTTATTATAGTCAAAATCTTCCATATTACTTCATAATGGATAATAATATTTAAATTTCATAATAATAATAATAATAATAATAATCAAAAATCATTTAAATTGTATGATTTATTGTTATTTTTTTTTAGATTTTGATCTATAAAACATTTAATATATTTAATGGAAAATATTATTATAATAATATTTTAAACTTACTCAAATCATTTTCAGAACATGAGTTTGATAGTAACCCTTGAGAGGCTTTTCCATTATCTTCTAAATTTAAATGAACATAATCTTCAAATGTATATGACGTTATATTAGAATCATTAAGCGATGTCCTTGGCATCTCTGTAAATTCTTCTGGAGAAGAAACAATAAATTTTTCCTTTTTTTCATTAAATAATATATCATTATCAATTCGTTTTTTAATTTTAGAAAAAAGGCTATAAACTTTTGTCTTTGCATCACCAATCCCTTGTTTTATATTCCCATAAATATTTGATAATTCATCTTACTAGTAATTAATAAAATATTAATTACTTCAAATACATACCATTAAAAGAATATTCTTTCTTATTACCATAATGTGAAATATACCTATTCCTTTCCTCTAAAAAATATTTTTATAACTTAAAAACATTTAAATATTACAAAACTAACCATTTAATGAATTCTCTCCCATCTGAGACAAATAGCATGCATATTTATAATCATTTTCAATTTGATGAAATTTCATAATATTAGACATTACATCCTCCTCCTAAAATAATATTAAAAATAACTTCCAAATAAAATTATAGGCTTAATAAAAACAATTTGTGCTTGTATTGGCTCTTCTGGTTTATAATTTGAGTCACTGATACCTTATACCCATTATACAAAATTTTCAAAAAAAATACATAAAAAATACTTAAAAGTGCATTAAATGACGATTCAATTGAATAATTACTAGCAATAAGAACTGCATTAAATATTTTTTCGTCAATATCTGGAAATGCTTCTTTTAGCACATCAACTGCTATTTCTTGGTTTTTCTTCGGAAAAAAAGCATGAGAAGAATTATCTTCATTTATATTTATATTCTCCATAGTAAATATACCAAAATTCTGCTGTTTTACTGGTAATATAGACCTTATTCCTGGTTTTATATAGGCTATCCAAAAACTTTCCAAACTTTATGAAAAATACACCAAAAAAACCCGGATTTTCAAGATATAAATATAATTTTATAAAAGAGGGCAAAAAACTCCTCTAAAACTAGGTAATTTGCACTTAAAACTGAGGATTTTATCAAAAATTATTTACACGTATAAATACCGCTGATCGGCAACGTCGGAAAATTGGTGAAAAATAAAATATCTAATTAGCTGGAAATTTAAGAAAAATAACGCCTATTTGATGCCATATATGGATTTCTCTATATTAAGATGCTTCAGATCCTTTTTTTCGGGTTCAAAAAGGTGCATTTTAAGCCATAAATCTGTAAAAACATCTCAAGACATATCTTTACCGTCTTATGTGCTCTCTAAAAGGGTGAAACAGAAGCAAATACCACAAAGAACAGGCCTCTTAGCACGTAAAAGAGGTATTTTATTGCTTGGATGGGTTTTTTCTTAGGTATTTTAGGAATGACGGCGGTATGGACTCAGGACGGGGAGCGAATTCCTGTAACAGTGCTCCAAGTGGACCGTCTTCAGGTTATAGAGATACGTACGAAGAAGAATAATGGGTACAATGCGGTTCAAGTTGGAATGGGGTCGAAAAAAGCAAAAAATATCTCTAAAGCAATGCTTGGACATTTTGCAAAAGCAGGAGTACCACCCAAATCAAAAATAGTAGAATTTAGGACAAAAGAACCAATTGAATCATTAGTTCCGGGTTTTTTATTTCTATTGAATAAATATGTATTATTAATTATGAAAAAGGTACACAATTATATGTAAATCATTTTAAAGAGGGAGCATTTGTAGATATACGGGGTAAAAGTATTGGAAAGGGATTTGCAGGTGTTATGAAAAGGTATTTTTTATGTATATTATGTTAAATAATTTATTATGTTTTAAGGTGGAATTTTCATGGTCTTCCAGCATCACATGGTGTATCTATTTCTCATAGATCAGCAGGGTCAATGGGACAATCACAAGATGTATATAATTCATTTTATTTAATTATAAATATTTATGTTATTTAGCCTGGAAGAGTGTTACCAGGAAAAAAGATGGCGGGGAGAATGGGAGGAAAAAATGTTACTATACAAAATGTTCCTATTATTAAAATAGATCATGAAAATGGATTAATTCTTGTTAAAGGATCGGTTCCAGGGCCTGATAAAGGATATGTTACTATAAGAGATGCTATAAAGAAGACGCCTCCAAATTTATGTAATTAAAATAAGTATAAATTGAATTGATTTTATAAATAGATAAGTTTTACAAGTCTTTATTGATAAATAGGATTGGAATTAATTTTGATATAAAATATTAAATATTTTTTGAAAAATTTTGCATGTAAAAATATTTATAGAGGTATTTTAACATTATTTTTATATAAAAAATATTTATATTTTGTGAGTAATGTTAATACTAATATTATTTTTTATTATTTAAGGCTGCTATTAAGTTTTCTAAGTGATATTCACATTTAGCATTTTAAACTAAGAAATATTTATATACCAAACTATAATTCTTCTTCATCAATAGTTGGAAGTTCTGAAGGTTTAATCATTCCCGGCACATTTAGTGCACGTTCACGATCAGCTTTTTGTTTAGCTTCTAATTCCATATCACGATCTTCTTGAAACAATTCTGCATTATCATCCCCAGAAAACTCTTTGAGTTGTATTAAGAAATCGCGAAGATTAAGTTTGAATTTAGGGATATCCATATTAAGAGAAAACAAACCTAATACAAAACTTTGTACCTGACCACTTAAAAAACATTAGTTATAAAATTCTTTAAAATAAAAGATATGATTTTTACAGTTGTAAATGAGGAAATGCACTATGTAAAAGACTAACAACGTATTCTTTTAAAAATACAGAATTCGGAGTATTTTCATCCCGGACTTGTTGAGAAGTATATAATGATGCTTGAATGGCGCCAGATTCAACCAAATGAAACATTCTTGCAAGAATTACACTTTGTAATTTGAATCCTTTAAAATGTATGAATATAAAGACATTTTAAATAATTGAAATACCTGATTTATGATCTGTATCTGTCAAAACGAAAAATATATCCTGGAGAATTGAGAGAAAATACTGCTGGAAAAAAGAATTAGCAACGCTCGTTTCTGTATTTGCAATGTTATTAATTAGTTCTAAACATATATTAAGACCTAATGCCATAAGTTTAAGATTTATAGAGTTAATATCAAAATTACCAATCTCTGCAATATCACGTGTTGTATGTTTAATAGCCCACATTATACTATCTATTATAAGCTTAAATTGAGGAGCAGGGAGCCTTAAAAGAGCTAAGAAAATTGGTATCCTCTCTACATATCTTAAATATATTACAAACCTGGAAAACAATTAAGATTGATAACATGCAATAATTTAAAAAATCCAACACGATGCTCAGGAAATTCGGTAAATTCTTTGTTAATCATAGTAAGAGTACATTCGAATACAGACTGTAAAACAATAGGAATTGCCTCTATCATTAAAGACTTAACAATATTAATAACATCAATATAAATATATAAAATGTTTACCCCAAGCCTTGAAATAATCGTAGTCATCATATTTAAAACCTCACTATCTCTTGCATCAGGAACATTTCTATTATAATCTCCCAAAACTGCTTCTAAAAGAGGAGGAATTAAAACGTTATTGATAGTTTCAAGATCATCTGCTTTACTGACAAATACTTCAACAAGCTTAAGAATCTCTTTTTTTACAGTTCTTAAACTTCTTATTCTAGGTGTTCTGGTAGCAATACTCCCTAATAATGATAAATATTATTAACTTATAAATATAAACATATATTACCTTGAGATGCTACTGTATTTGAAATTATAGCGCTTACTGCCCTATAGAGTCCTAATAAATCCATATATATATTTCCAATTTGTCGATAAAAATGGCCGCCAATTGATGAACATGCTGATACGTTAGTTTTAAGAACATTTCCTATTATTTTAATAGTTTCATTATTATCTAAAACATCTACATTTTGACCAGCCTGTTGTATAATATTATCCCACTAATAACAATTATAAAAATATTTAATTAATTTTCCAAATTACCACAGCATTAGGCAATTTCATAAGTTCTGAAATTAATCTTTCTTGAATAGTTTTAGACGGTTGAGCAGAGATCATATATCCACATGCTTCATAAAATGTATGCACTTGTTGAGGAGAAAGATCCTCCGTAATCTTATGTAAATTACGAACAATTTCATCTATGAAAGGTTCATGTTCTCCTGCCTGTTGTACTACAAAATGTCTTCGACATTTTTGTGCAATCTTTATAAATGTATCACAAGCCATATCTTGTACACCTATTTAAATTCAATAAATGCAAATCATACGTAGAATTTTTATAAAATATACCTTCATGGGTTTCATGCATAAATTCAAAAAGTTTATTTACTACAGTTTTCAAAAACTTCCAATGTGCTTTTAAAAATCGAGGATATTGACCCACAATATACATAATATTTGATGCAACAACGGCTTTATTATCTTTTCCTCTCTTCATCTCTGTTAAACCAAGAAGATCTTTAATAACCATAACTAGGAATCTTTTTTCAGTTTCTTCATCTAAATATACTCAATCTTGAATTTTCAATTTTAAGTAAGTAAAAGTTTACTCATAGCACCGGAAATAGACCCAATAGCCCAACAAAGGGTATTTAAATTAGCCCATGACCACTCACTCCCATCGATTTGTCTGGCAAGTTTATCAGACATAATAATTTCAGTGTCCACAACATCCAAATGTGTTAAATAAACAAGGCATTCTCTCATGCTCTTGTACAGAACAATAGTATCGCTTTCTTTAACAAATTCTCTAACAATTTCCCCTTCATCATTCTCAACTATCAAGACCTTAGATTTAATTAGTTTTTTTTCCTTTAAGAATAATAATTGAACTTACTTCTTCAGGTTTTACCATTTTCTCCACCATAACAACACGTAGATTTGACAGAACCTCTGAATAAATATGTTTTCGAAGTGGAATATTTGCATACATACTAGCAGGAGTAGCACCACCGCTAGCAAGACTTGCTGATAAATTAAGAGATAAAAGAGGATTCATATCAGTAATTGGCAACTGTTGTATCTAAATGGAATTAACCAGACCTTAAAATTTGCCATAGATTTACTTCTTCATAAAGCTCAGCTACAAGCTTTGACCAATATTCTAAACATATTTTAAAGATTTCTCGTTCATCTACCTGGGAAATTTTGATTAAATAGAAATGCGCATTTAAAAGAAGATCTCTGTTTTCCTGGTTTTCAACAAGCTAAAATATTAAATAAAAAAATGAGAGAATAAAAATGAAAAAAAGTACTTTTACATGTGTTCCAAGAAATGTAGAAAGAAAAAGGGCAAGATTCTGGATAAAATCCTGTTCTTGGGAATTGCTAGAATCATAAACGACCCGAAAATCTATTTTATTAATACATTATTATCAAGAAAATATAATATCTACATACCAGTGCTCAAAGGAATGATATTATTGACAGAAGACATTGTTAAGTTTAAAAGACTTACAAACTTTTCGTCATATTGAGACATAACAGATAATCCAGCAATTTCAGTCAAACATTTTAGTGTTACATTTCTAAATTCAGACACTTCAAGAAACTATTTAAAAGTAAAAATACATTTATTTAAAAAAAAAAGAAAGAATAATTACTCTTGTGCATAAAGTATGGATGATATTCGTTTCAAAAATAAATCCTAAGGGAATCCAATTTAAAAATCTAAGAACCGTTTCTAAAGTTGCTAAAATTAAACTTGTTTTTTGAGCTTTTTCAAGGATTTCAGAACAAAGCTGAAAAACTTCAGAAAATTCCCCTGACATTTGATTTCTAAGATTCTTCGTCTTGACTTGAGTCATTTGTTCAGCTGAATAATCAAAAATTTCTTCGCTATACAAAATCAATCAATCAATCACATTCAACAAAATAAATCCCATATATACCTAAGAAGCTTGAGAACAGCCATATTATTTTCACATAATGATAAATTCGTTTTTGATGCATTTACTATTTCTGTTATAAACGTAGGCCAGTTTTTCGGCCATTCTTGTTTAAGAATCTATAAACATCTAAATATATCACTCATTCATATAAACTATCAATACCTGAACAAGCGTAAGATTAAGCTTGTTTAAGTATTGCTTTTCTTTATGAAGTGTCGTCTCATCCGACGATGTTTTAATCATAATTGCAACAACAAAATTTCGTATACCTATTATATTAAACTACCAATACAACAATGATAAAAAAACACAATATTCACCTTGACAGTGTTCACGTGGAAGAATTTTCCATCGTGTAGATATAAGTTTATCAAGAATTGAAAGTGCAATATCTAATCTTAACTTTAACAAAATTATTCTCTTTCATAGTGTCCCTACGCTTCGTCTGGACAACATTAGACTTCTCAAGAATCGTATCAACCCTCATCCACGCATCTGGATGCTCTTGAAACTGCGTAAGAACCCTTTGTGCTTGTTGTTGCTATTTATCCCCATTTTTAACCTTTTTTTCTCTTTCAAAATGCAAATATATACCTCTACACCTGATCCCTGATAAAACGTATGAACAATACGGTCAAGAAGCTCAACATTAAAGTCCTGTTCAAAATTTAAAATATCTTCCATTTTCTTGTCTTCTTTTTGGGTTATTTCTGTCAATTTTTACCCAAAAAATTCCAAAAAAAAACCTATATATACAATATCAATATCATACTTTTCAAATATTCATTTATTTTACACTAAAAATATGGTCTTTTCTTGTTTTTTAACAATTCGTTTTTTGTCGATCTCCCTTTTAAAAGATCGTCGTTACTACACATGACATCGCACAAATCCTTCTGACCACCTGTATAATCATGATTCTGGTTTTTCACACAAAAATAACAAAGAATTACATGCTTTAAACCCTTTTTTTTAATCTCTAAATATTCCCTATTTTTGTTTCTTAAAAATACATCTTTTTTAAAACATCAAGAAACAGCCTTCTTAATAACTTTTATTAAAACAATAGAATCGTCTGAACTCATTTCATCTTGTTAATCTCTATATTTATGTTTTTGTATACTTTGCACCAAGCCCTGAGCCTTACCTCAGATGTCCTTAGTGTAGTTAGGCATTGGGGTTTAGCAGGTTAATACAGTATACCAGACACTAGAATGTAATTAGAAGATAGTTAGTCTTAGATTTGAAATGTTTATTATGTATATATTTGTTACAGAAGATAGAATCAATGGTTTATGAGAATTAAAGATAATAGATAGATGATAGTACCAGTAATCATTATTATATTGTAGGGTAATAAGTGTTAATCAATAAGTATTTGATAATTGAAGGGTTCCTATTTTTGTTGCAGTTATTGTTCTTGTTTTTATTCATCAATTGCGCACAAGAAAGATTCTTGAAGAAGATCATGGTATAGAGAAGCCAAGATCGTCAGTAGTTCAATTGTACAGATCAATATTCTTTTGTTTTGGTAAGAAGAGGGCAAAACGAGGTATAGATAGACAGGAATTTGAAGAAAGTTCTTTAAATGATGTTGTTATACCGGATATTTATATACCTCCAATTATTTTTCCATCACAGGACCTGGATTTGTTTGCACGCACTTTTCATTCAGAAACGAATGATACTAGGTATCATACAAAGGTTTCTGTTTAATTTAGGGTGTGATTTCTGGTGTTACAAAGTTAATGGATGAGATGATGACTTATAATTTAATTTTTTGGCATAAGATGCCTTATATTTTCTTTAAACTTGATTAGGATTATGTATTTTCTTTCAAATATCAAAGATATTTGATGTCTAGGATCTGGATTTCTCTAATAATTAATTGTCAGTCCAATTTTTCTTGGTTTATATAAAGAATATATACAAAAAGGATTCTTTTTGTATATATTCTTTAAGAATATTCTATCAACTGGCTTTTATTTATATACAATCATTTGTAAATTTTTTACAATGTCTTCAAAAATACTTCTAATTATAAAAGTCTAGGCAAATAATTTATTATACATAAGATTTAAATATATGGGCTACATTTTTCATATATTTTTCAAACTATTCATTACCAATATCTCACTCATTCTTCACAAATATATTCTCTGCTAATTTCTTCACTTATTTCATGGCTAATTAGGTTCTTATTTACTTCTTTCATTACAGATTTCATCACTTATTATAAATCTTATTTTATATTTTTCTAGGCACTATCTAAAACTCAAAAAAAACATACAATACACATCTTAATATCTTTTTTCAGAATATTTCACTTCTTATATCTTCTTTATCATACTCAATTCTCTTCTTTATTCAAAAATATATACATCTTTTTCTTACATTTTTCTATCTCACCCCAGGAAACTCACACCGGACCATTCACACACAAATAAACATACACTATACACACTTTTACTTTCTTTTTCACTTATATTAACCTTTTTATCTCTTTATATTCTTTTATTCTAAGGTATTTATATTTTATACTTCTTATCATCTATCTTATTAATATATATATAGCAATTCATCTTTTTATCATTTTATATTATACAACTTTTAACACTGAAACTATTCTATTAACTAGCACTAGATATACATAGAGAATCCTTTAATAAGGCTTAAATATAATTTATATTAGCTATTTTTCAGGTATAAAAAATCGGATTCGTCTTAAATATTTTTTAAAAAAACCAAGTTAATATAAATATAAATGGTATATAATATTAATACATAAAACAAGAATGTTAGTATTTAAGCTAATAAATGGCAGTATTTTTATTAATATTTTTTACATAAAAAAATTATTGTTTTTAAGAGGGATATAATAATAAATTAAGTATTTGTTTATAAGGAGAAGCAAATTATTATCAACAAGAGCTTTAATAAGATTTAAAGAGGCCGAAATTATATGTAGAAATAGTTTTTATATTATTTTTTATTGAAGAATGACAAGTATGTTATATTTTGCGGGTTTTTTTGTCTATTAAGAGGATAATTAATTATTTTTTTCTAAACAGGGTTTCAGAGTCTATTTTCAGGAATAGAAAATGTATATTCAGGATTTTCTATGGATTTTCTTACATCTTTATTAATTTTGTTGTTTGGGATATTAGTATTAATGCCTATTCCAGTGTTTTTAAGACCGGATAAAAATATACAAGAATCATTATTTAAAACATGGGAAACAGTTAAACCGTATTATATTATGTCTAAAAAATCAGAGGATACTTTAAAAAATTCAACTTCGAATGAAGATGGCAAAACAGCGGTGAAGCAGGATTCAAAAAGCGGGAATGATACAAGATCTGATGACTTATCTAATAAAAACCCCAAAGACTCTTCTCAAAATACACTATCTAGTGCAGCAAATCCATCACCTGATGGAAAAAATGGAACATCTGAAGGAAAAAAAGAAGAATCTGGTAAAACAAGTGAAACAACTGGTAAAACAAATGGAACATCTAATAACTCTCCATCTGGTAATCCTTCAACTGGTAATCCTTCAACTAATAATCCTTCTTCTGATAAGCCTTCAGCTGATCCATCGAAACCATTAGATACGGCTGATAAGAAACCCGATGCTAACCAAAACCCATCAACGCCTACAAATAATCAAGAGGATAATAAAAAACAAGTTAGTAGTGTTTCTACGGTTACAGAAACGTTGCCGCCTGAATTAACCACAATAGTGCAAATTCAAACACATGTTTCTACAAGTACTGTAACAAATACTATAACAAGTACAGTGACAGATATATTAACAAAAATACCTGATGGAATTTCTGAAACAGTTCCTGTAAAAACTGTTGTTTCACCAGAAACTACGATTCCTACAGAAACTGTAAATCCTACAGAAACTACAATTTTTATAGAAACTGCAATTCCTACAGAAACTACAATTCCTACAGAAACTATAGCATCTGCTACACCTGTTACGACATCAGAATCAGAAACATTGGATATTCATCATGATGGGGTGGAGGGTACTAAAAATAAAGGTTTATTTGGAGAAGGATCTTTAATAGCGATATTGATACCATTGACTGTTTTTATTATCGTATTTATTGTCTTAGTATGGTTCTGGTGTAGAAGACGTAGACGATTTTCTAGAGTTCCTCTTAAACAAGCAGGAAACTATAAGATTACACCTATTATAAATGAAAGTTCTGAAGGAATCCAGCGAACTAATTACTCAGAAAAGGATCAATCATATAATGTTGAAGAGAATGATTTTAATAAAGGAGGATATAGAGGATGGGGTTCAGTAGGTACACCTATTAATAAAGCATCTTCAAGAAATCAAAGTCTTTCATCTGCTAATGTATCTCCTGCATATCAAAAACAGGAATACTTTTTTCCTAAAAATAATACTGAAAAAGAATCAAAGTTAAACACTCCTAAGAGTAAGTTTTAATATTATTTAAGTAATTTGGTTAATTTAGTTTTTAAAGATGAGCCTCGTAATTCCAAATCTTTTGAATCCAAGAATTTACAAGCACAATTTTTTAATAATGGCAAAAATTCAAACTATAGTACTTCTCCTTATTCTTTAAATTCGCAAAATACCATGGATTCTTTCGGTCGAAATGCTGCTCTTCTAGATTATGACTCAAATGTTGCTAAAGAGAATTATGCTAACAAGTTGTACAGTTATTCGGATGTTCCAAGGTCCTTGTCAACTAATTATGGAAGATTTTCAGAAAATAGGCGAAATGGTTTTCTAAGACAAAATCCTTCAACATTTAATAGATCCTCTGAAAAGTCAGAAATGCCTGATTTTTTAAAAAACCCTTAGGTATATATTTTAGATCATTTGATTTGAGAATTATATAAAGGGTTCATTATTAAATACTATATGTTAATTTTCCAATCCTATGAAATAGGTTTTGAATGAGAAATAGTTTTTACACTAGATTGTATATTAATTTGAATATTGATTGTATTAATTGAAAAAATTTCCACTTTATATTTTTATAGGCAAATGTTTTTTATAAATAATAACGTATATCATATACATAGCACAACAATAATAGTAGGCGAATTGGATATCATATTCTTGCAAGACACTAAATAAAAATTTATGAAATTTATTAAATAAAATTTACTATCAAAAAATACATTAATAATATATTTATAAAAGTAAAGCTTAAAATCCGAGTTATTCCAAATAATTAAAAATATCCTTTTCAATCATTATTTTTACAGCTCTTCTTTATATATAATTCATTTAAGAGAATTAAATAATCACTTATTTAATAAAGTTAGTTCATCCAAAAGAGATATCTCTTTACAATTCTTATTTGGAGATACTGTCCACTCTAATACTACCCAATCCGTGCTCTTTTCTTTACGAACACTCTTAAATTTAACAATTGCACTATCTTCTATATATTTTTTAACCATTCATTATAATATATTAAGTAAATACTTACCTGAACCACTCACTCTAAATGATATATCAATACGTCCTTTAACATGATTGATTCTTCCATGTATCCAGGGCAATTTAGATGAAAAATTAATATTTTTTCCAAGATATATTTCTGCTGTAGGACTACGTTTGAGCTGATACATAAGATATGAAATAACCGGAGAACAATAACGTTGATAATTAAATGAAACACCAAGTACAAGTCCCCATATTGTAATTCCTGCTATTACATATATAATTTTTCTTTTTTGTGATAAAATATTAGGTGATGAGTATGTAGTTTGATATCTAAACCGTTGATTAACCTGCTTGGTTGATTGAGATATACATGTAACAGTTCTTCTTAATATTCCAAAAGGTTTAACAAGTGTAAATAAGCTATGATTACGAAAATTCATGTATAAATAATTCATTTTGTTCTGATAATATTTTTTATAGTCATACTATAAATCAACGAATATAAGGTAGAATATTGTTTTTTCAATAATCTATGATGATTGAATAGATTTTTTAAATGCCTTTCTCATATCTTTAAGAAATCCAAAAAAATCTCTACATGTGTTTAATTTTGAAACAATCTCATGAACCGTTGCCAATGCAGGTGAACATTCGGTTACTTCTCTAATCAAAAAAAATACATAAAAAAAAGATCTTACCCTCATATTCCCTCTTTGAAAGATTAATAATAAAATAAAACTCTTTCATCCAATCATTTTCATCAATATGTGTAAAAATTATTTTAAGAAAATCATCTTTAACACCTTTAATTTTCATAGCCAAGTGTTCTTCCCAAAATTCAAGCTCTGGTTTGTCTTTAGCCGCCTGTTTAATAAACATATGTCTCATATTAGATCGAACTAATCTATTAATAAACTAATCATTCAATTTAACCCTTACATTCTCGTTTTTTTTGAATTGTTTGACTAATATCTTGTATTTTTTGTAATAAATACTCCCGTTTCTCCATCATAACCTCTTTCTTCTCCTTAAATTCTGCAATTGACCTTTCTGCCTCAATAACTTCTTGTTTTTCTCTCTCAATTGCTAATTTCCCTCAATATTCAATTCAACAAAAATACAACAATAATCTACCCTCCTGCATCCTTTTTTCAATCTCTTTACATTCCTCTATTTGTTTCTGTAAATTTCTCTGTATTTCTTCACTCATATCAATATACGTCCTACACACACTTATATTCAATATTAACCTCGATCTTCTCCTACACTTTTCAAATATCGATTTCTTTCCTCTAGCTTCTTTTCCCTCATATTCATTACAAATTTATCAAATTTCACTGTAAATTCTCCCATTTTATGTTTCATCTCCTCAAACATCATATTCATACTTGGAAGACCTGGTAATAACAATGTTTCACAATTGCTCCCAAAAAAAACAGATTCTCCATGAGACATCTTATTTTTATAAAAAATTAACAAATTTCTTGTTTATTTCCTTCAAAAAATACTACTTTTTATTCCTCTGTTTTTATTATTGGAATTTTGATATATAAAATGTCAACAAAAGTCATGTGATTAGGCGTTACCCGAGCAACAACGGACGTCTCACCTCTGACGACATAGATTTGTGAAAAAATAGATATCCTTAAAGCATGATAAATACGAGTTTTTACGGGTTATAAAGTCGTTTATCTTGTAGAATGACGAGTTCTGATATACGGGATGTTTTTAATTTACAAGAAATGGGCATTTCTAAGCCAGTTTCACGGGTTAAACCTAAAACACATTCAGAGAAGAAATCAGAGTTTATAACGAGAGAATTATACTCTCTTTTAGGAGAAAATACGCCTCCTATTGCGATACTTCAGAATAAGTTTAAAAACCGGCCGAAACTGCGGCAAAAAGCGGTTTCATGGTAGATCTAAGAAATTAGGAAATATATTATTAAGAAATGATTAATAGGGTGTGGACGTCATTTGTTAATGGAGCTAGAAAAGACGGACATTTGTTTAGTCATTGGGTAAGGGCAGGGGATAGTGAAAACGGTGTGTTTATATGTATAATTTAGGTATTAGAAGCTTATAATTAAGTAGAAGAATATAAATTTGAAAAATTGAATAAAAAAGTGAATATTATAGCGTATTCTAATGAGGAATATGCATTGAATCTTACGGGTTATTTTTTTATGTATAAAAGTGTTTTTTTTTAATTTTATTAGCATTGGATTGGTCTAGAGAAGAAACAGATTATTTATTTTCGCTTTGTAGAGAATATGATCTGCGTTTTGTTGTTATTGCAGATAGATATGATTATAAAGGGAATCAAAGGACTATGGAGGATATAAAAGATAGATATTATACGGTTGTTCGTAAAATTCTTATGGCAAGAACACCTATTGCAATGATGACACCTACACAAACAGAAGAATTGAATCAATTATATTATAATAAAGGTATATAGATTTTTTATTGTTTATTTGAAGCTAAAAAAAGGTTAAAGAAAAAGAGATTTCTAGAAAAAAACATCTGGCAAGTCTTGCTATGAGAACACCAGAAGAAATTGCAGAAGAAGAAGCATTATTTATAGAATCACAAAGAATAGAAGCCTACAGGAAAAAAATGGCACAAGAAAGAAAAGAATTGCTACGTCTTTTAGAAGCGCCAGTACCTAATGGTAGTATTGCTAAATATACATCTAGTCAAGGATTAGGAATTCTTACGAATAATATACTTATTGCTGATAAAAATAAAAAAAGAAAAAACTCGGAAAATTCTTCTTATCATACCCTCTCCGGATCAATAGGTTCACATAAAGATGCAATCTTTAAAAAAATCAGGAAACTTTCGTCTCGAGAAGGTAATCAATAATATAAACATAAAGATCTCTATTAATATCAATTCATAGAGAATATTTATGGCGTATCGTGGCACGAAAAATTACAACCAGGTATATATTTGCGTTCCACAAGGCTAAGTATGGCCAAATCCACTGTTGCTGCAAAAATTTCGACAATATTAACCGAGTTGGGTCTGGCTACTCGACTAACCATGCCTACTGAAAAAACTTGTGCTAAATTTGAACAACTTCAGCGCTCAATTGAACTTCTTTTAGACGCAAAAAAACATTTAGATCGTCTTGAACAAGAACGTCGTATTTCTGAAGTACGTGTTCAAGAAACTCCTGTCGACGATTCTCCAACCAAGACTGCTGATCCTCAAAACGATGTTCTTAAGCTTCAAAAACGTATCAGAAAATAATTTTCATGTATTTTTCTCAAAAATTAATCTTTTCACATTATTATCTCAATTTTTTTTCTTATTTTATTCAAAAAAAAAACTCCTCCTTTCTATCAATAAACCTATTTGGATCCGTTCTGTCTGATTTCTGCTGTATAAAAACACTTTTTATTCACTTAGCTATTTTTCTCGACTCAATACTCAGCGTTCGCATTTGATCATAAATCGAATTCCGTATTCTTTTTAGAAAAAAAGAAGGCTCTTTTAACCAAAAAATACTGCATAAAAAGGACCTTATTGGATAGAATATCCTCATCCTGGACCTTTTATTTTATTCCCGTTTGAACAGCGTTTTATAGAGAACTATTCGCTGTAAAAAAGTGTTTTAGTTTTGGGTTTTTATTAAGACTTGATCCTGATATTTGGAGGTCTATTTTTACTTGTTTTTCTTTAATTACTTGATGAAATTTTTTGGAACAACGTTTGTTTTTGATTATCCATGGCATCAGGTAAGGTTAATAAGAGGAGGGTTTATATTGGGGAGTAAAGATGTGCATACATGACGCATATATAGCGCATATATAGCGCATATATAGCGCATACACAACGCATACACAACGCATACAGCCTGTATATACCTCATATATGCGCTATATATGCGCTATATATGCAACATATATTACAGCATATATAATGTCAAAAACCATTTTGCTGTTTTAATCCATGGATATACAGTATTTTATCTTTTATTATTAAGGGTTACACTAAATATCCCTTAAACGTAGTTATCTGCTGTTTAATATGACATATTCTTGGGTTAATAACACTATGAAAGATATGTTATATTATTTTACAATATTTTTACAGTATTAATTGAGGAAATATGCACATCTTTATTGAGATAATATGGGAAAATGTTTTTTTATCAAGTTTAAGCTCATACAGAAGGGTTTAGATTAGTATCGCACATTGGAGAAAATATCCGAATGAACGAGCAACACATGTTGTTTCGATTGATACATTACGTAGAGAAATCGATCCGGAAACAGGTGTTTTGCGTACAGAACGACTTATTACATGTCGTCAATCAGCGCCTTATTGGATTCTTAAATTTGTAGGAGGAGGAGATTCATATGTACGTGAAGTTAGTGAAGTTGATCCTCGTACGAATCGTGAAATGTTAGTTATAAGATCGGCTAATTTGACTTTTTCACATGTTGTTTCAGTTGAGGAACAAGTTATATATCGTCCGGCACCAGATGACCCAAAACACAAAACTCTATTTGAACAGGAAGCAACGTTTCAAGCAATGGCAAGTTTTGCACGACTCGTTAATACAAAAATGGAAGAATGGTCAGTACGACGATTTTCTAAAAACGCTAGGACAGGACGGGAAGGTTTTGAAGGAGTTTTAGCACAAATATATGAACAAAGAGAAGAACAAAATGGATAAGGAATGTCATTTAATGCTTTTTAAAAGTTAAAACAAAAAAAAAAAAACGTGAAGTATTGTTTCTTAAAACTTGAGCATTATGATTCATATCAAATAAAAATAACTGTAAAGTATTTTTAAAAAATATTTCTCTACCAAAATCACATGCATTAGTTATTTAATACTTTTGATATACTGTATTTCTATGGATCTTTCCTATCTATAATACCTCTTGGTATTTTCCTTGGGGTATTTTTTTCGAGGGTTTTATTTTCAAGTCTCTTCTATACACATCTCCGATAATGTTAATCTTATTGATTGGAGATCTTCATGTTCCATCCCGTGCACTTGATATTCCTTCCAAGGTAAGTATTATAAAAATCTTAATATAATATTTTTTAATATTATATTAAAAATATGGTTTCTTATAAAAATATTTATAGTTAAAAAAATTATTAGTACCAGGCCGTATTTCACAGATTTTATGTACAGGGAATCTTGTTGATCATGAAACAAGTGATTTTTTGCAAACTGTTGCACCAGATGTACATTTTGTTAAAGGCGACTTTGATCAAGTAAGTCAAGGAAAAAATGGAAAAAATAAAGAATGAATAAAAAGAAAAGCAAGATAGAGGGATTAAAAATATATAATCTATTGATTTTAAATTGGAGTTCAATATTTGAAAATTATACATTTAGTTTTTACATACTAAAGATATCCGTAGAACAGAGGATGGCCTTTATCAAGAGTGATTGTAGTTGATTCTTTTCGAATTGGCTTGATTCATGGACATACAGTTGTTCCTAGACTTGATAGTGATGCATTACATATGGTTGCTAGACAAATGGATGTTGACATACTTGTTTGGGGTGGAACACATCGATTTGAAGCTTATGAATGGGATGGAAAATTATTTGTTAATCCAGGTAGTGCAACAGGTGCTTTATATACAGGCTGGGAAACAGAAGAACCGATACCTACATTTGTTTTAATGAGTCTTCAAGCAACTGTTCTTGTACTTTATGTATATCAATTGATTGGAGATGATGTTAAAGTTGAAAAACTTCAATATCCTAGAGAAAAAACAGAAAATACAAATTAAATATAATTTTTTATTAAAATTTGGAGATATATAATTCATAATATAAATATATTATTTTTTAAACGTTCTTTTAAAATTATTTAATTCTTATAAAACATACCAAAATATATTTCATTATTTTTGATTATGGGTTGCATGTTCTTAAAAATCTAGATATCTTTAATGAACAAAAGTATCTTTAAATAAACCTTAATTAATTCATTTCAATCTATTTATAAACTATATTTGTTATTTTTATAAATCACTTTGTTTTTTAGAAAAAAAAATAATATAACTGATATAATAAATACTTTCTAATTGATTTGTAAATTATTAATAACTCTAGTTGTAAGCATTTTTCATTTTAATTCTTAGACAAATGACATACCGTTAAATCTTTAATATAAAATCTAGTCGATATTTTAAAGAAGATTAAGTGAATTATATAGATTAATGAATTAGAAAGACATGAAAACACCGCCTTTTTCAACAATAAAAACAGATAATAAAGTTTATGTAAAGAAATCCAGTAAAATTCGTAGTATTGTTTCTCGTGGATTATATGTTTTAACTGAACGAGAATTTGAAAGCACATTCACTGTTGAAGCACAAGGTTTAAGTATAGGAAAAGCAGTGACAATCATTGAGATCCTAAAAAGACGATTAAGAGACGCAGAGCTTTCATTTTGGCAATATAATCAACTTGACAATGCTAATGCAAGTATGCCTCATGCAGACAGTATGACCAACAATGAGTATTTCCAAAGTTTATTATTATTCTGTATCTTAAATATGTTTTAGACGTTTTTTGAACCTAGAAATTGGATGTGCAAAAGATTGTGTAAAAAATGTAAAAACTAAGTAAAAAATGCCTTTGTCCTTCATGTATTGATATTTATTAGAATTATCCCAGTATTAAGAATGAAATTAAGTAGAATCCCATTAGATCTAACAGGTGGATGGAGGTATGATTATTTATATATGTTTAAATATGTTTAATATGCCTTAGAGAACAATTGAATCACCATTCATCAAAAGATAGTAGTATACAACAGATAAATTGATAATGAAAAGCCGAAAATTCTGAATAATAAATATTTTATAAATAAAAGAAATGTTTATCTGAATTAATGGTATGAATATATAGTGTTTTGCTTAGTAAAATCATGAAAATTTAGTGATAATTTCGTCGTCAAGACTGCTATCACAAGTGATAGGTTGTGCTAGATGTTTCACAAGCATTCCTCTTTTTTTAAGTTTATTACGAGATTGTTTTGTTGGTTTATTTGTATTAAGATTTAATGAAGCAAGCTTTAATACTTCTTGTTCCGATATATTATCCGTAGAAGTTGAAAGCGATAAAGATGATATATCAGATGAAGTGTTTCCAGGAATATTAAGTGCTAGCTGTGCTGTTTCCTTTGTATGTTTTATTTCTTTTGGCGTTGATGTTGCGACTGGTGGTGCATCTGATGATAGCTGTTGAAATGACGATAATTCATCCAAAATATTAGCTGAAAGATCATTTATATCAATATGCGGATTATTTTTTGGCTGTGCTGAATCATCTAAGCAAGCTATAGTTGATAAATTCCGTTTTTTACTAGTAGAAATGGGAATTTGCTTATCTAAAAACAAAGGTTGCTTTTTTTTAAGCTTTGTTATAGAAACTGTAACCTCTGGAAATGTTTTTTTTAATGGGAATGGCTTGGTAAGGCGGTTAATCGGTCGTTTTCCTGATAAATTACCTATTTCTTCCCTTTTTTGCTTATGTAACAGCGCCGATTCTTTTCTTACTGAATTCTTCACTGGTTTATCTACAATATTTGATTTATCTGAAAGAATTTTTGTAGGAATTGGCTTCCGTAAATATGTACGTCTAGGTGGGACTGGATCGCTTGTTATATGCATATTAAGACCCGGATTTTCGCACAGATTCTCTTTAGAAGGTGAATTCTTCTTTATATCTGCGATATCTGTCTGTTTTTTACGAGAATATGTCACTTTTTGTCTCATCTTATCTTTGAACAAAAATTCAATATAAATTCCTCAAAAATTAACCGTTTAAACCCGTTCAAAAAAGCCAATATATCAATTGACTGCTCTGATTCGTTTTCTTAAGTTTTTTTGTCTTTTAAAGCTCAATTTTCCCTGCTTTTTACTATTATTTTTTTATCAAATAATTATGAGGTTGATTTAATGGGGATATTCTAGGTGTCCCGAATCGTTCATTGATAAGTCTTGCTATATATTTAGTGCATACAAAACGCATATAATACGCATATATTGCGCATATATTGCGCATACAGCCTGTAAATTATCACTAAAACACATAAAATATTGTATTGTCTAAGATTTAGATCACTTTGCGCTTTAAAATCCTTTAATGTTTAAAAATGAATGTAAAGCTTAAATATAAATAAATTCATTAAGAAATATTCTGATTAATTCTTTAGATTCGTCAAGCAACTGTTGAAGACCTTCCAGGAATGCAGCAAGTAAATCTTACTAATTTACCTGAAAATTATCAAATGAAATATTGTAAGTGAATAATTAATAGTATGATACGCGCACCTGGTTGTCCGTAATGTTGATACACCTGGTTGTCCGTAATATTCGTACACTCGGTTGTCCATAATATTCAATATTATGACAAGATATATAGAGATAACTAAATTATTATATGAAATATCATTATAATTTCATATAATTGTTGAATATTTATATAAAATGTTATTTAATTAGTTTTTATTTTATTTTATTATTTTTTTAATTAACAAGTATAACAGATCTTTATCACCTTTTAACATGGCCTCAATTATCATATGTAGCAACTAATGCAAAAAATCGTATTATTGGATATGTTTTAGCTAAAATGGATGAAACAGATGATACATCTCAACAAGGACATATTACATCATTAAGTGTTCTTCGTAATTATCGACGACTTGGTATAGCTGCACAATTGATGCGTCAAAGTCGTAAGTTTTTTATACATATAAATCTTTAACATTTTAATTTATTTATTTATAGAACAAGCTATGGTTGATAATTTTCAGGCTAAATATGTTTCTTTACATGTACGTAAAACAAATCGTGCTGCATTAAAATTATATCGTGATAGCTTAAATTTTGTGTATATTTCATATTATTCATTTTAATATATTTACTAATATATATGAATATAGGGTTGTAGGTGTTGAAAAAGAATATTATGCTGATGGTGAAGATGCTTTTTCAATGAGGTTATATTAATTTATTATTTTTAATTATATATTAATATAAAAATAGATGTGATCTTAGACATTTAAAAGAACCTGGTATAGATATATTTACTTCTGAAGATCTATCTTCGGACACTTGTTTGTCCGGTAGACGAAATCTTACTAATAAGGACACCGGGGTGTCCGAAATGATGGAACAATTAACTGCAGAAACTCAACAATTTGTTCTTTAAAATATTATTTTAAAGATAAATATATATATAAATATATACATTATATATAAATATATACATTATATATAAATATATGAGAATATAATCTTATATAAATATAATTTTATATAAAAGTATATTAAAATAAAAAATTCCATAACTTTTCATTAATCAATATTTATTAAATTATATATATTTATATTTTAGCAATGTTATGGAATATTCTTAATAGATATAAGTATTTCTATAATATTTTATTACTTTTTTATTCTTTATATAAATTCTGATTTCGAAATGACTCCATTATACGAAATAATCCATATATATTTAAAATAATAATGTGTAAATAGATCACTTATTTTAGCCATTGATTTTAAATTTTTTTATATTTCTTTATTTCTTTCTTTACTTCTTTCTCTACTTCTTTCTTTCTTTCTTTCTTATATATTTATTTATCTTTATGATAAATGTTTGTCATTAAGTGCGACACATACAGCTGCCTATAAAAAATATTTAGATTAGAATATATATAATATTCTTATCATAATATATATATATTTATAATATTTACCTTATGATGTCCATTATATTGACGAATTGTCTCTCCAGAGCTCAATTCCCATAATCGTGCTACATGATCGGACGATGCTACATATAAATTAACAATTGCTTATTTTTATACCATTTTCATTTGTTTTTCATAATATTTACCACTAACTAGATATGCTGAATCCGCTGAAAATGCACAATCCCATACCCAACGTTGATGTCCTACAAGTTGTTTCTCAATTGAAAATTTAAGCTTTTCTCTACTCCATAATTTAATCGTCGCATCTGCCGAACATGTAGCTAAATGTTTCGCATCCGGTGAAACGAGACATCTTGTAATATAACGTTTATGTGCTTGAAATGTATAATCAGGTTCTTTTAATTGAAGATCATTCGATTCTGTATACCATACAAAACATATTCCCTATTTTTATCATTAGTTTTTATTCTAAATCTTTCTCTCTTTTCTATTGATCCCCTCCTAACCCCCCCCCCCCCTCCTAACACCTCTAACTCCCTCCTAACTCCCTCCTAACCCTCTTCCCCCCTCTATACCCCCTTATAATACCTCTCAACCTTCTTCCTTCTACTTTCATGTATTTTTATTTACTTATACCCTTCCTTCCTACATCATAACTAACCTCATTATTCCCTGCTACTAACATAGACCCATCATTCGCTACTGAAATACTATGCACCGCTATCTCATTCTCATTTGCCCACATTCCTGTACATAAATTCTCCTTCAAATCCCATAATTTAATACACCCCGTCTGATCACAGCTGATCAAGTCCCCTTGGTTAGGGTGGACCACCACATCATTAACTGCTGCTCCATGTCTAAAGTGTCTTTGTACTGATGACGTACGTAAATCCCATAGCTTAACCGAGCCATCTTCTCCACTAGTAACTACCCATTTACCCTCTCCATGAAACGTCACTCCTGTAACATTTGTTGCATGTCCATCCAGTGTCAAAATAGGACTTGGAGCTATTGTCTGGATGTCGTAGAGACGTATATGACGATTTCCTTTAGATATTTGTTGAGTCAAGGGAGGATATTATAGGTTTATACCTGCAGCAGCAAGAAGACGTTTATCAGGGGAGATACATAGGCGATTGACCTGTGAATCAGCATGCTGAATGGTTCTTAGGCAGATACCGCTTAGTGCTTCCCAGAAGCGGATTGTTCTGTCGTATCCAGAGGTGACAAGGACAATGGTATGGGCGTGCATAGGGAGGCGGGTAGAGAACGAGCAGGTAAAATAGGAAAAGAGAAGAAAAGAGGGGCAAAAGCGGTGAACGAAGGGGAGAACGAGTGAAAATCGGTGAGAGGGATGATTAGAGAGTGATAGAGGAGGTTTGTAGAAAAAAAAACGAGAAAAAAAGATGAAAATTAAGGTGAAAACAGGAAGAAAAGAAATAAGTGAAAGATTGAAGAAAAGAAGAGGATAAATAGTGTGAAAAAGAGAGGAATAATATTGGATAAGGAGTATAATAAGGAAAAAAGAAAAAAAACGGTATTTTTTTAGGTGAAAATGAGACATTATTGAAGAATAAAAGTGACATAAAAAAGAAGGTTAAAAAAGGGAAGAAAAGGGCGTTTTAAAGAGAAAAAAGAGGAAAAATAGGAAATAGAGGAGGGTGAAGTATAGGGAAAAGTTTTTTGAATGGGATTTAGAGGATGAATTTTGAAAAAATGAGAAGATAAAATATTTTATATGATAAAATTGAGTTTAAAGAAGCTATGAGTCATAAATGGGAGTCAAAATATAATGAGAAGGGTATTTCAAATGATTTGAAAGACTCGGAGAAAGTTTTGTTGTATAAAAAAAGTTTTAAGGGAAGTAAAAGAAAAATAAGATGTAATTAGTTAGTATATGGACTGGGATGATCATGGTAAAAGGTCTGAGGTATAAAATTAAGGGGGTTCTTTTTTTAATTTGTTTTTTTATACATTTTTTTTGTGTTTAACATAGAAAAAGAGCCATAGAAGAGGTTCTTTAAGATTATGTATGATTTATGTTTAAAAATGTGAAAAGGACATACATAGGAAGTGTATTACTATATATCTTATTGATGGGATATATTAGTTTCTTATGGAGATGCGATTGACTGGGGTTTATAGATGTTATATCTTAAAATCCACAAGGCTATGGCATACATTATTTTATATAAGGAAAAAAGAACCTTTAATTTTATAAAAAGGATGTATCAGATCAACTGAAAAGACCTGAGCATGTTTTATAAAGATTTAAAGTATAAATTTTAGAATGTAGTATTAATATTTGTATAGGAAGATAATGCTTTATATTTTCTTCAGAAAGATTATAGAAATAGTATGTTGGGGGAGATCAATATGTCAAAAAAAGATTTATATTCATTACATCAAGGTTTATATATACATATTTTTTATTCTAATATTAAAGGAATCTAAATTTAAATAGTACCAGAAAATAGAATTGATCCTATAAAAACAACATCGGGATTAACTTGCAATGAACCCTGCATTTCCTCGAATATACTTTTACGCTGCTCTATATCTAAATTTCACTGTAATAAGTCATGTTATAGTTCTTTATTTGGAAACTTTATTAAAAATAATTTTTTAAAGCAATGTCCTGAATGTGCGGCTAATGAATATACAAAAGATGGTTCTTTTAACTACATACTTTAATGATTCATTGCCTTATAATTTTTAGATCAAAATATGGAAAAAGATCCAGAAAAATCACCAACTTATAGATTTTATAGTCAAGCAAAATCTGCACATTATTCTACATTCAATTCAAATGAAAAAGAAGCGAATTCCAACATATTAGAAGATTGTTTTCTTAATGACAAATTATATCCATCAATGAATAATTCTACAAAAGATATTCCAGATTTTATATATCATTCTAAAGATATGAATTCAGATGCATATTTGAAAAAGACATCTCAAGACACTTTTAGCAATTGTTCTTCAAAAAATATGTTACATTGTGATAATCCAATTCTTAATCAAGATAATATAGTTAAATGTGATATTAAAAATATAATTAATGAGGAACAGTTAGATGATGAATTGCTTCACAAAAATTGCTTTAATGATATGGATATTGATCCTATAGATCTAGATGATGATGAAAATAGTTGTATAGATGTTGAAGACTGTGGTTATGAATTACAAGTAGGAAAACAAGAAAAAATCTATTTTCCTATATCTAAAAAGAGAGGAAGGCCAAAAAGAAAGCCCATTGCTAAAACATCTTCTAAAAGTAAATCATCGAAGCTTAAAGGAATAGCGAATAATGTTAAAGTTTCTCCTATCTTGAAACCATTACGTAAGAAACGACTCTTGAAAAAACATGAATACATAAGTTCATCTAGTTCTCCTGAGGAATGTACAAAAAATAATAAGGAATCTTCAGATCCTTCAATTTTAAAGAAAAAAACTGCGAATTTTATTGAACCTTCTCAGACATTGGCTTTACATAATAAATCCAAAAGTTTCTCACGTAAGAGGAAACGTTATCAAGACACAGATGAACATTCTATAAATGATCTAACCCAATCGCAAGAATTTCCTCATTTATTTGGATCTGCTCCAAGATTACCTGCAGAAATTAAAGATGGACAAAGACTAGGAAAGAAATATCGCAGAAAATACAATATATGTGATTTAACATATGTACATGTTCACCGTCAGATTTCAACACCTAAAACGTTACTCCATGATGCAAATGAAAATAAAGATGATTTTTCATTTGATATATTAAATTTGATTCCTAGAGAAATGGTTCCTGTTGTTACAAGTAATAGTCAGCTTGGCTTTAGAGAAGCCATTATTGATAAAAGATTAATGAGATATAAAAGAGGTGTACCAATTTTTCGTGTAGGGCGTAGAATTCCTGGAGAGTTAAGTTTATTTTAATTTCTTAAAAATATTGCAATATATGTTAAAAATCAATTGTAGAATTCTTCGTTATATTCATAAAATTACAAATTATCTATACATATAATATATCAGACTTCATAAATAACTGTATATTCTGTATTTTTACCCGGTTTTAAAACACCTGCTTTATTAAGAAGTCTTTCTAACTCCCCACTATACCCTATCAAAAATATATTTTACCCAATTAAAAAAATATACTTTTTATATATCTCAAGGAGAATATCACATCCTCCAATAAACTCATTCTGAATACATTAAAACTTGTATAAATTCCTTTAAATTTTTACTACATCAATATAAAGTTGTGGTATTGTTCTAGCTTCATAAGAAATAAAAAAAAAACCTATAAATTTATTTCTTACGGCCAATTACTATATTCTTTAATTCCTTGTCTCATTTTATCATCTTCTAATACATTATATGTTATAAACTTAGTAGGATTGATTGAAAAAAGGTTTAATATATGGATTGCAGCGCTTGAAAAGCCGCATAAAGGTTTTTCTGGTGTTCCCTTCATAAAAAGAACTACTGGAGATGCTAAAAACCTATTTAATAGCCCGTTATTACTTCTTGATCGTACCTTTTATAAGATTTTGGATATTAGCACGAGTTTTGTGGCAAATTTCACGGGAAAAAAACGTACCCCCCATAAATATACCCGTTTTAAGTCTATTTAAAGGGTAAATTCTTCGTTTTATTAGCTTTTCAATGAGATTCATCGATTTTTTTTCTTCTTTATTTTTTTTGTAGTTGACCGTTGCCTATGGCAACGGACGACCATCAACTTCATAAATAAATTTAATAAATTTTTAAGGAAAAAATAGGTATTTATTTCATGTTTTTTTATGATTTTATTGATTAATTTTAATTTTTCATATAGGATTTGATATTTTTCCTTTTTTTCCCGTGAAAAAAGCTTAAAAAACGGGCATAATTTGATGGAGAAACAAACTCTTAATTATAGAGATACAATTGATACTTTTTATAAGGAAAACTATGCTGATTTTTCGTCTACGAACGGATATAAGTTCATTGATAATAAATTGAGATCGAAAATGCGAGGTTTTCTCTCATTATTTTGAGTTTTTTTTTTGATATGTCAGATGATACAAAAATACCTCTTGTTTTAATTGCTTGCGGGTCATTTTCACCTATTACATATCTTCATCTTCGTATGTTTGAAATGGCAGCAGATTCTGCCGAAAAAGAACGAGAAATGGAGGTTCTAGGTGGCTATTATTCACCGTAATAAGAAGTAAATTGGAGGGTAGAATGTTAATTTTTCAGGGTATCAGATGGGTATAAAAAGAAAGGATTAGTTAGATCAAAAGATCGTCTTAAAATGTGTGAACTTGCATGTGAAGAAACGAGTTCATGGGTTATGATTGATGCATGGGAAGCATTACAAGAAGAACATACACGTACAGCAATTGTATTGGATCATTTTAATTATGAAATTAACCAAATAAGAGGAGGAGTTTATGTAAAAACAGGAGAGAAAAAAAAAGTGAAGATTATGTTAGTAGTGGGAAGTGATTTACTTCAAAGTATGATGAGACAAGTAGTTTGGGAAGAAAAAGATGTAAGAAATAAGGTAAATTATTAAAGAGAAAACTAATTAAATAGCTTCATCATATTTTTAAGTATTATGGATGTTTTGTTATTGAAAGAGAGGAAGTCGATGTGTTAAGTGTAATATAATTATATATATATATAAATATTGCTTATTAAAGAAGGAAATTTCTAAACATAATATCCTTTCTATGTACCAAAACAATATTATTATTGTTAAACAGTGGATATATAATAATATAAGTTCGACAAAAATACGGTAAATTCATTTATTATTATTGTTGTTTAATAATCCAAGTTTTTGAAGATTTTGTATTCAAAATGGTTTGAGTATTAAATATTTATTACCTGATTCAGTTCTTCAATATATATATCAAAATAAACTTTATTTAGCTTGAAATATTGGATAATATTTACAAGTCAAAAATAAAGGTTTGAATGAAGGTTTCTTAGATATATATGTACTCTTTTGATATTGGTTGTATTCATCTTAAACAAAGTCCACATGTTTCATTTATCATATATATTGCTAAGTCAGGTTCGTCATATATTCGTTTATACAAAAATTTTTCTTCTTCCTTCATTGTTGATAAAGGTTTCCTCCTTCTATATATATGAAATGAGGTTCTCCTTGAATATATGGATGATTTATTAAAATACCTTTTAATATATAAATTTTTGGATTTATCAAGATAACATAAATTTTTTAGTATGGCATGTTCTAAACCTTTTCTTTTACTTGCTCTTACTAAAAATTGAAGTGTATTGTTAACTAAAAATATTTAATAGGTATTTTATGTATTTTTTTTATTTTGTCAAGATTTACTTCTTTCTGTAGGTGGAGGTAATACTCTAAAAGCTGCACGAATCTTATCTCTGATAATGTATTTTGCTGGAATAGAATCACATACTGCTTGACGACCAATCCGTAGGAATTGACGATATAATGTACGTACTTCAGCTGAATTCATTATATAAATTTTTATGTACTACTAAGACTAATCGACAACCTAATAAAATTTAGTCTTTTAGGAAAAAATATGATAGACAGACAAATATATAATGATTCTATCCCCTTTCATTAAGATTTTAAATGATCTTAATGAAATGTTCAAAGATAAATTTACCTGAAAAAAAGTTAAAATGAATGTTAATTTTGAAGATGAAAGAAATCTCAAGTAATGAAATATGCCCAGGAATATTAATCTTGTTAAATAAAATGTATTAGAATTATTATAGATAGAAATGAGTGTTTTAAAATGAGATTTCTTTCATTTTTATACATACCTAACATAACCTTTACAAAAAATACACAAGTTTTATAATAAAAATAAGCAGTTATGGCTATTGCTTATTGTTTTGCTATTCTTCTTCTTCTTTGTCGCTATTTTCTTGAAAAAATCTTCGTTGATTAGGATTTCTTATTAGATCATCATTTGGTATTGTTCCTTGTGCCACATCCATTTTATATGTATCTTCTGTATTTTCATTAAATATCTTTGGCCTGAAAGATAATTAATATTGATTTTATTTTTAGAATTAGCTATTCAACCAGTATTTTTTCTTTTTCCATATTTTTTCATTTTGAATAATCATAGTTATTTCTGCTTGTATTTTACCACCTTTATTATCAAACTCATGTGTATCAATCACAACGAAACCACCTCGTCTAACCCATATTTTGCAACGAAAACGTGCTGGTAGTTCTGCTAAGAGAGTTTCTCCATCAGCTGTTTTACATAGATATAAATCATGATCTCTTATTTCCATTACATATGCTATTTTTTGATAAATAGTTAACTCATGTGGAGGATCAAGTGTTATTTGACTTAGTTTCTGTATTTTTTTTCTAAGCATTTCCTAAGCAGCCAATAAATATAAAATTAAGTAATATTGATAGTTTATATATAATGATCCTTTTAAATACTTGTAGTTAAACTACAAATAAGCCTGATTATGTTATATATAATAGTATTTTCAAATTCGCCAAAAAAGAAATACTTTATAGTGAAAAATATTTAAAAGACTAAAACGTTGGATAGATGTTGTTTTTAATTGAAAAAAATAAATATTGATTTTTATCAAGTGTTATATTAGATTCAAAAAATATGTTTTCATATCTAAAACATATTAGAAATTTGTTTCTACAAAATCTTATGTATCTAATGCCAAAATATAATCGTTTAGATAATTTTATCTGTAATAAATTTATGTATTTTTTGATAATATTTTTGCCTAAAAAACCAGGTTGTAATACTTTCGTTATGATGAACTTTCTTCATTTACTCCGTTCTGGATACCATTCATATTTTTCTTCAATTGTTTTGAAGAGAAATAAAGCTCCTTTAAAATTTCCTCGTCCTTTTTCTTTCTAATGCGTTCAATTTCGTCCATACAACCTACATTTTTGAATTTAGTTTTATTCAAAAATTCATCAAGTTCATTTTTAAATTTATCGATATAAAATCTAAAATTGTTTTCTTGTCTCTCCATTTTTGCTATAGTACTTGCTCTAACTTCAAGCTCTGGCTTTGCACTTCGAGTTTCAAGGTTAAGTGTGTTTAATGAATCAGTAGAACCTTGTTTTAACAAAGAGTAATTTAAATGAGCATTCTTTTCCTGATATTCTGAATATGCAACAATATTTCCAAATATTTCCATTGTTGAGACAATATCTGCTTTCAAATCATCGATAAAACTTTCTTGATGTGCCAAAAATTCCTGTTCTTCAACAACATTTTGTAACTCCATTTCCCATAATTGCCTCCAATTGGGACTAAGACTTTGTAAATGATTTATAAGGGAAACCATATCTTTTTGGATTTGTGCTTCTTTTTTGCGTACGTCATCAAGTTGCTGTGTTAATGGCCTAACTTTTCTATTGATAACATCTATACGAAGACTACTAACAATATCAGTAAGATTTTCGATTTTTGTTACAAGAGATTGTGTTTCGACTTCAAGTTTCTTTTTTCCTAGTTCAATAAAATGTCGAGAACCTTCTGGCTTATCAAAAACTGTATTTTTAACTTTTTTAGTCTTTGAATCAATATCCGCCATGGAAGATTTTATAGATGAAGTGAAATCGGTATAGTTTGCACGAAGAGAATCCAATTCTTGACGAATATTTTTAAGCGTAAGTAAATGATTTTTTTGAGTTTTCAAAAAAACATTTTCCTGTTTAGAAGTAGATTCTGATGTAACTTTTGATACAGAAGTTGATGGACGTGATGCTATTTCAGAAATTATTTCTTTTTGCCCTTCAAACGACGTCTTTAATGATTGTAATTCTTTCGTTAAAGAAGAAATCCCATCTTCTAATGCTTTATTTGGTACATCTTTATACAAATATTTAGATATACTTTTTATTTCATTATTCAATGGATTACCTTGCATTTTAAGAGATATTAAACTATGATCTGTAATATCTTTTGCATCTTCAAGTTCATAAAAAATTCTGGTCCGATGATCTTGAATATAAAGAGGAGGAAAGTGATTGTCGCAAGGATCAAATTGAAATTTTTCAATAAAAAGAACTCGAACACCATTTAATGATATATTCTTGTTATGAGTAACCTTTTTCACTTGAGATCCATATTGCAGGAAAAGTGTAAATGTGGTAGACTCTGGTGTGGATTTCAAATGATTTTCTGGCGATTCATTGCAAACAACTTCTCGTTGAACATAAGTGTTTGTGCTTTTGTCCATAGATATATTATCATGTGCTAATATAATCATGAATATTTTTATTAAAAATATATATAAAATACTTGGTGTAGAAAAAGGCGGATTATTTAGAGAAACACTTCTAGTTTCCGTTTTTTTCTCTAAAATACCCTTCAAAGCATTAGATTTCCTGCCTTCTGATGATATTTGAGAAACGTTTTGTAATGGTGATGTATATTCCGTTGAATATAAAGAATATCGTTTCTTCGGACGTTTATCAAGCATATTACTACGTTGAAGTGATGAAAGTAACTGATTCCTTGGTGATTGAGGATTCGGCGTACTAGATTCATTTGTACTCGATAAAGGATACGGCGATGATGATAAATCTGATGATGAATGTATCGATGTAGGAAGAGCTTGATGTGTCCCTGAAAATGGAGATGATGATGTTAAGTCATGTAATGGATGTTTTTCTCCAATTGGATGCGTTAGCGCAAATGACGATGTACTACGTGACGATGATGCCGGTTCCACTGAAACCATATGTTCTCTTCCAGGTGGTGTCACTTTCTCCGATGAATTATCACATACCGTATGTCCAGATGATTGTGATGATGAATATACATGACGAAAATGCGCCGACATAGATCTACTTCGATGAGGCGTAGAATATGCATATTCTGATCGTGAACGGTATTCCGCTTGCTTATTCTTAAGTCCTTGAAGAAGATTAATTATAATAGAACGGATCCTCGGTAAATAATGTTCAAGTGCTTCCGGTGATGCTTCTTCTGCAAGCATACTTTCAAGAATTACACGTAAATCTTCAGGAATCGTTGCAAGATCACTAAAACTTTTATAAACCCTTTCTTAAACATTGTAAAAACTTACAACGTATCAATCTTAGCATTACTAAATGCTGATATTGCTAAATTAAACTCATTTCCTAGTCGAACATAAACATCTGAAACATCTCGTTCTTCTGCATTTCCATGAGACCAGCTGTTTAATACCTCAAGAAGTTGTTTTGTAGCTAAAAGAATCTTTGTAATTGATGATTCAACCCGAGAATCCATTGATTTTCGGTGTTTATTAAGCTGGTTGAGAGGATTTTTCTTGTTGGAAAGATTGATGGAGGTTGAAGAATTCCATGGGAGGATTTTATAGAGAGGTTGCCATGGTGAGGTTGCCGTGGTGAGGTTACTGTGACGACGGTATCTATGACGACGGTATCTATAGCAACGTCGCTATTATAGTATAAGATTGTTTTTATAATGTTCGCTAAGGATGTTCGCTAAGGGCGTTGCTATAACAACCGTAGCTATAACAACCGTGGCTACGACAACCGTAGCTATGACAACCGTGGCTATGACAATGATATTCATAATAATCGTATTGATAACGATAGAATTAATATTAGTATAACTTGAGAGTAGTTATAACGGTGTAGCTATAACGGTGTAGTTATAATGGAGTTACTACGACAATAGTATATATATGATGGTTATATTAGTATAATAAAGTTAACTATAACAATGTTACTATTATATAACGACGTAACTATAACTTCAGTATGGAGTTACTATGGCGACGTTACTATGGCGACGTTACTATGACAACCGTATTCATCATCATCTTGCTATAATAAATGTTGTTATTATAATAATGTTACTATATAAAAAGGATGTGAGTACTAAGAAGATCAGTATAAGGATGTTACTATGACGGAGTTTCTATAAAGGCGTTACTATGACGACGTCACTATAAGAATGTCAGTCTATGAATGTCACTATAAGAATGCTATTGTAATAATGTTGCCGTGCCAGGTGTTGCCGTGCCAACTGTTACTATGACAACTATATTCATGCCTACTTCTTCCCTATAATAACCATCTACCTGGAAACTTCTCTATAACATCTCCTAACAACCGTCACCCTGGCAACTGTATCCTGGCAACTGTATCCTAGCAACATCACTATAACAACCACTCCCTAGCAACACCTCCCCATCAACATCGTCCTATCGACGTCTCCCTGGCAACCGTCTCCCTGGCAACCATCTCTGCTACTGTTCGCATTATAAATTATTCTTGCCGTCCTGACCGTCAGAAAATCTCTTCCAAGTTTTTCTCCTGAAAAACTGTCTAATTTGACTCAAAATATAACCATTTTACGAGTCAAATATTAGACAAACAACGATAAAGAAGCTTATATATACGGGTTTCAAGGGACATAAAGGTTCATCGGGTGTTTTGCTGCGTCTGTGCTGATACGCATATAAGACGGTATTTCTACGCATATATCCCGGATGAATCATGTCAAACAAGCAATGGAAGCGAACGGAAGCAGTGTAAGTTGTTTTATTTTATTGGATGTTATTTATTTTTTAGTGGAAAGCCTTCGCCGGTTCATAAAAAATGGACGCATATATCCCCAAGATTTTCAGCAAAAATTGAGTCAGATGCTTCAATCAAGCATATGCATGATCGGATGCTTTTCCTGATTATAAATCTTGCTGTATTTTATAGCATTTATAAGGATTTTTTTGATTTTTTTAGGGTCGTATTGTTTCTGTAACACTTAGAAATGGGATTTGTTATAAAGGGATTCTTGGCACGGTTAATACGGAGTCTGATATGGGAGTTGTTCTTAAGATGGCTATGGTAGTTGATGGGACGCAGTTTGATGGAACAGGACAGACCAATGGGGTACAACATCGTATTATTGATGAGTTAATTATTCTTCCCCGTGATTTACTGGGGATTCGTGTGGATAAAGTAGATTTTAATGAGATATCTCAGGCGGAACAGAGTATTTTTTTTTTTTTGCTATATTCTATCTTATTTTACGATAGAATTCCAAACGGACGCAGAAATTAGTGGAAAAACGGAGTTTAAAGAAAGAGAATTGCATAAATGGGAGCCATCGACAAATGATGCAGATGAATTTGGTCCTTTGGAGGAATTGACAGAAACAGTATCGAATGGAGAGGTATGGGATCAATTTGCGGCAAATGAAAGGCTTTTTGGTGTTAAATCGGAGTTTGATGAAGATTTATATACAACAAAAGTTGATAAATCGCATCCCTCGTATAAACAGAGGGAAGCGGATGCAGCACGTATTGCACAAGAGATACAACAATCATCGACCAATAATATTCATATTGCAGAAGAACGTGGGTTTATACAGACAGATATTAGCGAAGAAGCTATGTATAGTGGAGTTTTTCGTCCTGATATGCACAAAAAAGATGAATCCATGGAAACCATGAAAAAGAATGAAACAGAAGTTGCGACACCAGTTTCGTTACAGGATTTTGCATCATCTGAGATGGAAAAATCTAAGATAGATGTTCCGGAGGAAAGTTTTTCCGAAACATCGACACCTTTAAACGATAAAGACGATAATAAAATGTCTAATCCGGATCCTATTTCTTCTGCACCCAAGGCGCCAAAAATTGAAACAGAACTTATGGGTACGTTTAAACAGTTTGTATCCGGGGAAAGGAAAAGACTTCAAGCTAAGAAACAAGCATTATTCAAAAAGGAAAAGTATGTAAAGTTACAAGAACTTTTAAAATTTAGTCAAAACTTTAAATTGAATACACCTGTTCCTTCTGATATTGCTTCGATACTTGCTAAAGATAAGGCAAGACAAAATGAACCTACGACAAAATCAGCGACTACATCGCCAACAATAACGTCAACCCCTGTATCTCAGTCTTCTGGATCAACTAAAAACGCACAAAGTACATCTGATTTATTGCAGGAAAATTCATCCCCTATAAATGATTCTCAAAACGATAAGAAGGCTCCTAAAAAAATGAATATGAAACTTAATGTAAAGGCGTCAGTTTTTAAACCGAATTCTATGACAGCTCCCTTTTCACAGTATACTCAAAAAACGGAAGGCCCACTTATGGATGTACCTGTATTCCAGCCTTTACAAACTACAAAAGTCTCTACTCCTGATTTTTTTAATAACAAAAAGCCAGACTGTATACAACGAAATTCTATTTTGGAAAAATTTGATCCTTTTAAACGATATAGATTAGAGCATCCAGATAATGAACATTCCTCAGAAAAACCTTACTCCTTCCTTCCAACATGGCCATGTGGCGGAAAATCATATAAAGAAATGCTACAGGCACTACAACAATCTTCAAATTTTTCGCTACCAGGGCAATTACCATACGATTCTAATGAAGAATATAGATTTCCATGCATTGATCCTAACTCATTAAATTTCATTGCTATGCCATATGGCGCATTTCCGTTTTACACAGCTCAACAAGATGCTTCATATAATGGGCCTTATAATTCATACCGGAATTTTGTTCCTACTCAACTTATTCAACCAATGCACTTTATGCCAGGATATCTCGTAAAATTATTGTATACAGCCCCACATGCTCTACAAAATATGACATGTCATCCACAATATGGTATATATATGCCTCAAATGATGAATTCTCAAAATTTTAATATGCAAACGAATCACTCAACAGTTAATTATCCTGGTCCCCAAAATTCGCCAATGATAATGCAATTTCATCCGGGTGTTCATGGACAAAATAATATGCAGCAGGCAGTTATGATGCCTACTCCGTCAATAGGAATGAATAAAGTAATTCAAGGACAAACATATGGATATACTGGTTAGGACATATAATTGAATATACATTATTCACAAAATTTGATATTATATAAATATATTTATCGTGATGATATAATAAGTTATATATATATCAGAGACATTCTATGGACCGTGTAGATAAGATGTTAATCTCTTAATAATTTTTATCAATACACTAATCTACAAATATATTTCTGTCTAGATTATTCAGCAGAAGTATATATTTGAAATATTAGGGATATCAGTTCAGATGTTTATAAATAGATGAAAGTTTAGACCAAGTAATTATAGAGAAATCTAACTGTCATTGAGAAATTAATTGTATTATTAAATCTAAAAGGTGTTGTTAAATTATTTTAAATTAATAAAAATTCTACAATTATTTTAATATGAATTCAATTGTTATATATAAAAATTAAAACTTTTCTATATCTTTTTTACTTCAATTTTTTCAAATACAAACACTTGGAATATTATAACTACAATGAAATACCTCTTCTAATTAGATTTGTTCATGCCAACATACTTTTTCGCCTTCTAGATGTTCCACCTTGATATTGTATAGTTTTATATTCAGGTAAATAAGATATTGGACTTTTTGTTTCTAATAAATCATGAACAGTTCTCCGTCTCTTATCTTTCTCAAATGATTCAGACTTTAAATTATCGTTAGTAGTTTCTTTCTTATTCATACAAGATATACTATTACTTAATTCTTCAATAGAACTAAGATCATGATCTAATGCTTTCTTGTTACTAAATTTAATAGGTGATTTAAGAACCGATTGAGTATTCAATTTTGAATTTTTCTGAGTATCCATAGATAATACATGAGGATTAGATTTTGTTGATAAAGTTGTTTTATGTATTACGACAGAAGGTTCTTTTTCGCATTTTGTTACAAGTGATGAAACATTCGAATTCTTTTGCTGTTTAGTTGATTTTTCTTGAGAACCTTCAATAAGATTTACGACTTGATTTTCATGAATATTTTTTTTAGAATAACTTTTATTTAAATTATCTTCTTCTATGACTGAATCATCTCTACGCATTTTCGTTTTTAAACTAGGCAATGCATAATTAACAGGTTTTTTTACTCTCCCTATACGTTTTTCAGGAGACGAAGGTTCCACTATTTCTGAAACATGTAAAAAAGCAGGTGTTTTGGTTTCGATTTCTTGTGAATTTTTCCAATCATTCGTTATTTCAACATTTTTATTAACAATGGACGGCTCTATTTATTTTTAGTAAATGAACACTACTTTCCCATACTACAAACTTGATTCTAATACTTTTCTGATACAAGTTTTATGATTTCTTATATTTTTTTCTGTGAAATTGTTATCTTTGTTTTTTTCTTTTAAACATGATGGCTCAAAATTAATAATATTTTCCTTCTCCATTTCAACATCTTTTGTTTTTTCACATTGAAGTGTGTTTAAACCCCAATACATTTGCTTTTTATCTTCTATATTTGTTTTTGCTCTCGTATATATAAAATCATCTGGTGAATCTAAAGGATTTAGGTATCATAGTAAAGTTTTCTTCAAAATACCTTTTTTTTCCAAAACTTGTGATCTTTCTTTACGCTTTGGCGTTCTTTTTTCCTTTTGTTTTGATTCTATATTTTTATTTGCAATATCAAAGGCTTTTTTTTCAATATAAATAAATGAACAATCCTCTGCTTCAGTAGATAATTCTTTAGAAGCATCATTATTTTTATCATTTATTTCTGTCGATTCGTTAATTTGACTTGAATTGATTTGTTTATCATTTGAAACTTTTGTATGACTTTTTTTACTGATTTTTTCTTCTTTTTTCTCTCCTAAAACCTTTAAAATGATAAATCTTCTTTCTTCTTTAAACTTTAATGCTAAACCTTTCTCAATTTCTCATTTAAATAGAGTTCTTCAAGAGAATTGACTGATACTGTTGAATTATCTGCTTTTTTCGATTTTTTTTCACTTTTACCATCTAATTACATAAAAAAAAATTAAAAAAAACATAGTTTCCCCATACTCTGAATAGACAATGATTCCGTAGATGACTCTGGCAACATATTTTGCACTATATCCGTTATTTCTAGCAATTTATCTTCAAGCGCCCTTTTTAAAAGTTCTAGCCTCTCAAATTTCGCCCTTCTTTTTTCCTTCTCATTCTGCTCCTGCAGAGATATCAGAGACGCTCTAAGCTCGAAATTTTCCTGCAAAAGACGCCCTGTTTCTAGCTCCAATTGTCGGACCTTCACCGATTGAAGCATATTCAGACTGTTACATATTCTCTACGTTGGATAATGTTCTTATATTCATTTAATACTGTCTTACCGGATAATTTCCCGGTTTTGTCTAAGATGTTTCTTTTTAACTATATCTCAGTCAGTTTTTAACCAATTTAACCCGTTCAAAAACGAATTCCTACATGCTTCAAGGCTTTCCTGGAGTTCCTCCGATTGGAAACTCATTTTAATGCTGATTTAACTGGTTATTTGCGTTCAAATCTTTCCGTATTTCTGGTTGGTTTTCTTCACTACTTTGATGGACGTTGAAGTTGTTTATCTACGTGTTGTCATGGAAACCGTTGCTATAGTCACCAACGTCATCAAATTTAAGCGTGTAAAAGTCAAGATTTTGAGAGCCAATAAGACCTGAAAATACAAAGATAACCGGGATTTTAATAGTAAATTTAGTATATTTTGTGTTTATGTATGTTTTTGCCGTTTTTTTCCGGGAAAAAAGGCTTAATTATGGCAGAAAACGGGTTTATTTTGGACCCATAAGCAGTATTGTATTTTAGTTATAAAAAGGCATTAAATCTTTATATGTCTGGATATTCATCTTTGTCATATCGTAGACAAGCTTCATCTTCTTTTGTTCCGAGTCATTCGCAGTCAAATTCTGCATTAGCGGCGAAGATCCAGGAAAAAAAGCAAGAATATGAGAATTTGTCTCAATTAAGGGACTTTTCAGCAAAGCTTGTTACGCAAATGGAGCAGTTAGAAAAGAAGATGGAAACATTAGCGGGTGGTACAGAAGGTTTAGTAATTTATGTATTTTTATAGTTTGTTGATGGAGGTAGTTGTGGCATCTGTTCTTGAAAACTGGCAAAATGTATTTAGAACTATCAATATTTCATCAGGTATGTTCGATTTCTGTTTTTTCTTAACATATTTTATCAAGATTATAGAGAGGTTGCAGAAAAAAACAGTATCTGATAAAAATGAAGGTTTAGATCTTCCAGAAACTTTGGTAAGAATTCCTACGTCATGAGCTTTTTGCAATGGATAGGTTGAATCTTGTAAGAATTGGATAAAAAGGTGGATAGTGAATAAAGTTTTTTATGTTTATATATATATATTGATTTAATGTATTTATTTGAATAATTGTGTCTTTTTTTGTTTCTGTAATAACAAAAATATTGTTATTTAATATTCGTTAAGTTTCCAATTATCATCGTCATCGGTATCCCAGTCGTTATCCCAAATATTTTGATTCCATTCAAAATTTATATTATTGTCTGTTTCGAAATCTATAGTAGTTAATCTATTTAATCGATAAACATTTCTCTCATTACTATTATTATTCATATTATTTTTGTCTTTGTTCCCATCATCAAATGTTAATAAATCAAACGTATTATCGTTATTAATAATATTCCAGTCATTTAAGTCATTCTCTTTGGCTTGTTTTATTGTATTTTCTGTCTTAAATGTATGGAGATTCGTTTTGGAAACACGTTTCGTTTCAATTGAATTATTATAATGGCTTTTTTGTTTATTAACTAATAATTATTAATTATAATATTAAAAACGAATTAAATATAAAACCTTGAATTTTATTTTTTGAAGAGAATGAAGAATTTGAATCAGGCTTCATTTTTGATTTATTAATATTTGACATGTCCGAATCAGCAGTTTCTGATGTATTATCAAGAGCATTAATTAGTTTAGTAACTTTTTGGAAATATAAATCCATGGTTTTTTTTGCTTGTATTCGAATAGATCTATAGATATCAAAAAATGAATATAAAGATTTATAAAATATACTTTTCGTTATCTATAAGCATTGGTGATATAACTGGAATTAATTTTATACAACAATTGGATTCATCGAACATATTATAAGTTGCTCCAAGAGCCATTAAAGCAGCTATTCGTGCTGGAACAAATGGATCTCGAAGAGATCCTGTAAATGCTGATATCAAAATTTTTTGACGATTCTATTCTCAGATTAATATTCTTGTAAACATATACATACACTTGGTTTAATATGTTCTGCAATTTTCCCAAGACATATAGTTGTATTAGTTCTAATTTCAGGTTGTTGATCACGTTGTGTTTTTAACAGATATCTTAATAATTCATCATTAATATTATGTTCTGATAATTTTGGCACTATAAAAAGCATTGCTTTTATAGTTTCTTCGCGTACCAAGGGAGAAGTATCATTGAATCCAGAAAGCTTTAGAATATTATCAATAATTAGATTTAATAATAGATTTAATACCATTTTTGGAAATATTTCGTCATTTATTATTTTGTTTGATATACGGTTAGCATAACTTGATAAATTCTCAAGAAGACAAAGTCTTATTGACTTATTTTGATTCAAAAACATATGAGATATAAATGGTGATATTAAAGATTGATAATCTTCTTCTTCAAGAAGATTTCCAATCCTTAAAATTAATGAAAATGCTTTGTTCCCTCCTAGATTATATAATTAATAAACTTTATAAAAATTGAATAATTGCCTTCATTAAATTCAAATAATCTTATTAATCCTGGAAGAACATTAAACTTAAGAAACATTTTAGGAAATTTATCAATGGAATCGTTAATTTGTCTTTCAAATTCATATTAAGCAACAATAATCTTTAATAAATATACCTTAAAAATGCATTTTTCTGTTCTTTATCTTTTAATGAAAATTGTTCTAAAAATTCTGAACATTCAATAAGTTCTGTCCGAAAAAAACCCCCTTCACCACGTCCATATTTAATAAAACTTGAAACCGATAGTCGATGCGTCGGTTTTGGATTCAAAAGCTTCTTATATGTATTAAATAACGTCTAACTTTGTTAAATTCCTTTATTTAAAAAAATCCTTTTCTACTTGAGGTATTTTCCCTCTTTTACTTAAATCAGATGATATTCTAAATGTACCATTGAATATTTCATAAATCAAACAGCCCAAACTATACGCATCAATTGCTGTTTCTAATGATGTTCTACAATTCATTAAAAAATACACCTTTTTTCTAAAAAAAATATCTAACTCATTCAATGATTTCCATGACTTATACTGCATTTCTGGCGCTGTATATTTAAATGAATCTGCAATACGTCCACCATGTGTCTAAACATATATATATATATACATATATATATTATTTTTTTTTAAAAAAAAAAACTTACATATAAAATACCCTCCTTATCCTTAATCAAACTAAACAATTCTAATCCAAAAATCTTCCATTCTCCATTTTCATTAACATATATCGATGATATTCGAATATTCCCATGAACAGATATCGCACTTGAATGAATAAATTCAAGCGCCATCTAATTAACATAAATCTTATTTATACTCTTCTTTTTCTTCATTTCTTCTCTTACTGATATCTGGTATAACCCAAGTATACTCATCTCCTTATCTACCCTAACCCTACTTAAGGGTTTAACCCTCTCCGTTACAATCATAACCTTCTCCCTTTCCTTATTAATTTAGTTCATTTTATTTTATTTATTTATTTATCCTTATTTATCCTTATTTATTACCTCTTTTCCACTCATATATTTAATAATATATGGATGATGTAATGTTCTCACTTTACATAATGCATTATGTGCCATCTCCCACTTTTCTTCCCCTTTTCCTCTATTAAATACAAATATACTACACCGAACTCCGTCCTCCTACTTATATTACTTAAAAATACCCTTTTTTTCCTCTTTTCTTTTAAACTTGCCTTTCGTGTCCCATCATAAAGCTCCCAAAAATTATCATTTGGAACATCCAATTTCTCTCCAAAATTATACCCAAAATCACTAGTTGCTTTTGAAATAAGTGCTGCTGCTGTTTTAAATAGCTCCATTCATCCTCTTATTGCTCGTTATCCCTATATATATATATGTATTAGCCTATCGAAGAGCTGGATGGAGCCCGTTGTTAGGGCAACCGTTGACGACCTCAATTTTTCAGATACATAGAGATCAGCCAATTGAGGAGTTTTGAAGGGGTTTAATAGGGAATAACGGGGATTAACGGGATTAATATAGGGCTATAAGAGGTATAAGAGAGTTCTTGATATGTTTTCGGAGGAAAAGAAGCGTCATCATAGGATTTTATCACATGGACGATGTCCTTTTATGTATGATGCAACAGTGAGATTATCAGAAGCGCCTTTATATTGGGTTAGATCGGACTTAATAGGAGAGGAAAAGGTAGATAGAACGAGGGTTTTATTATCGTCCGTTCCGGCAGTGGATTATGGAGTAGTTGAATGGGTTAAAAATGAATTTTATTGTGTTTCACGATTAATTGGAAGTATTGATAATTTTGTGAAAGAGGGTATGTTTTGTGGTATTTTTGGTATGAATATGTATGAATGAGGGGTTACATATGTATAAATATGTATAAATATATATATAGATATGTATATATATATATACATATATATATAGATAGATTGAATGTGAGTAAAATTGGTTATTGATGTTGGTGTCTAGATGTTTATGCATCGGGATCGTTTGATTCAAAGACGGGATATGGATTAATTCTTACGAATATGGCGGCATATGTATTTTCATATCTTCATTCAGGACCAGATCATCATCCAGTTACATTGACATTTCCATTGCCTCAGGATATGGCGAAGGACAGATTTTTGAATAAGGATGTTCTGCCATTGGGAGCTTTGGTAGCGCCATGTGCAGGAAGTGATGAACCGGGTCTTGTTATTGTTATGCCTATTTCTGGGCGAATAGCATATTGGGAGTCTATTGGAGGAGCGATTGCAGAGGGTTTAATACATAGAAAAAGTATTGAGGGGTGTATTCCTCTTGTTTCGGGAGAAATGTGTGTTTGTCTTTGTAATGCAGAGGTATATTTGTCTTTTATATGGGGTTTTTTTATTAAATATAATAAAGCCGGCGAATTTTGTATTAGCAACGTCATCAGGGAAGCTTTTGCATTTATCTCTTGTGGATTCATCTGCACGTCTTCATATTGGATTATTGAATATGACTAGTTCATCTGGAATAGGTGGATTATTTAGTAGTTTTACTGGTGCATTATGGTCTGCAACAACTAGACGAGATATTTGTTCTATAAATGCAGGAGAACTTAAAGGACGTGGTACTAGGGATGTAATTGTGTGTACCAAGCGAGGCACGGTTAGTAAATGGGAAGTAACTAGAAATGGATATGCCAAGGTTTTTTATATTTGATATATATAGATCTATATTTATCTTTAAAAAGTTGATTTTAGAAAAGAATTTATGGAATTCAATGGTAGAAATCTTGGTGTCAAATTTAAATATTTCATTTTCAATGGTTGAGAAATCGCTTCAGATATATGATATCATGCCAATACCTGAATCTACCTCATTGGTCCTTATTTTGGCATCTTTTTTTGCCTCATTTGATACACCGAATTATGTTTTATTTATTTCTGATCTTGAATCTACAACAATGAAGGTTACTTCGGTTCATTTATTACAATATCATGGATTGTATTCAGATTTATTGTTTCATCCTAGAATATTGATACCAAAACCGGGTGATATGACTATTATAGTTTTTTCAGATGCGTTATATCTTATTTTAACTCCTACAGAGGCCACTTTTGATTCTGAAATTTTATTTGAAGACATTGTTACTTTTAATAGAGAAAATCGTGTTCAGATTTTGGCTGCAGGCTATGAAGATTCATTAATTGATCCTTCTTCGAAGAAGATAATTCGTAATCCAAGTGTTTTAGTTGCAACGAAGAATGCTGGTATCCTTAGATGTGAAACATTTAAGATAACTCGACTTCGCAAAGATTTGATATCTCGTAGAAATAGAAGAAAGCTAGATCAAGCTGTTTTTTACGGGTTTCTTGAGGGAGTAAGTTTACATTGGATGGAATTGATATATATTAATATTCATAGAATCCTATTAATTTTCGTTGGACAGGTGAATATGACATTGAAAATATACAGACTGTTGCTATAAATCTGAGTCATGATATATTAACATCAGGTTAAGTCTTGTTCATTTATTATAATATTATTTAATATTTTATAGCGTCTAAATACTATTCATCTTCTTTTATTCCTCTTGAAAATGATTTATTTTTGAAATCATTAAATCTTTCAAGACTTAGTGAATACCTTTTGTTTAATTTCAATTCAATCAATTCTGAAACACGTTGGAAATTATGTTGGGATGCAGAAAAGTGTGAAAGTGCACAAAATCTTTGGTCTAAAATTAATTCTCGTTTAACAAAAGTTGAAGATAACATTATAAATGATATAATAAAGAATTTAGCGACTAAAGATACAGGAAAAAATGTAATTCGCTGGTGGTTTCAGAAAGGAGTATGTATCTCTTTTATAAAGATTTAGAATTGATATAATATTAGTTGAAAAATATTGCATGTATTGTTCCTAAAGCTTATAAGCGTTGTGTAGATGTTATATCATTAGTAGAAAAAGATGGATTAAGAGTTCTAGAAACTATAGTAGAAGCAAATGAAATTATACTTGTAAGTATAATATGGTAATTATTTGTATTGATGTTCATACTGATTAATACCTAAGGCAATATTTGTTTCTGCTCAGAAATTTCGTAAAAAAAGAGCTGAATTTTTGAAATTGAACGAGCCTTTACATTCTAATGATAACTCATTATTACCATGGACTTCGAGTTCTGATATTTTATTAGTGCTTTCGAATCAGTATAATCTTACAAATGCAATTATGCTAGAATTCAAAAGAGATAACTTGTTTCTAGAAGATAAAGTTCAGAATACCCTAGATTCTGTTGAATCTATGAAGATTAATTTAAAGGAAACTCTTGTTACTCAATTGATTGATTTGGCTGAGCTTATATGTTGTTCATTTGAGGAAAGGATACTTTGGACAAAGTCTATTCAAACGAATTCTCTAGATGATGAAAAGAAGCATGTAGAAGAAAAATATCTTTCTTCAAGGGGGACTTGGATTAAATTCTTAGGTATTTTTATGACTTTTTAGGGAATATATTAAACGATTTAGCCGAAATTGATAAGTTAGATAAGTCTTTTGAAATAGCAGAAAAATATAGGGATTTTCGAACGCTAGTAGAATTGTGCTATGAGACTGGGGATAAAAATATGGATTATAATTGGAACGATCAAGTTACAAGAAGAATAAATTGGTATTTATATACTTTTAAAGAGGAGTTTGCAGATGTTTTATATCGTTATTTTATGGAAAAAGGTTAGAATTGTCTTGTAGTTTTATACTTTCTAATTATATAGGTCGTTTTTTTGATTTGCTTGAAGATTTTTCGGATTATCATCACTATTTGTCTCGATTTTTTGATTCTGGAAATTATGGAAAAATATCATGGATGCATGAAATCAGCACAGATAGATTTAAAGATGCTGGAAACACTTTGTATAATATCGCAGAAAATGATGAAAATTTTGTCTTCAATAAAAAGGTTGAATTAAGTATTTCTAAATTATGTTTTTTGGAACATCTTCAATCACATAATATGGAGGAAATAAACAATTTACCATTGATTGATATTGAACATCAATTAGAAACTCTACAGATACAAACATCTCTTTTAGATGAAATCAGATCATTCATAGAGAATGCTATTGATATTGATGCTGCTGTTGATCTTGTTGTTGAGAAAATAGGGAATTCTTTGAAAAAGCGTCCTGCTACAAAAACAATCTTTAAACGTGCTTTAAAAAATTTAATTCTTGAAAAAATATTGGATCCAGAAGATCTCATAGATTTATTAACATTAAGAGATAAAAAAAAGACTTCTTCTGATGTATCTGCTAACGATTATTATTTGGCATTAAAAGTTCTTAATAGTTCTCAAGTAATCTTTTTCTTTTTTTATTATTAAATATTAAAATCTCTTTAGTTACCTTTAATTCGACATCATTCTGTTGAGAAAACAATTTGGAGACGTATATTTATTGCAAATGAGTATTTTTCATTCTTTTGTCTTTCTAAATTCACTTTATACAGTTGGACTAAAATTTTGGATACAAAAAATAATCCCAATTCTTTTCTAGATGCCGATACAAAATACACCGCTCTTTACGAAACAATAAATCTATGTGTTATTTCTCGTATTTCTCCTTTCTTTTACTTTCTTTTTCTAATAATATCATAGAATTCTTCGAAAACTCTACTATCTATCCAATTTCTCCAAAAAATGCTTATTTCGATCCAAAATTCGATGATCCTCATTCTAGGTTCTCAAAAAACGCTCATGACTCTGAAATTAGTCTCTTCTCAAACGAATTGCTCAAGGAAAATTCACTCTTGGATAAATACGATGCTACTGCCTCTCTCGATTCCTGGTTTATTGCTATCATGGAAGCTCTAAATCTCCAAATCCCTCCCGAAAATATCAATATCTCCTCTGTCTCACACAATAATGACTCAATACACTAACTTTTCTCTTTACTAAATCACTACTATTTCGCTTCAACTTTTATACATCTATTTTGCACAAAAACTTCTTTCTTATACTCAGATCTATATTGCAAGGCTTGTCATCTACTTTTTTCCCTCGGTCACTGTATTTTTTTCAACCCTCTATATTACTGGAGGTCTTTCTCGATTTTAAGGATCAGCGATTATCCAACGTCAAATTTACCAGAAACAAAATGCTTAACCATTAAATAGAGGTTTTAGCAGGAGATAACAAGGAAATAATAGATATTTTTAAAGGAATATATAAGGGAATAAGGAATATATCTTTTGAACGGGAAAAAACGGTTGAAATTTGGGTGATTTTTGAGGAGTTTATGCGTTTCAGGAGGGACGGAAATAAGCGTAGATAAAGGCGTATAATAAGGGATTACAGGGTTCTAAACAGATATTCTACACATATATATTATCTTTGATTGCGTTTGGTTCTATAGAAACTCTATATTTATAGAGTTTTTTTGAATTATTGTGTTTATATACGTGGAGATATAGATCATTATTTTTATCGGGCGTTTTAGGCCGTATTTTGTGCTCTATAAGGTGTTGGTAGTTTTAATAGAGTGTATTGGAGGTTATCAGGGTTATTTTTTAATTTATTGAGTCGAGTTTATTTTGAAAGTATATAACGTTATAAAACGGTGTTTATAAGACTTTATGACGACATCGGGGCATAGTACGCAACTATCTAACGTTGTTGGATCCCGTTATCGGGTTAAAAAGAAGATTGGTGAAGGATCGTTTGGTGTTATTTTTGAGGGGTTAGATATGTTTAATAACCAGCAAGTAGCGATTAAATTTGTAATGAGAAGATAAACCGTATTGCGAAGTATTATTCTTATATTTTTAGGAGCCTAGAAAGAGTGATGCGCCTCAATTACGTGATGAATATAGAACATATAAATTATTAGTCGGAAGCCGTATGATTTTCTTGTTTTAAATAGACATAAAAGTGCTTATAACTTTATATTAGTTGGTATACCTCATGTATATTATTTTGGCCAAGAAGGATTGCATAATATTTTAGTTATTGATTTGTTAGGACCAAGTTTAGAAGATCTTTTCGACTGGTGCGGAAGACGTTTTACTACCAAAACGGTTGTTATGCTTGCTAAACAAATGGTATGATTTTCGCATGTATATTTGATTATTCTAAGGTGTTTTAGTTGACGCGTGTTCAAACCATTCATGAAAAAAATTTTATTTATCGTGATATTAAACCAGACAATTTTCTTATTGGAAGGCCGGGTACCTGCAATTCTAATTTAATCCATATTGTTGACTTTGGTATGGCGAAACAATATCGGGATCCCAGAACGAAACAACATATTCCATATAGAGAACGCAAGAGCCTTTCTGGCACTGCAAGGTATATGAGCATAAATACTCATCTTGGTAGAGAGCAATCTCGAAGAGATGATTTAGAGGCATTGGGTCATGTATTTATGTATTTTCTTCGAGGAGGACTTCCTTGGCAAGGACTAAAAGCAATGACGAATAAACAAAAATATGAGAAAATTGGAGAGAAAAAACAAACTACTTTGGTTGAAGAGTTATGCGAAGGATTTCCTGGTATACTTTTAAAATTTCTTTTTAAATGATTTATTTCGTTTATAGATGAATTTTCTCAATACATTTTATATGTCCGTAATCTCGGATTTGAAGATACACCTGATTATGATTATCTTCGTGGCCTTTTTACCAATGTAATTAGGAAGATTGGTGAAACAGAGGATGGAGAATACGACTGGATGCTTCTTAATGATGGAAAAGGATGGGAAGCCAGTTTTGTATTATTTTTAAATTAATATTTTTTGATATTTTTCTAATTATTCATAAGAAACATGTATCATCGAATAATCAGCATTTGGTTGTTTCCAATATTGCGCATAAATCGACTTCGGTTACCGATTTAAGACATTTATCATCATCTAGAACGGGACAACATGTCTCATCTAATCGGTTAAACCCATCCCAGTGTATTCCTCCATCGCCTATACCGGTTCATAACGGATTAAAGCCATGTAAAGAAAGGTTAAACAATATTAAAAATAGTTCAGAACATATGAAAGAAACATCTAATACCAGTCCTCGGGTTCATCAAGAATCTCAACAACAATCACGATTATCTCAAATCTATGCCACAACCCCTCCTAAAAAATCAAAGAGAAGTTGGAGATTTACCAATTGTTGCGGGTAGTGCGGTTAAAACTTTATTTTTAGGCAAGTTGAAACAACATGAAGTAAACATGTATAATTTTAAAAAGAATTTAACTTTAATATATTAAACATCGTTTTTATTGTCTTGTTTTTAAATGACCATAGATGGGAACGTTTATATTAATCATGAAAGTAGTAGTTTAATGTTTAATGTTTAAATAGACTTTTTTATATGATGATATATATAAAATTAAAGAAATGTTTCTACTTATGCTTCCAACCAATCTAAACAATCTGGTGTAAAATAAGTAATAATAATTTCTATCATTTAACGTTAATGACTTTGTTTTTGAACAAATAAATAAACCTGCTCCTGCTCGTAGACAAGATATTAAAGTTTCTTTAACAATTGTCTCTAAATCATAGACACCTGCTTTAGAAGCAGCATGAATGGCTGCGTATTCCCCAGAAACATGATATGTAGCAATTAATAAATCAGATGCTATTTCAGATGCACTTGCAATAATATCAAGATATAATGTAGCTGGTTTAATAATAATACAGTCAGCCCCTTCAGAAATATCTCGTTTCTATTTATAAATTAGAAGAGACCATTTAAATGAAAAATTCAACAATAGCACGATGTGCAAGTTTTTTTGATGGAGGTGGAAGTTGATAAGATTTTCTGTCTCCAAATAAAGGTGCTGAATTCGCTATAGATCTTAAATTGTATTAGAAAATATTCTTAATTCATAAAAATCCTACCGAAATGGTCCATATAAACATGATGCAAATTTAGCTGAATAGCTCATAACCATGATTTTATGTGATATACCCGCTTCTACTAATCCTTTTTTTATTGCAAGAACTCTTCCATCCATCCTTATATATATCAATTATACATATTATACTACATATATATATACATATCGCTAGGTGCTACTGCATCTGCACCTGCTTTTCCATATTCAACCGCTATTTCTGATAAACGTCGAACGCTTGCTTTATTATTAATTGTTCCGTCCTCATAAAGCCATCCACAATGGCCATGTGATGTATATTCACATAAACATACATCACATATAACAAAAAGTCCCGGAAATCGATTTTTCAAAAGACGTATACTTTGAATCACCGGTCCTTCCGGATCATCTGCCTTTGTTCCATATACATCTTTTGATCCATTTAAGACCCCAAAAAGAATCACTGCTGCTAATCCTTTCGCTACAAGTGGTGCTATAAATTTTTCAAGTTTATTAATACCCCATCTAATATCAATAATTATCATAAAATATTCATATAAACTCCTTATTTATGCCTTTTTTGCCCCGGTAATGATGCAATTTCTATTTCATCTTCCGGATTGTCTGTAACAAAAAGTGGGTAAATTAAGCAGTTTTTTGTCAGGATTTTTGAGGATTGCCATTTTCTTGATATTTTATGAAAATAACTATTTTATATTAGTAAAATATGTGCTGAAATACCTCTAAAAAGCTTGCCTGCTGTGGCAAATAAGTGGAGATAACGTAGAGTCATCCATATATTAAGTGGTATAAAAAAGTGGAGAGGTGGTTGTCATGACAATTATGGTCGTTTCTATAGCAACTGTGTATGTTGTTATGGCAACCGGTCTGGTTGCCATGCGGTACCCCTTGTTTCCATGGCAACAATAAAGTCGTCGTCATGGAAACAAGGGGTACCGCATAGCAACCAGATTTGCTTAGTAAGCAAATTTAATTAGTTGCTATAGAAACAAGAATTTGCTTAGTAATCAAGATGTTGTTATGGTAACTAATTCGGTTGTCGTAGCAACAAAGAGGACTGCTTAGTAATAAATGATGTTATTAGTAACGAAGGTAATTTGATAACAACGAGGATTATAAGAGATAAAAATAGCAAGAGAGAAGTGTAAAAAGTGGGATATTTAATGGATTATTGATAGTATTTTTTATTCTATTGAAAAATTTTAGTTTTTTTTATTAGGTTTCCTTTTTTTTCTGAAAAAATTGGTTGAAAATTGCAGTTTTAATGAAACCACAAATTGTTAGTATTGCAGTAATTGGAAAACAGGTTTGTTTTTATAATATTTAATGAATCTTATGAATTTAAGAATAATCCTCTTTATTTGAAGGTTTTTTCTGAAAAAAAAACGGAATTAATATATCATTTTATGATTCACAGTACATGTGATGAATTGGAAGGGAAATTGCATAATTTATTATTATCAGAATGTTTCTTATTTTTATAGCTGCGTTAAATAGACTTTCAGTTGAAGAAGATGGTAAAAAATTGCAGCAAATTTCGTCAGAAAGTAGCTCAAATGCAAAATTAAATGAACGTTCTCAAACATCAGTTAATGTTAAAACAGAATGTTCAGATACATATCTTGGGCTTTTACATATGCATGAGACATCGGCTGTTTATGGATCTGTTACTAATACAAAGATCAAATTTATAGTGGTGTTAGATATGTCAGAAATGATTATTACAGATGCGGATATGAAATCGGTATATTTTTATTAAATCTTTTATTTTAGTGCTAATATGTGTATAAGCTTTTCAAAGAAATCCATTCTGCATATATTGTTCAAGTTTGTAATCCGTTTTATTCTTTAGATGATAAGACGCCTATACAAAGTCGACGGTTTGATAAAATGATTCAACAAATTGTAGAATCATGGACATCTGGTGCATGAAATCGAATAGTATTTGTTATAATAGGGTTTATTGTATTTTTAAACGAAAGATCTGCTATATTATATATATTATAAAAGAAAAAATGTTGATGATTATATTTTTGTAATATATTCTTATTTAGTACTTGTATATAGGATGAAATCTAGATTAGGAAAATATGCAGGATATATTTGCTTGATTGATTAAAACGTATTGCTGAATTTCTTTATATAGAGTCAATTTTGAGTAAGCTGATATAATTCACTAGTATAAAAAGTTGCATATTGAATGATATTTTCTAGTTTAAATTCTACCTCTTTTACGTCAATAAATTATTCAAGATCACTTTGTTTTAACTGGATTTTTTCCCCTGGTTTAAAAGCTGGCATTCCAAAATAAGGACATTTGCTACATCGAAAAGCATCTCCAAGATAACAATTTCCACAATTACTAATAATATTATTTCCATTTATAAAATCAATATTTCCAAGTTCATCTTCTCCTAATAAATGTATTGTCATTTTGTCTATTTTTTCCGTTATTTCCGTTTCTTCTTGTCTCAAACCACATGTACAGTTTTTACATCTTTTTTTTTTCCTTTTTGATTCATCATTACAAAAATTATTTTGATATGTAGGGATAATCAAATCTGATGATTCCAAAAGATCATCCTCATTAATTAATTCAATATTATCGACTTTTATATTATAGTTTTTTCTAAAAATTCCTTTTTTTTTCGGTAAAGGTACCGAATTCTCTGAAATAATCGGTCTCAAAAATACAAGCTTCATTTATTAACCTCTTTCAATACAAAAATTCCCCATAATACCTCTCCATTTTCAAGATCAACATTCCATCCTTGTAAAATACCTTCTTGACGAATTTCTTCCCTTTTTTTCGCATTTTCTATACAAATACGCCCTCCCTTCCCACATTTTACTGACATTAGAACATGATTCAATATAAGAATGAACTCATTAAGGCTCTTTTCCTCCGTTGATACAAGAATAAACCTTTCATATAATTCCCTTTCAAGCGCTTTTAATCCCGTATAAATCTCCCTCATACTGTACATATCCACGCAATATCCTTCTGTATTCATAGTAATACCCATATTTCCATTAGAATTCCCCGGTAAAAGCATCAAAATACTCCTCTCTATTAATCCTTCTTGTTCCCTCAAAAATCCTTCTTTTTTCACCGGAAAAAAACCATTCAAAAGATATTCTCCCGCTAAATACTTATTAGATATTTGTTCCTCTTGTTTATCCCTTTCAGATCCCATTAATAGCCCGATATTCCCCTCTTTTTTTTTCTTCAATATGTTGGTCGTCGTCCGATCTGCTCGTCCTCACTGTAGGAAATATAAGCCTTAAGACCTATTGATTAGTAATCTATATTTGTATATAAATATATATGAATATATACAGGAGATCAGAGGATTTCTTTTATATTTTTCTTATAAATATCTATTTTTATGTGTTTTTTTTGAAAAAAGCGGCTTTTTTTGACTAGTTTTCATAGAATAGCAGTATTTTATATGTATTTAGATTAAGATAGCTAATAGTTTTGATGAAGTATATTGGAATAAAGAAGGCATTTTTATAAGAGATTTAGTATAGATTTAGTATAAATTTAGTATAGATTTAGTGTAAAATCTACTATGAAAGATTGTATATTTATGATAAGATAATTGGAGGGTTATGAATAGAGATGGGTGAAAAGCAGGATATCTTTTTTTTCTGGGGAAAAAAGGGTTTATTTCGATTGAAAACAGGAAATACATTGAAATATATATCATTAAAGATATATTTATGTATTAGGATTTGGAATTGGATGAGATGATCGTTTTTTCAGCTTTAAAAGCAGGTTTTCTGGGATAACCTATTATAAAACTCTTTTTTATATTATATTATTAAATATTTATAAAAAAACAAGGCGTAAAAAGAATAAATAGCTATAAATAAGGCGTTTATGACCTATTTTTATATCTCAGGCTGGATATACAGGTATATATGAGGGTTAGAAATTGAGGTGGTTACTATGGAAACCTCCGTTTTCAAATAATTCAGACGACTTGGCAGGAGAAAAAAAGCTAAAAATCAGTAGGTTTTCAGCAGAAATTTGGCATTTTCAGGAGATATTTTGATTGATCTTGTTTTGTTTTCCACGGTTGCTTTTTTTCCCGGGAAAAAAGGTGTATTTTTGCAGGATCTAGAAAATGACAGATGAATGGGATGAAAAACAGAGGGAAGAAGGGGATCCTGAGACGGAAGAACAGGTTAGACGCCTTGTTTTTATCAGTAGATTTGCGTAGTGTTTTTTTCCGGTGTTAAAATCTTTTTTTTTATAGGAACTTCAAGCAATGAAACAACGTGTTGCTGAGATGGAAGCAGAGGCAGAAAAATTAAGAAAAATGCAGGCTAAATTAGATAAAGAAAGCTCCCAATTAGTGGAGAATAAGGAAGACGTTGATTCCCGGAGTGTTTATGTCGGAAATGTTGATTATGGAGCTACTCCCGAAGAAATACAAGCTCACTTTCAAACCTGTGGAACTATCAATCGTGTCACTATTTTATGTGATCGTTACTCTGGTCATCCTAAAGGATTTGCATACATTGAATTTTCAGAGCCAAGACTTGTTGCTCATGCTTTAGTTCTTAATGAAAGTTTGTTCAGAGGTCGTTTACTTAAAGTCGTTCCAAAACGTACAAATCTCCCTGGAATGTCCCGTGGAAGAGGACGAGGACGTAGCCATGCTTACCGTGGACGTTATGGCTACCGTGGCGGCTACCGTGGCTCTTATAGAGCTGCTCCATATTAATTATTATACAAAAAAAATATTAACCCCTTCTATTCTTTCTAGAAATACGCTAATACTTCTCTTCATATTTAAATACATATCTATATTATCTAATCTCTTATTTCTACTTCTTTTTATTATTGTTTATACATTTATATTCTCCTTACTTCTCCCTCCCTACCAATATATATAACTGGCGCACAGCTTGATACGACAAAGGCCAACGACAGACGAGCATAGCAAAAATTAAAAATTTAGAAATTGGGAGATTTGAAGAGGTTCTGAGGGGAAAACGATAAGGTAAGTCTTAGATTTGAATAGGGTTATAATAATAATGAGGTATTGTTTTTTTCCAGGAGTTTTTATCATAAAAAACGGGCGTTTTAGAGAAGTTTTTGGAATAAAAGATTTAAGGGCTATAAGTCGAGAAAAAAGATGAGATATGGCTTCTAATTCATTGTAAGTATTTTCCTGGATGAGTATAACCCAGGAAGATGCTTTTTTTGCGGATTTTTTCGGTTTATACTCGTCAAAATAGACATCTAAGATAGAGGACTTATGTGTGATAGGGTTCAGAAGATTAAGCTTACAGGTTGAAGAAATAATAAGGGATACGAAGGTTTTTAATGGGGTTTATAGTAATTGCAGTGGATGGGCTTTATAAGCGGGATTTAATACGTAAATTAATGTTATGTTATGAATGGGTTTAGGGTTAATAAATGTGTTAAGGTACGCCGGATCCATTTGCAGTTATTACGGTAGATGGAGAACAAACGCAGACGACATCGGTTATAAAGAAAACGCTTAATCCGTATTGGAATGAAAGTTTTGAGATGTAAGAAATAAAGTTTATATTTATGTTTTTTTTTTATTTATGGGGGTTTTATATTAGATCAGTTAAGGAATCGAGTATTCTTGCGGTTCAAATTTTTGATCAGAAGAAATTTAAAAAGAAGGACCAAGGTTTTCTTGGAGTAGTTAATTTGCGTATTAGTGATGTGATTGATCTTTCATTGGGTGGAGATGGTCGGCATTATATATATATCTATCATTATATGGTATGTTTATGTATTTTAGAGATGCTTATAAGGGATCTTAAAAAGTCGAATGACAATATGATGGTTCACGGGAAACTTATTATAAGTCTTTCTACTTTTGTTTCAGTTCCAGGTTGTACTCAGTCATCTCATAATGGTACAGCGCAAATTAATGGATCGGCACCGGGTTCATCGGTAGTTTCTACATCTATGAATCCATCTCCGTCAAGAATCGGTATTGCACCTAATTCTTTAGCAGAAAATACAGAAACGGGTCATTCTGCGAGTCAGAGTTCTCGGCATACAACATCTCATCAAGGAAGTAGTAATTATAGTTCTTTCGAGGATCAATACGGGCAACTACCGTCTGGATGGGAACGAAGAACCGATAATCTTGGTCGAACTTATTATGTTGATCATAATACACGAACAACAACATGGACACGGCCTTCGTATGATTATTTATATCACTTATATATCATATTTTTCTAATGTTTTTAGTACTGGTCAAATTGATTCTGACAGATTATCTCAGTAATTAGCCCAAATTTAGAATTTGAAAACATTCTTATTTTAATAGAACTCACCCTGGTGCTAGGGAAAGCGTTTCATCTCATATATCTACATCATCATCGGCTCATCATGGATTATCTTCTACAAATGAGCGAAATCGTATACCGCATGTTTCTGGTATTACAACAAATCCCGGTACAGGTGATTTACCTAGCGGTTGGGAACAACGTTATACACCAGAAGGAAGATGTTATTTCGTTGATCATAATACACGTACAACAACATGGGTTGATCCTAGACGTCAACAATATATTCGAATGTATAGTAGTGCAAACATGGGAAATACTACGATTCAACAACAACCTATTTCACAATTGGGGCCTCTTCCTAGCGGATGGGAAATGCGTCTTACGAATTCTGCAAGAGTTTACTTTGTTGATCATAATACGAAAATAACGACATGGGATGATCCCCGGCTTCCTTCTTCCTTAGATCAAAATGTTCCTCAATACAAGAGGGATTTTAGACGAAAGTTAATTTATTTTCGATCTCAACCTGCTTTACGTCCTTTATCTGGGCAATGTCAGATAAAGATTCGAAGAAATCATATTTTTGAAGATTCATATGCTGAAATTATGAGACAATCCCCTAATGATCTTAAGAAAAGGTTTATGGTAAAATTTGATGGCGAAGACGGTTTGGATTATGGTGGGTTGTCAAGGTTTGTATACACTATTTTATCAGAATCATATTCATTTTTTTACAGAGAGTTTTTTTTCCTTTTATCACATGAAATGTTTAATCCTTTTTATTGCTTGTTTGAATATTCATCTGTGGATAACTATACTCTTCAAATTAATCCACATTCTGGCATAAATCCAGAGCATTTGAATTATTTTAAATTTATTGGAAGAGTTCTTGGACTTGCTATTTTTCATAGAAGATTTCTTGATGCCTTTTTTATTGTTTCATTTTATAAAATGATTCTTAAGAAGAAAGTTACTCTCGCTGATATGGAAAGCGTAGATGCTGAATTTTTTCGAAGTTTAACATGGATTTTGTATATTATTTTAACAAAGTATTTTTTGATGCTAATTTCAATAGGGAGAATGATATTACTAATGTTCTTGAGTTAACATTTTCTACTGAAGACGATCGTTTTGGAGAGGTGATGACGATTGATTTGAAACCAAATGGAAGAAATATCGAAGTAACTAATGATAATAAAAAAGAATATGTTGAGTATGTTTCTTTTGTAATTTAAACATATGCTTAAGATCTAGGCTTGTTGCATATTGGCGTGTCTTTAAGCGTGTAGAAGAACAATTTAATGCTTTTCAAAGTGGATTTAATGAGCTTATTCCACATGAACTTATTAGTGTTTTTGATGAGCGAGAGCTTGAATTACTTATTGGAGGTATTACTGAAATGGATATGGATGATTGGAAAAAACATACAGATTATCGGGGTTATACCGAATCTGATGAAGTAATAATTAAAATGGTTTAGTTTTTTTTTTTATTGATTTCTTTTATTCTAGATTATACAATGGTTTTGGAAATGTGTACGAAGCTGGGATTCAGAGAGAAAGTCACGTCTATTACAGTTTATAACAGGAACGTCTCGTGTTCCTGTTAATGGTTTTAAGGATCTTCAGGGTAGTGATGGTCCTCGGCGATTTACAATTGAAAGAGCAGGAGAGATTACACAGCTTCCTAAGAGTCATACTTGGTATGCAAAACTGTTATATTTATCATTTATTATTTACGTTTATTAGTTTTAATCGTGTTGATCTCCCTCAATATCCTACATATGAAATGCTTGTTCAGAAGCTTACACTTGCTGTTGAAGAGACAGTTGGTTTTGGACAAGAATAAAATAAATCTTTTGATTTCCGGAGAATTTCAGAATTATAAATATATGTTATCTTAGATGTATAACTGTTACTTGTCATGCCTTTAATACTTCATTTAGTGATGCTGATTATTTATAAATTTGTTTTTGTTAAGTTTTTATGTAAATTTTAATGTATATGTATTGTTTTTCTGATTAAACGTTTTTTATCTTAATTATAAAAATTACTAAATATTACCTTTAGAAAGATATTTAGAATTTTTGATTATGTATTACTTTTTTTAATTAATAGTTTCTTTAATATTTATTTTTTTAATATCAATATATGTTAGTTTTTACTTACTAAAACATAAAATTGATTTTTCTCCTGTAATTCAATATACTTGTATCTATTTAGAGATCTATCATACTTTATGATTTAAAGATATTTAAGAATGTATTTTTTCAATTGATATCTTTTTGTTTTTATATTTCTGTCAATATTATAAAAATGTTTTTTTTTTAATATTTCAAGTTAATATAAACCTTCCTGTATAATATAAATATTAAAGTTTATGCTAATAACATATGAGATGACTCTTTTTGCTTGTTATTTTCTCTGTGTACTTTTTTAATGTAAATTAGTAAACAAGAACTCATTTATAATATTTCAAACCTTCCATTACTTCTTCATCATGGCATAACTTCTTATCAGGAATACTAGGAAGTATATAAAGCTAATAATATTCTATGAGAAAATGTTTTGTTTCAAAAATATATATATTACCTGCAATTCTTTTAACTCTTTTAAACATTCATCATCCTTATCTTCCAACGATTCTGACAAAATATTACTGATATCCTAATTTCCCTTAAATACCATTAAATAATAACTAAATAAATCATACATTTTGATAATTAATCGCTTCTTTCGTTTCATCCATAAGTTTCAAACTTGATTCATATGACATCTTCTTATTAATCTCCTTTAATAAATATGAATTCTGCTCAAGTATATATATAATATCCTCTTCAATTAATGCAAATTCAATGGTTGATATCTGACATAAATAAAATATATAAAATATACATAAAATAGTACCAAATTTTCCAATGTCTCTACATGAGCAAGTGCCCTATTAAAAAGCGTTTCATAATTCTTCTTTTCTCTTAAAAAGCTCAACGCTCTCTGCTTATCGCCTTGTATAAGACTTCTTTTTGCCGCTTCTTTCATATTTTTGACATAATTTTCCGATTTTTTTTGGTACATATGTAATCTATCCCGTTGTGTCTTTAATTTAAACAGTATATAGTCCCTTTTTGTGACCTTTTTGCTGGATAAAACCCCCATCTTTTTTGTATTTTTAAAAACATTAAATATATCCTTATATATTGAGTTTTTTCACGGGAAAAAAAACTTTATATAGGAAACCAATGCCCTAGAATTCAAAAATTATATATAAAGGCCTTTTTTCCTAAGAAAATCATTAGATTTAGGCCTCTCTTTTTTTTTCAAATATTGGACGTTGACTTTTGCCCTGGCAACGGAGCTGCGATGAAAGCCAAATCTCGACTAAGTCGCTGTTTGGACGACAAAATCCGAGGCTATTTGGATGAATATTTTGACCGATATTTAGAGGCTCCAGCAGGAGTTTTAGAGGCGTATGAATATGTTCAGGGCAGAGATTCGCTTTTAAACCGTACCAAAAAACAAGTATTAGAGATGTCTATTAAACGAGTTTTGGAGGAAAAAGGAGGGGAAATAACCGGCAAAAATCATCGGAAATCGCATGGGGACGTTGAGAAGGACCATTCTATTGAAAAAGAGGCTTTTTTTCGTGAAAATTTGGTGTGTTTTTGTGGTTTTTTGGAAAAACGAGGATTTTTTGATTAAAAGGTCTTTTAGAGCGGGATTAAGGCAAAAAAAGAGTCAGAATCCGTTTTAAACAGTGAAGGAGATGTTGTTTACCAGAAAGAATTGTTAAAATCGGGCAATTCTTCGTTAAATAATGAAGAAATAATGAAAGATCAATTTTATGGTATTTCTGAGTCTAAACGCAGGAATAAGACAGAAAAAAGTGATATTCCCAATAAAAGATCAAAAGGTTATTATATTTCTTTTTTTTTTTTTTTTAAAACGGTCAAAGTTAATGGGAATTATAATCCACCTAAAGGGATTATGTTTGATGATCTTGGGGGAATAGATGAATGTATTAATGAGATTCTTGAATATATAGTGATGCCTTTAATGCATCCTGAAGTATATTCTTATATTGGTATTCAAATTCCAAGGTTTATTAGATATTTTTTTAGAAAGAATTAATTTTTTGAAGAGGGGTTTTACTTCATGGCCCTTCAGGATGTGGGAAGACATTACTTGCAAATGCTATAGCATCTGTAAGAGATTTATGTTTTAAAAAAATGATTTATTTATATTTTTTTTCAGGAGATAGGTTTACCATTTATATCTATTTCTGCACCATCTATTGTTTCTGGTATGTCTGGTGAATCAGAAAAGAAGATCCGAGATATGTTTAATGAGGCGAAATCGATTGCTCCATGTCTTATATTTATTGATGAAATTGATGTGGTAACACCTAAGAGAGAGAATGCACAGCGTGAAATGGAAAGGCGAATTGTTGCTCAACTTCTTACATGTATGGATGGTAATTTTTGCAGAATCCTTAGTCTTTTTTGATTATAGATAGATCTTTCTTTGGATAAAACAGGTGGAAAACCTGTTTTAATAATTGGAGCAACAAATAGGCCTGATTCATTAGATCCAGCTTTACGTAGAGCTGGTAGATTTGATCATGAGATATGTCTGAATGTTCCGAGTGAAATTGGGAGAGAAAAGTGATATGAGTTCTTTTTATTGTATACATATGTTGATAATAATTAGAATTCTTCGAACACTTCTTAAAAAAGTACGTCTTTCTGGTGATTTTGACTATAAAAAGTTAGCAAAGATGACACCAGGATATGTAGGAGCTGATTTAAGTTCTCTTGTTACTACATCTGGCATTGTTGCTATTAAAAGGATTTTTAGATTATTACAAAACAATACATCATCAAATGAAAAAACATTAACTCAATCAAATATGAATTCTTCTAATTCTTCAGATAAAAATAACAATCATGCTTTTAATATGGATTTGAACTCTTTTGTATCTGATAATTTTCAAAATACTGCTATTATTCAACGTTTTTTAAAAACATATCCTGATACATTACCTGATGATGTTTTATCATTAATGTGTATTACTATTGATGATTTTTTAGAGGCAATTCCTAAGATTCAACCATCATCTAAGCGTGAAGGATTTGCAACTGTTCCAGATGTAACTTGGGCAGATGTTGGTGCATTAAAATCTATTCGTATGGAAATGCAGATGGCTATTGTCCAACCTATCAAACATCCAGAATTATATGAAAGAGTGGGTATTACTGCGCCTTCTGGAGTGTTGCTTTGGGGGCCTCCTGGTTGTGGGAAAACTTTATTAGCCAAAGCAGTAGCTAATGAAAGTCGTGCAAATTTTATTTCAGTTAGAGGTCCAGAATTATTGAATAAGGTTAAGATTTAACATTATATATGTGTTTTTGTAATTTAATTAGTATGTTGGTGAATCAGAACGTGCTGTTCGTCAAGTATTTTCAAGAGCAAGAGCTTCTGTTCCATGTATTATATTTTTTGATGAATTGGATGCAATTGTTCCACGAAGAGATGATTCTTTGGTAAAAAATTTATTATTTTCATTCTATTTCAACTTATTTATATTTTTTAGCCTGAATCTTCTGCAAGAGTAGTTAATACATTATTAACAGAGTTAGATGGATTAAACGATAGAAGAGGTATATATGTAATAGCCGCTACAAATCGTCCTGATATTATTGATCCTGCTATGATGAGACCTGGACGTCTTGATAAACCATTATTTGTAGAATTACCATCTGAGGATGAACGTTATGAAATTTTAAAAACATTGACTAAAAAAACTCCTATTTCTTCATCTGTAGATCTTCTACAGATTGCAAAAGATCAAAGATGTCAAAATTTTAGGTTATTCTTATCAATTGAATTATATTATATTGATTTCATTTAGTGGTGCTGATTTAGCTGCACTTGTTCGAGAAGCTGCCGTTCTTGCTCTTCGAAATACCTTCTTCATGGATCTTTTTACTGAAAAAATACTTCAAAATGATTTTCATCATATTCCTTTATATATTGAACAATATCATTTTGATAAGGCTTTTTTAACAATACGACCTAGTGTTTCTGACAAAGATCGTGATCGTTACTATAATCTTAATCGTCGTTATGGATGTTTGGCTACTGAATCCTCATGAAAGAGTGCTTTACACTATATTTTTTTCTTGCTTAAAATCAATCTATATCATAACAATTCATTCTTCATATTTCTTGATAAAAGGCTTTTTTGTATCATTATTTCATAACAAAATCATCGAGTTAGTGGGTTATTTAGTGAAAATACCTGAGTTTTGACATAATTGGGTCTTAATCTTGAATTTTATGGATTATAGTGGTATAAAATTTTTTCGTTTTTTGATAATAAAACCTCATTAGTATTAAATATATGATTCATATACGTAATAAAACGCTATAATTCACTGGGAATCATGTATTTTTTTCAACTTATTTATCTCTACCCTATACCTTCTTTATATAGAGATGGACGAATATAGTAATAAGGGTTTCCATTTTCGTACTATTTTGGACACATATGTGTTCGTATTTTTGGTATATATAAATACGCTGATTGCCTTCAGATTCTACAAGTTTTAAACAAAAATATAAAAAGTCTATTAACTTATTTTTTTGAATTAAAAACCAATAAAAGACAAATGACTAGGTCACTGAAGCGACCGACCTCTGAAGGAGGGCGATTTTTTTCTAAGTAGTTTTTTTGAATATTTAAGAGTTTATTTAACATAGATTTTTAGACATGGATATGGAGGAACAGCGCCAAATGGAACGAAGAAGAATGGTGCTGGCAAGGCTAATTGGTGTGTTTGAGAGTCTTGAGGTGTTTAGAGACGTTTATTTATTCTTTTTTAGGGGTACAGAAGGTTCAGAAATTGAATTATCAAATTATATGAAACAAGGGCGTCGTCCATCCAATCCACAGTCTACAAGTGTAAAATGGGTAGATCTTGATAAGTTTAGTAAAGAAGGTTCACCGGAAGCGATTAAAACATTTGACTGATTTGCTATGAAACTTTTTTTCTGGAAAAAAGAATGGAAATTAAATAAAGTTTATTCGGAAAATAATGGGAAAAACTAAAATAATATTATCACATTCAATGATGATTTGTAATCTATTCAGGGTCTGCAAAAAAATATATTTTAAAAATGTTGAATATTACAATATGAAATATAAATTTTAAGCAAGATCAAGCCAGAAATGCAATATGCAGTCAAAGATGGTGTAAGCATAGTGTTGTCGAGTTGATGAATATAGATATAAAGATTTTAAGCAATATTTAGAGTAGTTGATTCATTAATTTACGTTTATTTTCTTTATCAATTTCATTACATTTCTTTATTGATTAGTATTTTATAAAATAGATGATGTTAATAAATCAATTACCTGCATCGAATCTTTCATTTTATTTAAATATTCTTGTGAAAGTGCATCTGCCTCTTCTATAAGTGCATCTGCATCTGCCCATAAATCATCTTCAAATGTTTTATCAGTCATAAGAGATTGTATTTGTGTTTGAATAAGTTTTGTTTCTTTTGTATATGTTTCTAAACATGTCTATATAGAAAAAAATAAGCAAAATTTAAAATATTATTAAACAAACATACAGATAATCGTTGTAGAGCTTTTTGAAGAGTAGCTTCTTGACTAAGAACAAAAGCAGAATCAGAACGTGCATATTCGAGTTCTTGTTGCATAGATTGACTTAATGAATTAGTATTTAAATACATATTAGTTATAAGATTTTTTACAGAATAGTTTCGATTGAATCGTTAGATGTCAATTTGAACATTTTTTCCGCATATTCCTGTAATTCTTTTTTATACTTATCTTGAGTATCACGTTGTAAATCTTGAAAATGATCTTCAAGCATTTCTAAAAGTTTTCGAGATTCTGGTTCTTTCAGTGCATTTAAAGATGTACAAGACACATCAACCGTTGTATTAGTATCTTTTTTAACTTCTTTCATACATATTTCTTTTATATCTTTTTCTACTTGAGCCGTTTTAATTGATGGAGTTTTTCGACTAAAATTATTAATTAAACCCCCAAAAAAAAAGATAAATTTATACGGAAAACGCGATTTCTTTCTTCTTTTATGCAATTTCTTATAATCCTGTGTTTTATTAAGTGCTAATGTCATATTTTATCCAATAAAATTGATATTTCTTGATATCCCTTTTTTACTAAAAAAACCATTATTATTTATAAAATTCCCTTTTTTCAATAAAAAATACCTGTTTCTTAATAAACCTCTGTATTTTATTAAAAATACTTTTTTATCATAAAAATACTAAGTCCACAAGCTGTACAATCCAAGCTTTAAATTTCGACAAGTCATGGGTTGCCATAACAACTAAGTATAGAATATATACACTGGCTCTTCTTTTTTTTCATATAAAAAAGGTATTATTTCATTATTTTCAAGGTATATTGTGTTACTTTGATTTGAAATATCCTAGCTTTAAAGTCCTGCATAAGAAACATATAATTTTCTAATTTATCTTATAAGATTTTAAGTATATTTTTTACTTACTTTTTAATAGATTTTTATAAGTATTAAGATTCTTATTTAACCTATTTCTTATTGCAGAAATCTTATTAAATCTTAACCGAGACCTGCTGTATTTTTTTTTTTTATTATTCCTCATTATTTAAGCTCTGATTAAGAAAATTGTTTAAAAAGTGGATTTAGTCAATTTTAATCAAATAACTTGTATATTCTTGAGATATTATAAGTAGAGAATATTATATTTGGATATAAGAAGATGAGCCAAAAGTTTGTTAAACTTAGTGTAGAAAATAAATCGGGTTTTTGGAGTTGGTTGCGTCGATGGTTAGTTATTGATCCGGAACGCTCATCTGGAATTACATACAACAATCAATATCGTAAACCAGCACCTGGAACACCTGAAAGAATTTATTCTATGCCGTCAAATTTGCCGGCATCTGATATTTCAGATAATCCATATTGGAAAAGAGATATGCGTCGAAATTATCCTAGACCTGGGATAATTACACAACCTATTTTAGCAAAATTACTTGTGCTTGGAAGTGTAGAACATCCAAAGTAATATTTTGTATTAATAACTATGATATATTGATGTTTTTTTTTTTTATAGAATTCCAGAACCATCAGAAACTGAAGCTCAAACAACTACACCGGCTATAACACAATCATTATCAACTATTTTATACAATACTGAGCCAGCTGAGATTCAGAAACTTGTGTTAACAGATAAAGGTGTTGCTCCTCATCCTGGTAACTCTTATCATTGGACATTAGATAATAAAAGTGGATATCCTTCAAGTAAGTTAATTCCATAAGATTCTATTAGAAAATATGGAAAAATGAATAACCTTTATTAATGAAAAAAAGCATACCCAGTACGAACATTTCGCTAATTTATATTAATATTACGGATTTTTCGTTTATGATTATCTAAATAGATGTTTTATTCGATTCTTCTTCTGTATCTGATAATTGCATTAAACTATTCAATTCTTTTTTAATCATTTCTCGTGCATACGCTTCTATATCTTTTGCCATAGTTTCAAGAATCTTTTTAACCTTATTATCAATTCTATAGAATGTTTCAATAAAACGATTACATCCTGCATTTAAAATAATGTTTGTCATAACTGTATATGTCTCTCGTAAAAGATCACATAATACAAGAACCGTCTGTGTATATGATGGCATAAAAGGTAGATGAGGATGTGTTAATGTTTTAATAATACTTTCTTCCTCGTCAAAATTGTAATTTTCTATATTAAAATTACTTTTACGAGATCCTTTTGATCCAAAAAATGCCTTCATCTTAGGCGTCCATGTTCCAAAATCTCGTGTTGCAGTTTTCCATGTTGTAAGGATTGTAAGATAGTTTTTTAAATAATCCTCAAATGTTTGTGACGTTGATGGTGGTATTAAAGAAGAAAGTAAATATCCAAGCATATGATAAGATTGTGTCCTTGCATTATTAGAAATGCAATAATAAATAATAATTAATTAATATACTTTTTGTAAGCTGGTTTAACATTGAAATATGCATCAATTTGATTCTTTTTTAAAAAAATAATGTTAAGCCAGTGAATATCTCCATCATAACTAAAAGTAAGCTTAGAAATAGATTTTCAATGTATAAAATAAAAATATCAGAGTGCATATATGGCCCATATAATTACGCATAGTATATGCATATACTACGCATACATTACGCATACATCCCGCATATAATACGCATACAATACGCATATATCACGCATATATAAAGTATATACCATATATATGCTATATAAAACCGTTCATTTCAATATATAGTCCTTTTCCATTGAAATATAATAGATTTTTCACACAATTTATCCCCTTATTTGCACTCTTTTAAAAAAAAATCTTACATTTGTGTAATATGTTGAATTAATCTAAATCTCTTCTCTTTAATCTCTGTAACCTCCCGAATAAAAGGATGTAAAGGTAATGGCATCTCCGGTAATAATATATCTATAATTTATTTAATATTCATTCCTTATCTTTAAATATATTTATATTTTATATTTAAGTGTAATAGTTAAGGATTTTGATAGAAGATATGTCACGTGATTAGACGTTTAAAAAATGAATCACGTGATATCACGTGATTTTCACGTGCTCAAAGCCAAATGTAATACAACACGATTAATTATTTCAGTAGGTTCAGCCATTGCACCCATGCCAGTATCACCACAAGCAAGTGTTTTTTCTATAGGATTTATGAATTGTATATGTGGTAGTATTTGTTGTATAAATTGAATATGTTTCTGAGTAAGAGGATGTTGCCACATCAAAGTATTCATAGAAGGAGCAGCAAAAATTGTAAGATTAGGAGACCAAGCTCTAAGAATAGAAAGAAGAAGATTATCACAAATACCGTTTGCTATTTTTGAAAGAGAATTTGCAGATAAAGGTATTAAAAGAAGAAGATGAGCCCAACGACGAAGTTGTATATGTAAAATTGGGTCACCATATTTTTTCCATAACTTTAAATAAATAAAAATATAAATATATTAAATTAATACCTCCCATTCATCACCGTCAGTCCATGTAGGAATATTATATTTTTTGATTTCTTGTAGATCAAAAAATTGATTTGCAGAAGATGTATATACGATTTGAATTTCAACATTTTTATATTTCAATAAACCTTGAATAATAATAGGTAATTTGATAGCAGCTATTGATCCTGTTACTCCAATAAGAATATGCCTTTTTATATCTGAATTAATTGACCAAATTTTATTTAAAGGCTCATTTTCTATATATTCTTGATATAAATCTGAATTATTATTTTTATCCAATTTTTCTTCTTCCTGTGCAATTAAACATGTAGAATCATAATTTTCTGATCTATTTGAATTATAATCTTGACTATTTGTTTTTTCTTTTTCATATTTAGTTTCCATTAATAGATTTTAATTAAATTTATAATTTTAAAAAAAAATATTCCACTTTTTATATTTTTATTCTTTTATTAACTTTCTATCCTTTATATATAGCTTTTCTTTAGTTCTTCTGCATCTTTCTTGGCCTTTTTATATTCTTTTTTTTCAAGAATCGCCTATATTGTACTACGATTATTTAACCTTTTAAAGAGGACGTCTTTCCTTCATGAAAAGACATGAAGAAAAGACGAATTCCCCTCAAGAACATTCATATATTGCTTCTGATTACATAATCCATGTATAATTTTTGATAAGCCTATTAGCTACTGATTCCCAATAGCCAGAAGGTGCAGATGCTTTGCACGCTTTATTGCTATATCAGACTTCTCGCAATACAATTCCAAGGCATTGGATAGCACGTGAGAATAAACCGCTTATTTTTCAATGTAAAATGCTTGAATTATTACATAATTATGATAATATACTGGTTGTTGAGGCTAAAAAAGACGTTAAACCAGTATATGGTGTCATTGAATGTATGAAACATAAAGTTTATGTGTTTAGCGAATTTGATTCAAATGTTACTCGTGATGAGGTGTTAAAATCTCCTTATAGGCCTGGGATTAATGAAAATATTGAGAAAACTAGTAATATAGAGGCATCTTTGGAAGCAACGTTGCCATGGCAACCACCAGTGATCAATACAGTAGAGAGATCAAATATTAAGCAAATATCAAGTAAAGATGTACTGAATGGCCTTCTTCAGCAATATTTTTATATACTTTATGTTTCAAAAGTGAATTGAATTTTTTATATTTTTCTAGCTTATATATTTCAAGGTTTCATTGGCATATTTTGCAAAAACAACATTAGCAAAAGCAAGAAAAGACTGTCAAGAGGTTTATTTAGATGAGAATAAAGGTCGTATTGAGATGATAGAATTTATTGAAATGAAAATGTTGCGAACACCGGAAGAATTGGAGATGAAATTTAAAAAATGGTTACCTTTATTAGTTGAATCTAGTTTGGATGAAATGAATGATGTGAATATAAATGAATGGCCAGAAGAGATGAAATGTTGGTCTATAGATGTAAATGAGCAGGAATTTATTTTAAAATGGTGCAATTGTAATGAAGATTGTATTTTTCGAAATAAAAAGAATGCCAATAAAAGAATTGATGCATTAAAATTTCGAGAGTATGTTTATTTTCTTTATATTTTTTATGCTTATATCGTAAGGTTTGAGTTACAGATAATTTTAGTATTGGAAGTGCTTTTGTTATGCTATGAAACAAAAAACGATGTATCGAATCAAGAATTAAAGAAAAGTCGCTTGTCGATTAATATCAAACAATATTTGGATATTTTGGTTGATAGACTATGTATATGGCAAGCATTAGAAGATACAGAATTATCGTTTGATAAGAATATTGATCAGAAGACAGATAGTGATCAATTACGGCAGTTTTGTGCAGAAGTTGTTATGCCTTTGTATGTTAAAACAAAACTTTTAGTGTGTAACTAACAATAGAATAGTTATGCATCTAAACTTCCTGATATTTGTAGTGGACTATTTGTTAAATGTGGTGGACCGATTCTTTCTCATCATTCTCTACGATCAAAGAGCGATAAAAAGAAAAATCAAAAAGCTAATCTTTCTACTTTCTCAAAGCCACCTGTTACTGTTATAAAATCTTTATCCAATGTTTCTACAAAGTCACCTGTCGATATTACTTCAAGTCTTGCAACAGCTCTCTGTGATGAGAAAACCAAATTGCAGTCCGTATCAGTTACACTACGTCCTTCTTTTATGGATTCATGTGTTAAAGGTGTTTCAAGAGACGGTATTTTGAATTCTAAGAAATCTCTTCAGCATCGTGAAATAAAGATGCCTTTATCAAAAATTACTAAAAAAGACAAGTCAGATGATCCAACATCTCTATCTAATCAACAATTCGTACGGCCTCGTGAAGTACAACGGATTCAAATCAAGCGTAAAAATTCCTTTTTGTATGTAGAAAATTACTTATTTTTGAAGAAAAATCAATTGCTGGTCAGATTCAAGTACTGGCGACGCCTCAAAAGAGTCGAATGGCTCGTTCAACTAGTTCAATAGCAGATCTAGCTGAATGCAATCAAGATAGAGTAATGAATACTTCAGTTAACGTTGATATAAACAGAACACCTTTAAAAAAACGTCAGAAGATAGATGTTATATCTGAAACGCCGATAAAACAATGAGTTCTTGCTTGTTTGCGTCTTGTTAACATATATTTTTTAGCTATTCTTATTTTTGCTCATTTTAACCTGTTTTTTCGATCCATTCTTTCCTGAAAGTTAAGTAATAGAGATAATTTCTTGATTCATAATAACCACTTTCCAAACTCTTAAATTGTTTTTATCATTTTTAATGATATTTCTTTTAGAGAAATTTGTTTTCTTAAATTTTTTATAGCTTCTCCTCCTCCTCCTCCTCCCCCCTTCCCTCATTTAAAAATATTCTCTAAATATTATTTTACCTAATATATCCCTTTTCTTTTCACACTTGAATCCATGACATTCCAAGAACTACTCTCAAATATTGATTTGACCATTCATATCTTAACATTCCTGGTTTTGTTAGATAAAAACCTTTCTTCTTCCCTTATTTAAACCATCTTTTTCATTGTTCCAATATGCTCCTTGTACTGAATGTATCCCAAGAGAAATATTTGACGATTTCTCAATAATCGACGACGTTACAATCCATTTATACCGAGGCGCATATGTTTTTAATCCTTCTAATAAACTATGCTACAAAATCAATTTACATATAAATCATAGTTCTCATTTATTCTACTATAATCTCCGTGTTCCATGTTTCCGCCTGGCATTCTGTATATGATGCATCTCCAAGAATACTGCAAAGACGTGATTCACAGAGCTCTTTTAGATTCTCATATAATATCGGCTAATACTTCATTACCTTCCAATTTTACCTATAAATCTATCATAACCCTACACTGTTCGAGCTCGTCATAGACATCATTTCATTCAATCCCAAAACCTATTGGTATCGAGTCGCTTTAAATATGCCAAGTCCCCGATTATTATAAGATAATCGCGACAACCCTGATATTATTAAAGGATTCGGAGGATAAACGTTAATTTGATAATATTTTAATATTTTTGTTTAAAAATAGTTTAACTAGAGAAAATAAATAGAAAAAAAAAGTACATAAATTTAGTAATAAAATGTAAATAATATAGATTAAAATCCACGTGTATTACGACCACGACGCGATCTTCCTCTAGCTCTATCACGACCTCTACTTCTTAAAGCTTCTCTTTTTTTTTGTTTAGGTTTTGGAGCATCGTCAATTAATAAAGTGTCAAGAGGAAGACTATCAGGAAGGATGAAGTATCGAATATTATTACCACGAATACTAAGTGTGTCTAAAGAGGCGGGATTTTTATTAAAAACGGTCATTTTAACTGTTTTGAGATGAGTATTCATTTGCATGTCGACAGCAACGATAGTGCCATTAACAGTAGTTCCTATTAAGATGAGTATAAAGAGGGAATAAAAGATGTTTATTGATCAATAATAATGATTGTATGCGGGGTGTATGCGGGGTGTATGCGCGATGTATGCGTAGTATATGCGTAGTATATGCGTAATGTATGCGTAGTGTATGCATATACGACGCATATACTTTACAATCATTTCGATAAATTTCTTCGAATAAAAATAACCCATATATCATGTATATAATTTGTTTAATTAATACATGTATATTGGAATAATTACTAACCATTTTTGAGCTCAATGGAAACCGTTTCATTAATTAATTTCATAAGAAATCTAAAAAAAAAAGTTGGTTGATATTTTGTAGATAAAAATACAGAAAAAAAAACCTTACGAGTTTCATTCCTTGATTTTAAAGCTGTTAAGCGTATTTAATAACCCGTAAGACTTGAAATTTGGTTTTTTCTGCCTAATAAACGCTGGTTTGTATGAACAAATGGTTTTCGATGAAGTTGCTAGGCTTTTTCTTCGTTGCTATGCTAAATCATCAATAATATACAAAGGAAAAGTAATAAAAATATGAGATTTTTTTAATAAATATATGAAAAAATAGTCAAAAAATATGATTTAAAAATAATAAAACTATTGTTTTATACATAAATTTTATACCTATTTTATACCTATTTTATATATATTTTATATATATTATAATTGAGAAATAAGTGCTTTTGCTGCACTTGTAGGATTAATTTTTCTTCCGTCCTAAAAAAAATTAATAAACAATTGTTTATTATCAATAATTTACTTTATTATAATGTGCACGAAGTGGTATGACTCGAATACGACGTCCTTCACGTGATCTTACACGAACGATATGACTATGAATTGCACAAGAAACACAATAATGAAGTTTAATATATAATTTTGGCAATGCATATTCTTGGTATACACTAGCATCCGATATATCTCGAATTGCTGCAGATTCAACCATATTTCCTGTATAAATATGAAACATTATATAAAATGATTAAGAAAACTTACGCACTGTAAATCTCTTAATTGCTTTATCTTTTGGTACACATCGTGCACAATTAGAACATCTTATTGGATCTGTATGACCTCGTCCGTGTTTATTACGTCCGTTATTTCTACGCTTAAATGTCTATTTATAGTTAATAAATATTATCTATAAAAAAAAGTATATAAATATATATATAGTCTTTATTATCGATATAAGAGGTCTATTGATCCCTTATAAAGCCTATATTATCTTAATTAACTTACCATTCTTTTTAAATTTTGTCTTAAGAAAATTCAAGTGACCGTTTTTTTTTACTGTCGTATGTGTCCCGTCACATAACTGACGTAATCCGTAGAATCCAGTCTAGTAAAGGACCCATACCCATTAATAATCCAGCATGTTTACTACATATAAACCACTTCCAACAATCCGAAGGATTATTTAAATTAATAGTTCGTAACATCCAAATTGTATAAATCATTCCAGATCCACATGAAAAAATATAAAATATAGGTGAATGTCCATTTATATAACCTGCCCATGCCATTGCACTCGTTTGTAATATAGAAAGTCCAAATAACCAAGGTTTAGTATAATTTCCAAGTTTAAGAGCCATTGAATAAACTGAAGCTTTTTTATCATCTCGTTTATCCTTATCGTATATTAGAAATAATAAATTATTTATTTAAAAAAATTAAATATCATATTGTTTTCAATAACAATAAATACTTTTATTCTCTCTATTTACCTGATGTGCATAAATTATATCATACATAATTGTCCATATCACTCCTGATATATATAATGGCAAACAGGACTCCCATGTCACGTGACACCAACCCACCAATGAAGGCCATCCTAATAAAACTCCCCAATTAAAAGTAAACCCTATTAGGGTTATAATGTTGTCATGGTAACCCTATCCTACCTAAAACCACCTGTGGATACCAAGTAATTCGTTTCATAAGAGGATAAATTGCGACAAAAACAAGGGAACTAATCCCTAATAATTGACTAATAATGATTAGAAACTATAATTAAAAGGAATTAAACTAAGAAAATGAATTTATATCTTTATTATGGAGTGATTTTGAATAACCCCTTAATATTACTTTTGGTTTTTTGAAATTTTTTGAGCATATAATGCGCATATAATACGCATACAACACGCATATAACACGCATACATTTCGTTATATTCAGTCAATTGGCTTTTGCTTTGATTATAGAGATGTTTTTTTTATATTTCTTATGATTTCTTACCATTCAACTGGAAGCTGTATAAGAACACCTGCACCACCAACTAATTGTAATCCAAGAAATGCTATAGCTTTAGGAGTATTTAGAGTACCGGATGCTAAAGGTCTTATTGCTGTACGTTCGACACGTGCATCAATTTTTTGATCCCATATATCATTTATAGTACAACCAGCACCACGCATTAATATGGAACCGACACCAAACAAGCCAAGCATTGATAAAGTATCATAAGCTGGCATAGTTTGTGAATAAGCGGCCATACTAATAGACCAGGTTGAGGGTAAATATAATAGCCATGCACCAATAGGTTTATTCCAACGTGCAAGATGTGCATATGGAATAAGAAATTTATGGATGGAAAGCTTATTAATTTTTCTTAATTTTAATCTCAACATATACTTTTTATTTGAAAATTGTTTTTTCGTGGGTCTTGTTAATATTTGTTACGATTATATAAATATTTCTATAAAGTTGTTTATTGGGGTTATGTCACGTATTCTTTTATTTCCAGGTATGTTTTTTATGTATATTTATTTATTTATTTTTTTCTTTTTATGTTAAGTGAAATTAAGGACAAGGTACACAATATATTGGTATGGCACGACCATGGATTGAAGCGTTTTCAGAGGCTCGTCATTTTTTTAATGAGGTAGATGAAATTCTTGGGTTTTCTTTACAAAAGATTATGAATTATGGGCCATCGGTTTGCTATTTTTGACAGTGTGTTATATATTGTATATTAATGAGGATTAAAGAAAGTTCTTGATCAAAGCGAAAATGCTCAGCCTGCTATTCTTGCTACTAGTTATTGTATTATTGAGATACTACGTGTATATTTTTTTATAAAATTAAAGTATGGATTTGATTAGGAATTAGAAGCATTTTGGTATTAACATGAAAGACTATTTTACATATACGATGGGACATTCATTAGGTGAATATACATCATTAGTTTTTGCTGGAGTTTTTTCATTACCGACTGCTATTCGTTTGGTAAGGAAACGTGGTGAATGGATGAAATCAGTAGAATGTCATGAAAGTCAAGTTATCGCTGTTATGCAGGAACGTTCTATACTTGATACATTGATTCAACAACTTAAAATATTTCAAGAAAAATTACCTCCCGGTCAAATAATTGCTTTAGCTAATGATAATACCGTATATTATTTAAATAATTTTTTTCGCACTTGATATTATTAGAATACACAAATTGTTTTATCTGGTACTAAGAAAACTCTTAACACATTTTTAACACAATTTTCTTTACGTAATCATTCTATATTACGTACAATTCCTTTACGTGTTTCGGTTCCTGTTCATTCTTCACTGATGAATTCTGTTTCAAATAACTTAATGGATAAACTTGATACTCTTTCTTTGTCTCCACCTTCTGTCACTGTTATCTCAAATGTTACGGCTCAACCTTATCCGACTGATCTTTTTTTATTGAAAAAACTTTTAGCTAGGCAGACTAAAGAAACGGTTCAATGGTTTCAAAGTACACAGTATGTCTTAAAACATGTTGCTCCAATTCAATGGGTTGCTACAGGTCCAAAACATGTTATTTCTCGTATGTTAGCTTCACAAATTTCTGTTCACTATCTTTTTAAATTATCTTCAGTTAAGGATATCCTTCCTCTGTTAAATAGTCTAGAAAAAGGTATTATTTTAAATTCTTGAATCTTTATTTTTCGAAAGTTTTATTGATCTTTATTGGGCTTTATTATTATTCTTCATGACAACTTTATATTCTATTTTTGAAAATATTATAAGTATTCATTAAAAAATCATGAAATCTTATATTAATCTTTTGATTTCTTAGGTTCTGTTTCTAGTACATACAATACACATACATTATACATCAAATATTAAATATCAACATCTGTCACTTAGTTCTTTATTATCCTTAAATATACGACATTATTGTTCTATTTCAGACATTTTCTTCTATTGTTTCCTAATTATTATGTGGATTTATTTTCCGGCTTAATTTATTATTCATGCGCTGCGAACACTTAATGCGCTTTATTTTGCATAAATAAGTATAAAAACATGGCATTTATTAATTCGATTGAGAAAATATTATCGATTATATTAAATAGTTTTTTCTTGATTATATATAATGTTTAAAAAAAGTTTATCTGTTCTAGCAAATGATGGGAATATTCCAAAGTTTTGTCCAACAGCTTTAATCGTTGGATCGGTTTTCGAACATTTGACATCGTATTTAGTTTATGGGCCTTTTTTAGGTCGAACATGGCAACGTGCAATGATTTTGGATAAAAATACAGAGTTTTGGGCTTCTAAGAAAACAGTATCAGCAGGTCTTATGTATGGTGTATCTTTTTTAAGTTCTAGTGTTCAGGTAATAGATTTTTTTTAAAAAATCAAAAACTTATATTGTAGGTGTACGCAATGGCAGCTTTATTGAAATTAACAGGAAGTCTTAAATATAAAAGTGCATTTTATTTAAGTAGTCTTGTTTTTGCTGCAACTACTTTGCCGAATATAGTTTCTGGTTATTTCATTGAAAAACGACCTAAAGAATATGTGTTGGTTAAATTTGTTTCAGGCTTGACACAAACTGTTGGACTTAGTTTTGTTCTTGCAAGTTGTTATCTTCGTTGTAAAAATTAAAATTATGTTATTGAAATTAAAATCTTTCTATAATGTTTGATAGAAATAAATCAGAGATATCCTTCTTTCTTAACTTTTTTTTTATGTTTTTATCTTATTTTTTTTTAATGTATTTTTTTTTGAATATTCATTTGTTTAAAAGATCAAAAGAGATCCTGTCTAAGGGTTATAATAAATTTTTTTAGACTCAAACAAGTTTTTGTTTAATAAAGAATCTAAAGATTTCATTTCTTTTCATTAAAAAATAAAACTTACCCTTGAAGGTGAATTGTTTGCCAAATAGATGTTGCAAATAAAATAGATAATTGAACTAATGCCCATTTTAATACACGTCCATTCGTTATTTCACTTTGTGTCCTAAATTCCTCTTCTTTCTCCTGTTTAAATGTTATAATTGGTTTATATAATTCAGGTTTTCATACACGCATCATTTTTTGTGCTAATTTAATTTCAAAAATTTGTTGATTTAACCTTTTTGTTGTTCTAGTCATCTTTTCAACTATTCTCGTTGCATTTCTTTGAGTTGTATCTGTTTCTCCAACTATAAAATCTAAAGTAAGACGAATATGTTGTTGCTGATGTAGTTCTGAGTGGATTTCAAAACATATTTTATATTGTAAAGTCTGATCTGATGTAAATATAAATTGATTAGATCCATATCCAAGTTGATCCGATACTTTTTCATTCAATTCCTGTTCCTTTTGTTAATTTTTTATCCAATTGCTTATATTGCTTCTTTATATACATAAATAGTTATACGAACTCCTGCTTGTTTTTCATTATCATAATGTTTCAGATTTTCCACCGTATATTTTCCTCATATCTATTCAATAGATTCCCATCAAAATACTTGTATATTTTACCAACAATATACATTCCTCTTGGTAATTCCTCAAGAAAACAGGTTTTTTGTGAACCTTCTCTTAATTAACTCTATTTTAACCCAGAAAAAATGCCAACCCTTAAGATAGAAATGAAATGCATTGGTTACTCTTATTATAAGAAGTATAAATAATATCAATGACCTTCTAAATTCCATTTTTCTTAAGAATAAAAAATCTAAGGTTATGTGAAAAACGTAATCTGCTAATTAAAATATATTTATATGAGAAATATTGATGTTTTTGTATAAGATTTGACCTATATTTATGTATATTAGTGATTTGTTGTTTTAGTTGATAATATTATATTTTGAGGTTATATTAGGTTATTTAGTTATACCTAAGAAATATAGAATATTTATTGTGTGATTGATATGAAGACAAGTTAAATTGATAGTTGAAGTGGTTTTTGTATATTTTTTTTTTGAAAAATTTTGTTTTAAAAGAGGTTAATGTTAAGTTTGTCCGTAGATATATAGAGTAGTTGAGTTTTAGATTTGATATGTTTAAAAAGATGTGTAAATGATGTGTAAATGATGTGCAAATGATGTATAAAAGTGTATAAAAGTATATAAATTATTTCGGTTTATTTCTATATGTTGTATCTGGTATATGGTTTAATGTAGTTTTTAGAATAGATATTTGTTTTTTACGTTGTTTTTTGTTAATTTTAATGTAAAAACAAATTGTTAACAGGTCCAGCATCAATTGTTTGCTCATGAACATGATCCATTGGATTTGGTGCTGCCTAAATATATAAGTATTTATGTACCATCTTTTAATAAAATATATACCTCGTAAAGTGTAATAACTGGTTGTTTTTTGAGCTATGTTTTTTAATTAATTCATCTATTATTAATTCAAATTATACTTCTGACCATATGCCTTTAAAGCCTAAAAGACAAATACGTGTTTGATCCTCTTCTTTAGACCAATTCCCTGGAAAAAATAATGTAATATTCTCACAGCTTTGATAAAATTGTGTCTTTACTGGATATTCTATAATCTATTTATAGTTTATACCAATTTTACCATAAATATCTTTCTATAACTTCTCCTGCATCTTCCGGTGCAACAAGATCCATACTTTGCACTGGTTTTAATGATTCTATTGTATCAAAATCCACATCCTGACGGTTCATGAATCTTTATATATATAAACTTATGAATTTTATTATATATGTTTACATTTCACATCTTTTGGGCGCTGTTTCCTCCGGGAAACATCTCAATACAATACTCCTAAGCTTTACTATTCCTGTAAAGCTGTTTTCATTAAAAAATATCCTCTTCTTTCATACAATTCCTACGGAATATATAGAATTAGCTGATCATCTGCATCACTCTCAAGAATCTGTATATAACTTAAATAATATGTATATTTTCCCATTGATCCTTATAAACCTTAGTAGTATCAAGCCGGTTGCTCCATGATTTCACTATACTTCGGCCCATTCCTTGCCTTGCTTCATTAAATGTACAAATACCATCTATTATGGTTAGTTTTGTAGATATATTAAGGCATTGTACCAAGATCAATATGAGGGAAGAGCCAAGAAGCATGATCTTCTTGTGCTTCGTGTATACAAGCTGTATTATGAGGCATAATTTGGGATAGAATGTCGATAAGGCAAGGTATATATATATATAATGGAATAACCAAATAAATATGTAGAAGGAGAAGGTTGTAGAAGGTAATTCGTATGAATCTATGTAGGATTGATTGTATTTGTGCTTTTTAGTGTGTGTTTGTTAATATTTGAATTGAATAAAATGCCAATTGTTGAAGATATATATGATTTTATATATATTTAAGAGTATGTAAAGATTTTTAAAAGAAAAAGCCTTAGTAAGAGTTTAGTGTTGTATTTGTGGAGAAGTAGGAGTTTCGCTTTTTTTTGTTTTTTTTTTTTTTTTTATATTAGTTGAAGTAGGATCAAATTTGGGTTTAAAATGATCTTCTAAGGTATTTTCTTGAGGTTCTTGTTTTGTTATATCTTTGTTTTGAGCCATATCATAAAACTTTTCACGTATTGCATCGTTTAGTGCTTTTCGTACATGTTGATTTGCCTTAATATTATGTATTGGTAAGTCCTTTGAAGGAATTTCTTCTGGAGTAGAATATGAATATTCAGTTATAGAAGAAAAATGATGTAAATTATGAACAGAAGCTAACGCTTGTCGAAGTGATAAAATAATATTTAGCTGTATTTGTTTAAGTCTGTATATTTTTGAATAAAATAGTTATCAGACCATACGAGAAGAAATGACAGAATGAATACTTGGTGCCATATAAATACTTTCGTTTGCTACAAAATATACTGCAAGTACAGATGCTATATCATATATAATAAATGGTTGTAATGGGATGTATTGTTAATTTTACCATTATGTTCGCTTGATCGGTGTTGTTTATAGATTACCCATATATCTGGTTCTTTTTCTGTTGAAATAACAAATTCAATTCCACGCATTTTCTTCAAATGGCCATGAAGATCTCCCAATGTGTTGAATTGTGTTTGCATTTTAAGAACTTCATTGTTTGAATGTCGATCATAAAATGGGGATTGTGAAAAATAATCCAGAACTATCTTCATGTTAAAATCTTATGTTTAAACCCAAAGAACATTCGAAAAATATGTTCTTAAAATCTCAAATATACCATTGTCTGTACATAGTCTTCCATAAGCCTAAGAAAAAAATCAAAAGATGTACAAAATGATTCAAAAAAAAACATACAGTAATCCATTCCGGCATTCGCCAGGCAATTACCGAAAGATCAATCATTTAAATTAAATTAAAAATATGTGTATAAATATTGAAAAAACCATATGACATAGTATAGAGAAAATAGTCTGGACACTATCGAAATATGTATTTTTCAACTATTTTGAAAATTTACTTGTCCTATAAAATAAAAAATGATAACCCCAAATGATATAAAAATTATGAAGGAATTTCTTCAAGAAGAAATGTTTCAACGAATCGTTCAACTATCCATTGTTGTTTATCTATAGGAATCCATTGTTGATTAATATTTTGTCGCTAGAAAAATATAAATAATAAAATTAAATCATTTAAATATTACACATGCAAAAATTGTTGCCATCCATATATGTTGATAAAGTTGTTTAAATTCTTCATGTGTTCGCTCAATCCCTCGTAAACGTAATGCCGCCATAATTAACCGTTGTAATGACTAGTATAATTAATTCAAAATTTATACTTATATCTGGATAAAAATGTCATACTTGTTTGTTTTTTTGTGTCACTGGTGTAATAATGTTGCCTGGATTAAAGAAGGTACATAAAATACGAAGCGGTTGCCCTGGTAACGAGTGACCATAGAGAAGCGCGCGTGTACCATCCGACCATTGAAGAACCCAACCTGATAAAGAATCCCCACTTGGTGAACGTTTAGATTCCCAACGTTTAAAATATGCCTTTATGTGCTTATCTGCTGCGCAAACCTGCAATTGAGGTCCAAGACATTTCCAAAATGGAATATTACATGTCTGAACATTAGCCACCAAATTTGCTGAGAGCAAAGACGATTCAACTAGTAGCACTGAATTTTTATCTAAAAGATCTATCGTATTCTCTTGATTTTCATGTATATTTTCAAATGAAATAGGTTCAAGACAAAAATGACCATGCCAGTTTTTGGTCTTTAATTTAACAGGTAAACGTCTTATTAACAATGATAGAATATTTGAAATCTTTGAGATACATTTAGCTTTAGATTCTGACTTTTCTCTTATTATTTTACTCATAAATTAATTTCTCTGCTTATAATCTAAGGCTTATCGATAAGTCGACCTTACTTCACATATATAAAAGGTGACTGCGGTGAGCCAATCATATTCGAAGAAAAAAGTAAATTTTTGAAAAATAAAATATGGTAAAAAAAGGTATGGAAAATGGTATTTTTGATTGTATACTTTTGTTTTTTTTTGTTTTAAGGGGGGTTTTATGAAAAAAAATAAAACACTTAAATAATAGTGAAAAAACTGAAAAAAACAGTTAAAAAAAAGATAATAGGGTTTTTTGTTATTAAAATAGTTATTTATTAATATTATAAGATATTATGAGATATTATAAGATATCTTGATTTTGAATATAGCTTTTTTTGGGAGTAAAATTAATCGTAATAGGGAAAATATCAAAGATAAATGATACATCTTCGAAAGAAGCTATAAAAAGTTCTAACACAACATTAAAGGCAGAAAAAGCAGCAAAAGCAGTAGCTTTAGGGAATTATTCTAAGCTAAAGAGGCGGGTCCGTACAAGTGTAACATTTCGTCGACCAAAAACCTTATGTTTACCACGTAAACCACTATATCTTCGAAAAAGTATTCCTCATACCCCTCGTTTGGATGAATACAAAATCCTCGTATGTCCTATGAATACAGAGAGTTCAATGAAAAAAATTGAAGAGAATAATACATTGGTTTTCCGTGTAAATATTAAAGCTAATAAACATCAAATAAAACAAGCTTTTAAAAAACTTTATGATGTTGATATTCTTAAAGTATATTTTTAAACAATTGTTTTATTATGTCTTAGTTTTAATAGGTTAATACATTAATTTCTCCTAAGGGTATTAAGAAGGCTTATGTTAAGCTGGCTGCCGATATGGATGCTTTAGATGTAGCAAACAAAGTCAGTTAAAAAAAAAAAATTGTATATTTATTAACAGATTTTCTAGATAGGATTTGTCTAAAATCTTATTTTCTTTAAAGAGCCTTGTATAAATATATATTTTTCATTTACTCTTCTTAGGGCTCAATGAATTTTTATATATAATTATATACAAAATAGATATAAATTCTATTTATAATCATATAAAATATTCTATATTTTACTTTGTTTCTTTTTTTATTGCCATATTTCTTAAGTTCATTGTTTTTACTGAATTGTATATATTTAAAATGTCTTATCGGGGTTCTTGAGAAAAGTTAATCTAAAAACTATAAAAGGCGGGTTAGCAGAAGACATAAAGTTATTAAAAGACAGTTGGAGACTCTTTGGAAGTGCAGGAAGGGCGTATTTGGACGATTTTTGGCTATTTTAAGGGGTTTTACGTGTATTTTTTTTGTAAATTTTCTTGGATTTAGATTTCGAAAAGAATTGTCATATATAAATTTTTAAGTCATGGATATTGGCGCATACAAGCGGTTAACGCTTGGAGAAATGGGTCGGGAATCATCTGTTACGGTTAATCAGGTTCGTCTTTGCTTTTTTTCGGAAGAAAAAGCTATTTTAACACGCATATAGCGCGCATTAATTGGTAAAGAAGTATTATGATAGTTGAGTTGCCTAATTTTGTATGCTACAGACAAGATTTTGGCACGATATGCATCGGAATGTATGTTTATGGGTATTTTTGCAGGAAAATGACATATTAGATACACTTTTTCGAGAGCTACTTCAGAATTCAGATGATGCATGTTCACGGCATGTAGAAATACATTATCAGACATTAGATGATGCTCTTGAGTATGATGACATGTCGCAGATAACGAAAAGATTATGTCGTCAATTGGTTTTTAAGAATGATGGTGTTATATTTAGGGAGGAGGATTGGCAGAGAATATCTCGGATTGCGGAAGGAAATCCAGATGAAGAAAAAATAGGGGCATTTGGTGTTGGGTTTTATTCTGTTTTTTCTATATGTGAAGGTTTTTTTTTTTGCATATTTTGTATATGATAGTATGATTGATACGATTAGACCCATTTGTTATGTCAGGGGATCAAACGATGGTATTTTATTGGAAAAATGATCAATTATATGTAAAGCGTGCTGTTATAAATGCAGAGGTTCCTATGACTACATTTTTATTACAAATGAGAGAGCCGATGGAAATGCCTTATATAGCTGATTTGTCTCGATTTTTGACGACATGTTTTTCATTTACACGGAATTTATTGAGTATTTCGCTTTATTTTGATGGTTTCAAACTGGTTACGCTTTCAAAATCAAAAGAATTGTCTCAATCGATACCTATTCCAAAAGATTTGATATTAATTTCGCCTCAAAAAATTATGCGTATTGATTCTGTAGCAATAGAATCGTTAAAAATCCGTGCTACTTATTTAAATTTTGTCTGTTCGCATTCTAAACGTTCTGGTAAATCAATATTAAGGCTTAAATGGGTCGATAAATTTAATCCTTTTAATCATGATACTCATGAAGATATGGATCCGAATCTTGAAGTAACATCTGATATCACTTTAAGGTTGGTTTTTCTATCTAGGTAATTTAAGATTTTAGTAATGCTTTTTTTTAGGATTGCGAGCGCAATGATTCAAGTATCAATTAGCCCTTCATATAGAAAAGAACTTGAGAGGATTACAAAAAAGAAGCCTCCAAAAAGTACTAGGGTTCAATTGCTTTATTCGGATCATCTAGGAAGTAATGTTACGTCTCGCTCGAAGATTTTTTTTTCGGATCTTTTAACATGTCATAAACAAGGCAATGTATATATTGGGTTTTCTACACATCGTATGTAGTTATTTTTATTAAAATATGTCTTATAAATATGTTAGAAACAACAGGATTCGGTGCTCATCTAGGAGCTTCGGCTTTGATTCCTACTGTTTTTCCTTTATTTTTTTCTTCATAAAAGATTTATTTATTTAGGTTGAAAGAGAGAATATTGATTTGGTTGATAAGTTTGTTAAATATTGGAATAATGAAATACTTTATTGTTTTGGGATATTGTCCAGGTTTATATAATTGTTTTTTCTTTTTTTTTTTTTTTTAATTTTGTTAGAATCATTTATCATTATGAAATTCAACGAATTGTCGATCATTTTCAAGATGATATAAAGACTCCTTTTATATATATTATGAATATGTTCACCATGGAAGCTTCGACACCATTACCGATCAGTAATATTATTGAAGAGGCTTTTTTCTCATGTTCAAAGTCCTATTCTGTTCCTTTGATAATTGATAAAGTTATTTCATCTGATAAGATATATCTACCGGATTCCAATATCGATTTCTTACCTGAAATGCCTTTTATTTCTCATGATGTATTATTAGAGTCTTCCAAATTTTTCGATAAGTTAAAATATATGGATATGATTAAACAGATAAGTTCTGATGATATTTATAACGAATTATCTAAAACGGCACTCACAATTAAGAATACTGTTTCTTTTATAAAGTGGTTGAATAAGAAATCTAATATTGATTATATAATGCGTCTTAAGCTTATAGGAGCTGTAGTTATTTTTGATGAACACCTGGGAACAATTAGTCTTTCTTATTTGAGATGCTATTTAGATACTAAATTGATACCGTCAGATATGCCGTTACCTCCTACATGTGCTCCGTATATTTTAACAAAGAATCTTTCTCCCAGCGAACTTGAAATTCTGTAAGTTTTTTGTAACTTTTCTTATTTTCGATATATTTATTCATGAAAGTGATTGGAAGGAGTTAAGCATATTAGAATGGTTACAATATATATGTTTATCTTCAATTTCTTTGACAAAAAATGACATTAATCATTCTCCTCAATTTGCTTTGCGAGTTTTAGAGACGGTCTCAAAAAGTTGGGAAGAAATAGATTACGCCGATCGCAATGATATAATTATGCTTTTGAACTCTAAGACTTGTATGCCAACTAAAAATCATGGCATGCGAATTCCTTCTGAAACATATTTTCATACGGTGATATTATATTATATTTATTTATTCATTCATGTTAAAGGGAGCAGGTAACATTATTCTCAGATCTTTCTGTAATCGAGCCTATGACTGTGATTTTTCTTTGTCATTGTTTTCTTCTATTAATGTTGAATAGGGTATAAAAGAAGCCTTTTTGTCCGATTTAGGTGTACGCAAAGTAATCCATGATAACATATTATATTAGAAATATGCTAAATATTATAGACTGTCGAATATCAAGTTATTTTTGATAGGTTAATAGGGGGTGGAGAATGGTCACATATAGATCTTATTTGTTATTTAGCAAGTTCTAAAGAGTATTTGATTCTTTCTTTTGGTATAATATTTTTAATTAGTTGTAGTATTCCTTCATCTGATTTCGAGAAACTTAAAAAAACTTCTATATGTAAAATTGAGGGTGATTCTAAGCAAACATACCGTGTCTGCGAGCTTTATGAGCCAATTGATTCTTTGAGGGCATTATCTTTGCCCATTATTCAATGGCCTCAAAATGTATTTTTATTTATTTAAAAAGGTCATTCGCTTATATGTTTTAGAAATGGAATCCGTCATCTAATGAAGCACTTTTACTCTTTTCACTTGGGCTTAAGCGATTTCCTTCTTCAGAAGTATTGGTTAATCTTGCTGCTTCAGGTCCATCTGAACTTCGAGAAAAGGCTTTAAGTTTTTTTATTGCTAACTACTATACTTATGACTATAAGTCGACTTATTCCTTCTCCGAATCTAAATTAAAATTCTTACCTGTTCAAGATAATAATAAGCAAAGTAATTTAGAGAGTCCTACAACATGTTTTACCAATAAGTTTTGTTGCGTTTTTGGATTTAGAATTTTAAGATATGATTTGATTCCAGAAGCTAAGAAATTTGGTGTGCAAAATGATCCTAATATTGACGATGTTGTTTCTGTTTTGGTAAAATCTCCACCTAATACAATTGGACTTGCTCGAGCTCAATTTGAATACCTCGCTTCTAGGCTTGGAGAATTTAAAAGACCTGTTTTAGATAAGTTGAATAAAGTAAAATTTATTCCTACTCAAAAACATAATGGAAATGAAATAAGGCATTTGAGTCCCGATTTATGTTTTATTCAGGAAGAGGATTCTGTTTTTTATAATCAAATATTTGATTTTGTTGATTTTGGTCATAAGGCAAATGTTTTTCTAAAGGCATGTGGCACTTTGTCTCAACCGTCATTTCCTCAGCTGGCTGAGTTACTTCTTAAAAATCCTAAGCATATATTTGATTTGGTTAAGACACCTGAAAAATATCAAGATATACTGAGAAAACTTGTTATTAGCAGCTATTTTCATAAAAAGACTAAAGATATATTTCGTGATATGGAGAATAAACCTTTTCTTCTTGCATCTAGGAAACGAAAAAATAAAATGATTGGAAATAAGATGTTTTCCGAGAATCAGGAAACTGTAGAGTACTTACTTTCTGATGCCTCTTCTATTTTCATTGTTGATGATGTATGATTAATTATTTTTATACTTTAAAGTTTATAAATTTAGGTTGTTTCTTATAATTTGTTTTCTGAATTTATATTAGCAGCACCTCAAGAGGACATTTTGGAAGAATTTTACCAAGTATAGGATTCATTAGTTTTTTTTTCTTGAAAACTTACTTTTTTTATAGTCTTTAGGGTCTAAACGTCTTTCTTCTGTTGTTCGAGAAGAATATAAATTTAAAGGTCCAAAAAAAGAGAATTCTGACTCATATGCTCTTAGAAAATTATTTATCGATCGCTGTGGTTTATTTTTGCATGAAACATCAACTGTACTTCTTCGTAACATAGATTGGCTTGCTTCAAAATTGAATGTAGCTTATCTTGAGGACATAAAATTACAAAGAATATTGAAGTTTAAAAATATAGATCATTCTTATGAGCATTCAGTAACTTGTGCATTGGATCCTGAATTTGAATGTTCTATTTATCTTACGAAAAATTGGGATTCGTATGATGTTGCTCAAGTGTTATGTAAAATATTGCTTGAGAAGCCTGCAATTCATGATCCTTTACTTCTTTCATCACTTATAGCTACTGATCTGAACGTACTGCAGCAAAGAGGATATAATGTACAAAGGATTTTGTATTCTCAGGATTTAAAGAAAAAAAAAGAAGAAGAAATTCAGAAAATAAATTTAAAACAACATGAAATCGAGAAAGAAATGGAGAAATATTCCGCTGATTCTGAATTACAAAATATTTCATCTATAAAATATCCTGGGTCTTATCCTTTTGAAGATTTTAAGGATAATAGTAGTAATTATGATTTAAGTCTTGATAAAAATGAGACGTCTTCTTTAATGAAGAAAAAACCAGAATTTTTGGAGAAAAATAATTCTAAAGATTTTAAAATGCTTTCAAAGTTTCAAAAACTGTATGGCTATCAGAATAATCACGAAAAGCAACATAAGGATTTTTTATATGAAAATGTTTCTTTGTTAAAGAATTTTTTTATGAAAAAAGTTAAACTAAGGAATAATATGCATATAAAACGTCCTGTGGATTATGAGCAAAGTGTTGTTTCAAATCTTCATCAGGCAATTAAAGCATGTAGAAACAACAATGAGTTATCGGTGTGTTCGCCTATAGAAATTGTTGATGTTAAGGAGGCTAAAGATGGTTATTGTAATATTTCTCATTCTCATGATTTGAAATTTGTAAATCGAACTACTGATAACATAAATGTTTATGTTTCAAAGGATATCCATTCTGGTGAATCATTTATAATGAATAATAAAAGTAATATAGATTTATTCAGTTCTCTGATATTGAAGAAAATATCGACTGTTTTTGGTTTTAATACTTCTGTTCTTAATATTTTTTATGACGATGATGGACCAGCCATTGCTTTTAATAAAAATGGTTCTATTTTTTGTAATTTAAGGTAAATATTGTTATATTTATATTATCAGGGGCTAAAAATATTATTAGACATTATATATTATTACATTCCAAAAAGCTTATTTCTGGGAATTCGAAAGATGTTCTTGTAAGTATCTTCTTATTTATATTATTTCTAATATTTTAGGCATTTTGGTTTGTCACTATTGCGCATGAGGTAGTTTTAATTTCTTTTTTTTCTTCTGATTTAATAATGATATAGCTATCACATAATATTGTTTCTGAGCATGGGCATGTTCACAGTTTTTATACGTATGTTTACAAGTAATAAAAATTAACATTAATTAACTATGTTAGGGAATCGTTTATTTCGCATTATATGACAAAACTAGTTAAATTATTTTAATTTTTGGTTTATTTAAATAGTGAAAGAACACTTTGTAATTTTAATATCATCTCATCCCATTCATCTTCTGCATTTGAGAGATTTGTAATTGCTCCTCCTGCGCCAATATTCCAATGGTCTTCGTCATGATAACGAAATGTACTTCGTATAATTACACTCCAATCGCCTCTGCCACATACACTAAAATATCCAAATACGCCGGAATATATATCTCTTTCTTTCTTTTCCAATTCATATAATAATTCTATACTTCTCTTCTTAGGTGCGCCTGTCATGCTTCCAGGAGGCAATGCATATGCTAATACGTCAATGCCTGTATAAGGAGGTTGTACAGTTCCTTGAATTACTGACACAAGTTGATAAAGTGTTTGATATTCTTCTACTTGCATAAATGCAGGTACATGGACATTTTTTGCTATTTGACACAAGTCGTTACGTATAAGGTCTAAAATCATTAAATTTTCTGCATAATCTTTTGGATTTTTCAGTAAATCAGTTGCTTTCTTTAAGTCAATTGAAGGATCTTTACGTAAAGTTCCTTTGATAGGTCGTAATTCGCATAATCCATCTGAAGACCAACTCAGGAATCGTTCTGGACTAGATAATAGTAATGTAACGCCGTTTAATCGAAGATATCCAGAAAATGGTGCTGGATTTAATATTCTCAAGCGTTTATATAAGTTCCAATCATGTATTGGAGTACATTTTTCAGATGAAAAAATATGTGTTGTTGATGTTAAACAAAGTTCATAAGATTCTCCCTGTTTTATGTAGTTTTGGGCTATTTCGATTTTTTTAAGATATTCATCTTTGTTAGGCAAGACAATTCGTGTTTGTAATATGTTTTGGGAATAGTTGTTTTGATTAAATGAGTTTTCTGAAGACTCCAAATTATTTGAATATTTTCTGTTAAATGAACGAATAATAGCTGCTGTTTTTGTAACCCAGGGATCGTTTTTAATTAAGCTTTGTACTACCACTTGGTTTTTTATTACATCTATAACAATACTTCTTTCAAAAAATAGTAGACTAACATCTGGATGTTTGAATTTGCTTTTTTGGTATATATTAGTTGTATAAATTGTGTATTCATAATTGAAATATCCAATAAATCCTCCTTGAAAAGGTACTTCTGGTCCATTATTTACTTGTAGTTTACGTATATTGTCAATTAACCATGTCCATATATGTGGTGTATTTAATGGAATTTTTTCTTGTTGATCTGAATAGGTTTTAATAAGATACATGTCTGGAAATGTATGTGTTAATGTATAATGGCCTTCCGATGGTACACCTATAATAGAATATCGTCCTGGTTCCCTTGTTGATTCAAGAATAGCACATGTTTCTCTTTTTTCAAGATGTAATTCCTCCACTATTTCAATTGCTGAAATTTCAATATTTAATACTTCAAAAAAAACTCTTTCATTCTCTTTTTTATCCTCAAATATATCAATAGATTTATTCTGTTTATCTAATTCTTCATTAAATTTCTGATCTTTTGTTTCATCTCTTTCAATTATAGTTCCTAAAGGCTGAATAGCTTGATGTAAAACATTCCATTTCTTATTTAATATTATTCGTGGCCGCCTTTCCCTCTTATTAAACTCACATGTCTGTTTCCAAAAATTATATATTATTTTTTCTCCATGTTCTGATAAAAATGATTCTGGATGATATTGAACTCCATAAAATGGTTTCTTCTTATGTTTTACTCCCATCAATACTTTCCCATTTTCATCTAAAGTCCATGCTAATCCCTCCAGAAAACATGATTCACTAATATTCACACAAAATGAATGATATCGCACTGCTTTAAATCCTTTTGAATGTCCTTCAAATATTTCTTTCTCTGTATGTTCAATCTCTGATATAATTCCATGTGCTACATATTTAAGTCTTGAAACACTTCCTCCCCATTCAAGGCAAAGTGTTTGCATACCCAAACATATTCCAAATACCGGTAATACTAGCTCTTCTTTTAATGTCCATATTGCCGGGAAAACTCCTACATCCTTTGCTTTTCCCGGATTACCCGGTCCCGGCCCAAGAATACAACATTCAAACCCTTCAATACATTCATAAAGCTTGTCTTTTTCAATCTGATCACTACGAATAATAAAAAGTCGTGCCATTGGAAGAACCTTTTGGACTAATGAACAAATATTATAGAAATAGGAATCGTATGCATCAATAATAAGAATTCTTCCCTCCCAATAAACTGATAAATCCCTTTCAATAAATACATTAGATTTTCTCTCCATTTATCAATATTGACCGCAATTCTCCTTAATTAAAGGGTTTCATACCCAAGGGTTTTGGGTTAAAAAAGATTTCCTGACCATTTCTCCCTGTAATACCCCGTTAACCGATGCATGTTTTTTCATATGTTAGAGCATCGAGAATACGAGTTTTGGTGCGTGGTGAACCGATTGTATTAGAAGGATTAGAAAGAGTGAATCCTATAAATATTAGAAGTTTAGAAAGAAAAAAAGGTAAAAATAACAGTAATTTAAAGGAAAAAAAATAAATTAGAGGATATTTATAGGTATTTTGAAGGAAAATGAGTTGCAAGATGGACAGATAATGTACGAGTTTATGTTGAGGAATGAAGTACATTATGAGTGGATGGAGATGTTTGAGATGAGTCGAAGAATATGGGTAATAATTAGTGTATTTGATGGAGGAAAAGAGGGATGGAAAGAGGGAATTAGAAGGGAAATGAGATGGATTCGAGAGAGATATGGATCGGTGAATGTTATACGTTTTTTAGTGAAAAATTTGGTATCGAAAGAAGATATAGATGGAATTGAGGTTAGAGGGATGAGAGAGGAAGGAGAAATGGAAGAAAATGAATGGAAAGAATTTATTTATGAGATAACATATAGTTTAATTGAAGAAATTGAGAAAATTGTAAGAAAAAGAAGAAAAAAAGAAGAAAGAAATGAATGTGAAAATAGATGATAAAAATACAAGAAAGAAGGAGTATTTTGTCTCCATACGTTGTAAGATTTACGGAAAAGGGTGAAAGAATGGAAGAATATGAAGAAGAAATGGAAAAGATAGAAGGGGGTAATTTATTGAAAGGAAGAAAGATGAAGATATTAGGGGATCTATATTTATTAGCAGGATGTACATTGGAAGCGTTAAAAAAGTATTAAATTTAATTTAATAATATGTAATTTTTATTTAAATGAAAATAAGGTATACGGAATCAGCAATGTTAGCTAAGATGTCTAAAGATTATATATGGCATGGATCGGCATTGGAAGGGATTGGAGTATGTTTGGTAGTTTTATCATTTCTTCAGATTGAATATCAGGTATGAATATTTAGTGGAAGGGATTAAAAAGAAGAATTAAGATTAAAAAAGATACCAATTACGACATTACCGTCATCACCGCCTCAATTGGATAAAATAGGGTCTATGAAGATGATGACATTTAAGGAGATTGATTTAAATGTTTCAAAGCCTCATGTTTTGGATTTTCTTTTGGATTTGCATATGAATGTGATTGATTTATATCAAAAATCGTATAATTGTTCTAATGAAAGGGTTCCGACATTGTGTTTTTCAGAAAGTGTGCTTCGTTTTGGTAAATTATTATCTCTTGTGCATTTGGCAGGTGGATGGAATCATATAGCGTTAAGAAGTATTATTTATGATGAATTTTATCTTATTCCTAAAACACATGTTTCTGGTTATCCTCCAAAAGCAGATATTGCCTCATGGTCAATGCGTGCATATACACCATATCTAAGTGAATTGGATGTAATTGATAAATGTAGAATATATGGAGGTCTTGCAAGTATTTTGGGTATGATAGGTTTTAGAAGAGCAAGAGCTATGTTTTTACGAGAAATTATATCTACACTTACGTCTGTATTGATTAGTTCTAAGGTTGATGGCATTACAGATGATACTGTACGTTTAATTGCTCAAATTGCTTTATCAAACTATTCTATATCTCCAAAACATTCAAATATGCAAAATTCTAGTTTTTTAATACATAATCTTCTTGATGATCTATGTGATTGTTATGGCATTTTAAGAATGGATGAAAGATGTAAAAGTAGGTCTCAGGTGGAATTGTTAGAGAAATATGGATGGCCTTCTTTGAAAATTACTATATTGAAAGAATGTATTTCGTTTTGTGAAGCATTGCCTGATTTTTCTGGAGTATTGAATTTTACTACTAAAATACTTAGTATTGCATCTATTTATCTTTCACGAGATAATCAAATTCGTCTTGCATCTAACATTCCTCGTATTATTTTAGCTGTTAGAAGCCTTGGATTGGATGAACTTGAAGCAGATTATTGGGATCGTGATATTGTACAATCTATTGAATTTATACCGTATGATAATGTTTTATATTGATTTCTTATTCATTTATTTCTAGTGGTTCTTCTAAATTTACACCAATTCTTCATTCCAGCTCAGAATTGAATACTGTTGATAAGGATGATAATCATTCAAAAGATCCATTTATATATAATCCTTTTATTAAAAAGAGCAATGTTCCTGTTAAGGTGAATATAATAAATAGTTTGATTATATTGCTAATTTTATATTTAGCATCTATTAGTTGAAGGAGATGTTGCTGAGTTTAAAATAGTTTTGCATAATCCACTTTCATTTGAATTGGAATGTGTTGATATTTCATTGTTGTAAGTGTTTTTTTTAAATTGTTTCTATTAGTATTAATTTATTACTTCTAAGTACAGAGGGTGTTGAATTTGAATCCCAATCAACATCAGTAGTTATTGGTCCTCAAAGAATACATGTTGTTAGATTATTTGGCTGTCCCAAAAAGCCTGGAGAGTTCGTTGTTAAGGGATGTAGAATTCATCTTTCAGGGTGTAAAGATGATATATTTTTGGTAAATAGAGGACTTTCTTCTGTAGAACATGAGCAGTTATTTTTAAATGTTTTTTTTGAAGGAAAAATCAAATCCATGGGTCTTAATGTTTATTCTGCTATAAAATCATCTATTATGTCATCAAAGAATGAAGAAATTCCTCTGAAAAATATAATATCATCTATACCTATGACGATAGAGGAGAGTTTTGAAGTTTTGCCTGCTCAGCCTACTTTAATAGTAACCAGAACGTCTCTTGTAAATGGATCTATCATGTTATTAGAAGGAGAACGGTAAGTTTAATTGTTTTAATAATATCAATTGAAATTGTAGGTGTACTTTTACAATAACTATAAAAAATGTTTCTCATATTACTATTAATTTTCTTCTTGTTTCTTTTGTAGATTCAACAATTAATCCTTTGAAAGATGCTTTAGCTTCTAAAAATATTTCAAGAGAAGAAATATATGAATTGGAGTTGTTTCTTCATGAGAGACAAGCCTTTATATGGAATAAAAAAGCATCTCATTTTTCTTTGAAACCAGATTGTGAAGAAGTTTTGGAGATTGAAATTTTGGGAAAGAGGGGTCTTACTGATGGCAAGATTCAAATAGATTACGGAAAGGTTGATGATAATTCTTCTCATGGACGGTTTTATACTCGACGTGTTGTTGTTCCTGTCATTGTTACAGTAAACGCCTCTCTAGAGCTTGTAAATTGTGATATCATTAACTATGTTAATGATAATAAAGAGAGGGAAAATATTTCTGATATTTCTGAAGAAATGGGTAGTTTATTTCAATATGCAGAAACACGTGGACATGAAGGAGTAGAATATTGTCTAGGGCTTTTGGATTTTCGAAATATTTGGCCTAAACCATTATGCGTTTATCTTAATGTTCAAAATGAGGGTAATTCTTCTTTTATATTGATTTTTGTTTACCCTTAAATAGGTGATGAACTCTTAAAAATTGAAAAACTTATTTATCCAGGAGAAACAAATAGGTAATTTTATCATATTTATGTATAATTTTAATATTTATTTAAGGCTTATTTTTCCATTGAAGAGAATGTATATTTCTAGAGAAAATTCTCAAAAACCTATTCCAACTGCTTCTGCTCGTCAATTTGTTGTTTCTAATACAAAAAAGGATTTTGAAGTAAATGATTATCAACAAAGAGAATCATTTTGGCTACGTGAAGCATTATTTAAGATCATTAATGGAACATGGACGCAACCAGGAACCGATAGGAAAGGTGTTGTTGAATTACGTGGTTTACGTATGACGCCGAAAATGGTTTATTCTTTAAAAGTGGAAGATATTAGTGTTCTTCTTGAAATATCTGGTACTGTTAAAAAAATCCAACGATTTACATGGCTTGTAAAATTATATGAATTTGTCACTTTTACATTGAAGATTATTAATAGAAAAGGTACATATTAGATCATTTTTATTATTTATTTTAATCGTTTTTAAAGAATATCCTATAAAAACTCTTGTTCGAATTCAACCCTCTTTACGCTATCAAAATCAGACATTTGTAGATTTGTCCCGATGCATTGCTTTTAATGGTGTAATGCAGACAGTACTTCCACTTATTGAATCTCAACAATTTCACGAAGAAAAATATACAGCTGTTTTTATGAATCGGGGTGAATATGAAATTATGGCATCTATACAAGAACTTTGTGGTCCTGATAAAGGGCGTATGCATGTTTCTAGGGATCATCTTATCGTAAAATGCGTAGATGATATAGAATTGTAGTCTTAATGCAAAATTGAAATTTTCTATACTTGACATTTACTTGACTATCCATTTAAAATTCTGCATTGTCCTTCATAAATATATTCGAATAAATTATAATTGTAATATATATTAAAAGGCCTCCCGATATACTCATAATAGTTGCATGTCTAACAATAAGACCTACATGCTCAAGTGTTATAGGCAATGCTTTTTTAATTCAATTTTAATCATATAATAAATAAAAAATATACCAATTCCAGAAACAATTAAAATTCCTGTAATAAATCGTCCAATATTTTCAACCCCATTTCTATCCTATTGTTATTATATACATATAATTTCCTTTTTTTTTACCCAAGCGAATCATTAATAAAATCATGTATATCTGACATTCTACTACATATTGCATTGGGTAAAGGCGCAAGTATGTATATAATAACTGTTTTTTTTAGTACCTCTTTTACTTCCTGTTTCACCGAGTATATTCGATGAAAACTCATTTACCAGAAGATAAAGGAAGCCAGTTAGAAAATAATGCGCATGAAAGAATTGATGATAAGAAACCAATAGACAATAAAATACTTAATAAAATCTTATCATATTTTAATCTTAAAAATTTTTTATAAAAAACTTACAATTCTAATCTTTTATTAAACAAATATTAATAGATTATTTACTTACATATGTATATGGTTCATATTTCTATATATTTCTCTCAATATATTGGCTCGAAAGGACTTTATATGTTTGTTCAAGTGGTGGTTGAGGTGGTGGGATCGACGGTGATATTTCCATGACAACTGTTTCCTCGGTAACGGTAAAAATATGGGTTAGGGTTATCAACGTAATAAAATTTTAAGTCAGAAAAAGACATATTTTTAGAGTATTTTAGAGGGTCTTAACTAAAGAATTGAGTCTTATTAAGCTATGTTTCGTAATCAGTATGGTTTGTTACCTAGGAATTGTTTTTTTTTTGAGAAAAAATGATTAATTTTTGGTAGATAATGATGCAACAACATGGTCGCCTCAAGGACGACTTTACCAGGTAGAATATGCTATGGAAGCAGTGAAACAAGGCTCAGTTGCAGTTGGCGTTGTTAGTAAAACCCATGCGGTTCTTTGTGCGCTGAAGGTAGAGCTTGAAGCTTTATTTTTGGATTTTTTTTTGTAGAAAAATGAAGAAAAATGTTAATAATAAGGGTAGAGGAATCCGGAGGATTTGGGGAGTTATCAGAAGAAAATAATTGAGATTGATGATCATTTGGGATTGGCACTTGCGGGACTTACATCGGATGGGCGTATGCTTAGGTAGGATAAGGTTTTTTATAAAAAGTAATTAATGAAGAAAGTAATTTTATGAGGCAACAAGCTATTGCTTCACGGATAATATATAATAGAAAGATATCATTGGCACGAGTTATGTCATCTATTGCAAGCAAGGCGCAGATCAATACTCAACAATATGGAAGACGTCCTTTTGGTGTAGGTTTTTTAGTGATTGGATATGATGTTGATGAAATTTTTGATGTTATTTGCTTAATTCTTATTTTTATAGGATATGGGACCACATTTATTTGAGTTTTTACCATCTGGGTCTGTTTTGGAATATACGGGTACGAGTATTGGTGCACGTTCTCAGTCAGCAAGGACGTATTTAGAATCTTCTTGTGATTCATTTCAGGATGGTATATATGTGTATTTTTTTTGGATATTATTAATGATTTGTTAGCAACATTAGATGAATTGATTCTTCATGGTCTTCGTGCATTGCGAGATTCTTTGGCACAAGATAAAGAATTGACTCCATTAAATACATCTATTGGTGTAGTTGGAAAAGATCATCCATTTAAATTGATAGAAAACGATGATGTTGTCGAATGGCTTTCTAAATTAGGAGAAGTATCGCTTTCTGCTTATAGGCGATCTCGAAGAGCTGCTGCAGATAGTGCATCAGCTGCACCAGCAGAGGATACTATGGAAATGGATTGAGGATAATATGAGAGATAGATAGTATTGAGGATGTTTGAGAAGGCAATTGGTTTTTTAATTATTTGATAAATTTGAACTTTATGTTTTTTTACTTAGAAAAGGCATCTATTAAAAATATTGGGTTTATCGAGATGATCATTATTAAGTTATACATGAACAAAATGTTTAGTTAGATGTTTTCATATTTTTTTAAGTTTTAAGGATCTTCTTTTTATGTTAATGAGTATAAAACTATCCGTTTGAAAGAAAAATATATTTGTTTTTGAATGGCATGGTTTATGCTAATAAAAAATATTTATGTTCAATATCTTTATTTCTTTAGGTCATTCGCTAATTTACCATATATAAATATATATATTATTTTTTCATTTTCATTTATAAAATCTTCAAGGCATGATTTAAAACATTATAATTTAGTTATTCATAAGCTTTATATTTATTACAAGTTAAATGTTTTCTTTTATATAATTCTTTCTAAAATCTTATTTTTATACGTTTTATCTATCTCTCTAGATTTAGGAAAAAAATATACAAAATATTTCTTAAAATTACAAATGATTAAATCATAATTGCTCATATTATACAACATAAATACCAATCTATATATTAATTTTTAATTCAACCAAACCCCACCTCCACCTCATTTTTATCTAAATTATTTAAAATATTTTAGAATTTTAAAAAAATATATATAAAAATATTCTTATAAATATATTTGTTTCTGTTTCCCTTATATATTTTCTTTTTATTAATATTTATCCTGTTAGACTTTATATATTTCTTATGATATGTGCGTCGTATTCGTCTCATTTGCTTATTTTTAATACGTTGTTCTTTTAATATTAAAGTATTCCTATTAAAACCTTATTATTATTTGGTATCTGTCTTATTGTTCCATATTTTTGATATGAATTATGGTTTCTTCATCTCATTCATTATTGGATACAGTTGATATTGGAGGGTTAGAAAAGCCTTTTAAAAACCCACATTTTAAGAGGAATCCAAAAAGAAATAAGACTCTTCGTCAAGTCATGATGCATGAAGCTGTACTTCATACAGGGATGTCTCCTCTACCACCAGATGTACCGACATATAGTAATATTGAAGCATCACCAAGTCTTTTTCCCTGCTCTAAATGGTGTGATATTACGGGTTTGCAGGGTTTATATACAGATCCTAAGACTGGATTGAGATTTCATAATAAAGAGGTTTTTTCTATAATTAAGAATATGACACAAGGTAAGTGAACGAAGGAGATATATATATTAATTAGATTCTAGGTGTTGAACAACAATTTTTACAATTACGTGGTTCTCATGTGATGCTGCGTTAAAAAAAGGCATTTTCCATATTATTTTATAATATTAATGGTAATTGAGTAGAAATAGTTGTATAGTGAATTAGTAATAGATACTCGAATGCTTGTAATTTATATTTATATTTTTTGTTGAATTATTTTTTAGATTAACTTTATAATGAGTTAATATATTGTGAGAATCTTTTCAAAAAATATTTTAAAGTTATTAAGTAATTGTTGATTTAAAACTATAATTTTGATTAGTAATTGTATAATAGAATTATTTATTGACTACTATAATTGATGATTTATTGATGAAGAGATTTTTTCACTTAAGTTTATTTATTGGGATTAGAGTATTGTATCTTCAGAATCATAATGTTCTCGAATTAGTCTTGCCAGATATGATGGTGGATGACCACCTCTATCTTATATTAGTAGGTTTTTATAAATAAAATAATTATAACAAGTTTGTAATATATAAGTCAATCATGGATGGTGGAATATAGTCATGACAAGCATTAATCATATCTACTGAACCCATTAAATCTATTAAGAATATTAAACAATTCCTAAATATTTTATGAAAGTTACCTTCATCGAATGGTATAACGTGACTTGGTGAAGATAAAGCAATTAATGAATCAGGATTATGTGGATATACAGGACTGAACTTGTATATACCAGCACATATAATAACAGGTGTAGAATGATGTTTAGCTGCTGCTGCTAGATTTTTGGCACCTGCTGAGACTAATACACCTCCATTTGCAAAAACTATATTTATTAGTAACAAAAAAATATAAAAAGATATATTATAAGAATTAATAAACACTGAACTAACCTGTATGACTACCAAGTATAACTTTATTAACTCGACTCATCAATGCAAAAACTGCTGCATCGGGTATAAGAATTGTATCAATTCCTTCATTTGCTAAAGTAACAGTTAATGTATGAGAAGATACATGATCATTAGGATATGATTCTGCTAAAATAACTGTAAATTTTCTTTTTTTTGCTGCTGCACGTAAAAAAGTTTCAATGGTTTTTGATGCACCATATGTCATAATTATTTCACTAATATTTATTTAATGATTTTTTCCCATTTTTATCGAAATAATTTACTTAGAATGAATATGATCCATTGCTTGTGCTGCAATATCACTATGTGTTTTCTCAAGTTCGTCAATAATATCTTGGATTCCTTGAATAAAAATAGGCCTCAAATCCACATTTATTCGATTTGTAAATTTCTGTGACACATTAGGCTCATAATCACTCGGTTTTCCAAGCAGATTCAGCATAGATGAATATATAGGACTCGATGTAATTCTTTCTAGATTTCCTACAGATTTTTTCAAAAAATACCATATTAATCTTCTGATCTCTACCTTCAATACTTGATTTAATTAATTGTTCGTCTGATGGTTTCTCTAGCTCTGTTTCATCTGTTGCATTATTAAATTCTTCTCGTATAAGGAATAACACTCTGCGGACAATATTTCCACTAACAAATTCTAAAACACTTAGAAATATACTGTGTTTCCTACAATATAATACCTTTTGGCTGTGCTTCAATCAATTTAGAGCCTAATTTCTGAAGCTGACTGATAAGCTGGTTAACGTCGGTCCATCGGGCTGTTGAAACTACTTGTCGTAATAGTAACGCTGTTTCTACAGCTACCTGAAATCCTGTCATGATTCTACTCCGTTTTAACCGGAAAGCAAGTGATTCAATAGTAATATTAGGATCTTGTGACGGCATTTGAATTTAGTATTTGGTTTTTTTTAAGAAATTGGTGGTGCTTTTGATCTCGGCATTTGTTTTTTAGCTTGTAAAATATTTTGAAAGGGCTTAATTTATACGGGTTATATAGGAAAAGCAAGTATATAAGTGGAGAAAGTAGCTTTTGTATTGGGAACCGTTCATATTAGTTTTTGAGAGGGTTTTTATAGTGGATAAATATTTTGAATAAGAACGGATTATTTTCTTTGATAAACCTTGGTTATTTTTTCTAATAGATTGTTTGACTGAGTTATTTATATATTAATTGTTTTTCTTCTTGAAAAGTGTTAAGTGACTTGAGGATTTGTCAATATTCCAAGGTAATTATGAAAAAAAGAGTATATGGGACATTGGCTATGTTTTTATTGGGAAATATATATTTGGTATTAAATATATATTGTCTATTTGCTGAGAGTTTTGTTTTTTTTTGATAATCATATTTGGTTTTTATGAATATGTATATATATGTATATATATATATATATATATATTGCAAGAAATACATATCTGGATATCATCAAGCAGAATTCTGTTTAAAGTGTTATTGATACTGATGGGTATTAGAAGTTTAGAAAGATATTGAATAGAATTTCTTTTATTGAAATTGTGTTTGGTATAAAATTATGAAACAAACTATTGTTATTATAGGAGGTAAAGAAAGATGAATAAAATCTTTTTATTTTTTAAGAAATATAGGTGGAATTATTGGATCAACTACGGCTTATTATCTTACACGTCATTCTAAATATGATTCTTCCAAGATGTCGATTATACTTATTGAAGGAACAGGTATATTTTGAATTTTTTTAAAAGAATGCTTTAATTTTGTTAGGTATTGCTTCTGGAGCATCTGGAAAAGCAGGTGGATTATTAGCTTTGGATTGGGTATGAATGAATGATTTACAATTGTTTTTTTATGCTAAAAATATTATAGCATGGACAAGAAACAGCATCATTGGCTAAGCTTTCTTATGAATTACATGAAACTCTTGCTAGGGAGCATGATGGAGAAAATAAATGGGGATATAGGTTTTTATTTTGCAAAGATAATGTTGTATTAATGTTGTTAGAAAGTTGGATACTTTACAAATTTCATCTTCTTCTCGCCCTAAGAGATTAGCAAAGCTCCCTGTAACTTTGGATTGGATTGATTCTGAGAAAATTGAGCGAGTATCTGTCTTAGGTACAACATTTACTACAGCACAAGTTCATCCGTATCATTTTACAAATACCATTTTTTCTTTAGCTCAAGAGAAAGGTGTAAGACTGATTTTAGGCACTGTTCTTCCATTGGATGATATAAAAACTGTTCGTTATATCCCTAAAGGTGAATCTTTTGTACAAACAATTTCCGCGGATTATGTACTTATTACTGCGGGACCATGGACAGGTCAGATATATCCTAGTATTCCTATTTCTGGTTTTCGTGCTCATAGCATTGTTGTTACAATTGATAAACCTTTATCTGCACATGCATTATTTACACATATGAAATTGGAAAATGGGCGGTTTGTGAGTCCTGAAATTTATGCCAGAAAACATGAGGTAGGTTTTCTTTTTCTTTATATGATTATTTAGACAATTTAGCTTTATATTTGTGGAGAATCAGATAATGAGCCTTTACCCTCTACAACAGAGGATGTACAAGTTAAAGATAGTTCTTGTGAGGAATTGAAAAAGTGGGGAGATGAATTAAGTAAGTTTATTAAAAACGGTCATGTTAAGACAAAGCAAGCATGTTATTTGCCTGCTTGTACTTCCCATATTAATGGGCCTTTAATTGGTAAAGTTAAAGACGGTCTTTATGTTGGTTCAGGTCATGGATGTTGGGGAATTTGTAATGGACCTGGTACAGGAAAAGTTATCTTTCCCCATTATATTTTAAGATAAATAACTTTATTTTTTAGGTTTTATCAGAAATACTTTTGGATGGTGAGGCCACCAGTATTAATATAAGAAAGTTAAATTTTCTTTTTTAAAAAACATGAAGCTTAATTTAAACATATTCATATGTGTATAAACGGTTTATAGGCAATGCTTTATTCGATCTATACTATTTAAAAAGTATATAAGTCTTGTATTTTTGATATCGATCTCTAGATCGATGCACATCGCTCGTGCATGTCAGAGTACGAACATTCAACTCAGGCTACTGTCTGGACTTTTACAGCTGATAAGCTTCAGGAATTAAGAGCTTCTATTACAGCAGAAGCATGTGAGAGGATTCGGCAGCAGTTGGAGCAAGATGAAGTAAATACTGTTTCATTTTTAAGCCCTGATGAAGAATGGGCTCTTGTTAGTTATTATGCAACACAAATGGAAGGGTTAAGTGCATATTTTGAATTTTCATCCTATGTCAAGGTAAATTTAACATTGTATTTTTTGTATAAAAGTATAAATACATATTTTTAGGCAACGGCAGTAACATATTTGAAGAGGTTTTATCTTCGTCATTCTGTTATGGATCACCATCCAAAGCTGATTATGTATGAGTTTTAGTATGTTTAGAAAGGATTAATGTAAAATATTAGGTTAACTTGTCTTTTTTTGGCGACTAAAACATGTGATCATTATATTTCTTTGGATCAGTTCGTACGTTCTATTCCGAAGGTGACATCAATGGTTATCTTGGAAAATGAGTTTCTTGTATGTCGTGCTTTATCCTGGGATTTTTATGTTTGGCATGCGTATAGACCATTACATGGATTTGTCTTAGATATGCAAGTAGTGTTACCAGAACATATTGTAACAGTATTTGGGAAGCTTCACGATGATGCAAAAATTCTTATCTCCAAGACATTATGGACAGATCTTCAGTTTCTTTACAGCCCAAGTCGTATTGCGCTGGGATGTTTGATGGCTGTAGGTAGTGAAATAGTTCAAACCTATTTACAAAGAAAAGGAATGGAAGATTTATTAAAGACTATTCAAGTGATTTCAGAAGAAATTATTATAAAAGGAAAGACTGTATTAGATATGGAAGAAGTTAAAGAAATTGATCGACGATTGTTTTATTGTTCTGACAAAATAAAAAAGAGTCGTGCTTTGTATGCTAAGCGACAGGCAGAAGAAGAAGAATGGACAACGAAAAAACAAGTACATATTGTTTCAAACGATGTTGATGATGGGACCCATTTAATGTAAAAAATATGTATTATTTTATAAGGCTTTGTATATATATTTATATATCGGCTTTAGAAAACGCTGCAACTTTCTTTCTATAATTAATATTTAAAATTAGGGACTAATAATATTATTCTATTTCTTTCTTTTTTGTCTTGTAAAATACAATAATTATTTATAAATCTTTATCTCGATAATCTATGTTCCTAATTTCATGGGATGCGTTTTAAGACAGGTATTTCAAATATCTCAACATTTATACGTGAGTTTTTCCTCCCTTAAATTATGTTGTATTTATTTAAATTAGGCCTTGTTCAGTCTCTTGAAAGAATAGGAAAAATTTGTTGGTTAAAGCTTACACCGGAAACAGTTCATTTTATTGTAGTGCCAGATCATACAGGCACACAAGTATGGGCGTATGAAATTATAAATAAAAGTATATTTCTAATAGTTTTAGTATTTTAGAGGCAATTGTTATGGGTTTGATAATAATATTGTTAAAATCAAGATAGGTAACGTCTATATTTCGAGATTATCATATACAGTCGAATTCGGATAATATAATTAATCTTGAGATTCCAGTTGATAATTTACATAAGGCTCTTAAATCTTCAGTCAATGCATCAGAAATTGTTTTAAGATTGACAAAACAAGATCATTTTCCAATGCTTTCTTGTTCTATTTCTCTTTTAGTATGAAGAGATGAAAAATGATATTTTTAATAACTATATTTAGGGAAGATCGGGTGGTATGAGTGCAGTAACACATAATATTCATGTTAGAGTTTTATCACCTTTAGTTCAGTTATCTGAACCAGTTGTTCCAGAACCGGATTGTCATATAATATTACCACCTCTTTCTCAATTGCGCTATATATCAGAAAGATTTAGAGCAATCAGTAATAAAATTATTCTTAAGGCGAATATGTCAGGCGAATTTCAAATTGGTGTTGTATCTGATTCGTGTAAAATTGAAACAAAATTTAAAGACTTAATTAATCCTGAATTGGACCCTAATACAGTGAAAGATATTTCTAAACATCCAAGTCAAACTAGAGATAAAAAATCTTTTGTGACGATGAAGGTTGATGCTAAGGATTGGCTTAATCTTTTGCAAGTCCATATTGTTGCTAAAAGAGTTATTGCATGTTTTTGCGAAGGGAATGCTTTGGTAAATAAATATATATTTAGATTAATATATATTGACAATGAAAGGTTCTTTATGTATATATCATGGAACCAGAAGATGAAAACTCTGCTGTTTTGGTGAGTTTTAAAATTATAATTGATTTTAATTAATAAATAAAGACGTATTATATTAGTACTTATATTGAATAAATCTAAGAGAATATTATTTTTTATTAAGATTACTTATTATTATAAAATTGGTTGATTTTGTTGTATTATTTCTGCTCGCTGCATTAAACTTTGTATAAATATTTAATATAATTAATATATTTATCTAATTTCCTGATATTAAGATAATCTAATTTTTCATTTGTTTTTAATTCTATTAATTTTTTCATAATTTTTAGAAATTTTGGTCAAATCTTTTTAATTTAAGTATAATATTTATGATATTTTGATAATATTGTATTGATGTTTTTGTTAGAATTATAATAAAATGATTGTTTTTTTTAATTAAATTCTTTAAGATTCATTATTTGCATTCTTTTTCGAAGCGTATTAAATTTATTGATATAATATTTATATTTAAGGATATAAAGTTAACACTTTTATAAAAATACATGTAATTTATTTGTTTTATGACATTATTCTATTTTTTATATATATTTCGACCTTTAAAAATAAGCTTTGGCTTTTGTTTAACAATTGATGTTTTATATCAAAAAATAGATTTAGCTCAGTAAAATATTTTTCCTTTTGAATATGTAATTGCAAAAATATTTTTATTTTTTAGTGGTTTTTTGGTTGAATTGATTTTCTATGTTTTATTATTATATAGATAACGTCCGATATGTCTTAGTTAATTTTAGTTTATTCAAATGTAAAGACATGAATTATTTAAATAAAAAAAAGGTTTTTAAGAATTTTTTAAGTCATTTTTGATTCAGAAATGATCTTTTTAAAATGCTTTTTTTTGTTTCAAAAAGAACTAAGTTTGCGTCAGCCTGTTTTGGTATTTTTAGTGTTGGTGCTCTTTATTCCTATGTGAATAATAAAAGAAGAGATTATCTGAATCGAGATTTTTATTCTTTTTGCACTATTAGAGATATTCGTCAAATATCTCCTTCTACAAACATATATGAGCTTGAATTTGATCGACCGTCTAAGCAATATCAGAATTGTCCAATACAAAATGTTTTACTTAAGAATTCTGATATTCAAATACAACGATATTATACACCTATTTATATCAGTCCTACAAAGGTTGTTTTACTTGTTAAATTTTATGAAGATGGAGAAGTAAGTCGATGGATTCATAGAAAACGTGTGGGTGATCGAATAGAACTTCGTGGTCCATTTTTAGAGTGGCAATGGAATGACAATAAGTGGAAAAATGTTTTGTTTGTAGGGATTCTGAGTTTTTTATATTTTTTTTATGATCTGAAAAGATTGCAGGTGGCACTGGAATTACGCCAGCATATCAGCTTTTATCTTATATTTTTCAAGATGGCATTCAGTTTATGCCTAAATTCCATTTGATATATGCAAATAGAAATCCGGATGAAATATTGTTAAAGAAAGAATTGGACAGTTTACAAGAAAAATATTCAGAAAATCTTAAAATTACATATTTTGTAGATTCTTCTCTAGATAACAAGATTTTGGATAATTATTTGATTAGATCAATAAATTTACATGATATAATTCAGGCATTTCCCTCGTCAAGTTGTACTGATTCAGATACAATTGTCTTGGTATGTGGAACTGATGGGTTTGTAAGCTATATTGCTGGTCCTAAGGATACGGTGTATGGTGAACAAGGAAATCTTGGAGGACTATTAAAAAAGGCGAAATGTCTTAATGTCTGGAAATTATAAATATATAAAATTACAAGTAATAAATCAATCATTCTTAACTATAAATTTAAAAATCGAAGATTAGAGTTAAATATTAGAATCGGTATTTAAAAGCTCTCTTAAATAATTACTTATAAGTGGTGAATTCTCATTTTGGTTTTGTAAATAATTGGAATTGTTTTTAGTAATATCATGTTCTTGTTTTTCGGAATTATCAGTAGATGAAATATCTTTTATAAAATCGGCATCAATTGTTTCAACTATTTGTTTAAATTTATAAAATAATGATATTGCTCTTCGGAGTGTAGATCCAAGATCTATTGTCATAGAAAGATCATTTACTATTGTTGTTAGTTACAAAATAGATGAATAAAATTGAGTACTATATTTCAAAATTTCATCAAAATCTTTAAGATGATCTAAATATATTAATCTTTTGCTTCCCATTAAAAATAAATGTACCCATAATAATTTCTTTATGTTTATCAAGAATGGCTAATGCGACAAAAAGATGAAATTGGGAAGTTATATGGTCTGTCCAAAGGATCTATATCTATTACAATACAAATATGGAAAACAATAGTATACACACTTCCCAAAGCCGCAAAACATCGTCCCATTCGAATTCACGTTTAAACCAAACTAATAGCATACGGAAGAAGAAGAAGAAATTCGTACTGGAAGCGTTTTCTGATATATTTTTAATAAGGATTACACTTATTTATCAATATACCAAGATGTGCATAAAATTTTGGATCCATGAGTTGTATTAATTGATCAAGAATCATTAACTGTTTTCTCATTCCAGATTGATCTTCAGAAAAATTATATTGCTTATAACTTATTTAAAACAGAAAAGTAGTAAAACAATATATACCATTCTTTTCATGAAATTTACAAAGGCCCAAAAACTTAATACTTCATTTTCGATTACAATATATAGAGGGGATAATAAGTCGCACATTCCTATTATGTTAAATTAGTAATTAAATATTAATAAATTACCTTGAACATAACCAAGATCTTTATTATATTCATTATATGTCAAAAGAATATTTGTCATTGTTTCTAAATGATAATTTATTTCTAAAGAAGATAAATAAAAAGTATTATAAAATATAGTGTTACCTGTAGAAGATTTGATTTTTCTATCTGTCCTATGAACATCCTTTTCTATAATTGTTTATAATTCATATAATGCTTTTGAAATTATTTACCTATTCGGCATTTTTGATCTTTAAATACTTCACCTGCTTGTTTTTCTTTATTATTTTGCCATCCTTGTTTCAATTGCATATATCTATCGCTTTTTTCTAAAAATATTATTTTTCTTTCTTCTTCTGAAGAATCCCATGGATAAATTTCAAGTAAAAAACACCAAACTTCTTTTCTTATATTACAATGTATACTCTATAAAATTAGAAATATTTAGTATCAATAGTAGTGTTTTACTCTATAAAAAATGTTTTCTTTTATGCTTTTTTCTGTCTTCCATAGTTTTCCTATGTCGTTAAACCATATTTTCCAATGTTTTTCTAAAATTGGATCATTTGTCATTTTCATATTGTTTTCAAATGTGTTTAACTATTCAAATTTAATATTATAGATATGATTTAATGGAGTTTCCACCTCTAACATTTCAAAATTATTAGATAATATTTTTTCATTCCATGTATTGGTATCTTTACTGCTCCATATGATTTTATTATGTTTGTCTTTTTCACTATCTTCAGCAATTCTAGCAGCCCATCGAGCAAGATAAAGACGAGCTGCATCATATTCTTCCATCATGTTTATAGTTTGTTCAGAATTTAATAATTTCTGCAATTGTGGAGGGAAGTTAGATAAAAGTATGTTTTTTGCAAACGATGTATTAAGAATGTCTTTAGTTTTTTGGTGAGAAAATCGAGTGATAAGACTAAAGCGTTCTAAAATATTCCATCTAGCTTTTTTGCATGCCTTTTTAAGTGTTTCTATTTTTGTATCTTCCTTTATATCTTTTGTTTTTTCTTGATTATTGTTGTTTATGGATTGTATATTTACAGTGTCAATAGAATCATGATTTACTATATATACATTTTCTTCTGTAGATGAGCTAAAACATATTAGTTACATACAAAATATGTATAAAAATTACTGTTTTATATTTATTATAGACTTTAGTTGTATAAGAAGACATTCGCCGCCCCACAATATCTTTTTTTCTTCGTTAAAAGGTTCTGTGTTTTCTTCTAGGCTAATTTTATTGTATAAATTTTCATTAATATATTCATTATCTGTAGTAAAAAAATATTTTAGTATAAATATGACATATTTGAATTCTAACCATTAAAAAAAAGCGCAAGATAATTGTTTTTTTCATGTGTATTGATTGTGATAGATCCAATAGATTCATTTTTAGGAGGTTTGATTAATAAGCTATGTATTTTTAATAGAGAAATAAAATGTATATCTTCATCAGAATTTAATGGGAGAGATACGATGTATTCGTTTCTATCGTTATTACTATAATTATTTTCTTCTACACTTCTATATGCTTCATAGTCATCGCTGGATATTACAAAAGATTCTGGAATCCAAAAAAGAAAAATATTTTTTATGTCAATTGACTTGGTCAATTGGTGTTTTGGTATTTTTTCGATAAGAATAAGATATCCAAGCTCATTTCTTCTAGAAAATGACTCTTTATAAATACGAACCTTATTTAGTGTTAGTTCTTTATTTAAATTGCTATTATTTTTTACTTTAGATTTGCTAAAAATTAATCTTGTTTGCTCACAGGAATTGAAAAATTGTGAAATATCACTTTTCCGATTTGTAGGTTCATCAAAGCTCATTTCTGTGTAGAAATCTTTTATAGATGGTTTTGTTGGCAATTTATAATTTTTTTTCTTATTTTTTGTTAGAAAATTTAAAAAATGTTAAGAAATATATTAAATATAAATTATGATTAAAGAAATAAAAATTTAATAGATTTTCTTAATATTTATATTTTAAAAAAAATAATTAAATAATTAATTATAATTAGTAAGGGAATCATATAGAAAAATAATAATCTTATAAACAAATTGCAATCAAAATATTATTCCTCATGTTTCTTGTTTATAAGTTTTTCCTTTTTTAATGCTTGACGTTTTCGAAGTGCTTTATAACGTTTATCTGTTCCCATAAAATGATCCCACCACCGAAAACTTGTAGAATAACAGTTCACAAAGATCTATACAAATATATCTTCAATATATGAAATATAGGTTAAATTTGTAATACCTCATGATGTGCATCATGATGTTCTGCACCACTCCAAAATGGAATAAATTTATTTAAACTCCATGGAAAGTCATAGCCTGAATGTGCATCTATGGCTTGGAAGAGTCGTAATGTAATCCAAACATATACCGTAAAAAGATGAAGGTCTCCTGTAAGAAAACACCAAAGAATAGGACTTCCAATAGTTCCAAGTCCAAGAATCAATACCTCTGCAGGATGAGCATATTCAGCAGCAAGACCAAAGGGTGCTGAATATTTGTGATGGAGTTTATGTATATGTTTATATAAGGGTCCCCAATGTAATGCTCTATGAGCCCAATAATGAAAAGTATCTTCCATGACAAAAAAAAGAAGAATGTGACAAAACATTTTCAAAAAACTAGGGAATGGTGCAGAAATAGACATTCCAAAATATTGAGTAAGTGGATGAAAAAGCCAAATTTGCGGAAGTTCAACTGTGAAGTGAGAAAGAAGAACTAATCGTGTACAGCTCCATTGTTCTTTAGCTGTTGGTATTTTTTGCTAGAAAGTATAAGATTTTATGTTCTAATTAAGCACTGTATTTACATCTTGCAGTTTCCATCGTCGGAAATAAGGAATAAAATCAATAATGATCCATGGGAGACAACGTCCAAAATATACAATTTCATGAATTGCAAATGACATAATACCTAATAATAATTGATATTTTGCTATTTTATCGAAATAACTATCGCTTACCTGTAGCAAGTGTATTATTTTGCATATATGTATACCATGTTGTCCACAAGCGTTCTAGTAAAGAAAAATGTGAATAATTTTCATCAACAATATTCCATGCATCCGAAAATGATACAGGTAGTGTCTTATTTAGAAAACTATTTGATTATCTATTTATATATATATATATATATGGATTTTTAAAACTCACACTTGTGATGACATAATATAAAATAACTTTTATTAATTAAACTAAAATATGCTTTTCCCTTTTCAGTAAAAAGATAAATTCCTGCTCTTTTGCTCTATGTATTATAAATAATAACTTGATTTTTTACTTTATTTTGTTAGATAATTTATTTTTATAATTTTTGATGCTTTTTTTTTAAATATAAATAAAAAAAATAATATTTTCAAATATAAAATATGTTTTTATTAAAAAACTTCTAAATTATGATAAGTAGATTAAGTATGTTCAGTTGTATATACTTTTTTTGATATTTTAATTAATTAATATTATACATAAATGATTTTAGTAAAGCGTTTTATTAAAAACTCTTTTTAATATAATATTTTTGTCATTTTATCATATGTTTTTATTTTTTTATTTTTCATATGTCTGGTTATATATTTTGTTAGACGTCAAATCTATACGGAAATATGAGTGATCTTTAAATCTTTTAGAGATTATATTTTTCTAACTTAAAGTGCTTTTGTCTTATAACTTGTATTAATAATAAGGTTTAGAGTAGAAGTTAATATTAATAATTGGAAATAAGTAATATGACTTGGCTTGAGAATTTTCAAGTGTCTAAAGGTATATTTTTTTTAACATTTTATAATGTTTTTGATTAATATGAGTAGAAGAAAATCATGGATCACGAATGTGGGACCGTATAATAAGTGCAACAGGTGCTATTTCTAAGGCTATGGCAGATAAATATGTGGCTATTGTAAATGAAGATGAAGATCATAATATAGAAAATGAAAATCAATCAAAAGTATCAAGAGTATTAAGAGAATATTATATTAGGAAAAATGGGTGTCTTCCTGAATGGTTAAAGGTTCCTGAGGAATTTGAAAGACGAAGTATAAAAAGTTCTGAAAGCGTTCCTGCCAATATTTCAAATCATGATAATTTACAAAATACACGGGTTGTGTCTATTTCCTTTCGAGATATTTATGATTCAACCCCAAAGAATAATGAATTACCGATAAAATCTGCTTCTTTTAATACAGATGAATGCCGATATCAAATTCCATCAGCTAGTGAACGCTTGCGTGAAAAACTATCGAGACGAAATATGAATCATAATTGAAATTAATAATATTAGTAATTGTAATGTTTTAATAAGGACTCATTATTTAAGTTTTATTATTTAAATGATTTTATTCGTATTAATATACATATGATGACAAAAATTTTGAATAAGAATGAAAATAGGTTTGACATAATATTTGTTTTAACATAAATAATAATTTTAAGCAATGCTTTGCTGATATTTATTGTATTATGTTTGGTTGTATATATATATGTATGGATTTAAATGCATTTTTAATAAATATAAGGAAATGATTGAAGTTATATAGTTTCATGATATATTTTCTATATTTTTTTCCTGACTTCATAATTATAGGCATGATTTATTATTTATACTTTTTTATCTGTTAATTGATTTTCTTGTTCATATTCTATTTCGATGTATGCTTTAGCTAATATTGGTTTAATTATTTAATATTTCACTAAATTTAAATTACCTTTTTTGTTTTTTCTCAATTGTTGACTTTTATGTTTTCTCTTTTGAAAGATTTCTTTTATTTCATTTTTTTCAGTGTCGCTTTCTTTTATGCTATCATAGCTCTCTTCACTCATATCACTATCTGACATGTCAGAGTTATCAGTAAGGTCGTAATCGTCGTCCTCAAATTTATATTTTCTATATGATTCTTCTAAATCACTTTCTTCATTATCACTAAAAAATTCCGTTTGCTCTTCTATATTTTCATATTCTAATTCGCTTTCGTTTTCTTGTTGGCTTTTCTGTGAACCTAAAATCTTTTTCCATATATCCTCGCTAACGTTTAATGGATTTTCCCCATATATTCCACTTTTAAGTCGTTCTATTAATTTTTTTTCTATGGAATTTTCTAGTTTTGCTATTTGCAATGCTTTTCTTTCTCTAGCTGTTTCTCGTCTAATTTCTTTTGGTTTTATTGCAACAAGCTCTGGGCGCTTTTTAAGTAAAAGTCTTTTGGATTTGATAAGATATTGTGTAAGTCTTGTTAAACGTGCTTTATTTTTATATATAAGAAAATTTGGCCAGTACAAAAGTTTTTCATCAATCTAAAGTATTAAATAAGATAATATTCAACATAAACATTTAGTTTTTATACTTGTTTTAAAGCTTTTATATAGTTTTTTGATAATTTCACTTTTTCCCACATTTTTGATGGCATATGTGATCTCTCTATTGTTTTCATGTACAAATAAAGAATTCCTTTTTTCTCTTTAATAGTAGCGTATTGAGAATTTGCAAGAGGACATGATTGACGATTACATATTCCAGTAACATTATACTTTTAAATGTTAGTTAAAAACTTGAAAAGATAAATTTACTTCATTTTTACAAAAATTTTGTGTGTTTGCTCTACTTATGGATTAGTTACTTATTTTTATAAGAAAAAATGTAATAACTTGACTTTATAAGAGCAAAAATTCTGGTTAATCACCTGCCAAATAATATCATCCATTTTTTCAGATAATTTTATAACATTTTATTAATGATTATCGTATTTATTTTAAAAACTTCAAAATAATTTTTAAACTAGTATAAAGAGTGTAACTATTTTAAAGATTGTATGTTTTTTTTACCTCTTTTAAAGGATATTCCGTTTTATCATTCTTCAAATGTATTTAAGACAATTTACGCCTTATCAACACCATTGGGTAAATCAGCTGTTGCTTTGATAAGAATATCTGGTCCTGAATCATTCCGTGTAATTTATATTTGAAGTTTATTTATGATGTTTAAAATGTTTTTATAGGTTATTCAAGCACTTTGCCCCTCTAAAAAACTTCCAAAATTGAGATATCTGAGTCTTCGAGAAATTAGACATCCAAAGACAAATGAGCTTCTAGATAAAGCATGTGTTGTTTTATTTAAAGGACCTTTCTCTTTTACAGGGGAGGATATGGCTGAATTGCATGTTCATGGAGGACCCGCTGTCATTCGTGCTGTTTTGGATGCTATTTCTTCTAGTGATTGTAATGTTCAATATGCAGAGGCTGGTGATTTTTCTAGAAGGTCTTATGAGAATGGGAAGTTGGATCTTACACAGGCAGAAGGATTATATGATATAATTAATGCGGAAACAGAGGAACAAAGAAAATTGGCTGTTCGACAAGTTGAAGTATGATTTTTGATGATTAATTTATCAGATTAAATGTTGAAGGGATTTTTGAAATCTCTTTACAATGGATGGAGAGATGAGTTGATTGATTATAGATCTCATTTAGAAGCTATTATAGATTTTGGCGAAGATGACAATATTAATGATAATATATATTTTCAAAGTTTTTAATAAGATATAATAGGTTATTTATCTAACTGTTTAGTATATAAAAAAGTCGAAAATTTTGTAATTAGAGTTCAGGATCATTTGAAAGAATCTGTTCGTGGTGAATTATTAAGGCATGGTATAAAAGTATCTATTTTTGGATTACCAAATGTTGGGAAATCATCTCTCCTGAATATAATTGCCAAGAGATCAGTAAGTATTGTGTCTTCAGAACCTGGAACAACTCGTGATATTATTGATGTTATTCTTGATATAGGAGGATTTCCTGTAATATTTAGTGACACTGCTGGTTTAAGGAAAGGAAATAGTATTGGTTTTGTTGAGAAAGAAGGAATAAAAAGGGCTTATGAAAATATTGAAGAATCTTTTATGCGTATCTGTGTTTTAGATATTACTGATATTGAAGCTAATGTATCTTCGCTTCGATATTTATTAACTCATCAAAATATATCTAATCAACCAATTATTTTGGTTCTAAATAAAATTGATTTATTGGAATCAGAAAAGAATATAGATTTAAAAAAAATTGAATTTTTAACAGGAATATCTTCTAGTTTTATTTTTCCTGTTTCTTGTAATACTAATGTGGGAATTCGTGATTTAATCTTTTTTATTAATAATCAATTAAGAAAATTGATTTTATTTGAAAATAGTCAGGAAGTGGTTGGCGCGAATGCTAGGCATAGAGAGCATCTTGAAAAATGTTTAGGCCATTTGCAAATTTTTTTAAGTACGTTCTTAAATTAATAATAAATAATATTAATATTTGAAGATGGCAATATTAAGGATATTGTTATTGGTGCAGATAATTTAAGATATGCAAGTGATGAGCTAGGTAAAATCTGCGGAAGAGTTGATGTAGAAGAAGTTCTTGGTGCTATTTTTTCAAAATTTTGTATTGGAAAATAAAATACATTATGTTTTTTATAATTATTAGTAAACATATGTCGGTATTATTTATACAGGATTCTTTTTTCTACATTTTAGTCTTTTATTTAAAATTATTGAATTTGTTCACTATTTTTACGATCAATGCTTTTGAGAATTTTATAATGACTGCATTTTTTCTTTTTTATTAATAAGAACTGAGTTTTCATTATCGCTATCAACAAACGCATAGTCAATGGCTTCTTCATCACTTAATCTTATTCTTATTTTATTATTAGAGAATAGTTGCAATGGTATTTTCATTCTATTAAAGTCAGAAATGAGATTAAATATATGTATTTATCTTTTCCTGTTTGGAACTAATTTAATAGCTTTTTTATAACTAAGTATAAGTATAATAGCAGCAATAATTGTTAGAAAAATTGTAAAAAGAAATGAATAAAAAAATGGTGTCTCTTTTTCTCCCGTAGTTTCTATTAGTATATTAATCTTTATAGAATATTGGTTGTCTGAGATATACTTTTATACAATTCTGAATTTATCATTTATATATAACATACAAAAGATTTCGTTTTTATCGAGCTTAAATTTTGAATGACGATATATGAATATATTTAGTATTTGGAAAATGTAATTAAATTTATAAATATGTGTATAAGGTATTTTTATTTTTAAGAGCTTTTTTATTAAATTAGGAGGTTGATTCTTGATATAAATAACAATGTATTTATAAATTTTTAAAGACAAAAATAATAGAATTGTTTTTGAAGTAAAAAATGTTTTAAAACTTAGAGCTGTTATATATTATTTATGGCTTTTATATTCTGGTATTATTTGTTTCGGGGCTGATATTAGTATTATAAATATTCAATAAAATATTCAATTTTTAGATTGTTATGAATTATTATCAAATTCAATTTTTTTTAGAAATGGTTATAAATTGCATTCTTTAAGGAAATCCTGTTATTATTATTATTATAGGTTGATATTATATTCTTTTAGACATAAATGTTTGATTAAAAAAACATAGAATTATGTTTTGAGTTTAATTTAAAAATAGATATTAACATACTATAAAATTGTGTTTTTTATTTAAAATGTGATAATAAATTGTATAATGAAAAAAATATATAATGATTTATTTTTTAAATAGAAAATAAATATTATTTATATATTGAATCATTTTTAAAAAAAAAAATTATTTATTATTATAATTTTTTAGCTAACATTTTTATTTTATAATATTACTTTTAGTCAATTTCTTTTATAAATTACATATAAATAAGTAAATAAAATATATGGACAATTATTTTTAGTTTTGTTTAGTTCGATCTTGAAATTGTAGGTTTACTTATTTTTCTAACGTTTCGAAAATCTGTGGATATAAAATGTTGATTTAAAATTATTGTTGACAAACTGAGTAGATTAGTGTTAAACATTGAATATCATAAAAAGGGGATTTAATAAAAAGAGTATTGGATATTCTCTTGATATGAAATAGCAAAAGTATGTGGGGAATTAAATGAATGAGATATGCAAGAAAAGACGTCGAGAAAGATAAAAACACCTACAGAGTCCTCTCAACAACAATTTTTTGGAAAACGTATTAGGGAAATTTTGAATAAGGATAAAAAAAATGGTGATAATCTTTCTTCTGTTCCTTATGGTGAAACTATGGTTTCTGGAACTCGTCCTATAATTTTTGGACAACCATCTTCAAAGACTATATTAGAAGCTACTGATGGTAGCAATTTTGCTTCTTCAAGTTCTGGTGCTTTTATTTCTGTCGTTAAAATAACGTTATTAATATTGTTGAAATAGGTTCGGCACCAAATGGTAGCTTTTCTAATTCATCTATGCCACCTGGATCGAAAGCTATTACATCGCATAAGAACGTTTCATGTAGAGGGTCCAATGCTTCTGTTGGGTCATCTAGTGGGCCGAGTAGGCGTAATATTAGTGACGATCAACATAGTGTTTCAAGTTCTCGTAGTTCGTATTCTGAGGATTTTCAGCGTTTGGCACTTTTTTCCTATAATGCAATAGGATCAAATGGTGAATTTTCTTTTGAAAAGCCAAAGGATGATTCTATTATTGAGCATATGTTTGTTGAGCTTCTTGTATGTTCTCTTGGTTATATATTAATCATATGTATACATTATATATAGAATATGAAGAATATTTCTTTCGATTCTCGCGGAAAAATGATGAATTGGCCAGCTTCCAAGAAATGGCAAATGATCTATCAAGATGCTCTTCAAGAATATCAGAATAGGGTTTTTTTTTTTAGTTTTAGTATTTTATTGATTTGTTTTATAGAAAAAATGGATTAGTTCTCATGGATATGACGGTGATAAGGGTTCTCCTCAGTGGTTTGTTCGTAGGATTGTTAATAATACGATTAAAATTAAGCAATTATCAACTTTAAGTGTTTCTTTGCGAACTCAGCCTATTAGGTATAATTTAGTTTTAGCTAATGATATGTTATTAATAATATTAGTTGGGTGAGATCTTTTATTAAATGCCAGGGACAGATTGCTTTAACTAATGTTTTGAGTCATATAACTCAGCGTGTTAATAAGTATTATGTTTTTGTTGTTTTATTCAGTTAACATTTTAGGCGTGATGATGATATACTTAAAGAATTAGAAATTTTAAAATGTCTTAAATCACTTTTAAATAATACTGTTAGTTTTCTTTTTTACGGGTATTTTTTTTAATTATCATTTTAGTATGGAGCGGACGATGCTATTGAGCATCAGTCTTGTGTAAACTCTGTAGCAAGTTCGTTACTTTCGCCTCATCTTCCTTCTAGGAAACTTGCTGCTGAGGTTTTAACTTTTATATGTCATTGGGATAAGCCAAATGGTCATTCTGTTGTGCTTGCTTCTTTGGATCATATGCGATCGTATTTGGGTGAACTTGGTCGTTTCGATGCATGGATGAGAGTTCTTGAGCTTACTGTAGATGGAAGAGGGAAAATGGGAAGTCTTGTTGGTGCTAGCGATGAAATACGTCGTGGTGGAATGGGTGTTGAGAATATTCTCATGGAATATGCTCTTGCGAATCTTTTTTTGATTAATTCTTTATGCAATGGTGCAGATGATGTTAGAGAAAGATTACACATTCGTAGTCAGTTTAAAGCATGTGGATATCAAAGAATGGCTTTAAAAATGCGGCAATTCAATTATGATATAATAGATCGTCAACTTGAAAAGTTTGAAAATGATGAAGCTCTTGATTATGAAGATTTGTTCGAAAAAGATGCTCAAGATGAAATTAAAAATTTAGACAACCCATTAGAATTGATGGGTTTGATATGGAAACGAATTGAAGGTACTAGAGCTCAGGACTTTTTTCTTTCTACCTTGCAACATCTTTTATTGATACGAGATGATGGAGAAAACCGTTTTAAATTATTCCAACTAATTGATGCTATTCTTACATATGTTGTTATGGATCATCGTATGATTGGAATGGATCCTACACATGCCTTGAATTTTTCTATACAAGGCATCGTTAGTAAACTTCATACTGATGAGGAGGCTCGAAAAGCAGCAGAAGAAGCTAAAGAGGCACGTATGATCGCAGAAAGAACTGCTATAGAGAGAGATACTATGGCTGCTGAAATTGCAGCAGGTGCTAATGGTTTAGTTGGGAAATTAAAGAAAGAGTTAATGGAACAAGCTGAGGCACTCGAAACACAGAGAAGGCAAAATGCTATTTTAAGAAATGAGGTAGAAGAATTACAAAGAGTTCATATGTTACAGCTTCAAAAAAGCGAGATAGAAACAAGGGAACTTTATATGATAATACGTGATACAAATCCTGAAATATGGGAAAATAGTAAAGGCATCGTGGATAGAAAAGCATTAATGGATAAATTGGAAAAACAATTGGAGAGGAAAAAGACTGAATTTAAATTGGAAGGAAAAGCTTGGCAAAATATTACTTCGAGTAAACGTTTGAAAGTATTTTTTATTTTATTTTAAAAAAAAATATATTTATTAATATATAGGAACTTCGAAGTCGTATGGAAAAGCTCCAATTGAGTCCGAAAGATATTGGTTCTCAAAAAAATGATGAAGATGAAGTATTACAATCTCAAGATACATATGAAAAGCCTTCATTTTTTGGTTCAACTAGAGCTAAACCTAATAAGCTTTCTCCGCATACTATTAAACATCATTCAAGATCAAGCGTACGAGTTATTTCTACAAATTATGTTCATGATACGAAAAGATTAGGTGGTGTGCAGCAAATAGTGCAATATAAAAAAGAACATGTCGAAGAAAGTACTGATTATGTTTTTATGGATGAACTTTCTTCTAAATTAAGACATTTAAATAGTAATGAAGATACAGATGATGCTATTGGGCATGTTATATTTTCTGAAACTCAGACTGAAAGTACTGATCTGGACAATCTTGCATGGAATGATGATAATGTATCAAGTCGTTCTCAAACTCTAAGTTCAGGTACTCTTCTTTCTGATGAAAAGGTTACTCAAACTATTCCTTCAGAGACTTCTACTGATATTTCTTTATCATTAACTTCTCTTCCACCACCACCACCACCGCCACCACCACCTCCTCCTCCTCCTCCTCCGCCACCACTACCATCTCTTATTTCTTCGCTTCCTCCTCCTCCTCCTCCTCCTCCTCCTCCTCCTCCTCCTCCTATGTTTTTGACGAATAATGTACAGGTGAAGACATCTAATGATTCTGCTACTTCTGTTCTTAATGGTGTTTCTTCACAACCTCAAATTTCTTCAGAAAAGTCTGAAGTTGTTCAGGAAATACCTTTGCATAGTGGAGAAGTTGGTAGAACTGGACTTCCGTTCATTAATCCGGAAATTAAAACGCAGGTTATGATGATGAGGTCGAAGAAGAAATTGAAGCAAATGCATTGGGATAAGCTTGATACTGGTGTAGAGTACACCCTTTGGGCTCAAATGAAATTAGATCCTAATGCTTTAGTTGGAGTTCTTTCCAAAAAAGGTATATTAGATGAGATTGAAAGGGCATTTGCTATGAAAGAAACAAAGATTATAAATACTAGAACATCAAGAAAAAAAGAGTTTCTATCTTCCGATCTTCAACAACGTTTTGGTATAAATTTTCATAAATTCTCGAATTTGTCAGTATCTGAAGTCGTAATTAAGATTCTTCATTGCGATATGGATACTATGGATCTTATTGATTTTCTTAGCGATGATAAATTATTAGGTATTGAACAATTAAAAGCAGGTTTAGAGCCTTATAGAACAGACTGGTCTTCTGGTGGTGTAAGGATAAATCCTGAAAAAAATATAGAAGAGCTTAGCCGATGGGATCAAATATATTTATATTTGTTTATTGATTTGGGGCATTATTGGCAAAGAAGGATGATGGCATTAAAAATGAAGATTAATTTAGAACGCTCTTACACTGATCTTGTTAGAGATATTAAGTGTATAGAGACAGCCGCATTAGCTATAAAAGGTTCTCAAAATTTTAGAGAATTATTAGATGTAATTCTGCATGTTGGAAATTATATGAATGATTCTGGAAAACAGGCTTATGGATTTAAAATGACAACACTCCAACGGCTTCCTATGACAAAGGATGATAGAAATTCTTTAACGTTTTTGCATTTAGTAGAAAAGGTAGTTCGTACTAATTTCCCTCAATTAGAAGAATTTTTAGATGATTTTAAAGATGTTGGCTCAGCTGCAAAAATTAATATTGATCATATTAATTCTGAATGCAAAATGTTGGTTGATAATGTTTTTTGCATTGAAAGAGCTTGTAATACAGGAAGTCTTAGTGATGCTTCTGTATTTCATCCTGAAGATAGAATATTAAATATTATTCTTCCGTTTCTTCCTGAAGCAAAAAAGAAAGTTGGATATATACAAGATCATTTTAATAGTATGGAAACAACATTTGAAAATGTTTTAAGATATTTTGGCGAAGAACCTTCGGATTCTCAGGCTAAATCAACGTTTTTTCGTAAATTTGAAATGTTTTCTAGTGATTATAGGGTACTGATATAATTGATTTTATAATAATATAATTAATGGATTTTTAGAAAGCGCAAAAAGAAAATTTAGAGTTTGAAGAAGAATCCCATCGTCAACTTCTTAGGAGAAGGGCATTAAATGCTGCATCAAAAAGTAATATTCTGGATACTGCGATGGATGAGAATGCTAAATTAGATACTGCTATTATGGATAATTTACTTGAAAAACTTAGAGTAGCGCCTACAGAAAGTAGGAAAGTAAGAAGAAGACTAGTTACTAAAAATTTCCAAGTTACTGGCTCTCATTATTCAGACAATCATAATGTTTCAAAAAATGATTCTACATCTTTTTCATCGTCTCCAGTAAATGAGCTAGCTATTAAAATGAGGGATGCGGAAGCTGAATATAATTCATCTATTTCAAAAATGTCTTTGGCACAATCATCTACTTCTACGACGTCACCAGCTTCAGTACCATCTGGAACAATGTCAAATAAGGATGTTGCTGCAAAAGCGCAAAGTATGCTTGAAGGTTTAAGATGTGGGAAGATATCAAGAGTTCTCCCGGTGTTAAAAGATAATTCTTCGGCAAATGGGTTAGATTATTCGATAAATAAAGATCAATCACAAGATAAAATGAATGATGCAAATCAGCATTTAAATCATGAATTAGAAAATGAAGCGGAAGGAATTTAAAAGTCATGAAACTAGAAATGAAGCATTGTCAAAAGTATGTTGTTTTTAAGTAACGATTTAACGTTAGGTTTTTAAAGTATAAAAGGATAAATAGTATGTTTTTATGAAATATAGTTTTTAATATTTTCTATATATTATATGGTATGAATTGGCGGAAATCCATATTTCTCGATACTGTAGCTGTAATATTCACATATGATGGGTAATTATATAGGTGTTTAACAAAGTTGATTGTTTATTTTCATAATGACGTTGTTTATTAAATAATTTGAAGCATAGTTTTAGTTATTTTGTTTATGAAAATGGTTTATTTTTGGCTTTATGATATTTAAAGTATTTAATTAAATAATGCTTAATCTTTTAAATGAAATGTTTTAAGAATATGTTATTTGTATTAAAAATGCTAATAAAGTTTATAATTAAACTTAAACGATAAAGTTTTTATAATAAAAAAATAATGAATTTTTTGTGTGAATTCTTTATATATTTTAAAATATTATGTAATATTTATTTAAAAACATTATTTATAGTCACCTTGATCCTTTTTTGTTAAATAATATTTTAAAAATTAAACTTTAAAGAATATTTAAAATTCGTATAATTATATAATAGTATTATACAATCATGTTTTGTGTTTATAAGTTTAAAATTATTTCTGAAGTTTATATTTAATTAAATATGATAGTATATTTATTTATTCTATAATACTTTTCTAAGTTAATATTTATAAATATTTTTACTAATAATTTTGTATATTATTAAATAATTTTTTTGATTTGTTAATTATTTAAAGCTATCTAAAATTCAATTAAGAATAAAGTTATTAAATTTTTAGATATTTTAGAAATAAAAATATAATTTAGTAATGATTGTATTAAGAAAATATATATTTAAAATAACTGTAAATTATAACTTTAAATGTTTTAATTATTTTTGCTTTGCAGTAAAAACAGTTTTTAATATCATTATTGGTCTGTATTAATTTTTTATAATTTAAAGTTTATGATTTAAAATTAAAAATTAGTTTAAATTAGTTATATGTTAGAGAAATTTTAATATTTTATTGAAAAAATATTTTTATTAATTTTGAGTGTATTTTCAGCTTTTTTTGTAAAATATATAAAATTTAAAATGTTAAATAAAACGTTATTGAGAATTTTGATATTTTTATGAAATTATTAATTGCTATGGTTCAATCAAGCTTAAAGTTTAACATTTTTGTCTTATATTATGTATATTATTAATTAATGCTTATATAAGATTTTGACGATTAATTTTTCCAAAAGTTTATTTTAATTTTTTTAGTATAAAATATCATTTAGAATATAGGAATCTGAAATCTTTTTTCTTGCATGAAATATTATGGTAGTTTTATTGAAACAGATGGTTCATTATTTAGTCTTTTTCTATTTTAAGGATATTCTCTAAAATCGTGAAATTAAAGATACGAATAATTTAAATTTGCAATCAAAAGTTGAAGAATCTTATTTTATAGATAAGTAGATATAATCATGTACAATAGATTTAATTTCTGATTGTATGAAGACATGATGAATTTTAAAATAATTTTATTTTTCAGTTTGCAATTTTTGCTGACCAAATTCGAGAAAGGAGTCAAGTTCCTTGGGTAATTTTTTAAGTAATTTAAATTGATTCTAAATATTTAGTTAGGAAAAGAAAGCAACGGGGAAATAGTATACGGCGCATTTAAATTATCTAAAAGAAGATTTCCAGGCAAAATTCAAAGAGAAAAACAAAAAAAAGTTTTAATAAAATATTTAATGATATTATGGTGATAAATTAGAAATATATTTCCTTAATTTTAAATATATACAGAATATTTTATACTTGCAATTTAGCATAGTTTGGAGGTTTAATTTTTCTTTTTAGAGTCTTTGCTATCCAAGGTGGTATTAGTGAAACTGATGTAATTACTATTGTTTTCCAAAAAAAATCAATAGTTTTTATATAATTTAAATCTGTTTATAAAATAAGATTAAATAGATGAACTGTAATATTTTTACCAAAATAATTATTAAGAAATGGAATAGATGCAATATAAATTATTAAAGTAACTATTTCTGCTAAAATCATAATTTTATGCCTAAATATTATCAGTTAAAATTTATTATGAAAATTTTAAAAAACCATGTATGCATTTCTATAATTACCATGATCAGTTCGTTTAAAATTAAAGCTGTAAATGTTACTGTTGTTAGTGTTTTCATTTTATTTAATCCGATAAAAATATATGATAACAACATAATAGAAATTCCTATTAAAATTAACTTATAGATAAAAAAAGACTATTTTAACCTTGGTATACAGAAATAAAAACCCATATAAAAAATGTTTTGTAATTGAGTGTTTTTCCCTTAGTAAGTTCTTTATATAATTCTGGATATAAAAATGTTAAATATTCATTAACATCACGGTCAAAAACAAGACTAAATACTGGTGCCATTGTATAAATAGTTGCATATCCAACCATTAGCCATCCCTATAAACAAATTAATTTATGAAAGTATATATATGTATATGTGTGAGCACTTTAAAAAGAACAATAGGAGTAAATCCAGATACAATTGAATAGTATATTTGACATACGCTAATTAGAAGTCCGCGATGAATTACAAAACGAGTCAATTTCACAGAACGTTTATAGCTATTGCGTCCATGCCAAACTAAAAAAAGAATTATAATAAAATTTAGCAAAAATATTTTATTATACCTAGTAATTTAGTTAAATGATAAAATTGTGTAACAGAAAAATCTGCTGCTAAACTGGCTTGATGGCCCTCTTTTCCTACAATCCCTATTCCTACATCTGCAGCTTGAATCATACTAACATCATTTCCACCATCACCTATACAACATACTTTACGAAATGTATAATCTTGAATAAGCTTAACAATTTCCGCTTTTTGTGTAGGTGTACAACGGCAAGCTATCACTGATGGTAATTTGGTTGCTGTAGATATAAATTCTATTTTACAAAAATCCATATATAACTAAAATATATTAAATGTATAAAAAAATCAAAAATATTACCTGAAGAGACTCTCCGTCTATAAGAAGGCATGAATCTTGTTTGTTTTTTAGAAATTCCAATTGTTCTATAATATATTCTTTAGATTTTGCTAATATTTGTAAATACCAAATATGCATTAATATTGGAATTACCTTTTGTAATTATATGAATATACTGTCCCCGCGATATAAATTTAGAATTGACTGCAACGCATTTTGCAGTCTCTGCTTTATCTCCTGTAAGCATCCAGATTTTTATTCCTGCGTTTTTTAAAAGCTCTAAAGATGGCTTAACATCTTTTTGCAATTTATCTTCCACTCCCGTTAAACCTAAAAGTTCGAGGTTACACTCTAAAAATTTTGCAATTACTTCTGCAATAGCTTTGTCTCTATCAAACAAATTTAATGCCGCTTGATTATAACTAAAAATTTTGAATTTACAAATTTATAAAAATTATTTAATTACTTTTTGACAAAGATATCATATGTTTCTTTGCTTAATTTTTTTCTTCCAATAACAAGTGTTCTTAAACCTTCTCTAGCCATGTTATTGCATTCTTCATCTAACCAGTCACTAGCCATAACGATTTTTTGCATAACCACATCAGCTCCCTTTTGAAAAAACCATATATCTCCTTCCTTATTAGATTTTTCCATTATTTGCACTATAATTCCCATTCTTTTGGATTTTGAAGTAAATGGAAAATTATGTAGAATTTTCATTTCTACAAGTTCACCTGTGTGTTGATAGCATAACTGAATAGTATGTCTATCTCGTTGATGGAGAGTTAATCCCATGCTACTAGTCCATTGTACGATTGCCATTTCATCCGGTGACGATGATTGATATGAAACTATATTCGTATTTGAGTCTATAGTTGGAGTAACCTAAAATAGAGTTATCAAATATTATTTATTTATTTATTTATTACATTGTGACAAACAGATAATGCAAAAACTATATCTCTAATCTTGCTTCCTATTTCTTTTTTAGCTCTCTGGCCTACATATTGTGTATTTGAATTATTTTTATATTCTCGAATGTAAGCAGCTACTTCTGACATTGCCTCATTTGTATATCCTAATGTTCCAATATGAAGTTTTTTCATTTTCATGTCTAAAATATTTAAATTTTTAAAAAATATAAAGCAAAAATACCATTTTGAGTAAGAGTTCCTGTTTTATCTGTCAAAAGATATTCTATCCGGCCTAAATCCTCAGGAATTGTACTGGTTCTTACAATAGTTCCTTGTAATTCTGGGTCATGCTCTATTTGATATGCATAAACCGATTTTCCCAAATCCAGGTTGACTCTTAAACTAAGATAATTTAATTATTTTCAAAAATAAATTATATTTAATTACCTAATTGGTATAATACTAGAAAAAAGTATAAGAAATTTAAATAATGATATATACCATTTTTCTTCAAAACCATTAAATAAAACTAAGATAAAGCTTAGTATAAATGTTAGAGTACAAAGAATCTTCATCCAAAATTAATCATAATAAAAGAAAAAATATTATTACTTTTGTGAGATTATTAATTTCTAATTCCAATAAGCCTGTTTTAGTTCCCGCTTTTGATGTATTCATTGCCTGCCTTGTTTCTACACCAGTATATATTACTAAACCAATTATAGGACCACCAGATGCTAAAACTGTATTTGCCCATAACATGTTATCTACAGTTAATGGATAGTTGTATATATCTTTGGATGAAGATTTTATTGATAATGTTCCAAAAAACATATGAATAGATTTTATAGGGGGTGGTGCATAAACAATAGCATTTAGAGAAAATAATGATTCATTTGAAAAAAAAGGTTGTGTTGCTGCACATGATGTTCTAATAATTATTAAAGATATTAGGTATACAATCCTTTTTGAGAAAAACCTTAATTTCCAGTCTGTTTCACCATCTAATTGATCTGTTTTGATGAAACATTCTCCATTTGGATTATTTGTATGAAGTAATAAAATGTCCGAAGGAATACGTTTATCTTTATGTATTAAAACTATGTCACCTACTTTTAAATCACGGCTTTTTTTAGGCAAATTATTCTCCAAAATTGTATATGGCTCTGAATTTGCTTCATTATCTCTTTTTCTTCTAGCTAAATCATCTAATAGCTCTTTCCCCATCGTTATGGAAATAACAAAAATCAATGGAGCAATATATGTAGATAAATATCCTATACGCAACGGTACAATAAATTGAGAAAGTGCTACAAGAAGGAAATATAAATTTAAAAAATGTTTAAACTTTAAAATTAGAAGATTTATTACAAAATATTTAGAATACCTGTTCGTACAAAAATATAGGTATGAACGTAAAAATATTGTATTTTGCATTAGAAATAACATTAGATGGATAATTACGTGAATTGGTGGATGAATTCAAACCTAAATTATAACTTAGTTCTTTTTAAAATATAAGAATTTAATCCATACCAGAAACAATAGGTATTGATCTATAGGAACGATTAGCAAAACTTTGTTGTTTAAGTTCTGCAAAATCCATAGAAAATGGCGTATGAGGCAAAATATCAAAAAGTTGAATATTCTAAAAATATGAGCTAAAATTAAAAATAAATTTAAAAACTATACTTCATTTTTTATAAGTGGAGTTTGATCATTATTATTTTCTGTTATCTCATGCTGGGAATATATGCTGTAAGATTCGCTATCTATTGAAGTAAGACTTTGTTGAGCGGTGTTGATTTTCATTGATTGTAATGGGATAGAGAATTTATTATTTGGTATATGTGCTTGCATATATATTGAAGTATTTTATTTTTTGCTTCTTTTTAATAATTTCATTTGATTTTTTTTTTATAATTTTGGTTGAATTTTGGAGTTTTTATAAAAGAAAAAAATAATTAAAAAGTTATATACATGATATAATAGTTATTAAAAATGGTATATATAATGTTCTAAAATGCTTTTTTATTGTATTTATTTCTAATATATAAAGAGTTAAGATTTAAAGTAAATTTTAATACAAATTATGAAATTACAAAATGGTAGTAAATAAGTATTTTTTTAAAAAACTGAAATGACAGAAATATTGCAAAAATTAATTTTATAGTTATTATCTCTGTTAATGTATATAAGATTATATATATAATTTTGTAATTCGTCAATAAAAAGATAAAATATTTAACTTTGCATATTTATATATTAAAACTTTTGATGTTTGATAATATTGGGATAATGAATATCCGAAATAAATACTTAATAAGTAACATAACATTTAAGGATTTAAGTTCATTACATCAACATATTTGTTTTTAGTATTCTTTGCCTTTATTTTTCTAGTGAGAGTTTTTGTTTGTGTATTCCCATTAGCTAAAGAATGTTCTGATGCCATTTTAAGTAAATCATCAAGAGCATCGTCATTTGATACTATTGGTTTATGTGTAAATTTAGTAGATAATTGAGAGTTCATAGAATCAACATCAGGCGTAATAGTATTGGAAGATATTTTATTTGATTCATTATAATGTGATTCTTGAGCTATCAAATTTGTAGAATGAGATAACTCTGCTTTTTTTGGTGGTGGCGGTAGTGATATAGCATGTTCAGAAATTGAGGTGCTATCCTATATATTTGTTTGTATTGGGAGTATTAAATAAAATGTCTTATTACCTTTTTATTAATCCACTTTTTAAGTTCAGTATCATAAACAAATGAATTGTCTTCTCCTAATTTCGCCTTATATATTTTCTTTTCTTTAGATTGTTCTTTTTTTCCCCACCATTTACTAAACCAACTAGAATTTGCATTTTCATCTAGAATTTTAAGTATACTACTAAAAGTATAATTATGTACCTCTATTGTTTTTCGGAGATTGAGACTTAGGTTCAACGTTATAAGAGTCTTCTGAGTTAAGCTGAGTAATAGATAAATTTTTTAGTTCAGATTTAGTATTATAAAAATCATTAGTCTGTGTATCTGAGGATTCCAAATAATTGAGATTATCATTTCTTGACAATTCTATTTGACCATTTTCTTTGAAAACTTCCCTATTTAAAATATTTTCTGAATTATTTTCCGATATAATGGATTCCTTATAATACTGAACATTTTTGCAATAACTTTCTTGATTAGAAGTCTCATATAATTTTGGCATTGGCTGATAACAGGCTAAATGGTTATATTTTTTATCTTTTGAAAAAATGTTAGGATCTTCAGAGGTAGTTAAAGATAAATTAGGTGATAAATCATAGTTGTTTTGACATGTTTTTGTTAGTTTTTCCTGATGATTCGGCTGAGAAATAAATTCATCCTGTATAAGGTAGGGACCAACTGCACATGTGTTTAATGCTTCAAGATTTGTTTGTGAGTGGATTTTGGAATGTGATATTTTTTCGGCGAGATGTTCAAAAGGGTTTGAATCATTATTTAAAATTTCTTGAGATTCAATAGAACTAGTTTCTCCTGTAACAAATTTACTAAACTTGTTTTCAATTGATCCCCAAAAACTGTCTAATTTAGGTTTTGACATTTTTTTTCCAAACCATGACGGCATTGAGTTAAGAGATTCATAGGTTAGAAGTCGAGATGAAAATTCTTGAAATTGCTGAACAAATAATAAATGAAAGAAAGGCGAACCTTTAGAATATTTCTTGATTATATCACTAATTGATTCGCAATATCTGCATGAATTAATGAAAATAATAAAAATTATGAAATTAACCTTTGTGCCTCAGATATATATCCGAGATCTGCTAATATTGTTGCATAATAAAATTTATAAGCTTGTAAATGAGCATATCCATAAAAAGGTGATTGGGATTTAAGAGCTGTGTAAAGTTCTAGAATTTCATTTAAAATTATGTTATCTAAATCATGATAAAATGATGATGGATTATTTATATGATCCCCTCCAAGTAAAATAAGGTCTGAGTTATGTATATCGAGCATAGAAAATACTGAATCTTTTTTTGCCAGCAAAAAACTATTTTTATATTAAAAAATGAATATTAAAAATATATATGTTGCAATACCATATATGTCCCGGAATTATATAATTATTCTTAATAAGAAGTTTTCCTAGATTAAATATAATATTAGAATCTTTATCACTTGGATTAGAAAGAATCATAACTAATGTTTCTTTCCAGTTATCTAAATAATCCTTATGAAATTCTTTTGTTTTATTAGGTTCTATATTAACATTATTATTGAAAAAAGAATGAGAAATTCCTAAAAAGCCTTAATTAGTTTTAAATTTAATAAAATCCTAAAACTAACCCATATCTAGATCGTCTTCACATAATGCTTCATAGAAAAATTTAAGACTTTGCAAACTTTTATTGTTGACATTAATTTCGGAACGTATGAATTCTTTTGCTACATATTTCCATACTTCTTTACCCATAGAATTAGATATTAGAAGGGCATGAGACCAAAGTTTTCTATCTAAGCAGAATTGAATAGCGTCATTTTTGGCACCACTTAAAAGATAGAGTTTAATTTGTTCTAGAGATTCCTGAGTAACAGTATATGATGATATTTCTTGAGTATTTGTATTCAGGTTAGAACTAGAATTCATAAAATCTGCAGTAATTGTAAAATTAGATTTTTCTTTATTGTAAAACTGCAAATCTGGTTGTAATAAATTTAAAATTGAATGAATACTTTCGCTAAATATTTTTAGATAAAAAAAGTAAAAAAATGTTAACAAAGCTTACAATTGATCTGAAGAAAAACTATTATCTAATAAGATATATATTATTTTCCATAAGAGTATTTTTTCACTAAAAAATTCATCTTCTTCATTATCTTTAATGAGCTCTAGTGACTGAATTTTTTCTCCCAACCACTTAATAGCTTCTTTCTTACGAGTTTTATTAGTGTTTTTAGATATTGAAAATAATGGCCCAGGTATTGTCATATGTAATAATTCAGAATTTTGAAAATAAGATCTAATATTTGAAATTTTTAATGTTCCGGAAGTATGTGATGAATTAGAATATATATATTTTGAATTGTCGGAAATATATGTTTTATCTGGAAATATTGTTATGATTTTTCCTCCAAATCCCCATACTAATATAGGATAACTAGAATTTTCAAAACTATCTTTACGATAAATAGGTTTAATTTTTTCATCAAGATTATATCTTTTGGAATTATTTTCACTTATATCCAGAATAGAATTATTGTTTTGAATATTAAAAGACATTGGTTGAGATGGTAATACGAAAGATGTATATATGTTTGATGCCACCGAATTATCTTGTTTCTCTGACCGTAAATATGAATTATCTATATCTAATGGAAAATACTGAGAAGGTTGCAAATTTTTCTGCATAGTAGATGTATATGGCTCATAGTTAGAAGTAGATGTATTTTTTTGAAAAATATTGATAGATTTTTCCTTTTTTAGATCTTGTGTATTTTCTTTGATAGCTAATTTTTTTTCTGTGCTATAATGTGACTCCAAAGAATGTTGATAGTATAAATTATTTTTTTTAGTTATTCCTGCCTCCGAATATAAAAAATCATTTGGCTCAAGTGCATTTTCTTGAATATGAGACTCATTATGTATATTTTGTCTGTCTTTGATATTATTTAATGAAAAATTATTCATATCTATCTTTTTTGCGTTTAGTTCCTGACTATTGATATTAAATGGAATATCTGATAAAAATGCTTTATTATCTGTAATATTGAAAACATCCTGATTAACTTCATGAGAATTCTGATAGATCTCGTGAATGTTCTTTTGATCAGCCAATGTATATTGCATGTTTGAGTGCTGTATTTCGAAATCTGTATCCTGAGTATTTGTACCAGTTTTATTAATAGTTTTATTTGAAACTTTTAATTTTTTAGAGAATTCTATTGGCAAATCTTGAAACATCTTATTTTTCTCTTCTGCTTTTTCTTCATAAGTTTTAGATGTTTGCTGTATAAAATATGTATTAGCATTTGGAATAGATGTATCAGCTGACGTATAATTTAATAAATCTTTTTCATTATTTAAATCTTTTAAGGATGTTTTACTAGATAATATTTTAGAATTATTAGTAACATTAACATCTATTGGTATGTTTTGTAGAGATTTAGAAGGTTTTATTTCAAATGTCTATTAATGTAAGTTTTATTCTGATATATATATTTTCAAAATACTTACATTTATATTTGTTTGTATGTAATCTGAAGAATTATTATATTTTTGTATGTCAGAATACTTATTAGAAGCTGGTTCTGCTAGACGTCTAAATTTAGGTATAAACTGTACGGGAAGGTCATATGGAGATAAATAACCACCTTTGATAGAAATATATGATTTTGTAGCTATTTCATTGTTTTCTGAATTTATAGTTGAAAAGTAATTATTATTTTGCTGATATGACTGCTGATGAATACATTGTTGGCTTCTACTATGGGTTGGAGAAGGAATATTATTCCCAGAGAATATTTCAGATGACGATTGATTAAATATATTCCCCGTTTTACTTGTATTTAGAATATTTGCTTGGAAATCTGTATCTAATGAATATGATTGAGTATTATCGATATGCATATTAGACTGGTGAGTATGTGACATAAGATCAGGTTTTTTAGATGATGAAGATTTATCTAATTCATGACTATTTAAGTAAGGATAAGGAATATTTGAAAGTTGATTAACGCAACGCTCTGTACTATTTTCCAGTGAAGAAAACATATTTTTATTTAACGGCATTGTTTCTGTATCTAATGCCATATTGTTTGCATGAAATGCAATATCATTCTCAGTACATATAACATCATCTGGTAAGAAATCTGTATCTTCACCAATTGCTTTCCAGATATCATTATAATCAACTTGAGAAGAAATGTTATTATTTTTATTATTATTTTTGTAATCTTCTATTTTTTCATCTTGGATTGTAAGTGTATCGAAAGTATTTTTGAAAAAAGAATATTCATCATTATCAACAGTTTTAAAAAGGGTAGAAGCGTAGTCAAATTCCGTTTGTGAATCTGACGAAACAATATCCTTGTTATCTTCTGTCATTTCCTCCTCCTTAAATTATTTTTAGAATAAAATGGCTATTAGATTTTTTTGAGAATATCCTACCTGTTGTTTTAGAAAAAAATTTCTAAGAGGTATAGAATCTTTTTCAAATATACCAGCAGATATTTTTTCATTGCTTTTTTTAAAACCCTCTTTTATATCATTTTTAAAAAAATCTTCGTCTGGATTTACAGGAATTGGTTCCAAATCGATTTGTGATTGACAGTTCAATTCATAAGCTTTCTGAGATGATATAATAGTCCTTGAATCCTCATGTCCTTTGAAATAACTCTTAGGGGTAGCTTCCTGAATTTCAGGTCCATTTTTGTTTTCTATTTTGTCGGATACAAATTTTTTTGAAGTTTGTACTTCTAATAATTGATTTAAAACTTCTTTATAATGATTACTAAAAAAATACCTTTTTTGTAAAAATTGTAGTTATTATTCGTGTTTTGGATATGATTAATACTAGATACGTTTGAAAAATTATCAAAATGTTTATTTTCGATTAATTTCTGTGGCATAAATTGTGGTAAAATCTTAGACTTTTCACAGAATTCTGTTTTGCCTAATAAACATACATAATCATCGCTAAAATTTTGAGTTAATATATTTTGCGCTTTTGAATACCTTGTATGCAATCGTTTATTATTATCTACCTATTTTTTTATTATTATATAATAATTAATAAGCTAAGGTAATGCATTTATATCCTCTGGGCATGGGAAATTGTATAAATCTCTCTCTTTTACTGGCTGTTCTTTATTATTTTGAATATTTTTTTTCATAACGTAATTTTGTTTTTTTTTTGAATGTTTGAATTTAAAAAAATATTATATATTTTTTTATTTGGAACACTTTTCTATATCTTACAAAAACAAAAACTCATTATGAATTTTTATTTTAGAATTTTAGTTAATATAAAAATTGAAAAATATTGACAAGTTTATGTATTTTTTTTTGGAAAAATAAAAATTATAGTTTTATTTAATAATTTAAATGAGCATATGATAAATAGCTTCTGGAATGTTATTGATTTTATATAATTTTTCATAATATTTATCTTTAAATTTAATATAAACTTTAAAATATAATAAATGAAGAATAGTGTTAATATTTTATATATACAATTGTAAAAATACTATAAATAGTATTTATAGATTTGTATATTATTTATATTAGTATATATATATTTAATTATTTAAAAAATGTTAGTTTTTGACATATATTATTTTAATTTAAGATTTGATTTTTACTTTTAAAATTATATAATATTAGATATCATATTAGTCTTGTAATCATGTTTTTATATTTTTGAAATTTAATGTTTCTATAATTCTTACTATCCTATAAAAATATTGAAAATATTTCATATGCTTATGTGTAATATGCTAAGATATAATATAATGTAAATATAGTTAAATTTGTATATTAAATTTGTTAATATAGTATTTTTAATTTTATTAATAAAAAATATTTAGATTTTAGCAAAAAAAATATATATATATCAATATTATACAACAGTAAGTTTGTGATATTAGTGAATTAATATAGCCATAAATTATATAAAAAATATATGGATTAAACCTATTTAATGATGAAAGAATGGCGAAAATAATTTTAGTGTATTTCTTTGAAATACAAATAGTTAAATTTTTGATCAAAACTATTATAATAGAAATACAATATAACAAATCTTAATGATAATTTTTTTGTTGAAATGAGTTTATAATGAAAAGACTTTGATTTTTTAAATCACCATTTGTGTTTAATCTATAATATTTTAATTATAATGTTACGTATACTTAGAGCAAACTATATTTTCTAAACAGCTTTTAAATTTTTGAAATTCAGAAATACATGTATCTTTTTGTATATTATTTGTATTTTTTATTATACATTTCCCATATATAGTACCCTACAATTATTTATAATTTTAATCTAATTAGTTTTATAATTTACTAGAATTGAGCAAGATTTAGATGCTAATATAAATTTTTGAATTACTTGGCTATTTTTTTCCATTAAGATATTTTTTATATGAATTTAGGGTTAGTAGTTTTAAAATGAAAATTATCAAGTGTTAAATGTTTTTAAGGAAAAATATAAATATTACAAAAGTTTATATGAAATTCAGCACGAAAATATTAATATAACTATAGTGAAATATATTACACATGTATGATAATGCTTTAGATAGGATGTTATTAAGATAAAATGCATCCCTCGTTTTATAGTTTCGGAATGATTTGATAATAATATTAGGTGTAATAATAAAAAATTATACACCATATAAATCGAATGCTTTCATTCTGACTTCAAACAAAGTGCCCATATCTCGACCGCAACGCTGTACTCGAATGCTTTTCCATGCATTCCCATTGGGTCTTTCTGAATGCGCAGTACGTCCATCTATATCAAGAATCTGCGTTTCTAGCATTGTTGGTGTAGTAATATTACTAATAGAAATCCCTGGATCTCCTTTTATAAAATATATATTAGTAGAGCTTGGGCATAAAAATGTTAAAGAATGAGTTGATTCATCAATTCCTGTTAGCTATATAGTATTATATAAAAGTACAGTAGTTTAAAGCATAAAAATACCTGTAAATCTTTTCTGATTTCAATTTTTTCTCTTCCTTTTCCTCTTTGTTTAAAACCAAGAGTTCTGCTATATTTCCAGATATCTCCTAATACAAATAGACCCATCTCCGCCATCTGCGGTAATTTTAATGTCGTTGCCTCTCCTGCTCTTAACTCTGCTGACACTTTTTGTTGTTTTTGACTAGAATGATGTTCATATTGGACATCCTAATATTTATATGTCAAATATTATAGTTATATAATGACATATGCATTACCCTATAACCATCTATTCGACTATCTGAACGATATCTCCGTGATTCAAATGTATTCTTTGCTCCACTCTCCTCGTATCTTCCGTTAAAATTGTCCTAAGAAATATTAGATAATTTAAAATAAAAATAAAAAAACCTGAAATTCTCTTATAAAATCTTGAAGAAAAAGGTTGTTTTCAAAAAAACCGTTTGTTATAGCATGTTCTATTTCTTCTTCTGTTTTCATTATTTTGTCAATAGTTGGTAATATTGAAAGATATTCTGTTTGTTTCTGTTTATCTAATAAAATTTAAGTTCCAAATATATATAATATTATAATTTTTTTACTTACAGTCTGATGAATCGTATGTGTCATACATATCTAAATTCGTTGATATTGCTTTGTTTTTAGGATACTCTAGTAACTGTTTTATATCCCATAAATCTATTCTTCTGCGTTTTAGGGTGTTTGTAGATGGTTGTACTGCTTCTGATGAATCATTTTCTAATTCTTCTATATTCAGTTTTCTTTTTTGATCGATTAAGCTATTAGCTTTCTTGTTTATTTCTTTATCTGTTTGTAATGCTATAGTATTGTTTATAGATTCATTGTTTATATTTATATGATCTTGCTCTTTAAGTTTTTCTAATGAACTATTGTCTATTTTTATCATATTTTTGTTTTCGGTGGGTGTAACGTTATTAATAAAGTATACGAATAAAAAAAATAAACGCTTTATGAAAGCGTTTATTTTAAGTATTTTATGTTTTATTGCTTTTTTTTTTTTTGAAATGCTATATCTTATATTAGAGAATTTGTTTTTTATACTTTTTCTGTAATAGTCATATATCCGTTTTTTTTTTATAATTATTTTTTAAGGTTTGCCCTGAATTTTATGATTTTATTTGAAAAATTCAATGCAAAAAAGTTATTGATTTAAAATAATATAATATAACAGTTAAATCTTGATAAATATTTATTTTAAAGGAATAGGTTTGCATGGTAAAATCTACAATAATTGTACGAATTACGGACGGTTTACCATTATGTGCATCTGTTGATGATAAACATTCTGAAGCAGAACTATTAGAACAAAAACAACAATGTAAAGTTATATTTCGGAAGTTAACTGTAAATTCTGAAATAAGAGCATCAATTGAGTCTGGACAGTATTTTTTACAGTAAGATATTGATTTTAGTAATTATTTTTTATCGTTTATTAAATATAGTTATTTTATTGATAATAACGTTTGTTACCTTTGTATATGTGATAAATCGTATCCACGAAAGCTTGCTTTTTCTTACTTAGATGAAATATCAAAGGAGTTTTGGAACGTTTATGGCAATGATGTTATAAAGTTATCTTTAAGACCTTATGCTTTTGTGCAGTTTGGTTTTTAGCGTTATTTATGGTAATATTTGTCTTATTTTGTGGTAGATACGTTTATACAAAGAACAACTCGTCTTTATCTTGCTCCGCGTGCTTCTTCTAATCTTGATAAACTAAATAATGAGCTTCAGGATGTTACACGTGCTATGACAAAAAATATAGAAGATCTAATATATAGAGGCATGTTTATTGATTATATACTTAATTAATAAATATATGTTTTTTAGGCCATAGTTTAGATAGAATGTCAAATTTATCTTCTGATCTTCGTTCAGAATCAATTAAATATAAAAAGGCTGCTAAAAATATAAACTTTCATGCATTTTTACGTCATTATGGAACTATATTTACAATTGTTTTTATTGTTATATTAGTTATTTGGTGGAGATTTTTTTGATGATTAATATATAAAAAATAAAAAACTAATGCATGTTGTGTTTTTATTTTTAGTGTAGAAAAATGTCATAATAATAAGTCATTGTCTGGATCTTCTTCATCTAAATCATCTTCTGAATCTGGTGTATAGAATATTAAACTTTCAGGTTGATATATAGCTATTATTAGTAAGAAATATATTATATATATATATTATTATACTTTGTGATTTAAAATGAGGGAGAATTACGTTTTCTTTTTGTTTTTTTTGTTTATCTGTAAGTGTTAAATTAAAATTAATGTTTAAATCTTCTATTTGCTTTTCAATAATATATGTTTTTTTTTTAAATTGTTCAATATCTACTATAGATTTAATAACACCTGTTTTTAACATTAAAACAGATTCTTCATGTATACATTTTCCATTTTTACGACGATGTTCTGTATCAATGAAAATCCCTGATGTATCATTTGAATCTAAAGCAACGATAACACCTTCAATATAGGAATCGTTTTCAAGTGGTGTAGTCAATGCCTTATCTTTTGCATTTTTAATAGCTATTTTATGTGACAATGATTGAATTGAAATAATGGTTGTTGATATATATGATAGTAATTCTGATGGTAATGGATAATATACTGGATATGATTTTGGAAGAGGTATTGATAAATGATTTATCAAAATTAACGTTATAGAACCTAAAAATATTAGATATTCTATAATAATATAAAAAATAATACCATTCAATGTTAAAATTGATGTTATTATATCTGAAATATTTATTTTGTTCGTTAGATTAAATGCATCAATAGAATCTACGAGTATAATAAACCTTTGAGATATTTCTAATGTTGTTAAATTATATTAGTTAATTGAATGTTATACCGTATTTTGATATTATTTCTTTGATATTATATATTAATGTTGATAAATCTTTTCTCATTAGATTTTTATTATCTTTGTAGAATAATGGTATGCTGTAGTCACTAGTAGCATGATGCATGATGCTAGTTTCTGTTTTCATATGTATAGATATTATGTTTCTTGATATATATAATTAAATTTTTCGTTTTTTTTTTTTTGTTACTTACAGAGATTTTGCTCTTTTTAAAAAATGATAAATAAGTGGCCATGACGATTGTAAAATTGTATCAAATATTGTTATAAGAGGTGATAGTTCTTTAAATGACAATAATCGTTCAATGATTAATGGTGTTTTTTTTTCTATCATTTATAAAAATGGTCTATTTAATAAATAATATATTATCAATGATCAGTACGTATAATCTTGCTATCGATAATAAAAAATATTTTATAATACGTATTACATTTATATAATTTATATTATGATTAATATGATAGAATATCATGTAATTGTTATATTTTTTATTTAAAAAACACCACTTATTTATAATACATAAGTAACTTATTTTATAAAATATATATTATAAAATATATAATTAATAGTAATAATGATAAATTATATTATTAAAACATTTAAATATAATTATATGAAATATTCTAAAAATAATAAATATGTATTGTATAGGAAATATATATGGTTATATTATAATATATATAAACTAAAAATTATATATATATTGTTTAAACTCATAAATTATTTGATCATATGAATAAAAAAAATATGATACAATTCTAATAAATATATATATTTACAAAACTTATATAAATTGCATATTTAATGTATTATATATTAAAATAGTAGTATGATTTTTATTTGTGACATCATATAATCATGTAGTAATACGAATATATTGCAAAATATATAATATTTTAAATATTTATATTTTTTTTAACAAAAAAAAGTATGTAGTAATAGCATTCGTTTTAAATTATATAATCAAACATATTTTTTAATAGTATAGAATTAATATAAATTGAATTATTAACTATAAAATATTAATAAACTAATTTTTATATAATTTATATTATATACATTTATAATTAAAATTATTAGATTTTTTTTATAAATTGTTTTATTATATATAATTTTTTAATATTTTCAAATAATTTTTACATATCTAATTTTATAAAGTTAATTATGTAAAACGTTAAATCAGTATAAAATATATTTTTTATATAAATATATTAAAATAATTATAAGAGTGATAGAAACGAAAAAAATCGAAATAAAAAAAATATGTTAATGTATATCTTATTAAAACAGAATGAGTAAAATTTTATCTGCTGAATGTATTATTTTTTTCACATAATTATATGTCCCATAGATTACTAATACAAATAGATTTAAACGACTTTATATCACCAAGTCAAGCATGTATTAAACCCATAGATATTAAAAGAAACACTTCTAATAACGTATAAATTTTTAGTTATATTAATATCTTATATTTTATAGAATAATATAAAAATAGATAAAGAAGGATATTATGAACTTGACAATGATGGTGTAAAAAAAAAACTAGAACCGGTATCTATTTCATTAAGCGATTGTTTATCATGCAGGTTTTATATTTTTTTTCATCATTTACCAAAGTAACGAGTTTAGTGGATGTATTACATCAGCTGAAAGTGTTTTTATTAAAACACAATCATGTCAAAAAATTAATGAAGTTATTATTCAAAATATTGTTATTTATTACCAGAAACCTTAACATGAAATCTAACATTTTATAATAGGGTCTTGATAAAAATGAACAAAAAATTCTAATAGCATCTATTTCACCTCAATCACGAGCATCAATTGCAGCAGCATTTAATCTTTCTATAAAATCAACTCATGCTCGTTTAGCATATTTTTTTACGAAAATATTACCATTTTCTCACTTTATAGATACAAATTTTGGAAGAGAATTAGCATTAAACGAACTATCTAATGAATTTATTCGCCGATATAAAGCAAAAAAAAATGGAACAGAGAATCAACTACCTTTATTAACATCAGCGTGCCCAGGCTGGATATGTTATGCTGAAAAAACACATACAGAGATTTTACCATATATATCTCATGTAAAATCACCACAACAAATTATGGGCTCCATCGTTAAGTCAAAATTAGAAAAAAGTTCAGGAAAACACCGTCAATATATTTATTATGTATCGATAATGCCATGTTTTGACAAAAAATTAGAAGCAAGTAGAGACGAATTTTCAGAAAATGGAGTTAGAGATGTAGATTGTGTTATTACAACTACTGAAGTAATAGAATTGTTAAAAGAACGTTCATTAGATTTGCGACAAATACCTGAAGCATCACACGACTCATTATTCTCACATTACATAGATTCAGATATAATAGAACACCCAGGCTCATCATCTGGAGGATATTTAGCTCATATTCTTTCATTTTCCACTCGAGAACTATTTAATATAGATGATACAAATGCTAATATTGAACATAATATAACAATGAATATAATACGCAATAACGATATGAGAGAATATGTTCTTAAAGGACCAAATGACACAGTTCTTCGAATGGCAACATGTTATGGTTTTAGGTAAACAAAACCAATACAAATTATATATTATTTTAATATATATATATAGAAATATTCAAAATCTTATACGAAAATTAAAAACTAAAAAAAATAGAATATCACAAGAAACAGGATATGATTTTGTAGAAGTTATGGCATGCCCATCTGGTTGCATCAATGGAGGAGGCCAACTGAAACCAGAAATAATAGGATCGTCTAAAACCTTTACACACAAAGAATGGATTGACTATGTTAACGAATTATACGATTCTAGCATAAAAAAAACTGTTAACTCGTCTCATATATCACAATATATGAAAAATTTTGACAAACAAATTGCATCTAAATTTCTATATACAACTTATCGTTCTATACAACAAGATTTAACTAAAAAAATTAACCAGGAATGGTAATTTCACAAATGCAAACATATGGTTAAAAAATTGTTAATTATAGCTTATTCAATTTTATCTAAAATATTAGAAAATTGATATTTAAAACTCATTATTATCATTTCTATTACATATACGTCAGATATATTAACATCTATAACATTGTATTCATTATTTTAACATCAATATATCCATAACCTTATTACATGATAATTATGTATAACAGTAAAAAAATATATCGCTAATTAATATACAAAATTGCATATATATTATTATATAAAATACAGCCACAAAATAATAATTTCAATATGAACAAAAAAATAATAATACAATGTTTAATTTATAAATTTCTAGCAAATCAAATCCATCATAAATTATCAATATAATTACCCAATAACACTATCAGATAAATTAACTAAAAGTTGTGCTAATGCACGTTTCGTAGATAAATCATCCTTGAGTATATTTGAAAATGTAGCATCTCTTAAAGGTTCAGGTAAACACTGACGCAAAGCTTCACGAGCTCTACTTTCATAAGATTTCAAATGCAAATACTTTACACATACCTTGGATTATCACTTAATCGCAAATAACATCGAACAACATGCTTTAAAAGACGATGAACTTGATTTTCAACAAGTTGACTCACCATGTTACTTAAAACAGTACCCACTGAATAAAATCTTTCATATGTTTGACAAATGTATGCAAGACCCATATCATCAGTTAATATTTTTTGTACAATAAAGATAGCAACAGTTTTACTTAATTCAGAACCTGTTTCCATAATACGAAGACAAAGAGGAATAATTTCAGTAGAAAGCAAAAAATTTATTACTTCAGTAGAATCATTTTTTACCAAAGCTCCAATAACACCCAATGATGTCAATCTCAAATATTCAAATGGCCGAGATTTAGATGTAGTACTCATAAAAGGATATAAAAAAAGAGGAATATGAGCATTAAGAAAAAGAGTTCGTGTTTCATTATGAGATGCAATACATTGTAGTAAAGCAAGAGCATTGCACACGCGATTTGAAGCATGTGATGTAAGCTGTGGAGAAAGTAAAAGAGGATAGACTGAAACAATTTCTTGAAGCAAACTTGTCATTACACCTATTTTAACATTTAAATAAGAATGTAAATGATAAATACAATAACCCACCAAAAGAATGCCATAAAATAAAAGCAAGATCATCAAATTGTTCACGTTTCTTACTTAATTCAAGGAGAGCATGCTCTCTTCCAACACTCCCACTTATAAGTTCTATAATCCAATTATACATTTTTACATTGTCAGGTAAATTTTGATGTCCATCATCCCCACGAGCACCTAAAAATGTATTTCCAAATGCTACAGAAGTTCCAAACCCTGGACTAGTCCTAGAAAGTGGAAAATTTGTGGTATTAAATGTATCATAAATCATTTGCTGTTGAGTCTTTGGAATAGAATGATGTAAATATTGAGAAGATCCAAAAGCTGACCCAGATACATGCGAAATCATCGAACACAATGCAACAACTATTAAGCTTATTAATTATTTTTTTTTTTTTTCAGGTCCTTTAACGTTTATACTAATTGTATTTATTTTTTAATCGTTTATCTTTCAAACACATACGTATTAAATATATAGAGTAGATCTAATAAAATTAGTAAAAATCAATTTATTTTTAAATTTCTAAATCTTAAATATATACACATATAAGCATAATTTAACTTTTTAAAAATAAACTATAAAATCTAAATGCTAAAATTGTTAAAAATATTTTAAACATTTAATCCTATATTATTAAACTTATGAGGATTATAATTTCTATAATTATTTTAAAAATCTTTGGTCAAAATACTTTTCATGTTCAAACAATATAAAGGAAAAATATATACTAAAAAATAAACAATCAGGATTAAAATTAAACCATTCTTATAAAAAATATATTTAAATAAACAATATAAATAAAAGCTATTATTATTATTATTATTATTACAGAAATATTAAATTCAAGATCCCAGATATATAAAAAGCATATATTTTTTAAAAATATATACAAAAAAAAACGTTAAAATTATTTAATTATAAAATAATATCACCTAAATTAACGAATACAACTAAAACTATAAAACTAAGTATACATTAATTATAATTTGAAATAACATCATATATAACCATACGAACCATAATTTTATAGATAACGTTATTTTTATTTTCTAAAGCTCATTTAGAGATTTTTATATTGATAATATCTTTAAATTCTTAAAACTATTAATTTAAGTACAATATTTAATTCAATACTACCCTCTTTTAAAGAAGCCTATAATATTAATTATAAAAAAAAGAAACATATATTACTTACACCACCTAAGAGGAATCCATCAATATCAGCCATCACAGATAATTCTTTTGCATTTTTAGATGTTACTGAACCACCATATATAATACGGATATTATCACTTTCCTCACCCAGTTGTTTTTTTAACCATAGTCGTATTTCACTATGAACATTTTGTGCCTTAAAACATATTAAATACATTTGTCTTATTTACTTAGTACCTGTTCAGGACTTGCAGCTTTTCCTAAAATTCATTAGAAAACATTAAAATCCCATCATTCTACCTGTTCCAATAGCCCAAACAGGCTCATAACTAATATCACAAATGTTAAATATTAAACATAAAATTTAAATTAATACGCTATAACCAAATTCGACCAATACTTTACATATTGGAAAACATACTGCAATTGCGAGGTTACTACATCAATAGTGCGACCTGATTCACGCTCTTCCAAGTTTTCTCCAATACAAAGAATAACAGACATCCCATTTTCAAGAGCATGTTTTGTTTTTAAAGCAATAAACTAAGATATAAATAAAATTATAAAAACATAAAAACATCCTACTTGATCGCTTTCGTTAAAATAGGTCCTACGCTCACTATGACCAACAATTGTCCATAATATCTTAGCATCCTTTAACTGCTCAGCTCTAAAAATATTAAATTAATTTCCAATAAACCAAATAATTTCTACGTGATTTCTCCTGTATATGGTCCAGGAGAACTACTATAAACATTCTGAGCAGATACACCTATATCATCTCTTAAATGCTCTCTGACATAAAGAAGATAAAGTTCAGAAGGAGAAATTACAACGTCTTAATATAAAAATCAAGAATTATAAATATGAAAAACATTACAAACCAACATTAGAATCTAGTTCAGATTTATTTAAAAAATCAACTATTTTTTTAATGCTTTCGATTGTTCCATTAGCTTTGAAATTCCCTCCAACAAAAAATTTTCGTGTCATAAAACTTATTTAATGAGTAAAAATTTTAAATTTAACAAATTCTTAAGACAAAATCGTCTAAAAAAAATAAAAATTATACAAACTTTAATAAAATCTATTATATTTTAAGTTTATCAATTTGTTTATATAACTTTTTTTTAGTGATAAATATAAGATAATGTTAGAAAAAATTAAAAAATATATTTCAAATTTATATTAAATAATCTAAAAAATATATCATATCCAATTCAATGATTTTCGAAATACAAACTCATTATAAACGAAAAAAATATGACACTTAATAGTAAATAAAACATATATTTTTACTATTGATAATTTTAAAATACTGTATATTAATTAACATTTATAGTATATTATTTATTTTAAAATTCAAATTAAAATTATCTAATAAACATAAAATAAAAAACATTAAGTTTTAAATTATGTTAATTAAACTTTTTATATTAAATATATGTTTTTATTAGTATAAAACTTTAAAATTGTAGGTTTTAAGATTATTATTAATCAGAAACCATATTAAATTTATTATATTTTAAGCATTGCATAAATTATAAAATACTATTCATGTAAAAATAAAAAATATTATCACTTTAATTATTACTTAATATGGTAAAAAGATATATATTAAATATAATTTTATTTTTTTTTAAAAAATTATTATCTTTATTAAAAATACATGGACAATTATTAATCATAATGTTAATTAATATAAATAAATATATCTAAAAATATCATTTCAATATTTATTTATTAATTCATAAGTTTTTAAACAAAAAAACAATTTAATAAATTATAAAAAATATATATAAAAATATAATTATAATTTTAAAAAATACATTTAAAAATTTAATATGATAAATCTGAGTGATTATATATGATAAATATCAATTTTAACATAATCATATATTTTTTGAAAATGAAATATTTTATTATTTTAATATTAACCATAATTATGATAAAAATATCAAATCATTATATATAATTTAAACTATAAAAAATGATATAAATATACTAATAATATAGATTATATTTGTTTGAAAAAATAAATGTTAAGTATTTTATAAAATTTATAACATAAAACATTATCAAGAATATTTATAAAAAACTCCAACATTAGTTTTAAATAATACAATTTACTGCTTTAATATACATAATCAACTTCATTACGCCTTATTTAAAAATAATTATTCAATAAAAATGCAATTATCATTTAATTATAATTTTTCTATTAAAATTACTACAAAATAAATAATTAGAAACAATTATAGAGAAAATAATTATAATATATAATATTATCACTAACAAATTTTATAGTATAAATAAATGACATTTAATTCTGATATAAACACGTCCTAAGAAATAAAGCAGTATTTTTTGGAAGATAAAATATTCTAAGTAAGTATATTCGAAATATATCCAAATGCTACTTTATTGCATTTTCATTAATTTTATCCCATATATTCTAAAATAAAATTTAGATACAATTTCTATTATCAAAAAATATACCTTTCTTTCTTTTTTAGAAATATATTTCCATTTAGCTTTATTAACCTTATACTGAAATTGTTCCTTAAATATCATTGCCTTCCTTATTGCCAGATCTTTTCTTTTATGTTGTCTAGTAGACATATTCCTAGATTTTATTTTTTTCTTAATACCCGACTTTCGAAATACAGAATTAAACATTTCTTTAGACATCATTTGTTTTAAAGAATTATTTATTTATCTTAGACGCCCTTAATTATTGAATGTTATTTTATCCTTTATAATACCTCTGAAATGCATGTTTATCATATATTACAATTATTTTTTCACAGTTTTTAACCCAAATAACGATTGTCCAAAAAAACTTATTTTAAAAAGCTAAAAAAATAAAAATCAAATATCATTATATATATATTATTTTTTTAACATCTAAAAGATATTAGCCTTTTATTTAAATCGTCTAAAACATAAGGAAACAGAATCAGTAACATAGCATTAAATTAAATGCTAAAAAACATATCATTTAAATGTATTAAAGACTTCATATCACTAATACCTTGGTTTTATTTTTTTTGGTTCATTTTAGTACTTATAACTTCTTACATTTATATTGGGATGTTTTTTAATTTTCCCTCATTATTGGATTTTTATAGTATGTTCTTTGACATTTTAGAAGAAAAAAAGAAAAGTATAGAGAAAATATTTGGAAAGAATATTTTTGATAAAATAAAATTACAAAATTTGGTAAAAAATGAAACAAACATTAAACATGAGCAAATCATTGGAGGTCTTTATAATTCAGGAAATAGTTGTTATATAAACTGTATTATTCAATCATTTGCATCTTTAAATGAATTAGAATATATTCTGGAAAAATTATCTAAAGAACAGGATAATCCTATTGCATCAGCTACATTTTCTATTATATTTAAGCTCAATCATTCATCTTCATTATCTCGAACACATAGCACTTCCAAACTCATAAAAACTTTGTCACTAAATAAAAAAATTTATGACTATGAACAACAAGATGCTCAAGAATTTTTCCAAATTTTAACAACACAACTAAATACAGAAATTTTAAGGATGTCAAAAAAATGCACAGAAAAAGGATTTTCAGATTCCATCAAAACAAGATCAGAAATTTGCAACATAGAAAATGAAATAAAAAGTCCATTTGATGGACTTATGGCTAATAGATTAGAATGTATAAATTGTGGGTTTTCAGTATGTCAAATTATTTAATAGAAAATTCAAATTAATTATTTATTAGGAAGGAATAATTCACTCATCGTTTACAAGTGTATCTCTTCCATTGTCATCCTCAGTAAGATTTTCATAAGAAATAATATACAATAACATCAAAAGCAGGAATTATGTTCATTAGAAGATTGTTTATCGGCATACGTTAACAAAGAAATGATTGAAGATATTCTTTGTCAAAAGTGCTCACTAATTGCGTCTAAAAAAGATCTCGAAATTCTTCTAAAATCTTTACCTAATTCTGAAATGTCTCAAAATATCAAAAAAAAATTAAATGCCATTATTTCTGCTTTAGAAACAGAAGTCCTGGACGCAGAATATTTAAAAGACTTCAAACTTCCTCGTCTTGTCAATAGTATTAAATCAAAACAAATTATGTTTGCTCGTCTTCCTAAAATTTTAACTCTCCACATTAATCGTTCAACTATTTCACCTATCAATGGCTCTATCTATAAGAATACAGCATCTATTACGTTTCCTCTTATATTAGATTTAAACAGATACACAACATCATATTCAACCTTATGGATAGATCCTATACAAACAACGTCTATACCTAATCAAAAAAACCAATCAAAATATGAATTGAAGTCAATAATAGTACATTATGGCTCTCATACATTTGGGCATTATGTAACATTTAGAAAGACATTGAGAGGATGGTTTAAAATTAGCGATAGAAACGTTAGGTTAGTTCCATTAATTATATATATTTTTTATAATTATCCTAGAGCATGCAGTATCGAAGAGGTTCTTCACTCCGGAAACGTATTTATGCTAATGTATGAACAAATAAAAGATAATCTTAATATAAATCAAATTATTCAAAATTTTAGATCAGAAAATTATACTAAACCTTATTCAATAAAATATCTTTCTTCTGTATTTAATAATGGAAAAGAAAATTGTAGTGAGGGATTTCAAACAGAAACTAAAACTCAAAATTCATTAGGTGTATCAACAATAAATAACACAAACTACTTATATCCTATAATGAAAACATGCATTACGAAATCATCATTGTATTCACCATTGCCTATAATATCTAGAAAAAATTGAGATTATTATCATTAAGTAACTATTGTAAAGCCAAATCATCTAAAATATGGGAAATCTTATTAATTTAGTTATTTAATAATCTACCTACCTAAATATTTAATAAAAAATTAATTATATGCAAAACCATACGAAATTCTAAAGTAACCAAGAAATCATATTCTTTTATATTTATATATCGTATAATTATTAGTAGATAATTATAAAATTACAAAAAACTTTTTTCAGAATATATTGAAATTTATAAAATAATAATAATAGAATAAAACATTATCATTTTAGAGGAATTATTACTAAAGAATTTATCATTTTTATTGGATATTCAAATTCAAATTAGAACAAACATAAAGATCCATAAATTAATTTTATTATTAATATCGCTAGATTAATTTTAAAACGTTGTTTACATTTAATCATCTAAAGAGAAAAAATAAAAAAAATCGTTATTAATAGCAAAAATACTTATTAGAAGAGGAATATACATTTAATAGCCTTTTTAGTTTCAATTGAAAAAAGGCAATAAGAATTGAATTATTATTTTTCAAGTATACATCTCAACAGTTTTAATACTAATTACAAAAAACATTTAAGAATTATTTATTAATCATTCTCGCTTAAAACAATAAAAGATTTATACATAAAGAAGAGTAAATTGAAGCTTTAACTATATTTATTTTATTAGATTTTAATTTTAAAAAATATGCAATGTTTCAAGTTCATAAGCGAAGTAAACATCTTCCTACATTAAAAAAAATATTTATAGGAGGAATTGCTGCCTTAATATCAAAAGTTTTTGGAAAATGTATATCTCTCTCAGGATCTAAAAGCTGTCCTTCCTTTAATACATCATCAATATCTACTATTGCAAATAATACATTGTGATTCTTTATTTTGTTTAAATATTTTTAACTAACAAAGATATAGTCCATTTCTTTCACTTGTTAGCAATGTTAATGAATTTGATGAACAATTAGAATCTTATATAGCTAATCATTATACAAAGTGATATTATTTTAACTTAAAGATATTTTTTATTAATTTATTAGAGATAAATATGGAAACTTTTATGGTTGTTCAATGGAAGATATTTCAGATACGCATAAATTTTATGCAAGATTCACAAAAACAATATTATGTGCATCTGTAATTCAAGAGTCAATTGTAGCATGTAATCTAACTGCTGCAAATAGGTAAAAATTTTACTCTTTTAGCCAAATTACTAATTACAATAGTCGTCCAGTTTGTGCAGATACTTGTGCAGAATGGACTAGTAGTGAAGCATCTATTTTGCAACATTATTGTACAAATAGAACTCTTGAAAACGATCTATCATTAATACGATTTGATTTTTCAGTATGCACAAGTCCAAGTGCATCTTTTTCTTTAGAATGTATTAAAGGAAAATCTAACGAACCTCAAAGTTGTGGATTTGGAACTAACATATTAGAACTTTGTCAATATTGTAACTCATCCTTCTCAAATTCTATAGACACATGCTGTGCATTATCTAATTTATCACATTGCGCTTCTCTTAACTACTCTATTTCAGTACCTTCATTAACCGATTTAATTCCTACTTTTACAACATCTACAACATCAAATACTATTAGCTCAAGCTCTTTACCTACAATTCCTATAAATAAACAAGAAAAAAACAATGCTGCAAAATTATCACAGAAAACTATATCATTCATAATTATCTTATCAATAGTAATCATAATAATAATTCTTTCATTATTAATTTTACTTATTATTTTATCTTTCAACAAAAGAAGAAAAATCAGAAATACTATGTCTAAGCTAAATGCAAAACAACCTTTTATTGAAGAGGATCCATATAAAAGAAATTATTTATCGCTTTTTAGAACAGAAAATAACTCTAATACATTGAATCATAGTACTATACCTATACAAAGGAACTATGATTATTTTAATAGGGCTATCATCACGAGTACATCTGAAAAAGAGCTTCCTTCAATAAATAATCAAAACAAACAATTCAAGAGTTATAAAAATTCTTATAATATCGCTAATTCAAATAAAAATCAGAAGCTTTATCAAAATACAACACCATCTTTAAAATTTGATTCATATAAATCGTTAAATCATAATACATCACAAATAACTGAAAATAACTCTGAAAGTATAAACACCATTACATTGAAAAATTCTAAATCACGTCCCACATCTTCTATTGAGCAAGATCGTGTAGCAATCTTGCCAATTGTAATGTCTATGAAAGATTATTATTCTGATCATCAAATAACACGCAATACAGAAGTTGTCGCTCTTTATATATATGAACCAAAAATGCCAGATGAAATGATTTTAGAAAGAGGAGATATTATTCATGTAGTATCTGTCTGGGATGATGGTTGGTGTTCAGGAATAAAAATAGGGAAACTAGACAATTTTAACACAAAAAATGCCTTTAAAAACAATATAAAATGCTTACAAAGTACTAGTAAAAATATTTCTAAACTAGAAACTGAAATTCAAATAGATGAACTAACTATAAAAGCATTTCCATTAGTTTGCGTTTGTCACAAAGATTCATGGAAAGATGTATTTTTATAATTATTTAGATCTTTAGCTTATAAGCTTCTAGGTTATTGAATCAGATATATCACCATCCTCAACATTAAAAAGTGCGCCGCCAAATATTAACCGTCAAATATTTAATAACTTTGAAAATAACATTTCTTCACAGTTCAATGAAAAAAACATAAATTTTGAAAATGCGGGACATGATATTAAAATTGCTAAAGAACCTCGAAGAAAATCTTTTCCTGAAATATGGCCAATAAATAGATTGATAAATTCCAAATTTAAGGAGCAATTCGAAATAATTCCATCTTAATATTTCACAAATCAACGATACATGTTTTTGGATATCTTTATATTAAAATAATAATTCAGAGATGTATCTCTTTATTCATACATAAAATATGCATTTTTTTTAATCACTATCTGAATAAAAATATTTATGTTTATTAATAATTGATAGCCAATTATCAAGCATAAAATTTAACAAAACCTTCATTTAAAATAATGGTATTATTATCTCTAAAAATCTATTTCAAACATTTTTACGTTTTTATAACATTTTTATGGTTTTTATAAAATATATTCAAATAAAAAATTTCTTTTATATTTCTAAAGTTTAAAATCTTAATAAATAAATATAAAATTTCATCAAAAAACTAGATTTAATATAATATCAAAAACTATTATAAATATTAAAACAAATGCATATAAAATTTTTAAACATTTAGATATTTAAACATATATTTTTTAATAATTTTTTTAAATATTTTAATCCCAAATAATTAAATATAAACCATATATAATTATAAAATTATTTTTAATAAAAAAAAATGAAGAAAGCAAAAAAGAAGGCTTATTCTGATATATCACAATATCTATCATCACCATCCATAACAAATTCCGAGGAAAGTGATGATGAATGGTCTGTTTCATTTTTAAAGACATTGAATCATAAAAAAGGACAAAATGTTTATTCAAAAATGACTAATACAATATGGTGGGGCTGGTTTCTCATCATTTTTACATGGTTTCTTTTTGTAACTGGAATGTCTGGAGTTTTTGGAATTTGGCAATGGGTATTCCGAATTGAAGTAATTTATTCATGTTATTTCATTAACAAAACTAAAAACATAAAATATTAGAATATTAGAAATCAAGAAAAATCATATGATTTCCCAATTATTGATTATTATTTTTTACTTATTGTTTTAACTGGTGGAGTTGTAGCATGGATATGGGTAGGCATTAATTGGCTTGGATTAAAATATTTCCGAATGACAGAAACTAAGGGTGATCCATGAAAGATCACAAGTATTTTATAAATATTTTTTCTTTTAAAAAGCTAAAGTTTATTCAACAATAAAAAAACGTTTTTTTTTATGAAATAATTTTGCCAAATTCCCTTTAATTTATTTTTTGGATCATTATTTAACACCTTTTTATCCATATTTATATTTTTTATAATACAACAATATTCATTTTTACGAGCATATGAAAAAATTTATTGAAGCAGGTAAATTGGCACTTCCAGGTCAGCCTGTTTCATCAACAAATGCTGCCATAGCGGGCCCTGGTACTATCATTTATAACTCTGTTATTCGAGCGTCAATTCCAGGAAAAGTAGTTCAATCTTTAAATTTAAATGGAGAATACCAAGTTTCAGTAGAAAGACTAATATGCAGATTCAGTGGAAAAGGTTCACCCATCTTGCCTGAAGTAAATGCATTTGTATTAGGTCGGGTTATAAAAATTAAACCCAAAGAAGCTATAGTCAGTATTTTTGTGGTTAATGAGATAGTTTGTCAAAGAGAATTTCAAGGCATCATTAGGTAAAATTTCTCCTAAATATAACAAGGAAATTTACTCTATTTCACGTAGAATTCAGGATATAGAAGCTGTTAACAAAAATACGATTAAAGTGTACACTTCATTTCGTCTAGGAGATATTGTGAGAGCACAAGTAGTAAGTAAAATAAAACAAAACAATTTATTAATAAATATTTTAAGATATCATTAGGTGATCAATATTCATATTATCTTTCTACAGCAAAAAATGATTTAGGAGTTGTGTTTGCTACAGATATTACGGGAGATACTATGTATCCTATCAATTGGCACCAAATGCGTTCATATGTTACGGGTACTATTGAAGAACGAAAATGTGCAAGACCTATATGATATTAAAGAAATCATCAATTTTCGATATATATGTACTATTATTAAACCCTTTTTTTTCAAAGATTATATAATTACAGAAAAATTATAAAATTGTTAAAGCAAAATTCAGTCTGAAAATCCAGTTACCATGATTAGATGTATATGCAAGAAAAGTTTAATGTTACAGGAAATATTCTTATATCGCTATTAATATACACCAAAAAAGTGTAAAATCAATCTTTACCAACATGATCCAAAATATTTAATTTTTTTTATATTAATGAAATCAAGACAATCATTGAAAATATGGTAACTATGGAAAATATACTCAAAGAGCTATTGTTAAATTTAAATTTTTATTTTATTATAAAATCAATAAAGATAATTTAAGTTTTTCAATTTTCACATAAATCAATGTATATTTATAATAAATTAATAATATTGATATTTTATGTAATATATCTAAAAAATATATAAAAACATTCCCTTTAATAAGTCTAAGAAACTACTTTTTGAATTATTAAATTTAAAATGTACAAAAATAAGACTCTGTATAAAAACATTTACCTACTAAAATATACAGATTATTATATATTTTAGAAAAATTGCTTCTCATAAGCTTAAATATATGCAAATAGTCATTCTATATAATTAAAAATGAAGAATCTAATAATATTATTTTAGATCAAAATCTAATATTAAGGAATCCAGACTCCCAATTACAAATATTTACAACTACTATAACATCCATCCTTTAAAACTAAAAACATATAACCAAATATCTATTATATTCCAAAATTTTAAAAATAATTTTTAGATTAAAGTTGTCGGACTTTTTGACGACTTGACAAAAATTTGTATTAAAACCGGAATTTTCAATGATTCAAATTATAAATATTATTCATGAAAACAAGCAGTTAAGATAATACCTTTTGATGTGTCACTCTTAGAAAAATATTATTCAAGTTCTTATTTAGATTTTTGTGGAAAACAAATTACTTTATACAATACGTTAAACTTAAACATTGATGAAGCTGAAAAAGAAATTCATGCAGCAATGACGGAGGTTTTTCAGAAAGCAAAGAACTTTTCAATACAAGGAAATAGTTTTATTATTGGCTCAGCTAAAGACAAAAACAAAAAATGCAGAAAAACTATGGAAGATACACATACATACATTTATGATTTTGGAGGTGTAACTGATCAAGGATATTTTGCTATTTTCGACGGTCATGCAGGATATCATGCAGCAAACTTCTGTAAAGAACAGTTCCATGTTATCTTATGTAATTTACTTCATAATATGCCATCATCAACAATTCCTGATATTTTTGATGCTACATTCACATCCGTTGATAATGCATTGGCTAATCTTCCATCAAAAAACAGTGGTTGCACAGCTATTGCTGCCCTTATAAGGTGGGAGGAAAGATCATTTGCGACAATTTCAGGCTTTCATGAAACTCGACGTACAAAACTTCTTTATACTGCAAATGTTGGAGATGCTCGTGCAGTTCTTTGTAGAGGTGGTAAAGCACATCGTCTTTCTTACGATCATAGGAGTAGTGATTGGCATGAAAGTCAAAGAATTATTAGTTCAGGAGGGCTTATCATTAACAATAGAGTTAACGGCATTCTGGCCGTTACTCGTGCTCTCGGTGATACTTATATGAAAGATTTTGTTATTAGTCATCCTTTTACAACAGAAACTATTCTTATTCCTGACGAAGATGAATTTATTATTCTTGCATGTGATGGCGTAAGTAATGTTTTTTTTAAAAGAACTTTATATTTAACTTTATAGCTTTGGGATGTATGCTCTGATCAGCAAGCTGTTGATATTTGCCGTAATATTTATGATCCACATATAGCTAGCAGGAAATTAATCGACTATGCTATTTCTCAGTCTAGTACAGATAATATTACAACTATAGTTATTCGTCTTTCCAAAAATGATTCAGAAATAAAAGAATGTCTTTTTTGAGAACATATTAAATATTATGATCAACAAAAAGCAAATCTTTCTATAGATTTTCTTCATTTATATTGTATCTAGTCAACTAATTTATTCTTTAACATGAGTTTTTATATTTATATTATTTTTTTTTACATTTTTATGACTTAAATCATTTTTACTAGAATTCTTTGAAAAACGAAAGTAGTTGTTTATAGAAAATGTTTATCTAGAAAAATACTTAAAACGAATTCCATACATAGCCAATCGTAAATTGTACAGTAATCTACTAAAAACTACTTTGCAAAATTATAGCATTTTAGAAAATCAATTGTAATAGGGGAAATAAAACACTTTAAAACTTTAACTTTCAATAAAACCTAAAGAGCAAACATATAACAAAGACAATTTCTAATATTTTTCTTTAAAGTCTTTTGAACTTAAACGAAAAACTTCCAATCTAAAATATCTTAAATATTATAATATAGACTAATCATATAGAAATATGCTCTAGATGAATTATTTATAAATACCAGAAAACTTCAATTTATACATTTCCAAAAAATCTTTGGAAAATAAAAAGAACAAAAAATAAAAAAAAAAACTAAACTTTAATAAACATTTCTAAAATTAAAATACTTTAAAACATAGCTTACATATAATTTAAGCTTCTATTAACTTAAAACATTTCTTCATTATTTTACAATAAACTTAATATTCTAATTAAAAACCTAAAATCAGAATTTCAAAAATATTAGATCAAATATGCATTTATATAAACATTAGAGCAGAAAATAAGAAGCAAAACAAAAAAATAAAATATATTACATTTTCCTTTTTTTTCTATCATATTCATCTGTGCCAGGCAAAATTCTCTTATTTATATTTTTATCAAACCAAGGAGAATCTTTTGTACTAGTATCCTATAATAAGTCAGATAATAATATATATAATATATATATATATATTACCTGATCTACTAAATGAGTATATCTTGTTTGTCCTCGTTTCCCAAATTTGTCACCGCTTAATATATAAGTCTATAAAAATGATAAAGCAGAAAAACATACCGAACTTGCATTGTATTTGGCAACAATGTTTTATCAGATATTTCATCCATAACAGGAACAGAGTAATCTCTTTTCAAAATTTCTTCATCCTTATTCAAAATATAAATAATCCAGAAATTTAAAGAAATAAAT